CCAGGTTCTTTACTGTCCCTGCCCAGTATTACTTATTTCCCCCTCTTTCCCCCAAAATTGTATTCTGCGAATGTTACTCAAACTGAAAAATGGTCATAACATTTGGCTTGACGTCAATGCGAAAAATAAAGCCGGGTGCTAAGGCTAGACGTCCCCTTTTTGAAACAATTTGTACAAAAATTTGCATGCTTTACTTACGTTATAGTCATTTAGAGTCGTTATATATTATAAACATATTATTTAATTCTGATTCATGTAGTACCTTATTAAGCGAGATTTATAATTGCATGAGTATATGTAAATAAGAAAAGTTAAAGTTTCCATAAAGTTTCCATTATGTGATACAGTATCATACGGTATGATAGGGTATGATATAGAATGATACTATATGACGCTACATTATGCGATATGATATAATATGATACTATATGATACAGTATGATGCGTTGTGATACGGTATGATATAGTACAATACTATATGATGCAACATGATATGGTATGACAGGGTATGATATGGTATGATGCTATATGATACAATATGATACGGTATGCTATTGTATGATACTATATGATGCTATATTATATGATGATATAATATTATGCTATTTGATACGATATGATACAGTATGATATAGTATGATGCTATATGATACAGTATGATACGGTATGATACTATATGATGCTATATTATATGATATGATATAATATTATGCTATTTGATACGATATGATACAGTATGATATAGTATGATGCTATATGATACAGTATGATACGGTATGATACGGTACGATACTTTATGATGCAATATGATACGATATGATACAGTATGATATAGTATGATGCTATATGATACAATATGATACGGTATGATATTGTATGATACTATATGATGCTATATTATACGATATGATATAAATGATGCTATATGATACGATATGATACAGTATGATATAGTATGATGCTATATGATACAGTATGATACGGTATGATATTGTATGATACTATATGATGCTATATTACGATATGATATAATATTATGCTATTTGATACGATATGATACAGTATGATATAGTATGATGCTATATGATACAGTATGATGCGGTATGATACGGTACGATACTTTATGATGCAATATGATGCGGTGTGATACGGTATGATATAGTATGATACGGTATGATATTGTATATACTATATGATGCTATATTATACGATATGATAAATATGCTATATGATACGATATGATACAGTATGATATAGTATGATGCTATATGATACGATATGATACAGTATGATATAATATGATGCTATATGATACGATATGATACAGTATGATATAGTATGATGCTATATGATACAGTATGATACGGTATGATATTGTATATACTATATGATGCTATATTATATGATATGAAATATAATATTATGCTATTGATACGATATGATACAGTATGATATAGTATGATGCTATATGATACGATATGATACAGTATGAATAGTATGATGCTATATGATGATACAGTATGATACGGTATGATATTGTATGATACTATATGATACAGTATGATACGGTATGATATTGTATGATACTATATGATGCTATATGATACGATATGATACAGTATGATATAGTATGATGCTATATGATACAGTATGATACGGTATGATATTGTATGATACTATATGATGCTATTATACGATATGATATAATATGATGCTATATGATACGATATGATACAGTATGATATAGTATGAATGCTATATGATACGAATATACAGTATGATATATATGATGCTATATGATACAGTATGATACGGTATGATATTGTATGATACTATATGATGCTATATTATACGATATGATATAGTATGATGCTATATGATACGATATGATACAGTATGATATTGTATGATGCTATATGATACAGTATGATACGGTATGATATTGTATGATACTATATGATACAGTATGATACGGTATGATATTGTATGATACTATATGATGCTATATTATACGATATGATATAGTATGATGCTATATGATACAGTATGATACGGTATGATATTGTATGATGCTATATGATACAGTATGATACGGTATGATATGTATGATACTATATGATGCTATATTATACGATATGATATAGTATGATGCTATATGATACAGTATGATACGGTATGATATTGTATGATGCTATATGATACAGTATGATACGGTATGATATTGTATGATACTATATGATGCTATATTATACGATATGATATAGTATGATGCTATATGATACGATATGATACAGTATGATATAGTATGATGCTATATGATACAGTATGATACGGTATGATATTGTATGATACTATTAATGAACATATGATACGGTATGATATTGTATGATACTATATGATGCTATATTACGATATGATATAGTATGATGCTATATGATACAGTATGATACGGTATGATATTGTATAGCTATGATATACAGTATGATACGGTATGATATTGTATGATACTATATGATGCTATATTATACGATATGATATAGTATGATGCTATATGATACGATATGATACAGTATGATATAGTATGATGCTATATGATACAGTATGATATAGTATGATGCTATATGATACAGTATGATACGGTATGATATTGTATGATACATATGATGCTATATTATACGATATGATATAATATGATGCTATATGATACGATATGATACAGTATGATATAGTATGATGCTATATGATACAGTATGATACGGTATGAATATGTATGATACTATATGATGCTATATTATACGATATGATATAATATGATGCTATATGATACGATATGAACAGTATGATATAGTATGATGCTATATGATACAGTATGATACGGTATGATATTGTATGATACTATATGATGCTATATTATACGATATGATATAATATGATGCTATATGATACGATATGATACAGTATGATATATAGTATGATGCTATATGATACAGTATGATACGGTATGATATTGTATGATACTATATGATGCTATATCATACGATATGATATAATATGATGCTATATGATACGATATGATACAGTATGATATAATATTATGCTATATGATACGATATGATACAGTATGATATAGTATGATGCTATATGATACAGTATGATACGGTATGACATTGTATGATACTAATGCTATATTAATGATATGATATAACATTATGCTATTTGATACGGTATGATACAGTATGATATAGTATGATGCTATATGATGCTATATTATACGATATGATATAATATGATGCTATATGATACGATATGATACAGTATGATACGGTATGATATTGTATGATACTATATGATGCTATATGATACGATATGATACAGTATGATATAGTATGATGTATATGAATGATAGATACATGTATCAGTATGATATAATATGATGCTATATGATACGATATGATACAGTATGATATAGTATGATGCTATATGATACAGTATGATACGGTATGATATTGTATGATACTATATGATGCTATATTATATGATATGATATATATTATGCTATTTGATATGATAGATACAGTTGATATATAGTATGATGCTATATTATACGATATGATACAGTATGATATAGTATGATGCTATATGATACGATATGATACAGTATGAATAATATGATGCTATATGATACGATATGATACAGTATGATACGGTATGATATTGTATGATACTATATGATACAGTATGATACGGTACGATATTGTATGATACTATATTGCTATATGATACGATATGATACAGTATGATATAGTATGATGCTATATGATACAGTATGATACGGTATGATATAGTATGATACTATATGATACAGTATGATACAGTATGATATGTATGATATATATGATGCTATATTATACGGATATGATATAGTATGATGCTATATGATACAGTATGATACGGTATGATATTGTATGATGCTATATGATACAGTATGATACGGTATGATATTGTATGATACTATATGATGCTATATTATACGATATGATATAGTATGATGCTATATGATACGATATGATACAGTATGATATAGTATGATGCTATATGATACAGTATGATACGGTATGATATTGTATGATACTATATTATGCTATATTATACGATATGATATAATATGATGCTATATGATACGATATGATACAGTATGATATAGTATGATGCTATATGATACAGTATGATACGGTATGATATTGTATGATACTATATGATGCTATATTATACGATATGATATAATATGATGCTATATGATACGATATGATACAGTATGATATAATATGATGCACTATGATACAATTTGATACAGTATGATATAGTATGATGCAATATGATACAGTGTGACACGGTATGATACGGTATGATATAGTACGATACTATATGATGCAGTATGATACGGTGTGATATAGTATGATGCTTAATGATATGATATGATACAATAGATGTTTAAAAAAGGGTGTCGCATGTATATTGGTGTATACTGAACATGGAATTATTACCCGAATGGTGGCGTCACGTCAGTGTTCTCATGTCCATTTATTTCCATCCATCAAACTGACATTTTTCAGGGCCCAAGGAAATTCGGAACAAAAAAATATTGTTGCAGGTTCTCCCTTTTTGTACTTTTCCACTTCCGTCTTTGTAGATAAAAAAATAGCATTGTACTGGAACATTTGTCCTTTCACTGCTTTTTAATACGTTACGTTTGTGTTGTTATTTCAAGTTGCAATAAAAATAATAAAAAATCGCTATTTCGCAGCAGTAAATGTGATCGGTGCTGATAGTTGTTGACCTGTTTTGTTTCCATATATACCTGAAGATTAAAGATTATAAACTTTAGGAAAAAAGGGTAAATTATAAACCTAAATCTTACAGAATTCTTGGAATTTTGTAGCTTGATGCTTTGATCATGCGCAGTGAGTATCAAGTCACGAGTTTATCTTGAGTCAGTTTTAAAAAGTTGTTGCATTTCATTTCACTTTTATTTTGTTCAATACTATATCAGATTAGGTTTAAAAACTTAACCGCAGCATGGAGCAATCTCTTGATTATTACGATGCTGGTCGTTTGCAATCATTTAGTGATGCAGTTGCTGCGATCGTAGCTACAATTCTTATTTTACCGTTACGGAACGTGCTGGTGTCTGACAAGGGATCGTTCGTGGAATATTTGCAAAGCCATCAAGACCTTATCATTGTATATTTTGTTGCCTTTCTTGTCATTTGTTCGGTCTGGGAGTCTCACATTATGCGATGGATAGTGATTTCTAGTGTGGACGATGTTCTTGTTTGGTTAAATATTACAAGCCTGTTATTTGTCTCATTCCTACCCTTTGTTGTCCGTCTTGTTGGTCAATACACTCAAGAGAAAACACCAATTGTACTTGCCTGTGGTTTATTATTGGTTTTGGAACTTATTGAACTTATAATGATTTTTTACACTTTTACTCAACACAAACTTTTACGCGCAGAATTAAAGAATTCTCTACCTTTCGAGTTACAACAAAAGAGAAACTATATATTGAAACGCAAGTTATTGAACCCCGTATTGTATATATTTGGAGCTGGTTTGAGTTTTGTTAGTGTTAAAATTTCTTGGGTGCTCATCATTTTGGTTGTCATAGCACCATGCATTAACCGTTTAGTTGAGGTGCTTACTTATAAGATTCGATTTTTGCGAGAAGAACAGCACATGTTTTTGTATGAGAATATAATTTGCAAAGAGAGAGTTGAGTGTTATTCTGATGGTGTTTATGCTATTGTTGCAACCTTGCTTGTTCTTGATATCACTGCAGACAACTTCCCAACTAATGATAAAGTTAAAAAGGATGGCATAGAAAAGACATTGGCCAACATGCGATCCGAGTACCTTACATATGTTGGTACTTTTGCTGTGTGTGGTTTACTTTGGTTTGTTCACTATTCCTTGTTTTACTCCCTCAAAAAAGTGAATTATCTAATGATGATAGTAAACAATGTATCATTATCTTGTGTTGGAACACTACCATTCCTTGTATCTATCCTTAACAAGTATGTGGACAGTGAACACAAAAATGACAGACATGCTATTCAGTTTGGTTGTTTAATAGTTGGTGTTGCTGGGCTGTGCCAGTTTATGATATTCACCATTGCTCTTGGTAATAGTCAGCGATATTTGACACATCACGTGATTCCTGTTGGTTCTCGGACAGCAAGTCATAACTACCTTCTCATAAAGTTACTCATTATTCCAATGATGGCTATTATCATATTTGGGACCAGTTTTGCAAACATGTTTGAGGCTTATATTTCATATAATGTTCTTGTATTAGCAACTCCACTTCTCTTTATTTTTATCAAGTTTGTGTATTGTTGCATCATGAAGAATCAAGTTGTTATAATGAATGTTATTCAGGATGAACAGCCGGAATGGTCCAACCCAACTACTTCAAATCCTCTAAATACAGGTGCAACATTTAGTGCATCATATGACCAGTATAAGTAGCTAATGGTTATAATAATTTGTTTAAAGTCATGCAAATCAAGTAAATATTCTTCATTAGCACTGTATGTTAATTAACAGTGTTGCTGTAAAGGTTTCTTTCCTGTGTATATATATATGCATGAGCTTAAATAATGTAATCTTGTTGTAGAATTGTTATAGGTTGTTAATATAATAACATGTGAATTTAAATTATGATATCAGGGTTTGACATACGGGCTTATATAACATGACCACTGATACAGGGTCATGATCCTGTATAATATAGCAGTATTTTTGTTAGTGCGGAATGCTCCAAAAACACTCTTTAAATGAGGTTTAACTTGTCACAAATATTTGTTAGCTGTATTATCAATCAATCAAGGTAATCCCACTAAGTAAAAATGTCAGAAGGCCGAATGACAATGTGCGTAATAATGCACGTGATAGCAAGTTTAAACAAAATGTTTTTTTCGCCTTGGACAAATATTTTCAAAATAGTTGTAGCCACGAAATAATAGTTAGATATGAAATAATAGTTAGATATTAAAATTCCCTCAATGACCTAGGAGCTAAACATTAAAGAATTCCATAAAGGCTACAAGCTCTTCTAGTTCTTCTAATATCACCAGGCGGGACCCTCGGTCGTAAAACTGTTTTGACGTCACAAGTCTTCAAAAGAGTTCGCAAACTTGACGTAGGAAAAATTCCCTAAGAGGAAAAATGACAAAGCAACCAATTTTTCAAGGTTTTCATTTTGACTGATCAAATCGAATGAACAGTCCATTCCATTGTCCAGTGGACATTTTCTTTCTTTATCCGATGTAGAGGTGTTGACAGAGGGTAGAAAGGTGTATGGTTTGTTTCACAAATAGCGTATTAATTCATTTCATCATTTGTGAACATTATGATGAATATTACTGCCAAATATCATATTGTCGATTGAGATTCGAATTGTACATTTGTGAACAAGTTATTCTTGAACCTCCTATATAAGCTATATGAAGTTTAGTTTATACCCAAAGCGTAGGTAAAAGAGCCTGGCTTGCGAGGTTGTTTATACCCACGGTTTATACAGCCTGCAACGAAAGGAGACCTAATGATCGAAGCCTATTTAACAAAATCTAGGATTAGAAAAACAGCAAAATTTATTGCTTTTAATATATTTACCTATATAGATACATTATAGTTTACTATAAAAAATTGCGCGCATTTATCTATAGTCGACGAGAAATATTGCTGTGTAGTCCAATTCAGACACGTCAAGGCTCGTTTAAGTTTCCAGAACCAAATAACATTTGAACTGTGATATTTTAGGTTTTGTCTGTCACAGTTTTGTAGGGACATTCTCAGTAGCTGGGCCATTGAAATGTTGGCCGCAAAAAGTGTAAATAGCGCAAACCAAATATAACATGAAGTGGTCGTCTGAAATGGACCACCGAATATATAAATATCTTACAAGCGCCGTATTCACTTGACCATCACATGACTATAAAATTTTCGAATTCCTACATCTATACACATCTGGAAAATTATCTAATATTCTCTAAAGTTCTAGGTGTCTGTACAAGGTATATTACACAGGAATAATGATCAAACATACGTTTGACGGTTATTATAAACAAGGGTTAGCTGGATAATGTTGATAATTCGTTGAAGGCACCATCAAAACACGCCTTCAGATCATGATATGATACCACAAGAACACTTTGTTCATCTCGTGATATTAAACATATCTTTTCTGGGGACCCACAATCAAGCTGTAAAAGATTATTTGAAGTATATAACGAGGATTGCAAGAAAAAATACTACATTCATGACACAGGTAGCATTTATCAAGTAAGCATTTATCAAGTCTTAGCAAGGCAAAGAAGTTTTTATAGTATTTTCGCACCTTGTTTAACGAAGAGACAATGTGGGACATATCAAGCCAAGGTTCGCCAGTTTCTGTCACTTGATGAAATAAATAATCTCGAAATAGTTTGATCAAGTAACGATCACCTGTTTCTGACCAACTTGGGTCCATGTTAAATCTAAACAAGGAATATAGATATATTATGCGATACAAAAGAGAATCCGCAAAGGCTCGAAAAAAATTGACGGTCATGCATGCAGACAACATTCTATTCCTACTATAGCTACAGAATATACATATGCATAGAGAAATGATCTTACTCTGGTCGTTCATTGATAGATCCCATTTTGCATAGCAAGCGAAAAAGTCGACTGTTTTCCATTTCCTGCAGAAAAAATTTAATACAAAGCCAAAGATTTTTTCAGCGATGAGATTTCGAGATTGAAGTTAACATTTACATTATTCATTGGCGTAGCCTGCATGACGCATTTAAGTCCCGATATGCAAGTTTTGAATTTTTAGCGGGAAAAAATTGTCAGGCTGCAGGTACGCTAAAGGCACTATTTTCAACACATAAAATAAAAAAATCAATGAAATAGTTGCCTTTGCTAATTCCCCTTGCAGTACATCACATCGGAGCTGAGCAGCATCAAGTTGAGTATAAAATCTTGCGCCAATCATTGGCATCACGTCATTAATACTTTTTATATGATTTGGTGGAGGTTGTCTGAGAAGATACCTATAGTATAATTTAACGTGTAAAAGAAGAGTTTACCCTCACTGTGAAGAGATATTTCATAAATAAAGGTTTCTCTACACATAAAACATCGCGAATTATTTCCATTTTTCGCCTCTCTAGATAACTATATCGTTCACGAAAGGAATAGAACTATAGTTTATAGGCTAGATTGAAATCTTTCAATTTCAAACAAATGACATTGTTACTTACAGAATTAAATTTTTTAAATCGTTGGAGTATTTCAGGCTTATAATCTCCATTGACTGCTGAATATTCTCGCGGTTTACAGCTTGCAACGAACAACATGCGAGCATCAATATCAGTCTTCCAAACGAAACAAGATCTTCTTGCTAAAATAAAATATTCGTTTTTTACATATACGTATGTATGCGAGCTAAAAGTGTAGTAGAATAGCGATATTTTATGTTTTTATTTGCTGCTTTTATCTGCTCATCATGCACCTGTACAGGTTTCGTAGAAACATATGCAAGGTCGTAAGGAAAGGTTGATACTACATTTGATCCAATCAAAGTGCTATGCGGGATTAACATTTGGGACTGGGTCCCTGGGAGTCGATGTGAATCAGGTAATACATGGATAATCCCTAGAACCCCCCCCCACTATTAAAATAGCTTAGGGCTGGAAAGTACCATTGAAGTAGATTTTTTACTCACTTGATAATGTTGAACCATTGAGGTACTGTTATTTGAATCCAGGACATCAAATATTCCACATCCATTAATTCGTAACCTAAAATAAAATGTTCTATGTAGAAAACCTTTTACATTCAATAGAAACCTTGACCACATTAGATTACCTTGAATTGGACAGTACGAGAATTTTCGATGGTTCAATAACTCGACACGCCAACATCAGGGAATGAATGCTTCTTAAGGCTGACGAAAGCTGAATTATGTAGTTCCAAATTAATCTTTCCGCCATGAATTGTTGTCGACCTGAGGCAGTGCTGCCAGGAGTGAACATTTTCCGCCCTGGGGGTAATTGTTGGTGTACAACACCATTTTGACCATCTTTTATGTTCATTAGACCAGTCAGACTTTCCGAGAAATGTCTTTGTAGAATTGTTTCTGCACCAGGATGATAATCGTACACAAACACTAAAGCTACGAAATATAATATAGACTATAGTATACAAATAAGAGATGTATCATATATGGGGCATATTGCTTACACGACTTTAAATTTCAAATTCTCGATTACATTTTTAGAAACTTGAATTTCAAGTTTCGCATCAAACAATAGTAACGAAATAAAAAGCATACAAAAGCCATATTTTGTAAAGGCTTTAAAGTGAACAGCAGTTCAGAACCACTTAACCAAAACAGTAGAATAAAATTTACCCCAGGGTTTGTGCTAACAGCTTTGAACAACTGGCCCCTGGTATTAGACACAAAGTATATTCTAATTAACATATCTAATATCAGACATGTAATTTATTTTATAGCTTCAAGTGAAAAGTTAGAACACAAATAACAAAATATTATTCCCTTTGGATTATTACAATTTTTATTCAAAATTCCTTCATTGTATCTATGAGATGCTAGTTCTAGGCCTGTATTTGTAATTAGAACTAATGAACAAAACTAAAGTAAATAAATGTCAATATATATCATCATTTATATACAGTATAGTTTCATTTATTGTCTTTTAATTTGTAAAGCACATAGGTGAACACATATTTAACGTTTTGGATGACTAAAAAATTGAAATTCTAAATGTATGTGTTAACTATTCTAAATCCACATCCTGTGACTGTTCATTACTTTCTGTAACAGAAATTATAGAGTCTTCATCCGTTTCTAAATCACAGTCTGTTTTCCCATCACAGTCAGTTTCCCAATGTTGCATTTCACCATCACACCATAAATGGCAATCAATTTCGTCAAATGAATTCTTCACAGTGATTTCACTAGCTTCCCCGCACATAACAGCCATACTCTCTCCAAGACATGGTGCCTGTTGCTCCGACAATGTAGACACAGATTTTAGCAATGGTTCTAGTTTTGTTTCTTCAACACTGCAGACCCAATCATTAACCATCTCCTTTACACTTTTGACAATGTGCTCTGAATTGCCCATGCATACCTCAAACAAATTGTTTGTCAACATTTTATGATTTTGGGCATCATCAAGGCATTTTAATAGGCCATCCTGAAGTTTTCTTTCTTTTGCAATACTGCTTTTATCAGCTGTGGCAAGGAAATGATCAGCACAACTTTTTTTTTCACTAAGTTCGTGGGTGAAATTCATTGCAGCCTCTTTTTGCATTTTCAACAAAGACATTTGGTGGGTGGAGAATCTATTCAACTCACTCAACACAGATTCTTGCTTTGCTTCAAGGATACTGTTTATCTCTGATTGCATATTAAGAAATCGTGAGGTGATTGCATTTTGAACATACTTAGCTTTATGCCTAAGGTTATGCTTTCTTGCATCTAAAGAAGAACTAAGGTCATTATAATCATTGATGACATTATCAATACAATCAATTTTGTTCTGTATTGATTCTGCTTGCTTGTCAGAAAACCATGACAATTTAGACACCTTATGGGTCTTATGCTGGCCATATGTTGTGCAGTACATACAAACTGCTTCCTCTTCTTCATGGCAAAACATATCCAGGACGTAATTTGGATGAACGGGGCATTTTCCATTTGTTACAACTTCATCAAGTAAGTCCAAGTAGGCATAATTTTTAGGAAGTTCGCTACTGGGCTTGTCTGAAATGGTTTTTGTTTTACACTTAGGACATTTTATCTCGTATTGCCAGCACCTTTGAGTGGTCTTTTTGTACCTAATAGTAATAGATGAGGTGGAATCTTTACTGTAACTATCTTTAGTTATATAAGCCTTTTTTTGTAGTTTATTTAGACAAGACTCGCAGAAACTGTGTCCACAAGCGGTTAATATCCTTGGAATCAGTCCGTCTTTGTCACAAAACTTCTCGGCGCAAATCTTGCAAGTGATTGCCTCTTCCATCATTCATTAAAAAGTTATTTCATCTTTTTCATGAACTTTCGTTCAGCTAATAGTTTCAAACTAACAATATACCAAATTAATATAAATGCTACTACGCAATAGTATCTGCTTTGTCTCAAAATCTCTCTTTCACAGTTCACTTTCGATTTGAGTAATTTGAGACCCACTATAATGTAATTAACATGAAGTAGTGGAGTAATTAGTGGATGGTGTTTGTTTGCTGGGGCTGGTTGTTCAAACACCGGCAACGTTATTGACACGGAACCAAAAAGAAAGTTTTTGGAGGAAAATTCATAAAAAATGACTTTAATTTTGTGGTTCAGCGGCAGCCCCCCATGCATTCATGAGCAGGGGCAAGGCAATGGAGCTGGGACCACAGGCGGAGGTAGCTGCCCCACTGCACTTTGCTTTAATACCGCAGCAGGGTCTTCACTGGGAGGGAGTCTATCACTGAGGGGAGTTATATAGGTAAAAAGGAACTAAATTAATCCATGAGTCGGCATCAACGGCCTTTGATCATTCTATCACCTGGATAATCACAGCTTGGAAATTAATCTTAAGCAAACTGTGAGCATGCATTCAGGTGCAACAGAGGAGATTATAATCACACGTCTGATACTTAAGAATTGCATCACCGACCGAATCATAGTCTCTACGCACAGACCTGACCGTCCTGGAACACTATTTCTATGCAGCCTATTATAGTATATAGCCGCTAAATCAATTCGATGCCAATTAATAAACTTCTAGTAACGTTTCCGCTACTTACAATTATCATCAAATGTTTTCGTCGTAAACATTTCCCGGAGATGAACTAAATTTGAGTGTTGAAGTTTTTTCCATTCGTCAACAATCCCCTTTGCTTTCGTGTTTGTTAGCCGAATACCTAGTAATGAATAGTGAAGTAATGGAATGATATCTCTAAGGTTTAGATAAATACACACACAAGTTGAATATTTCACAAGTGAATTTCTAGGAATATTTGCATGCGAGCAGTCTACCGTGCATCTTTCTTAAAACGTAAGTCAAACCATCTTTAGAGCTGACACATTTATAGCAAGTGGTTATGCATCCAAATGTTCGACGGGACTAAGAAATAAAAGCATAATTATTTTGTTGCAATGGAATGAGTGCATTTTGTTTTAAAAACTCAACTTTTTTTTTTAAGAACGATATATTTCTGTATGAGATAACATACAATCCTTTCTTCCCATTCTCTCACCAAGCAACTGCGCTAATAATCAACTTTACTTTAATAATCAACATACCAACCTGTTGATTGGCGATCGAATCAATTGGCTCTAATGGAACCAATGAGTTATAACTTTCAACTTCACGTGGAATGCCTAGTGAAAAAATCAAAGTGCATATAGTCATATAGAATCTTTTTATGATCACTTTGAAAAAGTCGACGAGTATTGTTCTACACATTGCACCACGGTATATATTTATAAATATATTTATACTACAAATTAAATGACAATCTTCTTCATCTCTTTTGAAGATAAATTTGATAGGTTTTTTTTGTAGATTTTATTCAATTTCTGTAGAAAAATAAGCCTAATCATAGCCGTTAACATTCCTTACTCGTATCATCTGGATTTAACTGCGCCAACGTAGCTGAGTGTTGATTGAGTAGGTCCTAGAAGATGGAACGCTATAAACATCAATCCTTTTCCTGTTATTCTACATTAGATAAGTCCAGATTTAGACCAATAAGGCAAGAGCAAAATCGAACGCAACAGCCAGAAAGAGTAAGACTGCCGAGTTTGGTGCAAAATGTTGTGAAATGTAGAAAAAATAATTCGTAAGAAAAATTCGCGAAGTTCGTAAATTTTGTATAATATGTATACTACGCGCAGTAAAAACAACCATTTTTGAGGCGAAAATAGGTTTTCGTTCTTTTCTTGTCTAAATCAAAATTTACTATATTCTTGGTTTTGTTCTAGCCGCGATTACTGTTAATGAGTTTATCTGTTCCAGTATACTCATTCCCCATTTTCTCCAAATTATTCAACAACATACCAAAGTATTAATATGGTTTTTAATGTACTAATTAGACGACCTGTCGTATCATCATGTAATCACTTTTTGTTTACCTTGAAATAGATATTACTGTAGCAATAACGCGTCCGTGGGTATTTTGCGGTTACTCAAACCGTTATGTGTTGTTAATACAGTGCTGTGTTTGTAACAAGTATTACAGGACGATCGAGATTACAGGACGATAAAGACCTGGACTATTAGTGGTAGTACCACATTACGATAAAGACCTGGACTATTAATAGCTAGTAGTATTACAGGACGATAAAGACATGGACTATTAGTGGTAGTACTACATAACGATAAAGACCTGGACTATTAGTAGTAGGATTACAGGACGATAAATACATGGACAAGATTACAGGACGATTGAGAGATATGTATGCTAGTTGTTCCTAAACCGATATGATTGATGAAATAGAAGAATTCAATTACCTGTCGTATCTGTGATGAAATAAAAAAGGAATTTGCCATTGGTTTTGAGGAAGTCTGTAAGTTTGCAAGGTGGCTGGGAGTACTAGGATAGACATGATATGAGGGGAGGATCTACGAATGAAAACAACAGTTGTTAATAATCAATTATCATTTATCAAATAGTCAATCATCATGTAAGGTTACTTACAGATACAGAAGTGTGATAAAATACTTATTATCCTCGAAAAGGGGCAATCATAGAGAAAACTATTTAAAACAGCTTTTAAGAGCTTTGAGTTGCTAACAGAGAAGGTGAATAAAATGTTTTTTTGTGAAATATTGACAATAGTCATTTTGTCATCTCTGAGACACTTTTATAAGAGAGGTGTTTAATCCTGTCTATGCTGGTTGAGGGGGCTTTTTAAAATAGGTGATTAGGTTCATAGGTCATAGTTCAACACAATAATAAGAGTGAAAAGTACATACAATTGATGGTTCTGCTGGTTGAGAATCTGGATAAAAGAATGTTGTACCACCAATGGATTCCGACTGAATTGCATGATTCTAAAAATGGAAAAAAATATGAACATACTACAAGAGGTAAGAATAAGAAAATTCTATTTAAAATGCAATATCATGTTTAAGAAATAAACAATGATTTATTCTTATGAAATATCACAACACTCTTACTGCCATGTCTTGGAATAGCCCCCTTCTTAGACTTAAAGTTCTAACATTAGGAAATCTCATGATCCTACTGTAAGACAATTTCTCTCTGATACTTTTAGTTTCTAATAAAGCTAATTATTAAAATGTTAAAAAGATATATAGTATATATATCAACTTTGTGTAGTTTTTAGGCCCCTTAGGTTAATACACTTTTAGCTGTTATGATACATACAGTAAGCATAATTTAAAAAGGGTATGATATTGCTGTTGTAACAATACCGTTGCAGTGGGAAGAAATTCAAAGCCTTGATTTGCTGAAGGTCTTCTGGATGTATTACTTCCCTTGGGTGAAAGAGGATTGGCTAGATTCTGTGGCTGTTCAGATACCTAAAACATAAGTCACTTGTCTCACTGAATATTTTGATTTTTATAACTGTACTTACTTTGCTAAAAAAGCCATTAAATGAAGTTGGTGCAAGATAGAAGAGCTTCAAACTTCACTAATGTTGTGAGAAAATGAATACTTATATGCACCCAACACCATTATAGTTTATTTCACTTTATTCTTTGCTTTATAATGCACGAAAATTCACACAGTAATACTGGTTTTGAAAGGAATTAGGAAATTGATTAAAAATGATTATATATTAGTACTTATAGATTATACTTCTCCATTACATACCTCCAAAGCATTAATTGATAATCCTGAGAAGTTCTTTGTTAATGCATTTGGCTCAGTATTTCCAGTAGCGTATTTATTAGCAGCTTCACCTGAAGGGTACCCACTTGTTGATGGCAAGATTGTGAAACTTTTATCACCTAAAATATTTAGTTAGAAAATTCGGTCCAATTGGTCCCTGATAAACAGGGTTAGGTCATCTTTAAAAGTCTTCTAATTTCACTAATAAAGCTTAATTTTCACTTTTGGCTGTGTGTTTGCCTAATCTCATAAATTATACTTCCATAGTGCATTTCATGTAGCAAATACTAAAAGACCTTGGGCATGTGGTCAAGGGTGTAAATCCTGAGGGGAACTGAGGGGACACGTCTCCCCACTTATTTGGCATAATAAAACAATTTGTTAGGAAAAGTATCTCTACAACTTGGTTCATTCAGTTCATCCCCCCAACTTAATTTTCAAGACACATTTGCACCCTTGCATGTGATTACAGTAAGTTTTCTCCCTGTGTAAGTCATCTTGGCATTTTCATGATCCCTGTATGCTACAGTACATTTGAAAGTATATTTACATAGAATTAAAATTATATATTCAGTGGACTTTGCATACATTGTAACACTAGTATACAGTTTTATACAAGGTATTCACCCTAGTATAAAATAGATTCATCCAAGTAGTAACACTGTGAGGATTCACTGATGATTTTTGTACACCAATGCTTTTTTCTCCCTAAAATCCACTTCATGTTTTGCTAATGCAGGAGTAAAGGGAAGGAGTTGGTCAAGCCATTAATACAGTAAAACAGTATCAAATTTGTGAACAACAAATGAAATAAAGACGCCTGTTTTACGTGACAAATACTGGACAGAAAAAAACTTGGAAAAGCTTAACTTCTTAAAGAAAATGATACTAACTGAGAGCAGTAAATAAACAAGCTCACCTGATTGAGTGTTTCCTGCAGGTTTAGCGTGTACATATTGACACGATTCACCAAAGAAACATTTTCCATCCGAGGCAAAATAACGGCATAATGTAGCTTTCACAGGTCTGTTTGCGGAATTACTCATTTCATTGGGTACAATTCTTCAGACGAGGTTCTGTTAAAAAATATCCATACTTAGATTTACTACCTTCACCTTCGCGCCTCCATTTTGTTCATGCAGTGAATGTTCGAATTTACGTGCGCACTGCGCGCGCACCGGAGTGAAAAGCGATCAGGAAACAACTCAAACAATCGATAAATCAACTTATTATTGGAAAATTACTATTTACGAGAAAACAAAAAATTATATTAACGGGGGGATGAAGATATAATGGCCCATTGCTGATAGATATGGCAGATCACAGTGGTAGATCCACATGAATACTCCTGCCATTATGATTGCAAACTATTTTTTTGTTTCATATTTGATTAGCTCAAAAAGGGTTATCTCTGGGAATAAGACTAAAAATGATGCCGAAATCCGTGGTCTGCTGTACTTGCTCATAAATTATTATTATTTAAATGTTTGCCTACGCTCTATAATTTATCGAAAAGCGAGGTTCAGATTTAACTTCTGCTACCACTACAAATTGAACCTCGTGATACGAAGTGGAAAACGGCCTTAAAGACTCAATGGTGCTTGTTTCTCCCCCTCCACAATTTGGGGTGCTGAATTCTTCATATAGATAACGATATATCTTATCAATTTATATTAAAATACAGATTTTTATCAAGCTAGATTTAATTCTGTATAATAACTACACTGTTCTTACACCTACAGTTGTACTTACAGTTACGAAAAACATATTGACCTATGACATCAATACAATAATATAGTTCAATAGTTTACCAATGATATTATAATAAAAAGAATCATTGGATAACTCCTTAGTTTTTTGGGTTGCACCCACATGTTCATTGCATCTAATCACAGCTGGTATTAACAGGCAGAACACAGTAATAGCACATTGATACAGCATTTTACTGCGATAGTCATCACTGGAAAATGCAGTAAATGGCCAAGTGTGCTTTTCTTAATCAGGGTATTGTTGAATAAGTTTTTACGACAAAAATCATATTCAACAAATTCTGACATGACGTAGTGCTTATAATCTTCGGCCATATTGCATATAGAAAATCTTCACGACCATGTACAACAGCGGCCGGTTCGCCCGGTTGTGCAAACGCTGGATAGCGCTATCCACCGCGGATAGTGATTTTAAAAATGCCTGAAAAGCAATAATACTGAAGGTTTGAAGTCAACAATTATCAAACAGAATCCCCTACTTACGAATACTAAGGTTTAACCCAGGTTTACCGAATATGAGGCAATTTTAGAGCGGTTGAAAAACCCACTATCCGGTGGATAGCGCTTTCCAGCTTTCGTACAACCGGTCCCAGAATTCTAGCAGGGTAACATGCAAACATAGTTCTAGTATATTTTGTAAGAAATCGACTGGGCAACTTCATTCTTCAAAAGTGCCGTATCGACCATTGAAACTACACTAAAGCAACTAAGAATGAAGACACAATCTAATCTAATTACGTTGCATGTTACACTATACAATTCGTTTATTGCTGAATCACGACTGCAAAATATTAGTTCATATTTGTTTTCCAGCGGTGATGGTCGGTTTCCTAATCTATCTTGACAGTAGAGTAGATCTTTTTAACAAATGCACTTGCTCCAATATAACCAAGCGTACCTAAAATATAGTGGAGAAGACGGCATTAAAACAATGTTACAATGTAATAATAAATAAAATACACTACTCTGGGACTAAATGTATATAACGTGACTGAAATCTAGCCATTGGTATAATTGCCACGATGAAGAAAACGAACATACCACAGAGGATTCCGAGAGCCATGCTGAATAAAGCCATATAACCAAAATAGAACGTCGTTTGAAAGAACCCATACATCCTGTTATGAAAAATAAACACTGACAAAAACACACCTAGGGCTGGTCTAATAAAACACTTTTGACCAATTCTACAACTATAATTATAACTAACTACCTTTTTATATAAAAGAATAAAATATAATAAGTAACATATATCTTCACGATTTATAAAGATACCGTGCGAAATCGCGTGAAAAACTAACTACTAGCTAAACTGTTGGACCGAACGAAGAATTGTAAGGAAACAAAAACTCACTTCGTTTTAAAGAAGAAATAATAGAAGGAGTAGAAATAAACATAGACAGCCGTCGATGCTGCTGATAAGAACGATGTCCATTGCCTAAAAAAGAAAAAAAATGAGTAATACAGAACGCAATACCGTTTAAAAATCTTCTAAAATGATGACAAATATGCTGTGCCTATTTTTTTCACCGATCTGGCAATAGTAATGGATCACCGATCTGGCAATAGTAATGGATGGAGAAACTTATTATTTACTGGTGCAGGGCTATGTAGATGCATGGAGATGACCGAAATATGCCATGACTAAGGACCTGAGCATTAACTTTAAATGCTGATCATTTGTGAACGTAATACTGTAGATTCAAAGTTCTTCTAATTGGAACACGAATGTCCTTACCAACGATAGTCCTCCGCATTAAGCAAGAAATACGTGCAAACAATGGTCACACACATGGTAACAATGATCAAGATGAAGAATACCAAAAACATGAAACCAAATACAAAATAGATCTTGTACGCCCAGAAAGAGGTAAAAATGAAGTACCTAAAAATAAATATGCATAAAGAATAAAAATCCAAACACCGTTTATGTAGCCGGGTGGCCAAGCATTTTGCCTCACATTTCGATAAAGATCGAGCCAAAAGGTAATATTCCACCAAGACAGACAATAATTGCTGGCTCCATAAACCTAAAATTTAATACGAAAACGACAATGAGGAGTTAATAAGATGGTACCGTGAAAACAAACTCTGATCCTATCCTATACCATCCAATTCAGTATATTTTGAACTAAATTCATAATATCGACATTCTTTTTCCGATACCACCTATACACCCAACTGATATTATCACAGTGTTTGCAGACCAGTTAACAGACATCCAGTATGGTATAGCACAGAACTCTAAGAACGTTTGGTTCATGGTATTGCTACCCAAATACTATAATATACTTCTCATTTGAAAAAACGATCAAATGGAGGAGTACCAACAAGAAAGGTGATGCTTTAAACCAAATCGTTTACCACGATACTGTAGTCTAGTTATACTTACGGATTTTGGTCAGTATCGACAGGGAATCATAGGCAAATTACAGTTACCATAGGACGTTTACAGGTTTCTAAATACAAATATAATTTGTAGACCGTACCATTTCTTCTCTGGGATTGGACGTGGCACGGTGTTTATCCGGCATGGATAATCAGGTGTTCCTGCCATATTACGGCCAAGTACAGTACCAACAAGGTTTAACGGCAGAATAACAAATAAACATATCGCCGCAACAGAGAGCTAAATAATCGAGACAATAGATAACATTAAACATTATTAGCTCTGGAAAAATTAAATCCGCATGTGAACAATTGCTCTGAGCATAAGACCCCTATCGCATCATATGCTTTTCCACGCCAGTGTATACGACGACAACGTTTCCAAAAACTGTGCCAGTTGATACGTTTCAATACACGTAATTTGAAATATGTTGCAAAACATGCAATATAAAGCCGTAATTTTGGCAGGCCACATGCATGCGTAGCTTTTTTGTTGCCAGTTCATTGGAAATTACACTGCAAAGATTAGAGTTTTTTGGACTGGACAAATTATATCATTTTGACAAATTATATTTCCATGACACGCAACTTACCATAGATGTGAACGGAATTGCCCTCGAAGCACGATAATAGATAGCGACAAAATTGATTAAAAAGGCTGTTCCACAAACCATCGACGGGAATAATGCAGTACTGAAAAGCATTTGTTTGATCCAACTTTTACCTGGAAGATAACAATTACAGTATATTTTGTATGAACGTATATATAAAATTAAAATGATAACTTCATGTATACACTGAAAGGTGAAGGGAGTTGTTCCCTTCATAAAACGCCACTCTCTACCCTCTAATGCAAACGTAGTAGTTTGAAAAGGAAATTTCCCACTAGTGAAAAGCAAGCTTTACTAGCGCGCTTCATGGCTTTTCTGGCTGAAGACAAGTTTTGCTATATCAAGTGTCGAAGCTTGTAATAAAATATACGTAGAATATAATATGTATATCGCAATGTAAAATGATCTACCTCTATACTGTACAATTTTATACATTACTGTACAGCATTGGCACACACATTTCGTGGTGTTATCCGTGGGAAATCTAACAGAATTTTTACCGCTTTGCCTGGAGTATAAGGATCCTCCGAAATATCCATTCACTGGAGCAGTTGCAGCATAAACAAATATCGACGTTGTCAGTATTGAGCCACGTCTAAGGAAGATGAATTATTAACACTTAATGAATAAAGAGTAGCATGGAAAGTTGCATGGAAAGTATCAAACAAGTATCACCAGTCTACTATGCCATTGCAAATCAAAGTATTTGTGAATAAGGGTCTTAAGTTCGAGTGGAATTATACACACTTCAAATTCAAGTCAGGAACAGTTGAAGGAAAAATGAGTCAACTATAGGTCCTCCGGCAGGAATCGAACCTACGTTTTTGCGATGCCGGTGCGATGCTCGTTTTTCCTTCAACTGTTCAACTGGCTTGAATTTGAAATGTGTATAATTCCACTCGAGCTTAAGACCCTTTAAACCCTAGAATTTACGTGCATCAAGTGAAGTGCCAAAAATCACAATTTATTGTGAATAAGTATATTTAATAATTTGCATTTAGAGTTAAAATTTTCAACTGTGGAAAGTGCAAGAATGATGTTTTTCTTGGAATCATATGTAGTATATTGAAAAGCACATTGAACCAAAAACAGTCCCACAATTCCTACAATTAACAAAGAAAAAACACTATATGTCCACACAAAATGCGCACATACTCTGTGTAAAGATCTCCGATGATGGACATTACAATGACGATAAATCCAACTGTAGCAAGTTGATAACCAGTACCAATAACAGAAGAGAACAACAATGGATAAGATGCTGAACGGAAGACATCACCATGTACTTGTTTCCAACCATATTCATCTCCCAAATCACGTTCCTGTTAGAACAATAAAATGGCAGATAATCTCATTGTTTCTAAGTATAACATTATCAGCATGTGATTCAAAATGGGTTTTTGTTTCTTATTGATCAAAAAGAGAAGATAAAAAAAATTCATTTGTACAGTACATATCCACTTGGGTAAGGTATAGTTTTAATAAGTCTGCAAAAAGATGTCACAGAAAAAACAATTTGAAAAGTACAATGAAGTCTCTATATTCAGTATATTGTAATGGGATATGCATTTAATACCATATCATCTAAATCATCTTCTTTGCTGTATCGGGCATAATCCTTTCTTAAAGTGCGCATCAAGATCATACTGACCAAGCCAACCAGAAAAATAACCATCATAAACGAATTAAAGATGGAAAACCAGTGAATCTAAAAATAAAATAATTATTTAAGAATCAAGTACAACATTTTTTTAACTTGAGTATTTAGGCAGTTCAGTTTAACTACACACTATGTGATGTATGTGCATTTACAACAAATATGTAAAAATTTGTGAATATATATATACTGACAAAATTGGCATAAAATGTTTCCGCAAATTGAATTAAAAAAAACAAGTATGTTACTATAGCTACATGTGTATGCGTATGTGAAACAATAAAGAATGTTTTCTTACTCTGTGTTGAAAGAAATTTGGATCAAGGTACTTCTCATATCGCTTGTCAAATACAATTGTGGAAGGCTTCCATGTGACCTGGATGGAAAATACTAGTCGTTCTAAAATCCTTATAAATCCTGTACTTAAAATCACAACAAACTGAACCAGGTCATAAATTCAAAGACAAACCTCGTAAGTAAACACAATTTTACTTCCAAGTGTAAGTTTGGCTTTTGTCTCACTGGTCAAGTTAACATCAACTATCTAAAAATCGAGGTAAATTGAGCATTTACACTTTTTATCTGGAAATGTCAGATAAGACTTAGTAAGGCTTAGTAAGACTTAATAAGTTTACTATTGGCCCCTTTTCACACTACAAAACCATCACAACTTACAAACACTATGCAGCATACATTATACTCTGCCATCACAAGTAATGTGAAAACAAAAAGGGGTTATTCATGTGAATATCAATATAACGCGAGTCATATTTTTAGGGGTTGCACACTCCTCCCCAGAGCCCTAAGAAGATCTGTAAATCTGTGCATGGTGTTAAATGCATTGAGAACCAAGTCAACCAACCTGATTGTCATTGTAACCAATTTCAAATTTCTTATGGGTCCAGATGTAATAATCTTTTCCCTGGTCACCTTCCCCAACAATACCTGAAATGAATCCAAGAATACTTTTTACACAAGGAACAAATACATCTATTAAGCAATTAGCTTTCATTTTATATATTCATCCATATATTGGCCACTGTATGTTAGGTACCAAACAGGAGACATATTTTTAGAATAATGCAACATACTGTAACTGTCAGAAAATATCTATTCATTTTACATGCCCAGGTCCAAATCATACAGCATCATTGCTGAAAAAAGTATGTGCAATACTTACCCCATATTGGCAGGTCATCTAAAGAATGGAAAAAAAACACATTTTTTAAAAAACAATTTTACTGTAAAGAACCTCAAAGACAATTATATAACATACCAATATACATCTGATACCAATAATGGTTATCAACTGCATATTTTAGACTTTGAAAATTCTCTTCATTTACTTCCATCTCACAAACCTTTGCACTTGGCTTGTTGACTAAAAAATTTGAAAAACAAAAACTGTATCTCTCAAAAATATTTGGAAGGAATTTTAAAGTTCATTCACCTTTGTTTCTTATTCAAAAAAAGAACTAAGGTCAAACCTTTGAATGAAATATCCAAGCCACTAAATTCCAGTTCAACACCCTGGATTGCATCAGCAAGACTTTCATGGTAATGACTAATTGTTGTTTTTTCTCCTTTGCAAAATGGCAATGAAAAGTAATTGTATGTTTCTTGCCGATTGTGATAAGGACCAACTGTGTTCATCCATAACACCACCTCCTCTTGGTTTTGATACTAAAATAAAAATAAGGTTTACATACATAGAGTAAAGAATAGGTTACATACATACATTCTACAAATTTTCAACACTAAATGACGAAGTGTTACTTTAAAGAGGACAGGATTATACTGAAGGGAGGAATCATGTGTGTCACACCTTCCCAGTTTGTTCTAATATTATGCAATAATCCAGGTCAAATGTACTGTATTTGGAAAAAGTGAATACTTTGATAAGCCATTTTTATGAGAAAGGCAGTGATAAATATTCAAATAGTGTTATAAAGATATTCAAATAGTGTCTATAAAGATATTCAAATAGTATCTTCAAAAATTTTGCTTAGTTACCTCCCAACTATGGCAGGTACGTACAGCAATGGGTATAGATAAAAATTTAACTTAATTTATTTATTTTCAGCCAATATCAACTGGACAACAGCAATCAATAGCATCATTGCTTAAAGCATATTCCACATTATAGATTCCCTGACCCTGAATGGTACAGCATATACCAATTGATTTGAATAAGTTGCAATATTTCCTAATCAATATGAATCAATATTGATTGGCTAATCAATTGTTGATTTTCTTTAATTTCTAAGATGTATTGAAATGGTATAAATTTTATCAACCCTATAACATAGTCAAATAACAGATACCATGAATAAAAAATTATACAGCATTCTGAATATATTTTTGTCTGTTGTTTATAAGTGGAAATTGAATACCCAATCAGTCCATTTAAACATTTTAGTTGTTTCATGATGTTCAATACGTTGTAATCCAAAAATTAGTTGCAGAATTACATTCAACTACATCCACAGAAAACGTACTGTCTGTACTCGTTGCAAACTTTCTATAAACATAGTATTGAAGTAACTTTTCCTATATCTGTCATATTTATTCAAGAAATATAAACTTACCTTATGATCGTGTTCGTCTCCATTTACAATAGCCCAAAATGATAAAATAAATATTTGTAGCAAGAAATACCTCATATTTCTGTAAAATAATAAGTAATGTAGCTATTCACACAATATAACCTGCGAAGATGCAAGTGGATTCCAAAATGAACAAAATGGCCGCCACGTCTTCACTTTCCCACAACAAACCAGCCACGTCACCTGCTAAGCTAGGGGTAAAACCTCGTGTACCTAGGCCTACTCTCGTATGGGTAAACATCTAATTTAGCTTCAAACTTCTTTCTACATATTATCAGAAAAAATCCATCAGACAATTTGTTGCGTAGCGAAATTGCCCAACAGTGTGCCTTATAGTTGGTTTTAGCCTTCATTATGTCAATCGTATGGCATTGGCCAGACCAACGGGCCGAACTTCGCACGGTACACTAATTGCTTCTGTACACCGCCCGAACACCTCTACCGGTGATCCTTACCAGTTGAAAGAAAATGAGAAGAAAGTCCCGTATAAAAGATCTCGGATTTTGAGAAACCTATGTTTTAGTTCTTCCATAATGTTCTTCGCGGCGTCACTAATCACATAACTCTACGTCTACATTGTTATTATGTACATTGTTCACTGAACCTAGCGAACGGCAAACTCCTTCAGGGTTGAGCATTTCCTTTTAATATCACTTGAATGAAAACAGACTTAAGAAAACTGACTCTATTTACAAATTAAATTTACAATATACTCGAACAAGCTCTACTTTACTTCGGAGATTTTTGCTCTTTTTCTTTTCTTCGATTTTATTTTTCTTAACCCCGACGATTCAGCTAAAGCATTAGATCAATATAGAATGTTATTTATACCATAGGAAGTATTACGATTACAAAAAAAGGAGTATAAAAAAACTACAAATCAATATTTTCAATGCATTTAGCCAACTCAAATGATCAAATTAGCAAATTAAATTATCACCCCGTGAGCGCTTACAGTTTGCTAAACAAGTTGAACGGGAAGAATGTGAATTTTAGTTAAGTTTTTATTCTGTAGCCTGGCTAGTGCTATTAAAATATCTACTGGTGTCATGCCAATCCTCCCCCAGTCACCCCTTCTATCACCCCCCCCCAAATTGCATTTTGACTCTTGTGAGAGTGTAAATATTAAAAAATAACCATTTTCTGTGCGCTCAAGAATGCAGGAATTCAATTTCTAATCCTAACATTTTCAAATTTCTTTCCAGACTCCTTTTCTTCATGCCCCCACGAAAGCTTTCTTAAAAAAGGCCCCGACCTAAAAGCGTCTGTCATGCAGGGTGACTACAGTATCTCTCCCGAGCCATTTCATATGATACAGGGAATCACTAACCTGATCCTGAAGATTTTGTCTGTTTTCCTTCTGATTTTTCTTTGGGTTTTTTCCTCAACTCAATCTCTGTTTCACTTTTTGGCGCAGATTGGGTACTTTTCGGTACTCTAGATTTTCCTGTGAATACAGTCATGCATGTTGGTCTGCCACTCAACTCAAACTGACAAAGAAGATTCGGTTTATCATCATACTATATAAAAAAGTTAAAATTCTTGTGAGATTAGAAGATGAGATAAATGAAAACATCTAATGAAATCTGTGTACGAGCAACAAGGAAAAGATGTCTAAGATATTCAGGTAACGAAGTGAAAAATTCTTCGAAATATGACTCAAGTGTTTTTCTGGACCGTGGTCCGTATATTCCGTATCTAGACCAGTATTCCGGACGTCTTATGCAGTTCACCCATATAATAAACCGATTATTGACCTCGCTGTTCCGTCTGAACTGTGAAATATCAGACCGAGGTTTTTTGCATGGATCTCGCTCCTTCGCCGCTCGGTCCATACGAAAAAGCCTCGGTCTGATATTTTACAGTACAGACCTTACGCTCGGTCAATAATCTGTTAAGGCTCGAAAAAAACCTACTTGTCCATTGTGAAAAGACCATGCCTTCAATACGCCATCGGAAGAAACAGAAAATAAAAGGACTTGTATGACATCAGATTTCTCATTATTATACTGAACACTTTCTAAACCTTTGATTCTGACAAAAAATGTTAAAGCAAATCGCTTATCACATAAAATTTAAAAATACTGTACTTCATTTTTGGATCAGCAAACACGCGACGAAGAAATAAAAATATATCAGGTTCGTAACTATATACATAAAAATGCATTCAAACTTACCTAGTTTCATGACCTGCTATAGATTGAATACGTTTTTCTGATTGAATATCATTAATTTCAATTTCCTGCATTTCTCCACCAATAGCTAAGATATTTTCCTAAAATACGAATAGTCACTTTTATACAGGAACCTTGCTATTGGTATATCCCATCTAAACATGACAATATACTGTCAGGAATGCTATTCGAAATACTGTGTTATACGTAGTGACTTACGTCAATAAACGTCATAGCTAAGACAGTTTTGGCGCACTCTATTGTATACACTTGAGCTGCAGTCTAAAAAAAATTAAGAAGGGACTATTAGGGCATATTAGGGTTTTCAGCTCGTTAGATCAGAATGTGTTACATCAGAATGTGTTACATCAGCCATTGCGACTATAGTCACCAACTATAGACTTTAGTCACCAACAATAATCACCACGTTTAACCTCATATATTGCTACTTACAGAAACTTTGTAGACTATAACTTGCAACTTCGTTGCAACAGCATAGGTTTCCCCTGAGGGTGACCACAAAACAATATTTGCAACTAAAGACAATAAACAATACATTAGCAAATATATCCGTTATTAAGCATGACTCTTGTTTACATAATAACATCACCATATTACAATTATCAATACAATTATACTACCAATACAATTAGCCATAAAGGCTGTTTGCGATTTGTGACTATATTTTCCTGAAGTCCACTGCTACTGAACCCATGCAGTATCAGTAGTCGAACAAACCTTGCTTTATATTAGTAACATACGCTGATCTCCCAGTTAGCAGGTTCCACGTTCTAAAAGTAAGAATGTGTTCAAAATGTTTTCATTCAGCAATAAGATCAAATCCTTTTTGTAATATAGTATGTACAATACAAATATTTCTAATCGAATTACAGATCCTAGAAAATATTATCTCTGAAGTAAACGTATTTCTGCAAGGGTATTCACAGTTATAGTAAAATATGTATGATGTTTGATTAAAAGATGAGATTTTTCCTGTTATGCAAAAGCCCATTTTGATGGGACGACCATAAAAAACTTAAGATATTAAATTTATTACGCCCCTTGACAAAATAACGGGAATAGACAAAAACAATTAAACAACAACTGCGTATACGGAATGCCAGAAAACCTTTCGACGCTTCGACTTATAGAACTTGTGAGGAATGTTAGATTAAAACAAACTGACAACCGTTGATTTGTTTACATTTAGACTTCTGCCTTTAGCAAAAGCCATGTCAACGAACCTACTGTAGGCTCTTTCCAGGGTGCCGTCGTGGGCGTAAGGAAGAGATGCGGTGGGTACGAGGTTGGCGGGACAACTAGCTTTGCAGATGAGAAAATATTCTTACCTTAAAGATTTGTCGGTGGACACTGATAACGCTAAACGTCCCGATGGATGAACGGATATTGAGGACACTGCTTCACTGAAATAAAAAATTATAGGCACTTTAAAAAAGTTCACCAAATAAAATTGGACGAATCATGACGAGCTGGATCATTCAAATAGTGCTAATTCTAAAATAGGTGGATCAGAATCAACCAGTAGAATCAGCCTATAGACTTACGACCACTTACCGATGTCCTTTGAGAACTTTTAAACAATCCCACGTTTTGCATTCCCAAACACAAATTGTCCCATCTTCACTACCACTTAACATATGCGAAGTATCACAGAAAGCCAAACACGTGATTGTTCCTGCATACAGATAAGAACTGTATGATTCATCAAAAGTATTTATTATGTGAACAAACCAGTTCAGCTAAAAAGTTGGGAGGAGCAGGCCCAAGTATGCCCCAGGTGACCACCTTGTAAACCATACCGATTATTTATTTTAATAGTATAATGGCATGTCAGAACAGGCAGATTAAGACTGTATTATTGTTTTAAAAATGAGTTTTTTGCTTGGTAAGCTTAAGCTTAATAACGAAGTAATCATTGACTTTGCTAAGCATGAAACATTAGTGAAATTAAAGGTGAAGAAGCAAAAAGAGGAACGAAGCATTGCTGGGAGGGAGACAGGTGAAGACAAGGGGGAGTAAGATATGGGTAAGTAATATAGTTGACGGTGGTGGGAAATGAAGCAAAAGAAGACGTGGAAGAATGGAGTAAGGGAAGGTGACATAGAACAAGACAGGAATGAGGCAAGTGGAGAAACGGTGGAAGTGTTGAGCAAGAGAAGGAACAAAAGCAGAAATAAAGCAGGAGAAGAGGTGGAATAGTGGTGCAAGAGAAGGAAGAGTGAAACGAGAGGCAAAACAAAGCAAAATGAGAAGTGATTAAAAAGTTGGGCAAGTGGAATAAGAGGAGAAGTGGAATAAGAGGAGAAGTGGAATAAGAGGAGAAATGAAACAAGAGGAAATGTGATGGAATAAATGAGCAAGAGTGGGAGAGGAAACAGAATTTGGTTGTTAGATAAAATGTTATGCAAATTGTGCTAAAAAACGCATTTAAACCAAACATAGAAATTTAATTCGCTTTTTGAAATCTGAATAGAGAGATAAAACTAAAAAAGTGAAAAACTACCTAAATTACTAAAAAACTACCTACTAATCCAAACACTTGAATGTTGGAATGTTGCTGGCCTTCGGCTTGACTTGTTTCGTGCACTTTTCTACTAAATTTATCATAATATTATACCTTCTTGCTGAGTTAGACGCCCAATTTCTACACGTTGTTTCAGTTCAAATAATCTATTGAGAAAAGATTTTGTTTTAAAATGCTGATACAATAATACTGTAACTGTAATCAATATTTGGACAAGTACATTCAAGGAGCATAATAATGTTGGTCATCCCTGCAAAATTATGCCTCTTGCTTGCACAAAGCCAAATTATGCTACATGCAGGGCTGTAGCCCAGGGTGCATTCGGTGTATTTCACACGCCGAAAATACGCCAAAGCAATCTTAACATTACGCCAACTTCCCACCCTGGGCCATACTTACGACAAATCGTCGACAATTACCCACTCCAGGACGTTACGCCGATCGCAGACTCGCCAGGACGTTCGACTCGTGAGTCAAAAAATGCTACACGTTTAGAGGACCATTTTTAAGAAGTTAAATGCCTTTGTTGTCGTTAAAATACTTAAATGCATGCAGTTGAAGCCGGTGTGTATGTGGACCTTTTGAATTACAAAGTTTAGTGTGTTTATCCGGTATTTATGCGCCGACAAGTTAAAAAACAGTGTACGCCAATACGCCAAGGAAAGTTGATTTTACGCCAGTACGCCAAGGATACCCTAACTCTACGCCGAAGATATTCCGATTTGTCTACACCGAATGCACCCTGGGCTGTAGCTAGACTGCTTAATTGAGAGGTATATATTTGTGTTTGTATACTGTAGGAACAATAGCATACAAAAGAAATTAGTTGGGCATAAGACAAATATATTAATATACACCCCTCAATTAAGCTTCTAGCTATGGCCCTTGCTAGATAGGGTAATAGCAAATACTAGCAGGAACCAGGAATATATATAAGATTCAACTCTATAAAGATGTATGGTACTCTAAGAACTGTAGGTCCTGGTAGATGATAACCTACCTACCTTACTGTTTCATCTGTAGAACCAGAAGCCAAAATTTTTTCATTACAAGCTACTGTTTTCACACAGCCACCGTGACCATGATCAGAAAATGCAGCCTCGAATTTGTAATTCTATATAAGTAAAGAAAATTCGAAAAGATGACGACACGATCATAATACCATATTACATTTATTTCCTGCTCTTCTAAAGAGCTTCATACTACACGACTATTGCTCTATCGCCTTTTGAAACGTTCTTACTTGCTCATCGTCTTCACAACAAAGTCGTAAAGCACACAGAGATTCATCATACATGCCTACTATAACCTCCATCTTTGAATCATTATTTCACTCTATTATTCCCCCCCCCTGCCTCCAAGAACACGTGAAGTTGGTGAAGCAAAAAGTAGTACCAACAACAACCCTCTGCCGCATGTCACTTCACGCAGTGACAAAACAAGTGAATTTTGACGAATTTCTGATAAAGGAATGAAGTTCTCATATGTCGACGATTGTCACCCACAGTAATCAGTAAAATGATCAAACATTACGACAAAACTGAGTATTTATGCACCATAGCTCCTTCACTCGCAATTTTTCGTAAAAAATGGAATATAATGACATATAATGGAGATTTTCATGGAAAATGCAAGCGTAACTGAAAATTGATGAGCCAGAGGACATTGTAAACGTTTAAAGAGTGAAATTCAAGTTTTAGTATATAATATAAAAGTATGTATTATAAAATTAGAGTGTATATCTAGTATATAAAATAACTAGGTTTAGTCGAGCGCTTCAAGTGCATGCAAGAGTTATAACAAACGAAGAAAGTGATAACTTGATTATACATGTCCATGCATGGCGCTAATGACCTCCATATTCGGATTTTACTTCATCCCACCCGCTTGCCCCCAACCACCCCCTCCTCCCCCTCTGACATGAGATCAGTGGACTTTAGTCATATACATGTACAGGACACGACACCATTATAAACTCCACAACAAAGTATTAAAAAAGATGAAGATAAAGTGCAAACGAACCTCTTCAGCTCATCAACTGACAACGGCTTGTTATTGAGCAACCAGCAGGAATGACTTCCTGGAGCCAGTTGTATGAAAGACTAGTCACTGAGCTAGCTGCTAAGTCAAAAAGTTATTAGGTAGTCACAATGGGAATGAATCGATTTTGTATATTTCATGTATGTAATGTATACATTATATGGCCAATTTAAAGGTTAACTATTCCCCACCAAAAACATATTTTGCCTGTGGTAAAACACTTTCCTCTATTTTATGCTTTAATGAGTACAGGTGGTTTATCGTAGATAAATCACGACCGCCATTGGTCATGCATGCATGCAGTACATGCTTATTGTACATGCACTACGTGCTCGTTTCCAGCAACGCGGCGTTGCATTAATTTTTCTCTTTCGTAAACAGAAGTTGCCATTTGAAACAGCCGTTGCTGTTTCTAGAACGGTACCGTCCGATGCCTTACAGTCGTTGACATGTTTTAAAATCGATGACTTAGGTATTATGCAGCATGGCAACGACCATTTTAATTAAAGACATCGACCGTTCTAGAAAATGGCAACCACTGTTTCAAATGGCAATGTCAGTTTACGAAAGGGAAAATTGCCGCAGCGTTGCCCTGGCCCCTGGGGACAAGGGTACTAGGGCAAGTGTCTGATTATTATAACTAGCCTGTGTTCGGTGTTCCAGACTACTGCACTTGCTATGAGAGACAGAGAACCTCATGTAGAAAATTGGAACTTTAGTCGAACTGTGTAAACCGTTTATTGGAATCAATTGCAGTTATAATAAAAAAACCATGTGATAGGCAGAAAAATATTTGTCGTCTTTTCGAAGAGATTTTTCAAATAAATTTATAATTTGTTAATATCCATGTCAGTGGGTGTCGGTAACGAAGTTTAATATTGCATACAGAATTGCTTTTGAAGTGCTAAAAGTAATTGATAAATTATTAATAAAGAGAGTATAGGAAACAATGCAAAGATATCAACTGGCTTAACCGCTTAAGCATTTTTGTGTTATTGATTCCATGGAGTTATCGCTAACACACTGATATGGGATTACAGGAGAAAACTGTTTGAATTCGAAATGAATTATCACTTTTTTGCTGTTAATAACGGCGGCATTAAGAGACGCAATATTGCCAAAAACAAATTGAAAAAATTAAAGAACAGCATCGTCATCGAGTTTCACGCGTATCACGTTAAAAGAGAAGAATCTTTAAGCCTGGTTTCAATTTAGTCGCGATCAAGTCATTTTCACCGATGAGAAATAGTACGGATGTAAATTTGTCTTTATTTCTGTATTCAAATCTATCATTGTTGACTGCATCATTGCACATCATAGAAATAATAGTAGACATTATTTCTATGCTGCACAGACGTGCATGCGGCAATACCTTGACATGTTCACGGCAATCGCCGCGACCGAAACGGAAAACCAGGCATTACACGTATCCGCTGCATGTTATAAGAAAACTAGCGAACTGGATGTTTTAAATCGTATTCAGTTGTTATTCACTACAAATGCCCTCTATATACAGCTAAATTTTAATTTGTGATTTACTGATATAGCAAATCACGTTACAACAGCTATACATCAGCTTATTGTGTATTCTAAACACTTCATGGCAGACAACATGTATTTATGCATGCATGTCATTTTGTAAATAGATCATTTTCTGGCATGGATTGCTTTTGCGCTATTGGTGAATTATTAATGCCTCACATGAAAGTAAGATACGATCATTCACTCTATATATCAATATCTTCGTGATAGTGGCATCATGATCAGCGTGTAATTAACTTTGTTAATACTTGGAATCACTGTTCACATTGAGTGAAATAATAAAAGTTGACAAAGGAGCAATGGTCATTCATTTTTCTTCCTTACTTAATGGGAAGGAAGTAATAAATGATTGAATCTTTATTTTATTCATTTTGCTTGATTCAAAAACGTCCAAATTACACGGTGCATTTTGAAATCAGCCGTTATACTCTTATAAAAGCAATCTGTTTTAGCGAGAATAGATTTTTACTTGGAGTTTTCAATCAAAACTAAATTCAGTTTATCTAATATAAGTTAATGACGCTGCATACAGATAAATTGGTCGGTTCATGTAAATCTCATGCATTTATATTACAATGATTAATGAGATATACAGTGACAGTGTATAATATGAGCAATCTCATAAACAGCGGGATATTTACTGGAATGAGGGAAATAATATGAATGTATATACCGCTATAAAACGACTTTGTGATATTTCAACAGATGTGGCTTAAGCAAAAAATTACACAGACACAGTGAAATGCGCCAGGCTGAATTTAATAGAATAGTTTAACATTTGTTCAGCTAATACAATATTTCAGTTTCTCTTAAGGGTCCATGTAAATAATGAATTTCATTTTGACAAGCTCATCATAAGAATATATAAGCGGGAAAAAGAAGCTATACGCGTGTCGTAGCCGAATCTCGACAATTGTAATCTTAATTATGTATATATTCTAACCGTAGCTAAGTAAAAAAGCGAAAAAGTTACACTCGCTTGGCTGTAATTCACCCTGGTAAGCTTTATGGCGAAGCTTTATGTAGAGGTAATATAATAAAACACAAATATCATGCAGATAAAAAGTAAACCGCTTTTCAGTATAGAGCAATTAAATTTGGGATGTAATTTGCCTAAACCGAAATGTAATCAAAGGCAGGAACGCCATGCAGGCCTCTATTTTTAATGAACTTTAATTATTTTTCGCGCTTTCAAGCGACATTTACTATTTTGCTTTGCAAAGTATGGGAAAAATAATATATGTTCATCGCGATATACAGCACAACCGCGGATATATGTTTGAGAAATATATATACGATAAATTCGAGTTTGAACAGATTGCAATTTTTTCAGCAAATATTTTAAACAAGTTTTGTTAACACAACTGCCATGAAATGAATATATCTCGTATGCTTAATTAAATTCTTGTATCAGTTTGACTCAACAACCGCTAAACTCTGCCGTAGTGACATATCAATATAGGACCGCTAATCCAGTAAATATTGCTTCAATTGCCAATACTAAAAAAGATGCATTCAGATGTAATTCCTATATGGAAATCATATGCAGTAAAGAGTTTACCAGGAAATCATTATTCTTATTTCCGTGAGCAATGTGAAGAAAGCTGTGCGGTTTTTCTGTTAACAGAATATGTGAATGATGAAATAATTGTTTTTGTGCTTGTAATTATTGGATAGTTGTGCTCTTTTGTCACATTGATTGCTTGTAAAGCCTCGTAACTTTAAATATAGACTTTATAGGACCTTAATTCTTGTTCCAAGCCGACATTTTGCCCAAAACCTCATAAATGGTAGTTAATATTTAAGTATACTGACTGATTTTTTTTAGTATAAGTCTGTAGATTAAGGTGGTTTTTTAAAACTATAAGACGTTTTATGCAATGCATTCATAACTCAGCTCGATATTCCATATTGAAAAATAAGACACTAGCGTCTACCTTTAGTTTCCAATACATCACTTGTCGATAAGGCTCGGTTGGATAAAGAATATAGGCTAGCATAGAAAATCAGACAAACTCCCTGAACATCAATTTTTATCTTTCTTTATAGTTCAGACTTCACATCATGCTGGGCAAAACACTATTTTTAATATTAGTTTATTCAAATTTCATATATCTTTATATATCAAGTAATTGCATTAATGATGATTGCTCGGCGTCAAATGAGAAAAAAAAGTGACTAAAGCACTCAAGAAAGTCAGCTGTCATGTCGCATGTTAAGGCATAAAAAGCGCACGTATACATGTAGCAAGTGAATGAAAAGCACGGATTGTATGGCACAAGGTAGAAAAATAGTGTTGGATGAAAAAGCATGCATGTTTAGCTGTGCTAAAGCAGTTAAAGCCAAAAGTTAAACAAAGCAAAACAATACAATAAAAACGGCAGCTTCTTAATGAATTCGTTTCATTATGTCTTAATTAAGCCGATTTTCATTTAAGTCTCGTCAACACACAGTGTGATGAAGTTTATTTATCACCCCAGTACCCCACGGTTTTCTGAAGAAAAACAGCCAGGTCGTGTTCGTTTTTAATAAAAAAGTTTTAATTTTAACATCAGCGTCGAACAGACGAAACGAAATGGTTTCAAAGAGCCAAGATTTATTGCAATTATTATTCGTATCTGATATAAGGTTGTATGATAAAGTTTGTTAAATCTACGTATAACGCACACTATCATTTTCATCAGTTTCGCCAAGGGCATCATCTCATCTACACTAAAGCCATATCAATTGAAAAGCCAATGAAAACGGAACGATAGAAGTATTCTCAGTCATGTATGACTCATTTTGCTTACTTCCCCATTACAAAATATCCAGATTTACTCCTTTTAAATCAAATGTGTTTCCCAACTAATATATGTTAATAGAACATTTTGATAGTCAAATATTATATGCGAATTTCTGTTAAGAGGACTACTTGAAAACGTTACACTTTGGAAAATTGATCATAACATTGGGTTTTCACTTCATAAATTTGAGCTACCAAACTTTGATATTCCCTGAAATATTACTATTTTAGTTCCTAATGAGAACAGCAGAATGAAAAACATAGCCGGTTAAATGTACAACTTCCAAAGCGTCTTCATGTCACATTCGTCATTATAAACAATTTTGATCTTGTCTGTATGCTTAAACAGGTATAATATGAGATGTTTGGCCAGCGATTTAACAGCGTCGTTGCGCTTTACCTAGACTTCCATTGTTCTTGCCGACTCTAAACTACTAGGACACGTTGGATGTAAGGCTGCAGTAGCTTATTGAATGTTAAGTTTACCTACAGTACACAGAATTAATCAAAATCCTTTATATATGTAAACGTTTGTTTTAAGCCTTTCACAAGACCGAATCATTTTCATATTTACTGATTTCAATGCATGGAAAAAATATGTTCCATTGGGGCATTGTGTAATAGGGGAACAAAATCCTTTAATAGAGAATGTGTTAGGGGTGAGCATATGATTTAAGTCGTGGTGAAAAAGTCAATCAACTTAGAGAAAAATGATTACTGAAGATTATTATAAGCGACATAACCCTTATTAAAGTCGTTGAATTTAATTACAAAGTGCGCAAGCGCCTTCAAATCTAAATGAGAAATTTGATATGAGGGCAATGGAGAGGGGCGTTTTTGCATATTCACTCGATCTAATTAGATTAGAACTTCTAATCGTACGCAATGTTAAAAGAGAAAAATCATTTAAAAGCCATCTGCCGTCTGCTTTCCTATTGTTTTGGTTAAAGCAACAGCTGTTAAAATGTTGTTAAAATCCCATGCGAAAGCCAGTACAAAGGGCGTATCTGTTAGGAGTACAAACGGCCTGCCAACGAACGTCCCTTCAACGTCCAATTGAGTTGAAAGGAAATCGTTTTAATAACGACGTTTGTGAACATCTGTGTGATACTCGGCAAATTTAATATTGTTTTGCTAAATGGATAAATTGATATAAGCTCTGAGCAGTCGGAAGGATTAAATCAAACCTGCTCAGCTCTGCTCATTGAAATAGCTTAAGACTGAAAAAGCTTTAGTTATTCATCAAGACTACGAGAGACATTGAAGGTAAGACAGGGCAATAAATTATATTGCATCAACATTCACACTAATTCATGTGAAAATAAACGCTTGATAAAGTTGATAAACCGTTTTATATTTTGTTTAACATGAAGATGTATCTTGTTTTTAAGTACTTACCAAGAGCCAGATTTTGAGAAGAGCTGAGAATATGGAGAATTGGTCAACGAGTCAAGGTATGTTTTTATTGCCTGTCATTTTTCTCATTCATTTCGTAGTTCTATAGCGAGCATGAAATTTGTTCTCAGCTTGACCAACTGCATGCGTGTCAACTTCTTAGTACAATGAAGAAAATTTGATTTCTTCGCCATCTAATCACGGCTATGTAAGGATAACCGAGCGACCAGTAACGACAATATCAGCTGGACCTATCATCATTCCTTTTTGTGATCTCCTTTCGGTCTTGCATGAAATGGATGAACTATTTGACTACACTTATTTCAAATCGATAGTGAGCGTGTAGGCTATGCTAAAGACCTCGCTTTTTCAATGACTGTACGTTCGAAAAATATTACCTACCGCCATTTTTCTATTGTTCTTCCAACATCAATATGCTCTCCACTATTTCTAACGAGACACTAAAGTGACTTCTTCATGTGTAATTTTAGACATATTTAAACATTTAAATATTTAAGGAGTAAGATAACTACAAGCTTCATAACTCGCTTCATGTGATCTTAATTTCGAATTTGATTGATGCAGACAGCCTTCAGTGGGTTCAACTGGAAATTATAATGCAAGTTATACGATAGGTTGCAAATTCTGTTTCAAGAAATCGACTAAGGAAAGCCATTATTAAAAATATCATTCTACCCGCTGTTCCACTTTTCAGTATAAATTCAAGTACAAGTTGCTTGACTTTCGACTAAAGAAATAAAATAATGGCGAGGACTATCACTCGTCTCTTGTTCAAGTTAAAATTTTAAGTAATTTTGCTTCTCCTACATTTTTTATAATGTTTTTCATAGACTAGGAACTACGTATTTTTGTGCTAGCATGACTATAAGAAGACCTTTGATATGGTTTTAGGATATATTGAACATGCACATACTTTTAAATATGTATACAGGCTGCATTGTGCATCCTCCATCAATGCACATTGTCATTGATGAAGAGGCTTCACGTAAAAAGCGAAAAACACCTCTCTTCAGGTTTTTTTAGAATTCTAGCTAACCAGTTTGACATGTAACGTTGCAAGTGCTGAGTTTTACAAAATTGCATTCTTCCTCCTTTAATGACCAACCGCTAATGATTCGGGCTTCTGTTCTCAGCAAAAGTTACTCTTAAATGTTATTGGGTAAAACGTGATGGATATCCTGTGTCTTAAATGCTCAACCCTCAAAGGTTGCTGCTTGTTCTTATAAATAAAGACTGTATCTTGAGAAAGGATGGAAGGCTGCTTAATTTCTTGAGCATATTATACTACAGTGTTTTACTGCAGTGTTGTCTAACAAATAAAGTGTCACGTCTTTTTAACGCAAACAATGCATCAGACACGTGGTGAAAATTGGTCTTAGCTAGTCATTGTAATCAGCTTAAGGGAAGGAGTTTAGTGCTATACTGCACAGCCATGCAATTTCCCAAGCATTGTTTTCTTAAGTTTATCCATGGCATGTATGGCGTTGCCAACATCAAGCTGAACGTATACATGCACCAGTAAGAGAAATCTGCTGTCATTGATGGTGAATTTATATTGTAGATGTAGATTCTAGGACATGTACCTCTTGCTTTTCTTTATATAAAACAATAGATAGTGATTTTAAATATTATCCATAACACATGCATGCTATCGAGGAATAGCTACTAAAAACAGAGCTACGCCATCGCATAACGTCGTTGTGTCATTGCTAATGCTGACCGGTGTATAATCCTGATCATGAAACTTTGTTCGTGTTTGCCACTTTTTTCTTATATTGAAGAATAAAAGGTGATAAAGGAAAACATGGCATATAAAAGAGCCAGTGCAGTGCACCGAGCTTAACTGGTCAAAAACGATGACACATGCATAATTACGTATAATAAACGTGTAGCCGTATATAGTTTATAGGGTATATTATATCATTAATTCGACATTGAATTGACTATAGCCCACTGAAATCTTCTAATATCAAGTATACATTAATGCCAAATGCATAACCCGCAATACGCTTATTTCAAAAATGTAAACAGACGTCGGTTGACCTGAATTTCTACCACTGTATAGTCTATATGACTTAATCGACATCTCTTTGTCTGAGTGAAGTGCGATTATTTTTATAGAAACGTTTATCACTTTCTTTCTTGAGAGGAAGTTGATTAAATATCGCAGATCGTTCATGCGTAGATGGGGACGTTTGAACTTGGTAAATAATAAGAATCAAGACCCATTTTTAACTGATGTTCTTCGCTGTGTTGTTCCTTTTTAATACTTAAGGAAGCTTTCGGAGAAGAGAGAAATGAAACCGTAGCGTTAATGTATGCATCACATGTTACTAACTTTATAGTGCTGTAAGCACTAAACTATTTATAACCTATAGTATTTCAATACGACGTTCGGCGTATACAATTAAGAATGAAATATATAATATCTCGAATGTATTCTAAAAAAATCAGACTGGACACGTGGTGGGTATTAAAAATATGCATGCCTATTTTAAGCGTTCTAGAATAACAAATTGCTCAACCGTCATCTTTATACTCAATTCATTTGACATAATTCAATTTGACAGTACAGGAATGGACATCAGGTGCTTATCCGGTAAACGACCTCAGGTGGCTATTGCCTCCACTCTACTAAGAGTAAAAAACGAATAAAAGTTATTGAAAGATATAATCTCTTTCTGCCTTAAGGCTGAAAAATATTGTTTTAAATGAATATCGGCTATATATATATAAAATGTATTCAGCCAATTATGTAAAGTGCAGTGAGAAACGTTTTCAATGAATATATTTACCTTCAACAATCACTGGTCTTTCTGAACAAAGTCTTAAAAAACAAATAGCCTATTTACAGAATTTAGTTTGGTTTTAAGGTTTTTAGTATTTAAATATATATAGATGGATCAATCGTCAACCTAATTGTGATGCATAACTTGAATGAAAAGTCATCCAACCGAAATGCCTCCTGCATGCATAACCTCAGATGTACATGCATGATTGGTCAAGTTAACAAATTCTGATGCTTATTTACCGTGCTGAAAACTCGATTTATCACATAAATGGATATCAGTTTTATTGATGCCAGGCATAGCCACCTGCAATTGCATAGCTACTCAACAAAAAAGTTTAATATTTGAACTTATTCAATAAAAATATTCACTAACATTCAAAGAGCGCAATATATATTCCTTTACTTCACCATTAGTGGTTATATAATGCAAAGTAATTGGTCTCAGTTTTGTTAGGAAATCGATACAGTCCATTTACTGTCGCTTAAGTCGGCTTCTTGCCTGTCTAAACACAACACGAACATGCCATTGGCAACGTTTAAACATGACATTCGTGAAATTAATGTAAAAGTAGGGGGCACCTATGTCCTTAAACCATCACTAGATTTTAAACCATTTTCTCCCTATTTATCACTGATTTATCAAGATAAAATAAAGTCGATGTAATAATATTGGTGATGACCAATCAATTTTGGCAATGTCCAGCTCGAACTTATGCGCATTTTATGTAAATTTCAATAAAATATTTTGCAGTTTACCATGGAGCTCCTGGGTTCAATGCAATTGTTGGAAACGTAAGCAATGGTCGACAACTGCCTGATTACATACGCCACAGGATTATTCAACTAGCAAACTGTGGGGTGCCATCGTGCGAAATTTCAAGCAGACTCATGGTATCTCATAGCACAATAAGTAAAATCCTTGGCCGCTTTTACGACTCAGGCACCGTTCGCCCAGGTTCTATCGGAGGAAGTAAACCTAAAGTTGCTACACCAGCTGTGGTCAGCAAAATTGTTCAGTATAAACAACAAAATCCAACAATCTTCGCTTGGGAAATACGTGATCGACTGGTAGAGGAATCAGTATGTGACAGAGACAATGTTCCAAGTGTTAGCTCCATAAACAGAATACTTCGCAATAAAGCTGCCGAGCGTGCTGCGCAGTACGCCATGTTGGAACGAGAAAGACAACATCTTACAGGACTCTACATGCAACATTGGAGTCCAATACAAGACGTTGCCATCGCGTCATTTCCGTATCCAGTTTATCCAAACACTCGAGTTATTTCTGAATTACCAACACACACTCCAATACCAAAAGAAGAAACACACAGTCAGGATAGACCAAGATCAAACGAGACCGAACAGGACATTAAAAATTCACGGGAAGAACTGGATTGGCAACCTCGAACACCATCTTCGCCTGCAGACAGTACAGAACACATCATAAATGATGGTAAGTACCGTAAGTCAACAGTGCTTGTCGAGAAAGCGTTGAACAGGAATCGATTAGTGTCGTAATTTTTTGCACACTACGTAAGGCTGGAACGCCAAAACAAATACCTTGCCTTTTGGATATGTTGGGTTAAAAATTTCTACTTGTACGACCTGGCTTCAAACAAATTTACAATATCTGTTTTGATAAAGCTATACCCATAGTGCGCTGCCTTGCTGAAACTTTCCGGTAAAAGCCAGTCCTCCCCTGAAACAAATAATCGCAAAACTGCGCCAATCTCTTCTGCAAATGACTATTTCGCTTCGACTATCTGGATTTATAAATACTACAAAGGTAAATGAACTTTTGTTTCTTTTTAGATGAAAACAACGTCTCGTCCTCAGAGACGATAGACGATACTTCTAAATCAGAGTCGACTACCTCAGACATGCACGTTGATCAGAAGAGAAAACTTCGTCGCAACAGAACTACATTCACACAGGATCAACTTCAGATTTTGGAAAAAGAGTTTGAAACATCTCACTATCCAGATGTAGCGACTCGTGAAGAGCTAGCAAACAAAATAGACATGTCTGAAGCGAGAGTACAGGTACACAATTGACCAATGGATTATATAGAAAAATTAGTTCCCCTCATACTAGAATTTTTTACTGATAAAATCAGCATCCACTTTTTTTACTGATAAAATTTTCCACCATAAACCCGAGACGTACACAGCTGAAAAATAATTCATCACAAATTCAATAATTTTTATGTGTCTTTTCAAGGTTTGGTTCTCTAACAGAAGAGCAAAATGGCGACGGAATAAAAACATGTTGAATTTACAAGCAATGCGTCAATCTTCCGTGTTTGCTGGTTACTGTCATTTATGCCATGATTATGAGCTACCAAATAGACCATGCTCTAGCGTGCACGTACGAGGTCTTGAACAGCAGTTACCGTACACAACATCTCGATTTGAACCATACAGTAGATTAGATGGACATTATAGACCACTGCCTGCATTACAAAATAAAACCCCGTCTTCTCCGGAGTGCTCAAGAAATCACTCACGGTAATTTACCAGTCAATTGGATCGTAACGTTTGTATAAAATATAATCGTGTATTTATTGCTAATTTCTACTTGTATATAGTTTGGTAGTGCTCTAAGACTAAATATTTATTAAATCATGAGAAACTTTCATTTAGTACGTTTGAATGTTTAATTCTATGTTATCTGGCGTATGTTCCTCAAGCGTATCCTGATGTAAAGGTAAAGTTGTGATGTTGTGCTTATATATGCATTCAGGCAAGATGCTGAAAAGACGCGAAGAGGGGTGGGGGTGGGGGTGGGGGTGGAAGTGTCCTTTCATTGAAAAAGCATTCTTTGCCCTGTTAGTATAAAATGCAAGAGAGGAAGCTGCTCCTAGCTGCCCCTAGTTCCGGCGTCCCTGCATGCATGCACTTAGGTGCATATATATACTTGTGCAATGCTACTGTGGCAGAACCAACCTCCAGCCAAATTCATCGTAGTGGAAATCAAATTGGTTTGACGTTTTTTAGCTGAGATATGAAAGACAGTTAAATCTCGAGTGGAGTCAAGGAGCAGGAGAAATGCATGAACTTGTCTTGAGCGAAGTACGCCTTCATCAGTCTCTCTTTCACTCAAAAATCACAAAAAACTGGTATACAGCATGCGTTTTCTTTAGCCTATTTTCTTCTGCTTCCATTCTGCTTTAATCTCGTGTCATCTTTGCTAAACTATGGGGTTAAAAAGGTGGTTCTTGATTACACATCATTTGCCAACAATGTCAATTTTTGCACTGAATTAATTCAGTGTTAGACGGGCCATAAGATAGCCCGCTGAACACAGACCTATAGGCCATAGATGAAACTTGGCAATTCCATCACTGAGTGTTCAGATTGCCTGTTTTCAGTCCACATCTTGAGCTGTTTATTACCTAGAGATTAGACCTGTAAATATGCAACTAAACTTTTTTTAAAGTTTCCGAAAAAAGTTTAGTTGCATATTTACACGTCTTATCTCTAGGTTCTAAACAGCACAAGATGTGGAAAAAATTTCTTTGTTGAGGACGATTTATCCAATCATTGGTAAACCGTTTCAAGGCAGACCTATAATGAGCTTCTTATATTTGAGGGGTTGTATGGATTGTTTAGTTATCTAAAAAGAATAGATTCTAGAGTTTTAGACATACTGACAAATATTACCCGATATGCAGCGTACAGTACTGAACTTTCACCTTATTTTTACTAACCAATTTCTATGCATAAGTTATCAATTAGTACAAATATATAAATACATGAGTATATTAACATATAAAACTTTATTCATATTCCCGTACCATCCCCGAAAGAAATTTGTGGATAATACGTTCCTGGAGAGGCCGTACAATATGGTTGTCTTGCTGAGGTACAGTCATTGCATAATAAATGTCCATTTGATGGGGCACCGGAAGGACACGACACTGGCTGAACATGAGTGTTAAAATCTGGTGCGGCTCCACTGCTTATTGGTAGCACTGGATAATAGAACGGGAGGTGCATTGACTGTGGGTAGACAGTGTGTATGTTTCTGTAAGTTGCAAATGAAGGATGATTGGTTGGAAGAGGAAGGAATGAATGGTTGTCAGGACTAGTTGGGTTACTACCACTTGCTGTCTCGGGTGTTAGTTCACCATTTCTTTCCATTTTTCTGTACTTTGCTCTTCTATTCTTAAACCAAACCTTTAAAAAGAGAAAACCGAAAGCATATATCTGTATTATTACATATACAAGCTAAGGTCTTCTCCTGTGGAATATCTAGGTCGTTTAAAGAAGCATTACAGGACGTCATAATATTATCCCTACTCTTTTTTAAGACGGGAGCCTTAATTCTATGCAGATAAGTTACATATGCCTTTATATATAAACATAGAATCGCATTACAAACCTGTATTCTAGATTCTGGTAAATTAGTGAATGCAGCCAGTTGTTCTCTCATTAAAACATCAGGATAGTGTGTTTTGGAGAAAGCACTTTCTAAAGCTGCCAACTGATGATGAGTAAATGCTGTTCTTGTTCTTCTATGTTTTCGTTCACCGTTACCATAACGAGCCTCCAAGATGATGTCTGTAGATATGAACGATAGAATATAATTCTTGCGACATCGTAAACATGCATTGATCGCACATTACTGATCGATGTTTAGCATGTCGGAATTTTAAGCATTTTCGTATGGAGTTGATTTTTTCGCCCGCTGCATGAGCTGTGAATAGAATAAATGGCTAAGATGCATGACAACTAAGATTCATGCACAAGACCGGGTAAAAACCATTTTTGGTTTTAAATTGACAAAATATTTCTTTAAATTATGTTAAAGTTGCCATGCATGCTTACCATTGTAGTAAACGAATCATAAAATACAATAAACGTATATGCATGTGTAAAAATGTATCTAACCCATGCACTGACTGGCAGCCTGTGCCATCGAATGGCTAGCAGACAACCAGCATAGTGCCAGTAACTTTTTTTCATAGGTGAAAAGGTGAAACACAAAAATATGGGTTCGCCAGATAAACGAGATTTTCCAAAATAATAAATTTAATTTAGATTCAAATTCAATCCTTCATTCATGTGTAATTGTGATTGTGATTACTTGACGTTTGAGGGTTTCTATTAAATGTTAAAATTTCTCTCTTATAATGACTGTCTGACGTTTGAACCGGAAGTCTAAAATGCTTGAGGCCCTATTTGCATGTGCAATTATTTGTTGCATTAGTGCATAAACTGCGTTGTCTTGTCTGGAGGAATTTTTTCCTAATTGATCAATCACAATGGATCGTGGACTGAAATTGTACTATACGAACTAGCACGCGATAAAACGAGATTACGAAGTAACTTGACATTTACACGCATTCCATTACGTGCAAACTGATAAAGAATGGTATTTGTCGCATAACTTCCAGTTTCTTATATTCCTTCATGGATGCAAGAAAACTAGAAACAACTAATCAATATTCTTCGCGTTGACGAGAGACTCAATTGTGACAAAGAAAAGCTAATCGATCGACGCGTTTTAAGATCTTCTTATCTCGAGTCACAAGCTGTACTGCGCAAAACAATAAATCAAGCGCTGGAATCCCAGCTTGTCAGCAAGACTTAACTTGAAAAGTATATTTCCGAATACGATCAAACAATTACTTGCATAGCATTGTGTAACACTTTACTTATATACTCACTGTTTCGTTTTCCGACAATTATGTCCTCAATTAGAACAATGTTATGACAGAGATTACAAAAAAATTTAAGCCGTTATAGTATATGAACGTCTTCTAGGGTCAACTTCTAAAGTTAAGCTTATCGGGATTTACAATTCTCTTAAGAACAGAAATATTCAAAGTTATGGGGCGTATGCATGAAAAACATCTTGTTGTCTGCGCGCACATATAATACCATTGCAACTCTAAAAGTTTATTTCTCCCAATCAAGCATTGAGGCAAAACGCTTTGACGGTTGACTGCATGACGTTGATTTCTCTTTAACCAATGGCTTTTCGCTTTTACGAACTGAATTGCAATCATTATCAAGTTTAACATTTATAAATGCTTTACGGTGAAAGAATTTAACGTATGCTTTACCGTCGCCGGTTTATCAGGCAGGAAGAAGGAAGGATATATGAGAAAGCAATATCTGTTGGCCATGTGCTTCATCCATGAAGTCCCATCATTTGTTCTCTACGTTGTTACATGATCCCTGGATTTTTGATTATATTTATTCAACAGCCTAGCTAAGAGCATATCATTTGCGTTAAATGCCATATCAATACTTTCGTTCTTTTGTGAAGTTACTTTTAAGGATTAACTTAATTTATTGGTTTCAACATCATTTTAATTTAGTTTTTACACCACGACCACGAAATGTACATATAGCGCTTTGAATCCCACCTTAAAGTAATGAATTTCAATCATACGAAACTGGGGGAGAAATATGATTTATTTACGCTTGTTCTCTTGCAGTCCCGCGCAATATATATACGTAAAGGACGCCAGACGGTTTTATCGATTAACTATCGTGGAAGCCCCATGAAAGGTTGAGAATGGATTCAATTAAGCAATTTAACAGATAAAGTTTTTGATCTATTTTTCACTCAATTACTGAATTAGAGAAAGACCTTTTTAATTAAATATGCGTTTTCGTGTTTCATGGTAATTAAAGTTTCCATTTTGAGAAGGTTTGTGCAGGATTTGTGCTAAGAGAAAAAAAACACAAAACCCGAAAAAAATAGCCAATCTTTCTTCCGAATGACGACCATGCAAAGATGCTTTCAGTTTTCAAAATATATCTTCAAAATCTTTTTTGTGATAGCATTAGACCCATGCAAATGTAGATCGAATATAATTTGTAAAATCTTATAAATGTTGATTATAAGCCATCGAAGAAGGCCAGAAAAAACACTGACTCGGATGGAATATCAACAACAAATCAAGGTTAAAAGATTTTAATTTAAAAAGAGGTCTTTCATGCAGTGTTATTCCACGGTTACGTCAGTTACCTGCCAATTTTTCAGCAAGAGTAAGAGCTTCTGTGGTCCTGGAACTCGACGGCAGATCCTCTGAGTTCTCTGTTGTTGGTGGTTTTAATATGTTCTCGATAGAGAATGGCGATCCCTCCATATTGATCCTCTCTTCTACACGATCTCGACTTCCCGCGTCCTAGGCATATATAAAAAACAAATCCAGCAACATATAATACACATAGGTTCTTTTATTTCCTTACGCCGTTGTATTTGTAACCTCACGGAAGGAGTTGGATTTGTTGACAGGTTAAGCGACTTTTATGTTGTTCCAGTACCACTGGAGAAGACTATATTTATAACAGACAGTTTCTAACGATATTATTGATATTTTTCTATACAAAATGGCATGTAATATGAAGCCTAATGAATAGTAATAGGCTACTTTATATTATCATCCATTAACTGGCGTATACTTGATTGTATATAGTTACCTTCGTACGCAGATATCGATTTGATAAATTATAAAAGAGATTGCTGAGTATCTATGCACAGTATTTTTAGATTTCTCTTGATGTAAGAAGGAATTTTGAGTGTCGAAACATGAGATGGTGCCCACTAAAACTCTGTTGTATTAAATAGGGATAAAGTCCGTCACAATTAAGCCGATTTGATATATGTCCCGAAAGCCAAAAGTGGATGAAGAGATGTGGATTGCTAGCTTTTACCTATTGTTTATAGCTAACAATAGCTGTACCTAGCTTTTCAACGCAGGCTTAAACATTGGTTGCATGTTCACATGTACTATATCAGTAGCGTTCCATTAACAAAGGATATTCCAAGGAATCCGCTTAAATGTTATAATTACAACCTAATGTGTATTATCCGGCGACGGGCGTGTTGATCGCATTAGGAGAAAATTAATCGAAAAGGAAAAGAGTTTACTAGTAAACTACTTTGACTTAGGATCACCTATACCGTCTTGCCTTACACATCCGCTTAACATCTGCTTACAAATATGAACATATCGCTGTATATATTCCATTCAACGGCTTCAGTCAAAATGAACCTCATATTATACGAAATACTCACGACAAACTATTCTTCCAATCACCGAGTTGCCCATAAAGTTACTTTTGTCAAGTTATTTATTTCAATTAATGGCGCGAGCCGATTTACAACTCTACAGACTTGCGTAGCGCGGATCAATGTCTGTCTTGAGCAGTATCTACATCTGGGGTGAATCAAACGCTATTGAGATTACCACTTTATCTATCAGAAACCCAAAGTGGAATATGAAAAAGTAAAACCAGTAAACATACTCACGAAATGGTTGTGATTAATTAAATATTCACTTTACCTGTATGAACACGAAATTATTGCATGACCTTGTGTTCTTAGAAACTTCGCGTAATTGCGTGTTGGTATGGAATGCGGCAGCAAACCTCACGATGCTTGAAAAAGGTGCGAGATGGAACGCTAGCTTTAAATGCGTTTTGAAGGATTTTCAAATCCAACTGTGGCAGTGTCGTTGACACCGTGGAAGCTATGATTGATGGGATTTTAAACGACAAACAATATCCTGCGTGTTATCACTTGATGTTACTCATGCATCAAGATAAGAGACTCGCACAGAAGATCTTATGATCAGCACTAACATTGTACTATTGACGCGTTGTTTGGAAAAGAATAACATGACTCTAGGACTGATATGATCTTGAATATTTGACCTCACATTTTCTCATAAGTTAAAGCAAAAAATTGCCTGTTTTTAAAGGGCTTTCAAGAAACACGATTGCGTTAGCACATGCTTGCATTTAAGCGTAACTATCAACACTTCGCTTCTTTGAAATTAATTAAACTCTGCTGTGAAAACACCGGCTTAAGATATTGGTCAAACACATGCGGGTGGTAATGAATTGTATTTCTTCACTATGAACCAGGTTTATTACTAGTTCATCCAAATGAGACTTTGGGAGATGCCGCTACTACGAACTGTCACTCATTCTGTCTGACTCGCTGCGAAACGTATTATATGACCAATGAACGTGCGTGATATGTTTGTTGACTTTCCTGTACATTAATCCGGAGAAATACAAATCAATACAGTCGTTGAAAAGAAGCTTATAATACACAACATATATATGTGGCACAAACTATCTATAATAAAATGAAACCGTTTTTTACACCATCCAGCAGCATGGCATGAAAAACGGGTCATTTACGTAGAAAGATAAGAAAATTACAACAGGTTGTTAACATATGAAACATCAGTATAGCTATATTACTATTTCGTATTGACTAAAAATACAGCAAAACAAACCTTAATGAATGGGTAAATTATTGAGCCTCGTGTGACTGGTGAAACAATAAGCGTGCCAATACGATTACGACACATATACTGAAATTCGTCCCGTGTGGTAGATGCAGGTCAAGTGTTATACATGCACTAATATAGCGGGGGACTCAAACTAGATTCATTTGTAGAATTTAAAGTCTTACTCAGACAAAGACTAAAAAAATATACGAGTTTTAATTAATCTTCTATAAAACACTTTCGCATTCTTGAGACATATATATACTTTTATGATGAGAAAAAGGCATAAAAAAAAATTCATTCTTGTATATGCATATAGCTATATGAACGAGAATAGCCGTCCCTCCTATAGGATCCTATCACTGAGACTAAAGATCAAAGATATATTCTCCATATTGGCATGCATATATGCACTGTAACACTGATGTTTCAGTATATATATATATATATCCACGTGAGAGGACCTATCTAGTCCTCAAATTACAGTTATATTGCGTGTATTACTATCATCATAGAACATACATGTTATGGAAACATATATGAAATATATTGAGGAATAACATACTAGTAGCTACTCTAGATCTCTTGCGTGTCACGAGTTGCATGGAGATTTTAGCTCTCTTTATACATGTTTGCTAATACCTTCATTGGGTTGCAATCATGACTCACAAATGTCGCAACTATAAGGTCCAGGATACACAACGCTTAAATATGAGCAATAGACTTATAATACGAATTCTTTTATAATTTAGCTGGCTTATACTGTCTCGTAAAAATGAGAAATATTTCTAAATCGTTTTGGCATATTAACAAGATTTTCTCTCATCAATCTCTTTTTTCTGTAGCTTTTTTTCTGTAACTAAGTATAAACAGCACTTTGCAAAACTTGCTACTGATGTATTGGCAAAAACGACATAATTAACTGCAGTGATGAAATTTACAATTATTTAACGAAAACGTTATATATTACAAACGAGATATTGCAAACGAGAAAACGAAAAAGTTGAGTAAGTTCACTGTACGTGTTTAATAGAAATTCTTCCCTAGAAAGGTGGGTCGTGTGGTTGGTACTTGGTAAGATAGCTATACATATACATATACGTCAAACCAAACGTTGCATGCTTTATACCTGCTAAATAATGACATACACTCTTTGCTACACTAGAGGGAGCATTTTTCATCAGCACTATACAAAAATCAAAAAGCTAACACGATATAATTTCTCATAATATACATGCCATTCACAACAATCACCCATTTCTTGAAGACCTGAATATTTTCGTTGTTGAACCACCTGACTCAACTTGATTTTGTGATGCATATGCATATGTTGTCTTAAAATCCTTTTAATTTAATGTAATAGCTATGGTATTACCGTTCACTGCATGTCGCTTAGTTTGGGATAGGATAAGGATTTAAGATACTTGCTCATGCATCGTTAGAACTTAGAAGAATTCAATTCTATAAATAACATAATCAAATTGCTTTCTAAAATCCCTAAATCAGTATTCCTACAGTAATTAGTTATTATAGAAACTATTAATTATAATATATATATTTTACCAATTATTATATATTTATACATGGTCGAGAGCTACCATATGAATTAATATCACTAAAACATGTAAAATTTCATGTCTTTTCAAACAACAGCTAAGTTAATCGTGTGCCATCGAGTGATCGAGATATTTTTAAATCTATTGGCTATTTCTATTGGAATCTGATACTGAATACAGATATCAATAGTATACGCAGTTATTATTATTATTTAGAATAACGCGGCATGCATGAATAACACAATATAACCGCATGAATCATGCATTCTTGCAGTTGACAAAAATGCCTGTTTCCTTATAAAATTTGGATTTCCCATGCAGCTGCATGCATGAATTATGAACTTGACATAATGCGGTCATTATACTTAGTAAATTACAACTACAAGGTCTGATTTTTCAGTAAATTAAATTTTTGATCGCAGGCAATCATGCACACACTAAACGAAAACCTACATGAAGCATCTAGCAGGGATTTCGTCAGCATGCGGCAGTATTAAGCATTTCTATCCTTCGTAGTTTATGCAATTAACATATGGAACTCACCAAAATGAATACACTGGTAATGTTTATACCGAGATGAAAGTTTTTCTATCACTTCATAAGCCAAAAGCGATTCTGCCCAGCAGCTAGGTCGCATATATAATTATAGGTTTTCTGTTGAAACGAAAATACGATTGAGCGCGGGTTTCGGTGTTTTAGAGGTCGATGTGTGCGATAAATAAGGATCAGTTTTTAATCCTCAGGATTTATAATGAGCCTTCCGAATGTCGTATTTGTAATCCTTCAGATGAACAGGAACGATTGATGTCTTGTTTGGTCCAATGTAACCGCTCACTATACGCTTACAATTAGAAAGTAGATGAATATTAGGCGATAATATCTACCAATATATCACATCTTCTTTTGTTACAAAACGAAGTTAACTGAGAACAGTGCAATTGGTTTTGCAGACAATTATTGGCATCAAAGAGGATTAGATTCGCACATAAAAGGAAACAGGCTGATAGCTTGTTTGCTAAATTAATGTCCCACTTATGTATCACGAAACAAAACTTAATAAAATTAAACAATTACTGTTCAATCAAAACTTGATTGAGATGATTGTAATTTCCTAATCAGAAATATAGTAAGAGCTAACGTTCAATAGCTCATCATTCTCGTGAAATAAAACGACACTATATGACATTTGTGACACGCAGTCAGTTTCATATAATCGTACTCAGTATTTGAAGTGAGTAATAATCCGGGCAATGCATAAATCCTTCCGTTTTGAAGGCGTGAGAAGAACGAAGACTCTTTACTTTTCACTACATATTTACTAGTAAGCTGTATGAATATTGCATCTCACTAAGCCAAATCTTATAGGAAAACATGGGTGCGCAAATAGAAATATGAAAACATCACACTCTAATCAGTCTGCCATGTTTAAAAACAAATGCATGGTAGACGATACAAGTACATAAAAGTGGTCGTGTTTTATGGCGATGCACTGCCTGTTTTTCAGAAGCCAATGCATATAATCACTTCCTCACTATCTTGTGCAGGGTAACGTACAACAATACAATTATTACACTGAAAAAACTAATGCAATCTAGCGTATCCCGCGTACAAAAGAGAACACAAAAAGAAATGCCCAATGCAGAATTGACACGAGTGCATATAAGACCACGCTAATATAGATAGCATAATGGGACGGATTTTACTTAACGTTCGCCTGTTGTCGCTTATTAATTTTCGTCCGTATATTTTTCGTGATTCATTTCACATAAAAATTATAGAGTAATTAAGGGAGTTCCTGATATTTTTTCATATACATGTTTAATAGCAATTTCCAATTAGTCCTCGAGCAATCTTAGCAAGATGTAGGGCTTACCCTAAGAAAACATGCCTATATCGAATGAAACTGGATGTCCAGGCCCCCCACATTGATTATAAGCTAACTTCAAAGTGACGGCTGCCGAACACTGTGGTTTAAAATCAATAACCTTTTTTACGTCTTATTCATAACGAAAATTAGTTCGGATTAAAGTCTTAAGACAGCTTTTTGTAAACGTTCTTTTGTTTACTTTGTCTTAAACAGATCACGAGGTAAATTCCACAAACTGTTCTGGCACAGTTCTCTCAAAGAAACTGAAATTCTGAAACTATGTCAATAAGATGTCAAATTGGTAGCTTACCATATGGTCTATTACAAGTGAACAGACCTTACGAGCAAAACAATTTTTTTTGCCTAGAAGTTGAGAAGGGCCCTGACTATAGACTATTTTTGGCTGAACTGTACTGTAGTTTGTATTAAACTTGTGTATTTTTTATAGTAAGCTTCACAATATTTAGGGGATTGTCAAATAACTGAGGGGGATAAGTAAACACAGACATAGCAATCTAGTGTTTTAACTTAAAATATGTACATTAAGTCTAATACGGCTAGTTTGAATCAGCTTCACATTCATTATTTCATAATCATATTATGGCAGAGTTAAATATCTAAATGCTGTAATAGGACACATGCATGTACCATGCATAGTTATATTTTGTAAATGATATGGACTAGTTATTTTTACTGTGATCATAGGAACTAAAATCAACTGAATGATGTGTCATAATCTCATAAAACAGCATTAATAAAAATATCCACAAATACATACATGCAATATTTCATTACAGAATTGGGCGTTGGCAGATCAATAAGTTCGTGATAAATATAAGTGCAAATATCTTTTGATTGAGAATTGCGAGTATTTAAGTAAATAACGTCCTAGTACGTACAAGTACGATTATACCAGCGTCCTGATTATACGAGCCTGGAGAATTGCTTAGGAATAGGAGGGCTACGCCATCTGACGAAACTCGTAGTCATTGTGCTTTTAAATACGTAAGCATGTTTATCATTATACTTTCGAATTAAAAAAATTACATGGATCTGATGGTCCCAACCATCTCTTGCAACTTTTCACCAGATAATTATTCGGTGGTTTAGGGAATGCATGATAATGCAAGATTTGCATGTATGGCTACAATCAAATGCAGGGCCGCCGAGAGGGGGGTAGGGGGGAATTTTGCCCCGAGCCCCAAACCTGAAAGGGCCCCCGACTTAAGAAAGAACCTAAAATTAAAGCACCTTAAAAAGCCATTTTCCGGTACACTCGACCATGGTCGAATACGCCGTTTTCGGGTAGACACGACCATGGTCGAATACCCCGTTTCGGGTAGACTCGACCATGGTCGAATACGCCATTTTCCGGCGGACTGATCATGAAAATGTTGGGCTCGGTGTATCATTCGCACACTAGTCTAAAGTACGAGTGACAGTCATTGTTATTTTCATTTCTAAGATATGTTGATGTTGTTTGTAAAAAAATTTGTTTGTAAAACTTTTGCACAACGCTTTGAAGTACTTTATGCCTCGCAGATATTTAAAACCATGACGTCATAGGGCCTCAGAAAAAAAATTTGCGGTAAAGTTAAATTTGAGGTTAATATCCTAAAGTATTCTATATTTAGATATACCTATATAATTTGGTTACTTACAGGCGATGAATTATCGAAATTTTTTGGGATAGGCAAAGAAACGTGATCATATTCATGTCTGGCCAACTTCGATACGGTGACGTTAAAAGCTGAATAGTTACGGCATGAGATATTGTCTCGAGTTTATCGGATTGGATTAAGATTTCAACCTAACCCTAAACCTAAATGTGATATAGGATGACGTTTATAAAGGCGGAATAACATAGGGAATTATATGTGGAATGGGATATTGCATGATCAGAGTTTATTGGATTGGATTGGATAAAGGCGTAAAACGCGAAACCTAACTATAAACTCAACTGCGCGACTTTTTCCGGTATTCCGTAAATCCATCCCTACCTCTTAATTTATATATTCATCGAATAAACACGTATAATGACGTGAAAAGTCTATACAAATTCTGTTGTTTGTGATTTTCAAGCAGTACTTAATTGTTCTTAACTTTACAGCGCGTCTATATATACTATCATGTATATAAAGAAACTATCCTATCGTATATTTCTTTACAAAATCATTTTTAATCAGACAAAAAGGGATCTTTTTGGTAGAGTATCCCTTTAACTTTAACTTTAATATTGCTCGTTCTTAAAAATCCTCCTTCGGAAATAATATAAAAACATGAATATCAAACGAAAAAACATATTCACAACTTCACTGCCTCCAACTTGGGACAGCTTTATAATTTCTCTTTCTTGCATGTACAGTGCAGTAGTGCACTGGGTTCTCTCTCTTTGAATCTTTTTAATGTCTTGTTTTGAGTAATACTTAGTGAAAACGTTATTAGTATTTTATTTTCCATCCCAAAGACTAAAATTTTGATGGCAAAAAAGTCGGCTATCATCAGTGTATCCATGAGAACTTCTTACTGCATAACAATTATTGCAGGGTCCTGACCTCCAATCTCCGCTATTGTGTGGTTTCTGAACACAACAAGGGCATGGAAATGAGTAAGGAAGCACAGATTCCTTTGGATAGTTATCAAACACTGGAGTCATGTTTAGAACAAAAGCTTCTGATGTCCATGATTTGTCCATACTCAAATTTGTTCGTGGTAATCTACTGTGATAGTAACGTTGTGAGTCATATGTTAGTTTCTGGCCACTTTTTTGTTCTTTTCTGTGTTTCGCGCGACGATTTTTAAACCATACCTAAAAATGGGCAAATTGGCCTTGATCAATGCACTTATTCTCCCTTTCATGCAAGGCTCATGAGCACTTCAAAAGGTGGGGATTTGAATAAGATGAATTATGACGAGTAGCTTCATCGTTACGGGTTCGGTCAGTTTATCATGACATGTCATGGTGAAAGCAACAGGATTGCCTATCCCTCTCTCCTTTCTATTATATCTGGTCTAACTGTATAACACTATAGATTAATTACCCTACACCAGACAGGTTGAATGGAACTATTAGTTTTTAAGTAAAACCTTGTCACCTTCCCTGCCGCACCTTTCCTGCCAGCGAAGAATTCTTTTTTAATGATATTGTTCAGGAATATTTTAAAGCACGAACCTGTATCTTCAATTCAGTCAAGTTCATATATCTTGCAAGCCTCTCTCTTATGCAAACATCAGGATAATGTGTTTGCAAGAAAATGTTTTCCAAAGTCATTAACTGATGCGATGTAAAGGCCGTCCTAGTTCGACGTTTGTAATTCGGATTCTCAACTCCAACGCCACATTTTGCTTCCAGGATAATTTCTACATGGAAACAACATGCAGGTAATTTGATTTTCAGCTCGTAATTTAACACGATAGGAATAATTTCCTGCGCCACACTCTACTGAAACATTGCCTGTTCTTTTCGATGCAGGAAAAGATAATGATGTATAAGTTATGTTTGTTAGTTGTATTTGTCCCCACACACTCACTCATGCTGCGCCCCCCTCTTTTTTGACACTATAGTGAATTTCATTTAGAGGTATTGAAAACGAAAGATGTTTAGGAATAAAGACTGAGTTATTGAAAACGAAAGTGTTTATAGGAATATTTAGTCATTCCGGAGAAGATTTATTGCAATAAAATAAGACCACACATCATTAAATTTATCTCTGTACATTACCAAGAGTATGTAAACACATTGGAGACATCTCGTTCTTCCATCTGCATATACGTAAGCAAAATAATTTAGGTGTGTCTGTGCTTTCACATAAATCAAATTCTAACCATATATCATCCGAAGAGAATAGCGTCGACTAATCAACGATTCTCCATCTGGATTTATTTTCAAGTGATTAAAGTATAAGTTAAGCCATTTTAAGCTCAGCTAAGCTTTTTATCATAACTCAGGCGTTTTCATTAAAACCAATTTTGAAGTGGTTGACCTCGTAAATCTTTTCGGCGTGGTATACCCGAGTCAGCGTGCAAACAAAACTGAGAAGTGAATAACAAATTGATTCATTTTCAATGCTGTTAAAACTTGTTGTTACAATAATATTATTCTCGAGTGAAGTGACAATTGCACTCATAATTTCTTATCATTTTAATATCCGTATTTGAACTCTCCGACTTGTGATTATATGTCCATTCACATATAAATTAAAGCTATACACCACTGAACTCTAAATGTCTAAGAGCTGTATCTTAGAATGATTTATAACATATTGTATTTCATGTATACCCAAATACATGCATGCATGCTGGAAAGTTTGTAAACCATATTCATGTGTTCCACCAGTGCAAGAATAACCCTAGACTGCGTGAGAGCTTCATTAAAAGAAGTACAAGTACTGCTTCTTGAAAGTACAATTATATTAATTATTTGAATTACTTTAATTGACGAAAAGGCCTGATCATAATACATTCTAGTCCTTAATACGTGCTTCGTAATGCTAGCGCATTCTTGCAATCAAGCAATCATAAATCATTTGCTGTAATATGATGAATTCTAATGTATAAATTATATATCACTATACAATACACAGAGCATGCGATCTTGCTTCTTTCCACAATTTTCTACACGGTCAATTATTGATAAATACCACTATTTATATTGATTATAACATATTCCCAAATGCAAGCTGATAGATGATATGTATGCAGTCTAAACTTTGTGAAAAAATATTATAAGTTTGAAAGATTATACCGTTTAAGCCTAGTTTTTATATGTCGTAATTTATCGGCGATGTTCTACGATCTATTGTCGGTGATCAATGAAGTATACAATTTTCTTCGATAGATAAAGGATTTTATGCATCAATGACCACCGACAATAGCTATCGTCGATGAATTACGACATATGAAAACCACGCTTTATAGTTGTTTCGGCACCAATTATACAGTTATACTATATATGCAATCGTAATGCATATACCTTAGGCTATGCAAGTGCATGCACTTGTATTCTGGAATATGCAGAATGCAATTAGTATATAGCCGATCAGTACAGCCGAAAAATATTTCATGGTATATACAACATTCCAAATTAATTTAGTCTAATTTTGATTCAGTGATATATTGTAGCTACATTGTATGCGGAATTGCGGAATTATGCCTCAAAAGCTGCACTGCATGTGTATTTGCAAATATAACACTCTCCTTCGAAGAAGAGGCTTTTGTGTGAAATGAGTATCGACCAGATCACGCTGCTAAAAAATTGAAATCCAAGCAAAGCAATTATTTATTATTCAGTGATAATGGTTTATGGTTACATTGCGTTTTATCAGGCGTACAACTGTACAAGTGCTGCATGAGTACAGGTAACAAGTAAACTGCTTCCTTTAAAAACGAGGTGACTGTACGAGGGCTGAGTGGTTTGTGCTTTATTACGGTATACATGCCTTAAGGTGAATCTAGAATAAAACTGCATGCAGCATCATAGAAAAACATAAACATATCTCGTACAGTTGCTTAATCAGTCCTGGTATTTATTAATCTCATTCTTCGATAAAAACTCTTCTGAAACCTCCAAAGGCTAAATTTCATGTTATTCAATAAATACCTGCAAGTTTTTCAGCTAAATGCAGAGCTTTCGATGAAGAGGTTGCTGTCTTTGGCTGTGAATTATCGTCAATATCTTCGGGCGTTTTTTCTGGTTTCAATAAGTTCTCAATTGCGAATGAAGAAGTCGACGCCATCGCGAGGGTATCTGTCTAATGATTAGCGACCAACATTGTGTGTATTCGGTTCATAAGAGCTTTAATGAAAGCTTCAATCTGGATAACATTAATAATCAGTTATCAGTATAAACTATGGATTAATGATCTCATGTTCTAAATCTGATGGCTGTCAGAATGTTGTTATAATCATTCATTCCGCGACATGCAAATTCCAGGCATTTTTTAAGATGTTCGGTTGGGCTCCAACTGAAAAAAAACGGTGGCATAAAATCCTTAATATATATGTGAAAAGGTGCAGGGGTCTGTTCTTGAGTCTATACGTATACGACTTGAATTTTCACCTTGAGAGAGAAAATTCTGACACATTGAACGATTTTTCCGGCGTTGACTACGGCCACTACGGTATAACTTTCTCGCGAAACAATTGCCATTGCTCAATGGCATTGAGTGATTGCAAAAAATTAATTCGAAGCCAGGGCATCTGTTCAACTGACACTGATTCCGTAGCCCAAGATGGTAAAACTGAATGTACCAGTGTGTATTATAAATTTTGATAGTAGAGAAACCCTTTTTTATAACAACTTTGCTCTCGCTAATTGAATAAATGTAGAAAACAACCTATAATAAGTGCAGATAGATATATAGATAGTTTATATAAGCGAACGAGAATGAAATATATCGTTTAACGACATCATCTAGGGCAGGGAACTACCTAAACTGTCCGTGTGAGCAGGTGTATGTTTTACTGAAAACAATCGTCTTGTTTCTACTAATAAAGGAAGAAGAACATGCAGGCTACTAGCTCAGATAATATGAAATACAAAATTATAAATTAATCAGAATAAAAAATAAATAAATTATTCAGAATTTTTTCACCAAAGCTCGATGCCGTACCAGCTCTCTGTGTGCGTTATTATAATGCATGTGATGTGCTTGCTAATGCATTGTATATTTTTTTGCATCCATCATGAAACAATCAAGAAGCTCAATTAAGGTAATCAGGAAATGGATTTCAAATATCGAATATCCTTAGTAAAGTTTATCGATTTTTGCATAAACATTTAACATGATATGAAATTACTTTCTGGACTATATTAAAAATTACACAGGATTGCTTGATTCTTACAACAACTATATATAATCTAAACTTTATTAATCATATCAAAGTTGCAGAGGTAGTACGCTTTGCAATTTCGTCAACCGGCAGCACTTTCTTTACTACATATATAGTGTACAAAAAAGTAGCACTTAATATTCATGAATATCCCTGGAATTTGGTCCCTTGAATCTGAGAATACTTACTTAATTATGGCTTCACAGCGGCAGAATTGCCTAAATAAAGACGGGTGTGTATAGACTGACGGCTAATGGCATAACGGAAGCCATGATACTCAGGTTAAGGTTTGGGTATGATCCAAAATAAAAACAGTTTTTCATCAGTTTTTTATTAGCTGCACTATTATCATGCAGTTCAGCTAATATGACTATTAGCAGCTCAACTGTATGATAAGAGGCCATTTTAAACTATCAGATGCCTAAAATCAATTTGCTATTGTGCCTAAAAACAATATCTTAGAAGTTAGAATCTTAAGCGGTTTAGCTTTTTTGATACACCCTGTAGAGTTAAAAGCTGCCCGAAAGTTTCAGAAATATGAACACCTTTTCTTCCGGCATTAGCGATTTGTGAAAAGTCTCCATCTTCTCTGGAGGGCCGTTGGAGCCAGGAAGTAACATATTGGATTAAAATTTTTTCCTCAATTGTCAGTTTTAACGCGCCCACTTCGCTGATCACCGACAACGAATGCTCGGTAGAAGATCGGCGGGGAATTATACTATTATACCAATTATTGAAAACATGGTTTATATGGTTTGAGACGAAGCTTTAGTTGCGGACCTGAGACTCTTATAACGAGGTCGCACATGTAAGGTGGGGGGTTCATTTTGAAAAGATATCAACCACAGTTATCACATCATGCGTGCAGAAAATTTACACTACTGTCGGGCTAATTGAAAAACGTTATGACGAAGAATAAGGACATAAGTTAGGCACCAACATCTCACATTTTTTATTCCGACATTCCTAAATTCCCCATTCAAGTAAATAGCGTATTTATTTTGGAAATACGCCGCCAATATTCAAGTTTGGGGACAGATGGTGTATGTAATGATTGTTAAGATTTATGAACTCTTATCACGCAAAGTGGCTGAATTATCTGACTGCGAGAGAGCAAAGAAGAATCTGAAACAGCTGTTAATATCATAACGAGCTGCAACAATTATGTGTTTGATATCTATCAATATCCAGATGCTCATTGGCCAGAACTGAAGTTACTTTTCACTGACCTATAATTAATTACCTGGACCGAGGGAGTTATATTGCTGACCATGAATACTGGTTATAGCTATTGCATGCATCAGAACATGGTTGCGGCGGAGTATGTCGAAAAATAAGAGAAACATATGCAGTTTTTCTTAGGCAACGTTCAGTTCAGTAGAATATTCATGTAATAGTATGGAGTTAATTGCTTGGTTAATTACTTGGCATCGTGCACAATTTCTAATTTTTGGTAAAATTTACGTTGTATAATACCCATATACTGAGTGCGACCAATGCGACCTTGCACCAAAAGTTCGGCCCGATCTAAAAGAAGTATATCATATATATTACCCAATCAAAAAAAAGGAATTTAACATTTGTTAGGTCTTATTTAATTTTTTTTAAATGGACATCTACTAATATACCGACAATCAGAAATTAAAAATTTTCCATGCCTCAAATAATAAGATGAAAAAAATTCAAGATTGCAATTTCTTACAGATAAACTGATATAAATGTTAGCATTATTCATCAGCCGTACGAGGTCCTGTCTCTTGTAAGGTTCTTATTTCGTATAAGGACATAATCTGGTTTGGCATCCATAACAAAAAATGATTAATGCTGACTGCTGAGTTTACGTTTTCTTCATGTAGTGATGTAGAAACTTCATGTAGCCAACTCAACTCCACCCGCTGCACGTGAAAAGGCATTGTGTGTTTAAGTTGAACTACCAGGCAAATTTACCTTTTAAAACTTTTCTGTGGAAAGCAGTATATAGCAGACTTTTTTGCAGCCCAATTACTATGCTGCCATGCTGGAAATAATGCTTAATTGCATGACGATTTTTGAATTGTTATTACCCTGTTGGAGATGACGGAAGGTTATCAATTTACATTTTCAGTCCTTTTAGCAGGTCAATCTAGTTTTGCTGTAAATTTGATTTTTTTTGTGCATGCGCATAACTTTAAGTGAGCCAGCATAGCCATTATTGCCTGCCTTTTGAGCGGGCCATCTTCTCGCGGAAATTCTAGTGTTGTTATAGAGATTTTCTTTGACTCATTTGTGACAACGATTTAATGGCTTGTTACCTTAAAAGGAAATCTTCTACCCTAATTACAAGTAGGCTTAAAAAATTGTTGAATTTTAAGAATTTTCAACATTCTTTAAACTGAATGACGAATTATTTTTACCAGTCTACCAGTTTACCAGTCTTTTGATTCAGTTTGTATATCGAGGCTTATCAGAAGACTGGAGACATTAATGCCACATGATAGCTAACTTGGTAAAAAGTGCCACTTTGTTCTGGACTTCAGCATGCATGTTTAACTGACTTTTAAGTTTAATCTTCTTTTATTCCGAGAAACTGATCATGATTGCCACTGTAAAGCTTGTCTGCATAGGTAATCTAAGTCATTGAACATACTCCGTTGTTTTTCTAACATTCAAAGTTATACAGAGTTCATGAAATATATATTTTTATGCATGGAAAAACGATATAACAGTGGTACTAGTATAGCTAAATCAAGATCCTAATGAATTCAGTATTGTAATATAGTCTGAAAAAGAATCGTGGTAATTGATATATTCATACATAGCTATATATAATATATTCAACTATCCAGCTGTGTTATGAAAGCCTCACAGTGAAAATAAAGAGCTAACTCGAGAGGCAATAATATACGCATGAACTGCCAAGAACTAAGGACGTATAGTCATAACAACTCGGTCAACTCCATCCATACATACAGCAGTATTATGATGGCCAATGCGAGAGAAATTGGGAAAATAAACCAGGGTATAATCTTGTCTAGTAACGAGGACAATAAAGATAAACCTGAGCAAAAGAATTCAGCAGGAAATGGTCTGACATTGTCCACGGCAAAACGAGAATCACAATTTCACAGAGATGTCAAACAACGCAGCAGCCAGAAGCCTAACTTATACTGTCAGTTCATTGTATCGCACACTAGTTTGACTTTCGGTATGTTTCACAATTAAAATCTTCATTAATACAGTTGATATCTTTCTCTAGAACCTTTAATATTCGGGATATTTTCAAAAGTATTGATGAAGAAGAATCCTGTCTGTTTAAATACATTTGTCATTATCTATCAGTTAACAAATAATCTATTTTGAAAGTCTGCTGACTAGTCATTGTTTCTCAGTCTCAAATGCGGGGGCTACCATTTTCTATATACAATCCTATGCAGCCCTGGGAGAAACCCAGTTATACCCACAAATATACGTCTAGTACTTGTATAATTGTTGTGAAAATTTACGCGACGAAATATTATTACCTAATGACGCTTGAAAATTCCACGCTGAAGATAATTTAGTGTAAAAAAATCCCAGACCAGGGTCTGATAATCAGTTCTACAGTTAGATCATACAAAGGAAAACTCTGGGAATGATAGTGATGCCAATTATAGTTAGGGCTATACCGTCAAGCTCACTCATTTTTAGCACCGTATGAATGTGAAACAGGTGATGCAGAAGACATGATCTATTTATAAATTATGTATATATATAAATGTATATATTTGCTCGGCTCATCAGCCTTCTAAACGACTGCATGCATGAGCATAACTCAGTATATCGACCTGCTCATACAAACGTGTTGCATTGTGGTCTACAGATTAAATATTCAGTGCCTATACAGTTGCACGAATCATGAAAGTCCTCTTCTTGTTCGGAATTCTTTGTAAGCTTATTGTCTGGCAGCCTAGCCCTAGAACTCAGCATCTATGTATAGTTAACAACAATAGATCGACAATTAAGGCATCTCGGCTCAGTGGAACCTACTGTTTTTAATGTGTGCCTCGAATATTTAAAAGTGATAAAAATATGGCGTTTTTCTCTCGATGAAATTAGTCGAGTATTTCAAAATTAAATGGCGTTTATTCGGACAATTTGTTCCCAAGCCGTAGTTCAAATAGTCTAGGGCTGAAATCTCAATGTATGAGCAGCAGACTAGTTAAAATAATGGATTGGTTTAGCTTTGCATCTTGTTCAAGACACGGCTTAGCCGCAGAGCCTATTTTATCATTAATAAATCTGTTCAAGAAAATTCTCATTAATCATCGAACAACAAACCACTTACCTTACAATGGTGTAGACAAACACCGTCTGCAAAAACGTAGTCCATTGACTGAACTCGAAGGCAGATAAATCCTAAAGCCTGATTTCTATCTTTTCGGGAACTTGACCGTATCTATACGTTGCATGTGCATGCCGCATGGAGACTGAGCAACCAAGTTACCAAGAGCCGTTTTTCGTAACCACGTTAAATGTCTTGTCGATGCCTTTCAAACAATGGATAATAAGATGATAAAGTTATCATTATCATTTCACTATCTATTGTTTTATTGTTTTCGACTCAACCAAAATGTGACATACGTCACATTGCTTAACCTGGCTTAAACCTCGTGTAAACAAGCTCGAAATTAACCATGCATGTCCAATTGTTGTTGACACTGGGCAAAACGCAAAACATTTGACAGTCCCACTTGTACTAATCTCATCCCAACTTAAATCTTCCCACTTTACAACCTCGTACCAAGGGTAATATCGCTTCGAACTAGCTTAAATTACGCTCGTATATTTACTTGGCCTTTCATATTTTAGACAAATATTTCACACTTCCAATCGGCTTGTTGTTATACATATAGTGTACAGAGCCAGATGTTCCCTTTGAGAACCTTTACTATAGTGCTTTCGCATCGTTTCATGTATCTGAATAAAGTTTTTGTGCGGAAAAATGATTAAGAAAACATCGTTGGTGTTTATATATATATATAGTTCTTCGTGTTTTCAAGCAGGTGACCCAACCTGTACCGAGGAATGAGATTGCAGGTGACCCATATTCAGACCAACGTTTCACTGAAGTTCGTTCAACGAAAACCTAATTCAAAGCCCATAGCATATGCTGTTTTGAAGCTAATTCAGTATTTTAGTTGGAACCGTTCAGTTCCCTCTTGTACCGTTTTTGACTGAAACAATTTATCGATTGCCTACGGACATCAGATGTCATATCTTACTCTTTTATAGGAATAACGTTTGGAGCTCACATTATATTGCTGGTTCTCACAGTTTTGTTAACCGTATCTGGGAATGAAGTAATTAAATTCGAGTTTGGACGGTTCCCACTGGAAGTGCCGGACGATTCGTCCAAACTTCGTACAGATGCCTGGTTGAATGCTAAGGACGAGATTTCCACGTCTGAAACAAGTATTCAATTACCTCGCACTCTGCAATACCAGACAATCGCCATGATTTATGAATTAAATCATGGAAATGTTCTTACAAAAGAGAATTTACAAGCTATAAAACAAAGTGAGAAGGAAATCTTTGGCCATAAAACTTTCCAAAGTGAACTGTGCCAACTACAGGGAGCCAAAAATATGACTTGCAAGACACCGTTATCCATTATCAGTTTCTTTGATGGATCGTATAGCAATATCCACTCGGATCTATATGATCCTACCTTTCAGAATATATCATTTGTCTTATACACAGCACAAACTATCAACATAAGCAGAGCTATACTTAATTTCCATCTTGGTAAAGATGCGGTGATAGAAAAGAACACAGCTAGGTCACAATACACCCGAAGTTTAATGTACACTGGCTGGCCCCTTGAAGGTTATTCAAGAACCAATGATAAAGAGAGAGAGCAGGAAGAAAAGCTAAATGAAATTATTGTGGACCATTTTTCAAGCACTTTGAAGAAAAAGCATGACAAAGGGGTTGGAAGAATGAATTTCTACTACAACAACAGAGCCCTAAGGTCGAACGCTATTCGAAATCAAATCATTTTTGATATGATGCTTGCAATTGCCAGCTTTGCCTTTATTTTTATCTTTTCATGGTTTCATACGGGCTCCCTATGGATTACTGCTTGGGGTGTGTTTAGTATAGTATCAAGCTTCAACATAACGATTCTCATATACAGATTCGTTTTTGATTACCGATATTTTGGCATTTTCCATGTTCTATCGATTTTCATAATTCTTGGGATTGGTTTCGACGATGTTTTTATTTTCATGGATACGTGGAGACAATCTAGTAAAGGCGAGTCACAAAATCTTGTTGACAGAGTATCAGGCGTTTACAGGACAGCAGCAAAAACGACGTTCGTTACCTCATTTACAACAATGGTAGCTTTTCTATCAAACATGCAATCTCCACTTCTAGCTATCTATTCCTTTGGTTTATTCTCAGCCATTTTGATTATGGTCAACTATTTTTCAATCATCATCTTTTTTCCCGTGGTGCTAATTCTTCATCACAACTCTAGAAGAGGAAGATGTTGTTGTGCAAGAATTCAAACAAAGGATGAAACCACGAGTTCGGGAAAGATTTCTCAATGTATAATTCAATTCTTTCAGGGGTGGTTTTTAAGAAATTTGATCATTCATAAAGTGTTTCGTTGGGTTGTTGTCATCATTTTTGTAACTATAGCCGCCGCAAGCGTTTTCTTTGCAACAAAACTGGAAGCTAACAAAGAGCAGGTTTGTGTAAAAGTGGGTTAACCCAATCCATTCATCTATACTCAAAATGAATTATCAATAATAATCTAGCCATCTAGCTAATTTCTATAACAACTTTAATTGGTATCTTACGTATAGATAAAGCTCTGGCGTTCGGATTCAAATTGGAATAAAGTTCGCCACATCGAATCCAATGCATTTCGCAAAAGCCAAGAAGATCGTGTCATTATTGTTTATATTATCTGGGGTTTAAAAGAACAAGACAGAAGTGAATGCCATCACACCGATTTCGCATGCAAAGGAAAAACCATTTTTGATCACGAGTTTGATCTAAATTCTCAACCTTCACAACAGGCTATGTTGGTAAGTCTTGCTGATGTTCTGATGAGAATGTGTAGTCCAGTGTTAATTGGTCCAGAACTTTTAGACCAATTCTGAGGTACCACTACCAGTCATGAACGAACGACCAAATAGTGCAATGGTTAAAAAAATCTCTCATTTAGACACTCACAGGTCATTTTATATTTTCAAGAGATTTTGCGGAACTATGAAGAATATCACCAGCGAACAGGAAAAGAAATTACATCTTCGGCGAAGTCAAGTAACGGGAGAAATTGAAATGAAATGCATTTTTCAAAGAATGGAAGAATTTTTCGCGGTAGCTAAATGATTCATTTTTGTACTTTTAAGTTGGTCGTGTATAGATGCAATTTTTTTATAGACCATAGATAGCAATTGTAGTACAAGTACTATCTATGGCCTGTAGTTGTAGAGTTTTAACAATGCAATAATTGTTATGTTATTATTTATTCGCTTATATCTATCCAAAACGAAACCAGAATTAATGAACTTCCGAAGCCCCAATCATAAATAAATCGACAAAAACGACTTTATACTACCGTGTTTACATTTTTTAATTTCCCTTGGAACAGGAGGAATCCAACAAAACAATATATTCAACGGCTGTGGATTTTCCATTGAGTGAAGAAAAAGTCAAAACATTAATGAAATCCAATCCTGATATTTACAAAGTTACAGTAACAAATATTACCAGGTTCTTCGAAGTTGGCGCAGGATTTTTTATGAGCCAAGGTGGTAGAAAGAATTATACCTCAACGTTTGACTATAAAAATTACAAAGACCTTATCAAAGGTGTTACTTATCCACATTCATTTGGAAATTTAAGTCGAGGTAATGTGCCTAGTGTATATATAACTGCGTGAACTTATTGAACCTCTGATATTCGATACATATAGCCTCAGGTGTGAATTATCGAATGGACAATGAGCAGTGGCCTTAATATGGTCCCATTCGTTCGCACAGATCCCTAATTTACCACATTGAGTTCAATATATAGCTGTAGGTATATTTCATTAAAAACAGGATAATGTTATGTCTCGTAATTCTTCTGTATCGAAATTTATGTAGAAAACAGACCGCTATATTTGGCGATTGCTTTTAATACAAGTGTTGATCCTTCTCAGCTGGGCTATGAGAAAGGGTTAGAGATTTATGACGACTGGGAAAGCTTCGTGAACCAAAAGGTCAATATTTTTATGTACTCTTACAATGCATACACAATATTATAAAAAACTATTTATTAATTTATATGGTGAAACCCAGCGGATACAAGTTCCCCACAGATTGTGTTTTTTGCCATGCTGAAGAACACAACTCGTCAGTTGGTTGGTTGATCTAGTTATTATTAACAAAATTTATTGATCCTTCTTAGATGAACGACCTTCCTCCATCATGTAACAAAGGATTTCAGGCAACTGTAAAACCTTTTAATGTCTGGCAGTGGTTAAAAGTTCAAAAGGTAAAAAATAAATGTTGCTATCTTAAGCAGGGGCGTAACTAGAACGATAATTGCGGGGGGGTGTGAATATTCGTATATTCTGTTCTGTCCGACGGATTTCTATTGTGAATTATTGTACTTTGAATATATGAATATTCACCCCCCCCAAATTATCGTTCTAGTTACACCACCTTAAGCATAGCTACGTCTTATCACATATCACATGTAAGTTTTCCTGCGCCGGCATTCCTTAATTAAGAAAATCAGTTTATTAGTGAACACTGTAGTGCTGCGGCGGTAACGTCTAATCGATTTATCTTTTTTATTTAAGTTATTGGTGAACAATGCCATCACAGGAATTATTATTGGTCTGATTTGCTCATTGGTTGTACTCACGTTTGCGACAACAAACGTCATCATTGGTGTCATGGCAACACTGACTATTGCTATGGTAACATGTGGTGTCCTCGCAATGATATCAGTTGTTGGTTGGAGTCTTGGCGTACTCGAATCTCTTAACCTCACCTTAATAGTTGGTCTCGCTGTTGATTACGTCGTACATTTAGCTGAAGGATATATGGTTCTCGAGGATCAGGACAGGGTCACGAGAGTCAAGTATACTTTGGGTCATGTAGGGATATCAGTATTCTCTGGTGCTTGTACAACCCTCGGCTCTTCCATCTTTATGCTAGCTGCAAAGATTCTTTTCTTTTCACAGTTTGGAATATTTATATTTTGTACAATTGCCTTATCGATTCTTCATGCACTATTCTTCTTTACGACTGTCTTGGCTCTGATAGGACCAGAAAATGAAACTGGATCACTTCGACCGTTCATGAGAAGAGTGAAAAAACTGTTTTGTTGCGAAGAGGCAGACATCGTAAATGCGAATGCTGAAAAAGAAAATAGACTACCTAAGAATGACTTCCGAAACGGACTGGTTGTTAACACAAAGTTATAATATAATAAACTGTATATAATTCAGTGCCAACTTTAGAGTCTGATTAAATGATTCGCTCAAGACCAACCGAACCTTAAAAGGTATTCAAATATAAGTCTTTAGGAGAAGCAAAACACAGTAGTTATACATAAGACGCATAAATGTCGCATAAATGTAAAACAAATCAACGAAAGACAGGACAGGACGAATCGTTGCCAGTAATTTGTTTTTGAATTTTGAAAAAATGAATAGATTTAATATTATTTCACGCTAGCTTTGTTTGATCTTGGCTAAGCGCGATCACGTAAACAGGTCCTTAACTGATCGAATATTAAGGCTATCCAAAAACTCGTAGTTACAAAAGGTAAACTCATAGATGAAGAATAACTCAGCACACATTCTAGAGTTTAAACGAGTGGATATGTTCAAATAAAGCAGAATGCACGCAAGAGTGCAAATGAGTGCAAGAGCAAAGAGCGCGAGAGAGATGACCAATGCCTTTCCCGACCCGGTGGTAAAATACCAAAGCCAATTTAGCAAATTTTAGTTCCAAATAGACTGTTACCATTATTCCTTCATAATATGAATGAAATACTTACAGATGTATACAGAAATACATACCAATTAACGCACTGAGAGGCGCAGCCCCTTAAATTATTTAATCTTCTTAGTTTTAAACAAAGAATTGTAATAAATGCGCCGAAAAGTGCAGGAAATCCCATTTCCGCGCCTCAATTTTCCAAAATTTGGGGAGGATGCTCACGACCCTTTCTCTGTAGTTCTGCAAGCGCCTTCACTACTGAGTGGCAATTTAAATCAAACCCAACGGTGACAAATTTTATGATAAATGTGCATACTTCTTTTGCGTGAAACTAATTATTTAGGTGCGCAAAAGACATCAGATTTTCGTGGATTGCGTTGATGCCCTACAGTGAAGATTACACGGTTTGCAGTCAACGCGCGGTGTGACCTCGTGCAAATGCGACAATTATACATTCAGTATTAATATTCAGTTTTATCAAAAAATGCATCGAATGAATCAATCGAACGTACGTTCATTAAGATTTACCATTACATATCACATAGTTTGCTTGGTATAAATTAAAAATGCCATAAAATGAACATATATCTTTGAATATTAAACACTAAAATGTGTTCAAATGAGCTGTGTACATGGCACATAGCTTGATTGCCATTGTCCATTATATGTTCGGGGTATTTTTACTGTTGGTGAGGTAGGCAACGAATGGAGTGGATAAAGACGATATGGGGAAGACTGGTCTATGTAAGTTGGAATTGGTTGTCTTGTTAGTAAAACATTTGGTCTGAATGCTAAATGTTGCCGATCGTCTGGTGAATAATGTTCTTGATGATTCCAAAGTAGTGGATTTCTGCTTGCAATTGGAGACATTGTTGTGTGGAAAAGTTGAATTGGATATTGAGATTCAAGTTTTCTGTGTTTAGCTCGCCGGTTTTTGAACCACACCTACATGAAATATAGGAGGAGCACGTATAAAATTCGGTGCTTCAACTTAATTATCGAACTGCAATCAATATAAATTTGATTGGGAGATTAAACTACCGCGTGACATGGATACATAATTAATACACAAGGCAACTAATTTTTCATCAACAGACTACCTATGCACATATAAAAATTGCTATACATGCACTCTCATCAAATTTGCATGCATTTCAGTGATTTCACCTTATCATATATAGGAATTACAACATTCGTTACTAATTGTCAGATAAAGACGGCCAAAGGCATGAACAATAAGATTTTTCATAACCTACAGATGAATTTATACTTCTATATAGTCACACTGCATGTGGTCAAATTGGCCTTCATTATAGTTACAGTTTAACTCGCCTGTATTCTTGATTCTGGTAGATTCGTAAACGAAGCCAGTCTTTCTCGCATGAAAACATCAGGATAATGCGTCCGAGCAAAAGCTCTTTCCATCGTTGATAACTGATGTTGGGTGAATGCTGTCCGAGCTCTTCGAGACTTGTTCTTCGCTGTTTCAGTTTGTTCTATCATTGCATCTGAATAATATCACATAGAATTTCACATATACTTTCCCACCACGAGCACTAAATGAGCGGATTTCGTAATATTTGGCACATGCAGGCATGCAGTGGCTGGTAGCAATCTATATTTAGAGTACTCAACTAAACTAAGCACAATAGTGCATCTTTCAGTTATTTGTGTGATCATGTTTTTATAACGATAAACTTTCAACCACATCAAGACGACCGATGTGGCCTGTTCGCATCATTGCGCTCAATTTTTTGGGAATGTGCGGGTAGAATTGGTACCATATTTATCCATGCGGCATTCTAGCTATATTATATACAGTACCTATAACCTTATATGCCAGTTGCTAAGCCGGCGTTGTTTGTACAATATATAGTTATGCATATACACGTATAGCGTGCAGAGAAAGGAAGCATTACCGTACCTGCCAACTTTTTTGCTAACGCTTTTGCTTTATTTGAATTGAGGTCGTTTTCTTTAATTTTCTTGTTGTCTTCATGGTTATCCGGTCTTAGTAGAACATCAATAGAATACGAGTTTGCCATACTGGTGCTATGTATGCATATGAACACCAAAGTGTTTATCCAGCAAAATTTCTCTCCGGCTCAAAATTTCTGGGACCTTATGCACGAGGCACATGATCTATACATGGGGTCAGTAACCGCGTTGGATCTTAATGAGAAGGAAACGTCCTAATCCTCGAGGATATTAAGGAAAACAAGTTTTAAGCAATAATCTAATTATGTTTTATCTCGTTTTGACTTTGTAATGCCGGGGCGTGTTTATCGCATTAGTAAAATTGATTAGCGGCACATCAGAGAGAAAAATTAAACGCTGAATTATGTGAAAAATAAACTTATCGACAGATATTATTCTGAAATACATGTATAATTTCCCAGATATAACAACTCAACATTTGTCTCAATATTTTATAACTGTCAAAAATCTCTCAGAGAATTAGTACAGTATTCTGGACACAATGGAAAGATTAAATTAAGCTAATCCCCTGTTTTTTTTCGGGTAGGGAACGTATCTCAATTTGACACTTGAATATACAACAATGCTTGATGAATTCTAGGGGTACGCTGAAAGCTATGATGAGATGCTTTTATAACGTCAAAGTCTAGCGATATCCTTGACAATGAATCATTACAAAAATTGACATTCGCTGTGCAGTTTTTCATAATTTGTATCATGATTGGTTTTGAATTAAAAAACTCAACAGGTGATTGTAAAGCTTAATGAGCCTTTAAGTCAGGAAACATTAGAGGATTTAGTTAAGTAAATGTACAGAATTAAGTAGTATTATCTAAACCAACTAAAAATCGGACTTTATGAATAGGCCAGCTTTCGTTGATCTTTATTTACACTAAATAGGTATATTAAAAGTTCCTGCTGATTGACTAATATTACAACCTAAAGATAGTATTATATGAACGTTGTATAATAGTCTGCTTTGTCTTATTTTCGTGTATATATATCGACTTAGTGTTGACAAATTTTGTTTATTTTATTCTAAATGCGAAAAACAGCTGTGCAGTAAAATTTTTTTTTCATTTAGTCCCATTTCCTTCCACAAACGAAGTAAGAGCTTTATGGGGCGTTGGAAAATGATTGATAGGATTTTAATTGTTCGTCAGGGAGACAAACGAATCTCTATCTCTATAAGATTAGGAATTTTATTCAACAAAAAGGTATTTAATCATCAAGTGTTTATTAAAGTCGTTCACTTAAATCTCAGATCATTTACCTACTTCAAACATGTATTGAGCCACAGACACGTATACTTTACAGATCTATATTTAGCTCTCTGGATGAACCAGCTCGTGCTATCTTGCACAACCACAAGTCAAGTTTGACCAAACAGTTACAGGAAACGGATATCCCCAGTGTTGTTTCCAATCACGTGAAATCAATAAAAATATGATTATTATTATTCATATAGCTATTGGCTTGATATTCTTTATATATGCATCTCAACATCTCAGTGAGTTTATCATGCGCGGAATTTCCAAAGACATGCACGTTTGAATGTTGTTGCAAAACCTAGGCAGAAATAACCATACATAAAAGAAGTTCACAAAAGAATGCTATAAAGCCATGCATGATATCCACATGACAGCTAGCAAGAGTGTCGATAAGCTGCTATAAGCTTCCAGATCAGTAGTTAGAGGCGTCAAATATTTTTTTCGAATTTGAAAGTGATTAGCTATATATGGGTCTGATTAAGTCTTTCCACTTTCGTAGCGCTGGAGTTATTAATAAGACCACGTTGCTACCCCAAGGAAAATGCTACCATGAAGGCAGAGGATGAAACAGCTAAGAAGTGATTATCAGTTGCTTCTACTAGAGCCATGGAAATGACCAAGCAGAAGAATCAAATTTACTAGACCAAAACTGCGCCCTCATTTTTGTGAAATGTCTTCCGTGGAAGAGTAGAAATAAAGTTTGACCGAGTTTAGAAAAAATATGTGAAGCACAGAGTTGCAAAAAGAGTTCAACCTTCCTACGGTAGGATTTCAAGTTTTGAAAACCTTCCTCAAAATGACGTTACGTCACTGAGTCCAGTGACAACCAGCATAAAGAAATATTTGTTTTTTTGGTACATGCATGTGATCAATTAGAGTGTTCAACTTTGAACCTTTCTCACAAACCTCGTTCAAAGCAAACCTTCCTCCAGGTGGCACCCGCGTAACCGCAGCTTTTTTGCAACTCTGGTGAAGCAAAAAAAATCTTACATAAAAATCATCTTCTTCGAGTACATGTTTTTTTTCTAAATTGCACGAGAATCTATGCTATTACCTATTAATAATATTATTATACATAATTTATGATAAATAATTTATTTAATTGACAAAATTCACGCGCCGTCGCATGTTGTTTTCAAATCGTGTGAAAATAGAACTGTTTCAACGTTTTTACATAAAATATTTAATTCATATAAAGACACAACAATTATAACACTCGGGAGCATATCTAAAAACGTTTCAAAGAAATTAGCACTAGGATTTCCTTTTTTTGGCACTGGAATTTCCTATTTTTGGCACTGGGATTTCCTAAAAATTGCATTGCTCTAAACCAATCAGAATTGAGAAATTTTTTATGTATATTATTAGACCATATACTTAATGATCAAATACTGCATACTTTTGGCATTGTATGAGGCACCTTTTTAATGGGTCAGTTCAGTTTATCACTTTTGTTCAATATTAATCCAGAACAGCGTGGTGTCTTTGTCTGATTATTCCAACGGAGTTACCCCATTCAGAAGAGATATCCCATCCCAATTTTTATTCATTTACTTGTCATTTAAAAAAAATGGATGGTTCCCCTTCTACCTCCCAGCGCCATCTTGTCCTATAATCAGATGTTATGTGACGTGACACTACTGAAAAGTGGATGGCATAAAAATCAGCAATATAGAAGGTACCAGCTACAGTGTCATTTTTTCTCCATGATATTATTGAATCAAGACTTTTTGGGAATTTGTTTTATAATTCGTTGCAATCGGATAGAAAAACCAGATTTACGTCGTTCTGACGTCTGCTACTTGACAACAGATATATACGATAGAAGATATCATACAGGGTGTATCAAAAAAAAGGTAATCCAACTTCAACAAGCTATTGTACGTGAACTACTCAGTCTATGAGCGAATTGTTTTCACATTCAGAAAGATCAGGCTTTTAACTATCGGATGACATGTTTTTAATACCAAATGGTGAAAAAGTGAGCACATACGAGGCTAAAAAAAATGTTAGTCGCAATCGCATATTTTCACCTTTGAGCCTAATTAAAGCAGTGCATAACAAAAGAAAAAAACAATTAATCATGAACATGTCACAGCTTGCACTGGTTTTATGCCGCATTGCTTGGAATGTTCTCCTTATTCCTACTTAATATGCATATGCGGGTAGTTTATTCAAAAGCAAAATTCTTCAATTAAGTCCTAAAGAGAGTTAATTTTCAATGGTTTTAGTCCCAACTCTCAGAGGTGAAAATATGCGATTTCGACTAACACTTTTTATCAGCCTCCTATTTGCTCATTTTTTCACCATTTGGTATCAAAAACATGTCATTCGATAGTTAAAAGCATAACCTTTCGGAATGTGAAAAAAATTCGTTAATAGAACAAGTAGTTCACGTACAATAGCGCACCAAAGTTGGATTACCTTTTTTTTGATACACCCTGTATAATACTGAGTTTTTTAATAGACACCCGTATCCAAGATGGCGGGGGGGATTGGTGTACAAACATCGTAAAGAATAAAATACTAAAAATTTAAGAGGATTATTTAAGAGGACTAGACTATTTATTTATTTCTGACGTGGATCGCGGAGACGGGGGGCTGCTCTCCAAATTTTAGGTGGCCAAAATGATTGAAGAAAAAATCAGCTTTCATCAGCGGTAAACAGTTCTCGATTCAAAAGAAAACATGCAAATATTTCGCTAGCGAACTAATTCTCCGCAAGTGAAAATCCAGCCTAAAGGCTATTCTTGCGACCGTGACCGGCCTGAAAAACAAAGCGCGCTTCGCCTGACCGGTCTGATCGCAGTGGAAAACCGGCTTAAGAGTCCTAAAACTGAACTAAATATTTCAGTGATATGCGCCAAATGTGTGTAAGACGCGTTTGGGATGAATACGATTTTCAGGGAAACGTTAATGTGTTGTATTTTCCTAGTTTCCTGCGCACTATACGCGTATACGTGTATTTTCCTAGTTTCCTGCGCAATATACGTGTCTCAAAATTTCCCGGGAACAATTACTTTCACGTAAACAGTGGATGCTTGAAGAAACGAGAACAATATTTTATACTCTCGCTTGTGGAAATACCACAAGAAATTAGAGCTTGATTGATTGAGCACATAACACATTTAAGAAATAGTATATTTTAAGACCAACAAAAAAGTAGTTTTGAGTGGTTCCAACCTCGTTCCCAGGGCCATTTTCTGTATTTGGGGTTTGGAGTGGTTCATCTAAACCCGCACGCCGAAAATCCGCGTCTACTGATCCGCGTCCGCCGGTCCGTGCTCCGTTTTATGTACGCCCTGTGATTTCCCGCGCGCTTAATTAACTCAAAGCGACTGGGGACGAGGCCATGAAGATGGGCGTCGTCGTTGCTGTTAAAAACTGCCCCGGAATCCCAGCGCATTCAAAGGTGTGTGCAGCTGAGCCGTGCAGACGTGTGTTGTTGACGAGCACAGTGAGACGAGCAATTGGAGATAGAATTTGGTGGTACGTTCTACTCAAGTAACGTTACATACACTGTTAGTAAACATCTATTTACAAACCAGTTAGGCTGTACATATTATACGCACGAATAGTAACTGCAAACATAAATATCTTCCATATTTATTTCTGTATATTCATTAATTAATTGACTCAGTGGTTCTCGAATTTTTTGTAATTCTTTTCATGTTATCTTAATACCTTTTTCTTGCTATTGTTAAATCATTTGATTTAAATGTTGTTCCTGACGACACCTATATTAACAGCGTTTGCATGTTAGACGCTTCAGGACAGGTAGTTTAGTAGAAGAAATGAACTACACGGATTTTGTAACTAAATCTGAGAGTTTGGAGTACCATGTCGCACACGTAGTCAACAAGCTGTATTATATCTGTTGCCTTTTTCTGCATCAAATATATTCGTTGGATTAGATATAGTACGTGCTAGAATAAACAGGCAAAGGGCAATTGCACTGTCGTATTTCTATAGTGATGGGTGAGCTCGAGTGAACTGTTAAAGTGTTATTATGATACGGCTCTTTGGCTCTGCGCTCTGGTACTGACGTATATGCTTAGCAGGAAAAATATCATACAACGTCACACAAGTTTACCCCCTTGGCTACAAGTACCTCAGTAATCTCCTCATACATTAGCAATTCATGTTGAATGCAGTTATATATGCACATTAAAAACTTTACTTCGTTTTATTATGTATTATTTGAATTGAATCCGACCCGATTGAAATTTCTAGTACTTTTGCTCCTAATAACGTATCGAATTACATAACATACCGAATGTACAGGATTTGCTCAGTTTGACAAAACCTCCAAGTTCAGATCGAATTTTTCGATTGGATTACCAAATATAGTTTATAATATGGAATAAGCGTCGCACCATGCATGTATGAAATGAATTTAAACGACTACAAACACCACGGAACGTTAATTGAATGCACAGTCAGGTGGTTCACTTCAGTAGATCCAGTTGAGATGATATGTGATAAGCCAAATGATTGATGATTGATGATGCCGATTTCTGACAGTGGCGCAGAGAGCAGACCTCCCGACGTCTGTCCATAGACCTTAAAGGAAAAAAAATTAAGGAAAAAAATGCGCTTTTGACTTTTGACGTATTTTCCGTTTGCGGACGAAACGTGATTGGTCAAGCACCTAGTTGACCAATCAGCTGGAACATGCTTTTCCGCAAAACGTCAAAGGCTTATTTTTTTCCTTATAAAAGGTATATCCTTTGTATTTCTTTACAAAATAATTGTTTTTACTGTCAACAAACACCAAATTATGGTTATTAGCACAGCAAGATTAGACTCCGCATCTCTGACGCAAAGAATACAATACAAAAAGAGAGTCGTCTTCATTGCCCTTTATTTGCGTAACGCTATTCGCCACGATTCGTCGTTCGTCAAGTATCCTATAACGAAGACGAAGCAGCTGAAAACAATTTCGTGCGGTCACAAACAATTTTTTTTATTATTCCCCCTTAAGCCATTAGCCTGGTTCCAATTAGTCGTAATTGACTTGAGCAGAATATTTCTATGAGTGTGCAGTGAAGAATGACCAATTTAAATACAGAAATAATTTAATCGACAAATTTAGGGCCTGTTTACATGGAGTGAGTTATCCCGGCTAGGCAAGGTGAAAATTGCATATAGTGAAAGACTAATCAAGTTAAGCCTTTGATGTGATGCGCTTTTACCACGCCTAGCCGGGATAACTCTCTCCATGCATGTAAACAGGCCCTTAAATCCGGACTAATTCTCATCGATCAAAATGACTTTACGACAATAACAACAAAACGACACGTTCACGTGGAAACCAGGCCGTTTGATACCTCAAATTATCTCATCTCATGCTTTAGCTAAACAAAACCACCCCAAACACCCCCGCGCGCTCGCTTTTTCTGCTGACCGTTATACAATAGCTGCATACAACGTTATATATTTTACTTCTAAAGCGCCTGCGTACGAGGCTGTTTCTCCAGCATGAATAAAACTTATTTCATTCGTATTTATGCTGTTACATTATGCATTATTTGCATCTTCTAGATCTGCGATGTTATCTTCGAAGGAAATTCTTAAGAAAGCGCAAAAAGGTTTGCTCTTTGCTACCCCTGACTATGGCTGCTTCGTTAATGTCCGTTATAAAGATCCTAGTAAATTTCCTGAGTTGAAAAATGGTGTTATCGCCCTATGCAGAGAATTGTTGAACCACGCTGATGTATTTGATGAGACACACCCAGAAGCTCGCACTCGTATTATCGTAGGTTTTAATCCAGAGCATTGGAAATACTGGTTTCCGGAAATCAGCCACCTAGAGCAACGTCCTCAGGAATATCTCATTGATACTTCAACCAAGTTTCTTCAGACTGGTGGTGACGTATTCTTCTTCATTAAGTCCGAAGACAAAAGCAATGTCGATCAAATTGGCGAACTCCTGCGTAAAGGACTGGAGAAACTTGAGCAGCCCGCTGATTTTTCGTATTCATCGCCTTCTGGAAAACGGATCTTGCAAAGAAGTTTTAAAGATGGTCTTGTCAATGCCGCCGACGCTGAAACACTCTGCTCCTACACTATCATTCCTGACAACATGAAAACTGGAAAACCGGGATCCTGTTACATGATGACACAGAAGTTTGAGGTTGATTGGTTAGTTCTCGGAAATATGTGGAATTCTGAGAAAGAAGATATGATTGGTAGACGCGTGATGACCGATTGCTTTATTCCTAATGTAAACGAACGCGCTCACACATTCCGAGCGCATTTTAATCCTGAAAAGTCACCTCAAAACATGCTGAATAAGCACCGAATCATGTTCCGACAATCACTCCCATATGGCACGTCTTCAACAGGAAAAGGAAGAGAAGAGGGAATTTTTTATCTTTCATTTGCCAACACAACTAATTCCTTCAGGGACATATTAGAAAGTCTTGTTGGAAATGATAAAGTTGCTGGTGCTGGCGAGGTTACTGTCGATCTTCTGCTGAATACTGTCAAGCCTTTGGAAGGAACATGGTGGTATGTCCCATCAGCTGAAGAACTTGGCGTGAATATTGCCTCGAGCGGGAATTTTGAAGTAAACGAATACTGGAACGTCAGCAATCCAAGTAATCCATATCTGTTCTACAATGAGAAGGAATATTTGTACCGAATGACCTCTGGAAGTTATGTGGATTCATCCGAGACTCCATCTTCTCGTGTCTTACGTCTTCTTGGGTATTCTTTCCGTCAATGGAATGACCAGTGGTTTCGAGAACGAGACGTTCCACCAATAAAGCATCTCGCGAACTACTTGATACCGCGTAAAGTAGAGAAAGTCATGAATCAGTCCGTTCTCCTCCGTAAAGCAAGATCAATCAAAATCTGTTTGTCGAAGGTTTTTACCAGTCATTTTGTAGCGGATATGGATAACAGTGAATTCTACGGCAACAAGGCTGATTTGTTCAATATTCATCCTGATGAAATTATCGTCGGACGAATGCCAAATTTTGGTCTTGGTATCGGGAAGGTTGCAATGCCGTATCTCAAAGAGGGCAACGAAAGAATGGATGCGTTCATGAAAGGTCTTAGTGAGAAAGCAGCCACTGGCCATGTTATTCCGAACATTGAGACCATTCTGCAGAAAGGCGTAACCGGATATATCTTAGAGTTGACGAGCAAAATTGCAACAGGTAAAAAAAATTCACGGAACCATTAGGACGATTTATCGCAACATATTTATCTGTTCACGATGATATTCTGGTATTATAGTGGTATTTCTATATATCTATTGCGCTCAAACGTACTGATAGAAGTAATTAGAATAAAGTCTAAAGACTTGCCGTATGACAGAGGAGAAAAAAGGCTCACGAGGAAGAAATGAATGGGAAAATTAATGCCATTTTAATATCTAAATTGCCATTTTGCTACGCTCCAGCTTGTAACTTCTGTAATACCAGTCTTGAGTGCGTTAGTGTCTTGCGTGCAAAGTGATCTTAATTTATTGCTTGTCGGACTTTCTTATGATATCACCCTTCATGCATTCTTCTAGGCGCTGGTGAGAAGGAATTCATTGTCGCTTGCATCAAATCCCTCAAAGGTGTCAGAAGTTATCTCTGGAATTATGGAGCCCTCGCACGCCACCTCGCAGAGTCGCAGCCAGAGAAACAAAACTCGCGAGAATATCCATTTACCGATGCCCAGAGGGAAAATCTCAAACGAATAGCTGCACGCATGGAACGCCTTTCCAAACACAAACCGGAAAGTTTTGTCGAAGCAGCCCAACTTGCTTTCACAGTCCACTGTTGCCTTCACTTGATTGGTGACCCCACTTCCATTGGAAGACTTGACCAGATATTGGAGCCATTTCTTGGTTCAACGCCCGAAGATGAAGCACAAGAAATTATCGATTGCTTCTTCGTAAAACTGGGAGAACGCGTCAAAGTGAACAAGACCAAAATAGTGGATAGAAACACGTGGGGAACATGCGCAGTTCCATACAGAAGTGATGGCCTGTTTCCAAATGGTGATTCCATAAACCAGTGGGTGCAACAATTGACGGTTGGTGGTTATAAGAATACAACCACAGGCAAGGTGAGCGCGTGTAATAAAGTTACCATGATGTGTCTGAAAGCTGCGAGACGTCTACCTCTGAATGCTCCATGTGTCAGTCTCCGAGTGCATCATGGTATTGAGCAGGAGTATCTGGAAGAAGCAGCCAAAGCAATGTTGAGCGGTGGTGCGCATCCAATAATTCTTCACGACGATCGTCTTATAGAAGGTCTCACAGATGTCATGGCCGAATTCAAGGAGAACGCCTCCGAAGATGATTTCAATAATCTCACTAATATTGCCTGTGATGGTTGTTACGAACCGCTGGTCGCTGGTGCCACGGAGTTTGCCTTCACCTATATTCCTTTGCTGCAAGTCCTCGAAATGGCTATCAACGAAGGAGCTACCTACTCTAGTGCTGGTCCTGCCTATCTTAATGGAACCCCCCAATCATTGCCAACTAAACCTGCGGCAAATATTGAAACATTTGAAGAAGTTAAAGAGTTATTTAGGTAAGATGTTAATGCTTTAAATTGTTTCGTAAAATAGCAAATGCAGATCGAATGAGAAAAATTGATATGCAATTCATGCAGCAACCTCCGTCGGAGGGCACTTTCTATCTAGTGCCCGCTGTTATATATGCTTGCTTATATTGCAATTTATATCTATAGGCAGCATATCGAAATCAAAACACAACAAGGACTGGTTGGTCTCCTGAGTAACTATGGCAATATATCATCTGTATGTCCCAGTCCCTTGCTATCCAGTATAATTGACGGCTGCGTGGAATCAGGACATGACATCACTGATGGTGGCGCTAAATATAAGATGATTGCAGTGATGTACATCTCTTTCTCAAGCACCGTTGATTCACTTTATGCCATTCAGCGTCTGTGCTTTGATCAAGATAATGCTATGATTTCTTTGGCGGACATGGTCGAGTGTCTGAAAAACGACTGGGGTTTTGACATCCATGAGCCAACATACGACAGGGTTGCTGGTGAAGTGCGAAAGAACAGAAAAGCTGAGTTCTACAAACAAGTCCGAGAACAAGCATTGAAGTTTCCTAAGTTTGGCACGGCAGAAGCAATTGGAAATCTCAAGATCGCCGAGATCGCTACTTTCCTCGCGGATTGCGTGGCTAATAGCATCAGGAAAGTGGCTAAACACGAAGGTTCGCCACTGTACAACCTCCTTGCTTCTTTGAAAGAAAAATACACCAGACCTGGCAACGATTTTGATCTCTTATTGATTCCCGGAAGTGGAACATTCGAAGGCTACATTGGCTGGGGTATGTCTTGCGGTGCATCAGCTGATGGTCGAAGAAGAGGTGAACCCCTTGGAAGTGATTTGAGTGCGGCACCCATTCCACAGGATCTGCCACCAAATCTCGTGAAGAATACAGCATTAATAAAGTAAGCATATGTAAATTATGTCGTATCGAGTAACTATATAATTAAGGTGGTAAATGGACTCTCAGAATCAGTTTTCCGTTTACACACAAATTTTCCATTTTCTTTCCCATGCAAACAACTAGCTTTTCGTGAAGTGGAATACACTTTAATTACACTGATCACGCATACATTTTTGGTCTGTAAATCTCTCTCAATTCCTTACAACGGAAACCCATGCGTGACGTAATTATCGAATGGTGCAGATTGTAGTATTTCTGAATATTAACTACTCCCTGCACTTTTATGATATTCCTTATTCAATTGTATAAATTCTCGCGATTAATATGTTTCGTCGAAACGTCAGCGACAAAGGCTTAATAAAATAATATTGACAATCGTTTAGAGCAATGAAAAGCTGGAATATGCGGGATCTAAATATTGGTGTGGCTAATGGCGCTGAAATTGACCTGGCTATATCGGAAGACTTTAGTAAGAGTGACCTGGTGGCGTTCTTGAGGAAATATGCAGATGAGGTTGACGACATTGGAGGAAATATTCTAACCGGTACTGCATATTAAAAGTGAAAGATTTTTAAATCGCTAAATTTGCAAACTATAATATGAATTTTTGTATTTTAATGTAGTCACCTGTGCAGATCCAGAGACGTACAGTGCTGCAGTTACAGATCCAGAGAAATACAACCTGTTGCGGGTTCGCGAGGGAGGCTGGAGCGAGTTCTTTATCACGTTCTTCAAATCACATCAGGAACAACACAGAAGACGAGTGCGTTATTACTATGACTCTTAAAGTCGTGTTTATGACATTTCTTTTCTAGCATTAAAAAAGACTTGCTAACTGGGTTTAGTTTAGATTGGTGTTTATTATTCTCATTATAATAAAGTAGTTGATGTATTAGGACGATTTGCATGGGATGACGAGTGTTATTAGATGTTGTATTTACCCCTTACTTTCAGTACGTTATATACAATACAATGATTCTTGTAGAAATAGTGCATTAATATGAAATAAAGCAGTTTGATATGATTAATCATTAAACTCTATAGTTTGTGATCAACTCAACGTTGATTTTCAACTTTCATGTTGGAAAAGATACATAAGGATGTTGCAAAAGACCCTAATTTTCCCCTCCATTGATTGAGTTTATTATCGAGGAATATTTTATACCCTTTCTACTTTTACACTATTTGTTGTCAGGATCAGCATCTCAGAGGTGTATACGTTTGTCTATACTTCGACACTCCATATATATATATATATATATACATTTGTTTTTTATAAGAAAACCTTCCATTATCTTTCTTGGTACACAACTCCGTCAGCATTCGCAATCTATACTAATGGGCTTAAAGATATTAATCTCCTCTTTCGCGATCTACTGATTTTGATGTTTGAAATTAAATTACTTGTTACTCGTGGCTTGTATTTGACTGATTATAATCCATTTATTTTGTTCATCTGCGCGCTTCAGTTGATTTTCTATTGAAATATAAATAATACTTCAACCTGATTTACGCCTTTTTTAAGCTACTGATGCGCGCATTTGCACATTGTCATTGTAAACATAAATCGACACATAATTTTAAGAACTAATATTTTGGTCTTTCTGCGAAATAGTTTCCAAACCTTTAGCTCTGCTATGCCTGCGTAAATGATGTTGCAATCCGCTAGAGCTGAAGAAGCTTTTCCTGCAGATATGGCAGTTGAATTCTTTTTTTGCTTTTGACCAATTTACCTTGTCATCAAACCTGTGGGCGATTTGTTCTTTTAGCTCATTTGATAACTGTTCCTTTCCTAAAGGTTTGTAATTGCCATGATTGAATGATTTCCTTGTTGTATTCAAAACTCTCTCCTCCGCAAACTCTTCACTTTTCATCGAATCTTTCTTACTTAAATGAGTGTGTTTGTGACATTGCAGACCATCAGACCTTGTAAAACATTTCCCACAAATCTCACACTGAAATGGTCGTTCACCAGTATGTATTCTCTCGTGAGCTTTCCAATGTGAACGCCAATGGTATGGTTTATTACAGAAACGACAATAAAATCTGTGCTTTTTCTCTTCTGACGCTTCAAGTACAGGAACCTTAGCTGTCCGAAAGTCACTTTTCGTTAGTCGAAAATCAGACTGACTTTGACTTTCATGAACATAATTTTCACCACTCAAACACGTCTCGTTGACATTGGAAGATTCAATGACGCTTCCTTTCAGATTTGATACGTGATTTCTTTCTAACCCGGGAGAACCAGATAAAATATCAACTGAAGGATTATTCCAACATGTTTCTCTTAGAGGTGATACTTGTCCAACACTATGAATAACACTTGGCCTTCTTTTGTTTATGTTACTAATTTCCCAGTTTATTAAAGACGGATGGTCCACAAAAATCGTTTCTTCCTCAGCTTGTTGATATATACAAATGTTTGGGAAGTATAATTGAGTTCGAAATGACAAGTTACCTGGAATGAACGTGCTTGATGGTAAACTGGAAAGTGCTGGACAGTAAGGAAACGCCGCTTCTCCAGAGTATAAGCGTTCATCGCCTTCTGGATATAATTCATCGTATGCGCATCCATTCATCTCTTTTGCACTGAAAATAAACATGTACCCATACTTAGTTTTCTATTTACCAAATCGGAGCAATTAGTATTAAAAACTCCAAATCTATCCATATAATTGTCAAATATAATCCAATGATTAAGTGCTGTGCATGTAATGAACGAATTCATTTGAATCATCTTGGGTTTTGTTACTCATTCTATGCTATATTGAAGATATTCTTAAGAATAAAACTCTTACCTGTCCTGATCCATTTTCATAGAATTCGGCCAAGGATGATGTGTCTGGATTCGCTATGCTGCTAGCAGAATTAGCTGTCACTCAATGATAAAATTAAAACAGATTTGCACGTTTAGTTCAAGGAAAAGGTTTCAAATGACTAACTTTTACTAGCTTACTTCGTATTTATAAAGCGATTTCTATTTCTGCGCATCATTGACGTAAGACGGGGAAGCATATTAAATTAAACCGTCCCAGTGCTCCGTCACGTTCGCCTACGCGCAACTCCCCATCTAATCAAACATCCATGCATGCACGTAGGTACTGCATTGAGTATATTCGAGAATTCTTTTATAGTTATGACAACCTTATAGAACATAAAAAAAAGAATTTTTTACGGGTTGGTTTTCCAAGCAATGGTTTTTCACATAATTTCCACGGCAAACATGCAAGACTACATGCAGTACAGAGTACAGAGATTCGATTATCAATTGATTGCAAAATAAAAACAACTAGTATATTTTAGTATGGAAAACAAAGATACATTGTTCATGTTATTAAATTCAAAGTGCAAAAATGGAGTGGGCAAAAAATTGCTGTTATTCTTTAAATATTGGGCTATAATTTTATATAGCTAGTAGCCTATGCTGCATGTGATTACATTGTCACATGGCATGGTCCCTAAATTATCTGAGCAGTTAATATAACAGGTATACCAATGCCAAGGAGTAAAGAATAATAAATAATGCATATTTATGGTAAGGCAACAACATAGGCAAAAGCTGAAAACAAATGTTTGACTCCAATTCTTGAGACAATTCAATGATATATTTCGTCGTATACGACGTATAACTGCATTGACCTGAACTGACACGTATCCTAATACGGGGGAACCTGATTTTGTGTATAAAATGATAGAAATAATCGAATGTTCGTAATGTCGTCCTAAAATACGAAAAACAATGATGCTGCAGACGTATACAAAGCTTACACACACGTAGCTTTTGCAAGTTATCTTCCGAGCATCGATTTGTAAATCACTTGCTGTATACACATGATCCACACACGTGCTGCACCGTGTGAATCTCACTACTTATGAATTCAAATTAAATGTTGCATAATTTATTATATAAATTCAGTAAATTTCTGTAATAAAAAGAAGACGAATCTCGATCTCAAGTAACACCAAACTCTACAATTATTTGAAATGAACTTAAAATGATTATATATAACATATCGGCATGTATAAACATATATATATGCCTATATATGATTATGCATGAATCCATATATATTATCTTAAACTTAAAATAAAGTGAACATTTGGAGCATGTACTCATATATCGAGCAAAATATACGCTCATCCTCCCATCCATACATTAACACATAGACATTTGCTAAATGAATCTCGCGACAGAAAGTTAACAATGACAGACAATCTACAAAATTTCCTTTATCTTTATACAGATCTAGAAAATAGAGAAAGATCTAATGGTAATTTCTTAAAATGTTGATATTTTTATATCTATTATTTGTTATCGTTCGAGTCTGAATATAATATTCAGGGCTTGGCACTTTGGCACTTTTCACCCTCACTGCATGATGCTCGCCATAGTGGAAATATGTATATATAATAATATATTATAGTATTAGCTAGAAAAGGTCTAGACAAAATAAGACAAAAAATTAATTAACAACGAAAAGAGATTTCAAATAACTTTTTTATCGATTTACTTTGATAAAGCTTATAAAACACAATCCTTTGTTTGCTCATGCAATATAATTATTTTCATATCACTCTATAGACGCAGCAAGCCAGGTGAGGAATTTTTTATAGATGTTAACTGCTTTGATTCGATCATATTTTCAAATTTCATTTAAAGTTAATACTTGGTTCTTGATATGTTAACAAAAAATTGTTAAATAGTCAGTCACAGATATTTTATAGCGCGATCGCATCTGGTTGAAATAACATCGCCATCGGAGTGTTTTAACTTTCATGCATGCAATTTGTCAAACTATACAAAAATTTTAATAAAAAAACTCTTTCTACTGCATGTTTATTAATGCATGGAAATAATTCTGCATGTTATCAATTGTATAAGAAGGCGTACAGAAAGGGATTATTTCAGGGGGTGTCGCGCCCCCGAAGTTCATCCTACTGCTCTGCAATAATAATAAAAAAATATTTTTCTAACTTTAATAATCACCGAAAAAATGTTCGCAATCTGATATGTAACCGCGCACCAGAAATATGCAAGCATTATGCGCAACTCTATATGCTAAACATTCGATGTTAAGGTATATACATTTAGCTACCAACAGTCATTAACTTCTGTTGGGAGTATTGCGCTTGTGAGTTGTGATTGGTTTATATGCGTGATAAATAAATACATATAGTATTGTTAAATATCCGTATAATATATTATGTGCTTAGGGGCGCAACATTATAGGATGATGATGTACGTGACACTCCAGCTCTTATGAAATCAGTCTTAAAGTCGGTCCGAGGCTTGCCTTAACTTGAATAATCCACGATGAAACTTGTGGCTAAAATAATATGAACTTTTTTACTTCAAAAGATCGGTATATAAATGTACAATAGACAAATTTCTAACGGTGTCAGTTAAATTGATTATATATAGTTTGTATAGTATGTAACACGTGTATCTTTCATCAAAATTTGCAAGAAAATTAGATTTAAAAAAATTTTCTAGACCCTAAAATTGTAACTGCAACTTGATAACGAATTACATCGTGAACAATTTCAGCGTTTTTAGAAGTGTGGCAGGTGCCTTGCATATAGTATATTCGCGTTCTTATCAAATTGACCTCCTTACTTAAAATATTGAAAAACTCGAGACTACCTCAATTCCAAATCGTTCCATCATCTAATTATGACCTGGTCCTAAGCTTGATTAAGATAATGATATAAACCTTTCATTTGTAATAATCTTTGATGGGTTCCTTTTTCGACAACGTGATCATATCTGCTTTTTGTACTCAGTAGATAATCTGTGAGCAATTATTAACGTTGTTCGAAGTTCGACCAAAACATGCTCTGCATGTCCAGAGCTTCTTTAACAACCTTCAATTTAAAAAAAAATAGCGATAGCGAGTGTCTCTATTCGGTGTGGGGGGTTAGTTGACCTAGTTCGATAAACAGCACACGCCACACGGCCTTTTTAGATTGAGGAGGGGATATAAAACAAGCATGCCTGATGCATGTTGTAATCATTGTGTACATAAATTGCCTGTATTTCAATATTTGTTCAACTACCACAAATTATAACTGAACTGTTGAACTGAAGAATTTTTTTAATAAAACTCTCGCAAATTTTTTTTTGTTCAGTTAATTACGTAGTCACAACACAAGAACCACAACTGCTGGAAATTATTTTACACAGCGGTCGAATCTCAATAAAAATTCTGATTCGGAACTAAAATTTGGAATGGTGCTCCTATATATTATGTATATATAAATATTATACTATATACATATTATATATATATATATATTTTTTTTTTAAATTTTTTTTTCTCTTATTAGCTATTCGCTACTATGTATTTAAAATATTGTCTTAATTCTTTTTTTTTGTGCACTATAGAAAGATATCTACATCTATAATCACACAATACCCCTCTTGTCCGCCTAGATTATAGTTAATAACTATTACGGGTTGGTGCAGTGTGTAATTTATTTCTAAAAAATTGAGAAAAAATTTGGAAATAAAACTCTTCTATTTCTTCTATTTTTATAGCTATATACTGAAAAGTTGGAATCGCACAAAATGACATAATTAAATTTTCAATATCCCTGAATGTGCATGTATGTATTCGTTGAGATATTCCAATTACCTTTTCCCTCTCCGTGTCAAGAGGTGATGTGGCTTCGTCCAAAAGGAGTATTTTAGGATTACGCAGCAAAGCTCGAGCAATGGCGATCCTTTGTTTTTGTCCTCCAGATATCAATGTTCCTTTATCTCCAACCATGCAGAGTACTTTGTCCCTAAAGGTATTTCATTTCGACAACCTTACTTCCTGGCACAGACTAATTTTGCCCATACAGTATAGCGTTACCAGTCTGGTCGAAGATTTAGTCAAGTTCCGCCATTACCATTTTAAGTTAATATAATTTCACTAAAAATTGTATAATTAATTTTGGCGATTTTACTCGATGAAGATAAGTATCAGAACCAGATGGCGGTCACTCTTTTTGAAGAGTAATTACGGAATTAAGTACAGCAGAGTCAAGGTCGTGTTTTAAGCAGGGGTTAATCGGGTCTTTTTTCTTATACAAAGCTCGAATTATTATCTACCACTTCTCCCCCTGATATACGAAAAATATACAGGAGTGTTTGAACCTTGATATAGGCATTAGAATTCTGTCAAATAAGATCACTGAAAAATGATAAATTATCTTACGCACACATACCTTCGGTAAAGTGTTAATAAAATCATGAATGTTCGCTGCTTTAGCTGCGTTTTCAATTTCCTCTTGGCTTATCTCCCTGCTGATGTCTCCATACGCAATGTTATCACGAATAGAACAATTAAATAGAACAGGTTCTTGAGAAACTATCCCAATCTGGCGACGAAGCCATGAAACATTTAAGGACTTTACATCTTTGCCAGCTATCATCTTAAAGAAACGGTTGTGTCAATTGATATAGTTATTAAAGCATAGCAAAGGCTCTATTATATAACTGATAGCCATATACAACGACGGAATAACACATCATGCAGGGTTATATTATATACAATAGTGAGTCAACTGAACGATTATCAACAACGAGATCGAGCAAAGCAAGATTCATTGCCTCTCTTGACCGGTATAAACCTTCAAACAATTCAGCTAGAAGTTTAATTATGTGCCTAATTTGAATTTGAAAGACATCACTTTTTTTACTCACCCTGTGTAGGTCGAGCTTATATGCATGAGTGAAATAATCCAGTACATTAGTCCATGCAGTAAGACATGTCACTTATAATCAGCGGAGAGGTGGTGAATATCCATATATTCAGTTCTGATCTGCCCGACGGATTTCTTTTGTAAGTGCAATAGCTTACAATAGAAATCCGTCGGGCAGAACTGAATATATGGAGAATATTCACCCCCACCCCCCAATTATCGTTCTACAGGGTGTCCCAAAAAAAACGAAAACTATTGAAATCACCCATAACAATGCCATTGTTAGAGTTTGAATGCCTAAGCACTCTGTTGGCCCACAAGTGTATAAATCGGGGTTGCCATAAGGATTTTTATGCATACATATGATGCAGTCAAATTTGCTTGTTCGCAAAAATGATATTTAAAACAATATTTACAATTTACAAATATGGATAACATTATTCAAATGTGCATCTCAAGGACCATGACCTTCGCCATGTCCCCTTTCTCTAGCAACACAAAGCATTTAGCATTTTATAAGTTGCATGAAATCCCCACGGGTTGAAATTCGTGAACACGGCATTCAAATTTTAACAATGAGTGATTTCAATAGTTTTCGGTTTTTTTGGGACACCCTGTAGTTAAGCTGTAATAACCGTCAATTTACAACTTCAAAATATTTTTCATAAAAACAATTTTCCTAGTTTCTCCCCTTAAGTAGCAACAGTGTGAATATTTGAAATTGTTTCCACTGCAATCTGGAAATCAAGCTCAGTACAGGTGTTTTTATAGTAAGCCACCTCCTCCGCAGGCGAGGGAGCATTTCGGCGAAAAATATCACCGCCCGCTACATTTGCCCGGAAATTGGAAAAGGGCCTGCGGAGGAGGTAGTATAGTAAGTATAATCTGCCACAGAACTATTTATATATATACATAGTTCATAAATTAATTTGGTTAAATTTTTCTTCAGCCTTGATCACTACATATATTTTCCGGCATAAATGTAACAATGGCAATACAGCGTTTTGCCAGAAATAAATTATAATATGGGAGTAAGGGAAGCTGAAGAAACTGTTCTGCATTGTATTAATATGTCATGTGCGAGTGTACCAGCTCATGCAATCATACACGATAATCAATGAGTATAATTGAATGTCACACGCATGCGCAAAAGACGATGCGTAAAATTCAAGATGTATTGATAACAATGTTTTACTATTGATGAGTTGCTGCAGAGGTTCGTGCAGCGGAAAGACAAAACAACCTGCTATATTATACCTCTTGTCGAAACCACAATTATTTTCCATTTCCTAACTTTATCAACAGTTAAAACACTTGCGTGAGATCTCCAGACCGTTGTTACTACATTGACAAACATTAAATTTGAAATGTTTTATAAGCCAAAGGATGGATGACGTACAGTATCAGAAGGCTATGACTCAACTTCGGGCACGTTATTCATATATATCAACCAGTGTAAAGAGTGCATATTTGAAAGCATATTTACAGATATTTGGTTAATTTACTGTCCGCGAACAAACCAATTAAAGAGCTCTGTCATGAGCTCCACCATGATTTCCGCCAATCATATGCCTGACGTGTACCCCTTTATACCATATTATTAGCACACATATACCATACACATCCATCAAAGACATTTGAAGATGCATGAAAATACAATTCTTGTGGATTTGTATTTATAGGACAATTATGTCGGAAACAATAAAATTTCGCCAACCATGCATGCTTAGGCTTCTCGTGGAATTTGAACCCTTAACATTGAAATCCTTTTTATTAATATGCCGCTGATTATTGATATTAGTAATACTAGAATGTGGGGCTATTGCATATATATGTATTTAACCAATTGAAAACAGCTATTACTTACTCTATCAATATTTATATTTATAATATATATAATATATATAATAAGATAAAATGAATAGCTAGGAATATTGATCATGTAGCTATACATATACACATGTTATATACATAATACACTGGCAGTCAAAAAGAACTGCTCAAATGATGCTATTACCGTATGTAATAGGAATCGTGACAATCAATATTTTAATATAGCTACACTAGCGGTCAAAAGAACTGCTTAGACACAAATTCATGAAAAAGAAGCAAATATAGGAGAGGGCTTCATTGGCATTGTGGATACATCTCTCATTCCAAGCAGTATTTCAATAATAATAATAATAATGTAATGCATCCATGATATCTGTTTGCTGTACATGAAATCATGTTTGCTGTAAAGACTGTAGAGATGGATTAATTCACAAAGCATCCATGATATCTGTTTGCTGTACATGAAATCATGTTTGCTGTAAAGACTGTCCATAGGATGAATTTCCATTTTAACTAAAATTACCACCTTAACAGAAAGTATGCCACGCCGGTGCGTGTTAGGCTGTCAAAGGAGGGTCAACAAAATTTTAATATTTCATATAGTTTAGCATGTAATCTAGTCTAGATTTACTCGTATAGTTGTTAGAGGAACATGCAGTTACGCTTTGAGAGCATTTTAACTTGTTTTGAGCAGTTCTTTTTGACCGCCAGTGTACATTGCAAAACAAAGCAACACGGTGATAACTAAATAAAATATTAAAATGCATGCAGCTCCAGATGTTGCTTCATATTGATAGAACAATGTCAACTTTCAACAGAAAGAACAATGCGATGACCGCGACAAAAAATTATATGACGTTGCTCAGACATTATATGATTCACTATTTTAACTAAATTTCAATGTATACATAAATATTGGTATTTCAGGCCCATAATAACAATCTTCATTTGTCTGCATGAAATAGACAACGATCGACGGCAAATTAGGCCTACATAATATCAATTTAAGTTGTAAAATATTTAAAATTTATATTATATATAGCTGGAAAAATATTTAAACTTATATTGGTGCATGCATGTATCACCTCAAAACGCGTTAACCGCGCTCGAAACATGCCTTTTATACTCTGTTTTTTTACCAGATATCCAACATCAGATTTCTTTTCACATTGAAATAATGAACATAAAACGCTTTAAAACGGCTATATACTTATCGTAATAAGAAACTTTACCACATCAAGTCTGAGCTTGCTGAAGATAATAATAAGCGCCTTTCATCTCCAACAATTTCTGATGGGTTCCTTTTTCAACGACATGACCAGATTTTATTACTGCTATCATATCTGCTTTTTGTACTGTAGATAATCTGTGAGCAATTATTAACGTTGTTCGACCAACACATGCTCTGTCCAGAGCTTCTTGAACAACCTAAAAATATGATGAACATCTTTAAAAGGGATGCATATAAATTATATGTAATAGTTTAATTGCAAGTAATAGCAAGTAATTATAGAAAATGCAGGAAATTGCCAGGTATATTCATTATTATTATTCAAACCTTTTCACTTTCTGTATCAAGCGCAGAAGTGGCTTCGTCCAACAGAAGTATTTTAGGATTACGTATCAGTGCTCGAGCAATGGCGATCCTTTGTTTTTGTCCTCCAGATATTAATGTTCCTTTATCTCCAACCATGCTGTCATAGCCCTGTAGAACAAAAACATTTTCGTTTTCTCGTTTTGCTTGCTATGACATCATGGTTTCAGATGAAATCCAAAGAAAAATGATCTCGGAATTTCTAGTGACAGCAAATCATTGTGCAAACTAACATGGGATTATATTTTCTATTAGAGGTTCAAATCTATCCAGCAATGACATCAATGGAAGAATGAATGGACATTAAATTCCAAGCGTAATTAACTTGAAAATCAAATTTTATCAGGAACATAAGATCGCCTGTATAAGTATTCGGCAGTAGTTTACATGAAAAATCTATTAATAATCCTCCATGATTGCATAATAATAGATTATATAAAATGTGTTGTCATTTATCATTTGCCTCATACCTTCGGTAAAGTGTTAATAAAATCATGAATATTCGCTGCTTTCGCTGCGTTTTCAATTTCCTCTTGGCTTATCTCCCTGCTGATGTCTCCATACGCAATGTTATCACGAATAGAGCAATTAAATAGAACAGGTTCTTGAGAAACTATCCCAATCTGGCGACGAAGCCATGAAACATTCAACGACCTGATGTCATTACCATCAATCATCTGTAAAGAGAATAAAATCATACTATAGTAGCTACGTAATTTTAACTTTCATGCAGTCAAAGGTATACACTTTTTTAGGGTACTTACAACACTGCCCATTTCAATATCATACAGCCTTTGAATGAGTGAAACAGTAGTGCTTTTCCCACAGCCACTTGATCCAACCAAAGCAACAGTCTTTCCTGGTTCTATTTTTAAATTCAATCCACGAAGAACTTTAACATCTTGACGGAATGGATATCTGAATGTGACGTCCTTAAACTCGATATAGCCCTCGCTAGTGCTCTAAATAAATAAACAAAACTCGTTTCTTTTATGAAGTAAGAAAAAAGGAGTGAACTAAACTATGCATGTATTATCTAATTTACTGGTTTCAGTCCTTCTTCGGAGTCACTTTGGATAATAGGAGTTGTATCAAACAGCTTGAACATTCTGGCTGCAGCTATTTTTGCTTTGACATAATCTGGTGTTAATGCACTCATCTGTCCTGCCATCATAGCTCCCATTTGGACCGCAAGAATAGTTCTAAAATGCATGTTTCAGTAAACCATTAGCAAAGTATGTTATGTTAGGTGGCTATAATTTATACTCGCTAAACCATTGAAAAAACCTTGAGTTGTCTTATACTGATATATATAAAATATTATCATTCACTGTGATAACAAGAATAAGGATAAATTCTGCCCTATATGCATGGGAAAGTCAATAAACCATATACCACACTCATTCAACAACGCTATACAACATGTAATCAACTTCAACCTACTTCATGACGTCAGTAAAAGACATTTCTCCATTTTGCACCAAATATCCCGCAAAACGGAACGCTGCTGCATTGGATAACAAAAAGAAACTTTGGGATACTCCCGCGAACATTCCACCGATTATACCCTTTCTTTTACGTTTTCTAAACAAATTCATATAGTATTTCATATTAACTATTTTTAAATATTTTCCTTGTTAATGGACCTTTTCCATAATAGACCAACTTTTGAGTTTGAAGACAAAAAGAGAATTTCCGAAAAGTCCATACAAAAATTAGTAAAATTGCCAAGTTTGGGTGCGAAATATTGTAAGGTGCGGAAAATATAGCCATGCGAATTTGGCAATTTTGTATACTTTTCTATTACAGCCGGACGTGTGTAACTAAATTAGTTACACGCTTCCGGCCGTAGTAGAAAAGTATACAAAATTGCCAAATTCGCATGGCTATATTTTCCGTGCTACTTGACATTTTGAAACCAAACTTGGCAATTATACTAATTTCGGTATGCTCTTTTTAACTGTGGTGATTTATTTCATCCTTGTCACCTGGATAATGAGTTGGTCTATTATGGAAGAGGTCCATTGTTTGCCCTCTTGAAACACAAGCAGACATAATACTCACGTGTACATCTCTGAGACAGCTTCCATGTATTTCTCATAAAAACATTCTTCCTTGCCCAACGTAGCGACTGTTTGGATATTTAAAATTGTTTCAACAGCTACCTAGTAAAAGAGTATGAAGTTTGAAACGCTAATATTCAAGGAAAGAAATAATATAAATAACCAAGGTAGTATCATGCATATTTCGATATCAATTAAGAAGATAACTAAATTCTTACTTTGCCTGCCTCTTCGGAATTGATAATATTTTCTGAGTCCCCAAAATACATCCGCATCTCCATCACACCTCCAATGATAATAAAGGGTATAAAAGCAACTACAAGCAAAGCTAGTTTCCAACCAGAAGCAAACGCTAACGCTAAACAACCAACTGTTGTAATGAGAGACGATGCAATTCCTCCTAATCTTGGTCCTGTTGCCTTCGTTAAATAAGAAAGTACGTAAGTTTTTAAAAATACTATAAAATGTAGATATTAAGACAAACTCGCGTGCCGTTCATCTGTTTATGGGACTGTAAAGCGATTCATGCATGTATTACCACATATACTATAACATGTACTTCCTGATTATTTAAACTAGTCATAACTGTGTATTAAGTAAATAAGAAAACATATATCAAAAGTCTAACGTAAAACCTAGCGCTCTAATTAATTAAGCCAACCATGATTTGTCTATGTATAGAATGTATTAGATCTCTACACGAGTGAGAACAATAAAATACTTAATGTATGGACCACTCTCCTACGCCACTTACCCCTTGAACACTTGATGCATGGGTGGCTAGGTTTGATGTAAGCGCTCCAGTGGAATGGTAGGGATCGTCAAAGTAACTTGTATCCTGGAAAAGAACGAAAAAATAAGTATTGACGTAACACACGTATTGACCCTTCCTGATTCACAAATCACAACTCACTAAATCCAATAATAAAAACTACATTTAATTATCCATGCTGAAACTTACTTGGCGAACCATAGATTTAAATGCTTGCTTTCGCAATCTCACTGTTAAAATTTCTCCAGCTATAGCATACATCCAAAACTAAAAAGCACAAGATATTTTCATTCCTACAATAAAGACTCCAGAGAAGCAAACAGATCAGTGGGGGTAAAGTTCCAACTTCAAACAAGAACTTCAGAACTAGTGTCTTTAACTATGCAGCAGGGGCAGAGGGAATTTAAGGTTTTGTTCCTGGGAATTTGGTTAAGATTTTTTGCACCTCAGTGGACTAATATTGAGGAATGTTATTTTTAAAGATTGAAACTCAATTTTAAAAAACACTGGAGTAATTTAGCAACCTAATTGTGCGATTGATTCTATTATGCACCCATTTGCAACGCTGTGGAAAGAGAAGTTGATTTTAGTATACCTGAACTGTATTCCCAAACAGCATAACAAAAGCTAAAGCCAAAAATAATAACGACCAAAATTCCGAATCTTCTTCCATTTCGTTCCTCTGAGAAGGAATATCAGGATTTTTTGCGAATACCTGTCAAAATAGATAAATTACCTTGATTACACCAATTAACTGATTGAAGTACAAATATTTTAAACTATACATAAACAAAACTAACGAATGAAAACAAACTGCTAACTGTAAAAAAATATAAAACAATACCGTCATAATAATACAAATGAAAGAATAATAAGACCTATTCATTAATCTATTATTAAATTCCCCGACACCTTCTCTATTTCCAAACATTGTTATAGGAAAAAAAATGATCGCCCTAATCCTAGAAATATTGTAAATCTCTTTCTTCTCTTTGCCAGATGATCTGTTTATAATCTGGACTTAAATAATGAGAGTAAAACTGAATGGGAAATAGTGTACTTACGCCAAATATTTCACCAAGAAGAAAAGCAAAAACAAAAGGAAATGAGCCATTGATTGCTGCACCAAACGTTCCAAGAAGTAAATAATGCCATTCTGGTTTACTCATTTTAATAATTCTTAACGCTGCTGCTGGTTCAACCTCTTCTTCAATAACATGTTCACTTTCTTGACGCTACGACAGAATTCATGAAAAAATTGTTTCAAATTTATGCATGAGTGGTAAAGTGTAAGCGGCTCTAAACACCTTTTTTCAGAAACGAACTTGGACCTGTGAACGACTTTGAACTGAATGCCGAGTTTTCTCCCTTCCTCTCTCTTCCCCTTCCTTTAGTTCCCCGTCCTTGCATGGTTCATAATCTTATACCTTATATCCTGACTGTTGTCTTGATACTTGACGATTTACTTTAGGTGAATGAACGGAATGTTTTGCTCTTTCACTTCCAGAGGAAATACTTCGAACAAGCACTGCAGGTGGATGGCCATTCTTAACGGAATCTACAATATCAGAACAGGTAATAGTAGTTTCGAGTGCAATTTGGAAAAAAACGAACGAACAGTATTTAGTTTTTCAGGTTTTCCCCGATTTTTGAAGATTGGGCCGACTCAACAGCTAATTATCTATTCAACTTTTGCATTTATTGATTATATATTAGATATATTAGATATATATATTAGGCAAAAACGTAGCAACGTACAGTAGGTCACCACAAGGGATAATTTTCACAACCTACCATCCACGTTTTCCTCTTTGCTGTCTTCTTCAGCTTCTTCTATTGTCTAGTAAAAGAAATAAATAATTAGCCTCGGGTAAAATTCTATATGCAGAGTGTGAGTGAATATATAAAAATGATTGGTTTCGTCATAAGTTTATTGGTATTAAAAATTAAAATAAGAAGATGGATGCTGCTGTTTTTCTCATCGTTTTGGCCTGGGCCCTGGGTAACAGGGTTGGTTTACACGTCACATCGAGGTCGCTTCGAGTGCGATTATTATAGTAAATATAGTCACATAAAAAGTTTTATTATTTTCTCTATATATACAATCTCCGTCTTGATTGGTTAGCCGCCTACAAATAATTCCTGGTATTTGTAGTTATGACGTCAAATTAACAAATATTTCCTGGTATTATGTATTCGTGACATCATATCTACAAATAATAGTTTCTATAATTGTTGAGGCCCAGCGAAAGCCGGTTTTGAAAAGTCAAAATAATTGTTAAATAAAATGATTGGTAAATAAATAATTATCACTACTATATTTGATCACTATTTTAGTTAGTTAAGATGAACAATCATAGGCGTAGGGGCGAACTTCGTTTGGGGGGGTCAAAAAAATCGCCCGAATTTTTCAATCATACAATGTGCCCGAGTTTTAACTTTTACCAGATTTGTAACAATAAACTTGGCAAAGCGCCAGATGTGCTTTCAAGAAAGTGTAACAAAATTGGCCAAATAGAAGACACATGTGTGATATATATTACAAAATTTGGTTTTAAAAATTTTAGCTATGTAACTCTTTTTCAGTTTGCCCGAATTTATCAGGGCCTCGTTTCGCGTTATCGATAACGCCACCCTCTATCATGATAATTCTCAATTGTTCTAAAAACATATATCAACATCTTTCATATTATTAAGAACAAACCTGCAAGATAACTAATTGCTTATAGACACCATCTTTGTTCATCAACTCGTCATGTGTACCGATTTCGGCCACAGCACCATCTTTCACAGCAACAATCATATCTGCATCACGAACGGTAGAAAGACGATGGGCAATAACGAAAGTTGTTCGACCTTCTCCTGCCTTCAATAAAAATAATCGTGGTCGTTAATTTCGGCTATGAACAATCATTTGAGAATATTGAAGCTCTCAGGAAAAGAAGTAACTGTCACAATGGTAACGGTTGGAGGTAAGCAGGAAGAAATGGCTACTAAACTGTATAAAGTTCCGATCAGATCTGGTTTCCCAAAACGTTCTGAAAACATTTTTATACTATAGTTTTAAAAGCTTTCAATTCCATTTCAGGGGAATGTTGTTAAAGAATACAAAAGCTAGCCAATCTCATATTTCATGAATGCATGAAATTTACCTTATCCAGTGCCTCTTGAACAATGGATTCACTTTCAGTATCAAGAGCTGATGTTGCTTCATCTAGCAATAATATTGTAGGATTTCTGACTAGTGCACGAGCAATGGCAATGCGTTGTTTTTGACCTCCACTCATCTGAGCTCCTCTCTCTCCGCATAGCGTTTCATAACCCTTAAAAATAATTTTTTTAGCCCAGAAACCATCAGCTGTAGTCCTGGTCGATCATTAATTAGAAAAAACAGTAAGTAAATGCCTGGATGTAATAATTTTATTAAACGAACCTGCGGCATAGCGGATATAAAATCATGTGCATTGGCCATCTTCGCCGCCTCTTTAATTTCGTCTTGTGTTGCATCATCTCTTCCATAACGAATGTTTTCAGCAATTGTGGTTGCAAATAAAACAGGTTCTTGACTGACTACGCCGATATGCTGACGAAGCCACTTAAGATTATACGTTTTGATGCCTCGTCCGTCAATTGACTAAACGAAATATAGTTTTATAAGTTTTAAAACTATAGTCTACCCCAAACCCATTATTTTCTTCATGAATTAAAGATCTCCATAAGACTTAAATGTATAATTTGATGACAAAACATATTTCATTTTTCTTTCAAGATACATCAAATGTCTCAATAAGACGTCATTCTCTAGGGATCACACAACATGTTGTTTTAAATACGCAATTAAAACACCAATTAAAATCCTTCATAACTTCATGCAAATTAAGGAATCACCCTAAATGGTACGAATACTATTTTCTGGCTATTTCAAACAATTTCAGAATGATTAAGCATGGCGTATAATAAAATCTCTTCAAATTTGTAAGCTTATCAAAACTCTTACCAGATTGCCTTCTGCAATATCATAAAATCTTTGAATGAGTTTAACCACAGTACTTTTGCCACAACCACTTTCACCAACGAGTGCAACTCTTTTTCCTTTAGGCACTGACAGAGTAAACCCATTTAGAATCTAAAACAGATCATTCGTCAGAGATAAGTATCAACTCAGGATCATACATCAGGTATATAGAAATGAACTATGATTATAAATATGACGTTGCATGAACACTTAACTTTTGTGTATTGTTATAGTAAGTACTGGGCATGCTAAACTCCTGGATTCCATTCTAATGCATATACACTTCTTTGTGAATATTTCCAGACTAGACTTATTGGAAGTTATTATGCATGCCTTTACCTGAATGTCAGGCCGCGAAGGATACGTGAATGAAATATCCTTGAACTCAACGTTTCCTTCTAACGTTTCAGGCACCACGCCATCTTCAGATGAAATATCAATAGCAGGAGTCTAAAGTACATAATACTGGTGTGTACACAAACAATTCCAACTTATTATTTACATAGTGTTCGGCAGTATATACCATTATTTCAATGATGCAGGTGCGAACATGAATGATCATGAAAGTTGAACATAACTGATTCGTTGTTCAAACTTTTTTGCGCATATTTGTTAATGAAACTTTTCCCATCGTACATTATTCATACTTACGCGATCTATCAGCTCGTAGACGTGATAGGCTGCACCTCTTGCCGAGGCAATTCCTTGCATACTGGGTCCAGCTTGACCAGCCAAAATAGATGCAATCATAACAGTGAAGAAAACCTGCATGGTATAAGTGAAAATTGGAATGATTTGGCTCGTTACACAGGCTCGCTCACATGCGAGAAAAGATCAGCTTCAGAACTTTATGCAGTTAAGAAAAAAGATCACAATGGAATGCTGGAATTTCAAAGTTGAATCGCACGCCCGTAGACCAATTTTTAGCCAGTGAGAGTATAATTTTTAAACTTTACTTACGATCAACAGATCCCCACCAGTCATTTCTTTTTCGATAACCAGCGTAGCTCCATACCTGAAAACAACATTGAAACATATAGCACCGAGATTTTTCAATCAATCCATAAAATAAAAAAAGATCAATAAATTCAAATTAACGATTATTAATTAATAATTTTACACACCAAAAAGCCAAGGCGTAAGAACAAAACATGATGAAATTAAACACCCCCATGCCAAGACCATTTGCCAATCCTTTTTTCTCTCCCATTTTACGAGCTGCGCCAAGACGAGAGGTGTACCTATTAAAATGCCATTGAATTCCGTATAGCAACGTACTTGCCAGTTTTTTGAAAGTTTTGTCGCAAATAAATTACTGTATCAAGCCTTGGTAAAAACGCATAAACTTTAAAAACCAATCGACACTTCATGTGTTCAATTTAGCGTACCTTTCAGTTTCTTTTTCTTCTCCGCCAAATGCTGCAACTGTTCTAAACGAAGAGAAAACCTCCTGGGCCACGCTACCTGCTTCAGAATATGCTTTTAACTCTTTTGTCGTAAAACCCGTGATCACCTGAAAATAAATCACGCCGGTTATGGCTGATCGACTTAAATGAAACATGTAAAGGACAGAGACATTGAGTCAAATGCAATCCTGAAGTAACCTTTGTCGCTAAAAATATTAAGCTTAAAATTGGAGACTTCACTTGAATGACTCAAGTCGATATATCGCTGGAAAATTATAGGCCTGTAGTATATTTGGGATACATATATGTATGTTTACAACATCACAAAACATATTTTTACCCATCCTAAGAATCCGCCAGATATAACAATAACGGGAAAAAGGGACAATATAACAAGCGTTAGTTTCCATCCATAGAAAAAACCAAGAAAATAACCACAGATAAAGCCCGAAATGCAATATTGAAACGAAGCCAACTTGTGACCAAGTCCATCCACAATTTTATTCAAATCACTGCAAAAGACACGAAATAATAACGAATTTAAATACAAAATATTGATTTGGAGAATAATTCAACTAACTAAATAAAACACGTATGATGAAAAGAATCGGTTTAGTAATAAAATTATCACTGCATACTCAGATAAGCGATTGTTTAGCTCTCCAGCATCATTCGTATCAAACCAACCCATTTCTTGACGAAGAATGGATTTGAAGAAAGCTTTGCGGATTGAATTTCCCTGACGTTCAGCAGTCAATCCCCATGTGACCATCCGTATACCTACAGCTACTGCCATGGCAACGGCGATACCCACGTAGTAATAAGCGAATGGCTTCATATCTTCCTCAATGTTAGGAATAGTTGTACAGTTCGAACGAGGATCCAAACATACTGTATATTCAATGAAAGAATCTGAGAGATCACCAAAAATAATAAACTGAACTGGAAGCATTGCTCCTTGGGCTAAACTTCCGATGGTGCCAATGATCATCAAAATCACATCAAATCGATCAGCAAAACGAAACTGAAACGATAGGTGTTATCAAATAGCAATCAAGCCGTATTTTTTATTACACATAATAATACAGTTCTAATAGTCAAAGTTTCATATTATGTCGTTATTTGATATTGATAAAAAGTAGTGGGCCTGTTGACAAAAGACCTAGTGGCCGGTCATTTGATTTTGATCGACTGTGGTGTGTTTTATTGAATTAGTTATTCCACGGTTTTTTCACTAAAAAGAATTAAAAAATAACCTCCACAGGATTCACATGCACAGTTATATAAACAGACACTGAACACTCCTTACCAAGTCCCCATAGGAAACCATCGGTGTTGGTTCAGCCTTCTTTTCACCAGATTCTTTCTTTTCTTCGGATGTCTTCTCATCTTTACCGACATCTTCAGCACTGGAATTAGTCACAAGCAACATTCAGTTGTTTGTTTGAACATAGTGATTATTGTTTATAATTCAACTAAAGTATATGTTTTTTTTTAAAATGACGGGCAACCAAACATCTTTTGAGCTATACTAAGAATGTTGCTAAAAATTCATGAGAATTTTTGCCCTCTGCGACAAGGAAATAGGAATCAGTGGCATGGTTCAGAAATCGCATGCAGAGGTGGGTTCAGCTCTTGGGGCCAGTTGTTCAAAGCTAAGATATTACATTTTAATGCATGTGCTTTTGTATTAAAACTTTACAAAATAGGATCGTATTTCTGCGCCCACGCTCTCATGGAGGGGGGCGAAGAAGCGAGGCGAGAGGCATTTGATAGGTGGAGATTTATACTATAATAGTTAAGCTATTTTCTAGTTTCATGCTTGCCCGTTATTAATCATCTACAGTCAGGCTTGATCGATCTCAATTTTCCGGCAAGTGGGTCGATTACAAATGACAATAAAATTGAAAATCAATGACATAATTTCCATAAATCTAGAAACTCTGCTGTCACCGGTCTTGCGCCTTCCCATTAGTAATACAAATTCGGTTCCCTAAAATTAACTTATTTCTAGGTACGTCCTCTTTTCCAACCTAACAGTCCAGAAGGAAACCGAAATCTCTCACCGCCGGAGCGAATTTTAGTGAACTTACAGAATAGCCGGTAACGTCACTCATTCAACATTTACCGCTTGAATTTGATCTTATTGTAGAAGTACAAGACAAATGCATACGAACAAGCTATCGAAGTGTCAAGTAGTTTTAGATTCAATCGGTTATCCAGTCCAGACACACAGTTTCAAGTTATTACTGAAGTTTTATATTGCATTCAAAATAAACACTGAGATAAATATAACTGCATGAGAATTGTACAACAAACCTTTTATCCAAGGCCTTATTTTCTGGCATTATTCAAATACAAATTGTCAAACCAATTGAATCATCAGACCTTCTGTGTCTTGCACTACACACATTGACTGCACTTATATTGAACAGAGCCGAATACTGACGATATTATAAAGACTAGTTCATACATCATGAAATTACATCAAACGGTAATTATATTCATAATCCAAACATTACGTAATTCAAACTGGTTGTTCAGTTCGGCGTGATTTTAACTTCTGCCGGCATGATATAGCGTCTTTCGACAAACTGTGTCGGCGTGGTCACATACCTAATTAATAGTTTAGGGCGTCGCAGTTAGACAAAATCTACAACTTGATTTAAATGGTTCGTGCTTATTAGAGCTCCAAATTCTGCTATACAAGTACACTAAAAGAGTCAGTGTGCATTTCATTTAAAGATCAATACAATCAAGAGAGATATACGTATCATACGTTTTAAATTTGTGCTGAAGATTCAAGATTTTAATTATAACCAGACATGATCATAATTTATAGGCTCAAGTAAAGATTGGTGTTTGCCCAAGCATCTTAACGCGTTTCGTTCTATTTCATATATGCTCGTAATTTCATGTATTCACCCGATATTTGCAAGTGAAAAAAATAATTAAAAAATAGAACTTAAGCCTTATGACGTCATAATAAAAAGAGAACTTAAGCCTTGTGACGCCCACATCAAAGAGACAAAGATCATGGGATTAATAACTGACCTTCTTAAAGCCAAACACTGTTGCACCATCATGATGTAACACTAACACTATAGTCTTGTCTACAACCTATCAACGTCTTTCTATTCTATATTTACGTCGTATCATAGCGATCTTACATATAAACTTACAAACAGAAGTAGTTTTTTTAACTATCATGAACCAACACAATTCACAAATAAAGGTCATCAATACACTGTCAACGTAGTATTCGGACATGTATCAGTATGCGACTCTCTTCATATACCGCTATTTAAAACTGCAGCTTGTTCAACGACTCAACGGACATTCGCATATAGAGCTGTCCACATCTGTATTAAAACATTTAAAGCAGCACTGAGGAAACATCTGCTTGAGAGAACATTTAGAATTACTAACTAAATTATGCACATAGTTTGTAAAGCTTATATATGAAACCTCTACTGCATGCATGCTAAATGTAAATAATTTCTGAAAAACCCTTTTAGCGGAGAATTTATTAAATCTCTATCTATCTATTTTGATATATCTATAACAAGCTGATTGAATTGTGTATAGTATACCACAGAAGTAGTTACAGTAAAAGGCTAATGATATTGGCACTATTGCAGTTTATACATCAAAATGTGTCCATAATATCTCGACGATATCCTCGATTACACGGAAACCCTCCTTAAAAATTCGCCGATAGCAGCATTTTTTTCAAGCCGCAAAAGAATAAAACCGGAAAACCCATATTGCGCATTGTCAATACCTTATAGGTTCCACCTTGCTTTTACCATGACATGGCAAAAATTGACTTAAAATTTTGAATATTTAATGATATACGGTGAATGATCTGGGCAAACCGATCATACTTTGGACTGAAATAGAGTATTTCGTTGAAAACGAAGCGGTGAAGGTACATTTCCTGTTCTAAGCAGATGTAAAAACGACATACTTGCTGAAACACGCTAAATATCAGTAATTTTTCTGTTCTGTAATTCAATTTACAACACCGGTCTGTCCGTTTTTACTGCATAAAGGAAAGGGCTCTGAGTATATGCATTTTGTCTTATCCATGCAAAGCCTATTTCATTTTTTTCATAGACTATAAATAAATTAAAAGAGATAAAACTAGTTAGCTTATTGTTTTTACACAGTAAACCCCAACCCTAAATCCCTAATTACGGCATTTTCATCAACCACATCTACCTAATTAGTACTGTAGTTTAATTTCAATATTCCTGAAATGAAACTGATTATATACTTGAAGTATACTTGATCGAAGTACACTTGCAGAATTTTTGAAACACTCCAAAATACCAGTATCAGTATCTGTTTGCACTGAAATTATACCACAGGACCAGTCTGGTTATTTTACTGTATAAATGAAAGCACTCTATAGTTTTGACCCTCTCTGACATCACATGTGTCCAACACACATCATATCTTCTTGACCCTCAGGAACTAAAATGCCCAGAAAGAACTTGCTACCTTTAGAGAATCCCCTCACTTGAAATAACTAAGTTTGACAGGTAAAATCTCCCTGGTCTGCTATGATAGGGCTACTTACACAGAGAAAAATTGATGATGACATCATTAATTTATAATATACTAAATTAATGATGACATTTTCTTATAGGACATAGGTACTGTATGTAATGTAGTCTCTTGCCATCCATTTCTTTACTATGATTATGGTATAGCATCATTTTATTAGAATTCATTACACTTTTACTTATATTGGAGTTGTTTTTTATTGCCCTCGATCATGATTAAGTGGAAAAGAAGTTCCTTTTTTTTGGCTTTAAAAGTCCTTGAAAGGTCATTGATCTTGGTTTTTGGCAACAAGCACACAAATCGAGATACATTGGTATGAAAGATATCACATGAAAGAATGTCTTTCTTTATGATCGATGCATTTATAAATTGCGTCACAGTATATATATTAAGACGAATACCTTTAAGTTGCTTCAATTTGACTTTAATATGTAAAAGGAATTAATAATTCAAACAAATTAAGTTATCCATATAGCCTGTGATTTGCTTACATATGAACAATTTACTTAACCCCTATATTTCCTCACTGCATACCTTCTTTAATGAGCACATCCCCAAATGAAGAGACTAAGTTGATTTACATAGCAAGGGTGATAGATCTATCTATCTATCTACCCCCAAGTGAAGAGACTAAGTTGATCTACATAGCAAGGGTGAAAATAAAGCAATTCTGCATGGTCAAACTTAAAAAGATCATTTAAATAATATGCTTGATCTATGCTTGATTTTTTGCTTGAACATGTATATGCATGGGGAGAACATTACATAGCTGTAAGCTTGGTCATTACTAGATATACAAGCACAAGAAAAAATAATACCCTAATGGGGCTTATTTGCCAGTAAAAATATATATAGGTGCAGGCAGTGGGCAATAAGTTTTAAAGCCAGATGTTTATTACTCTATAATTTGGGTTAACTCTATATTTTGTTCCATATAAATTGTGATCATAAAACAAAATTTCAGAATTATTTTGCAAAATGCTCACTTGACCTTTCAGGCATTATATTAATACCAGAGTTTAGTGATTAGTTTAGTGACTCCCTACCTAAAAAACGCGTGTTCAAAAAACCGGTATTAAAGGTAAAATAAATCATAATTTTCAGTTTATTATCGATTTTTTGTATTATTTAAACCTTTTTTTCTAAATGTTGTGCTAGTAAAATCAGCTGTATACATGGACGCCTTGTGTAAACATATAGTAGCGAGTCGTGAATAATTTTATATCATAGCGTATCGTACACCGGAATGGCTAGCCAATGTAGACTAACGAAGCATGAAGGATATGCTTCGTTGCCTTTTCAGCACAACATTTTCTTTCACAAAACATAACGTGCATGTGCGCCCAACACGTGTTTACTAGTCATTGTACAAAGCTGTCCGTAGTACATCTGAGGTTCAAACATTTATTGTCTGACATACACTGACATAAAAGCAAATAAATTCGAAGGCGCAGTAGAAATCAGCATGCATAAACGAGTGCTGACTTTATCATACACGAAGAAATTACTTTAATATATATTTATATATAACATATACTGTTTTGTATATCACTTGTATGCAATCCTACCATGATTCAGGACCATCAGCTGGCCTGACAATACGAACTTTAGGCTGCTGCATGTCTTTGTCTTCGGCAATTGATGTTGCCACTGGCGAGTAACTTGACATTTTTTACAAGACACAACAGAAATACGTTTTCGACCTGTTGATTTTTGATTTTTGCCACAATTTTTAACTTAGATTATGCCCCTTTCAAACGAAAGCGCCAAGCTCATGAAGTAAAATTCGAGCCCTTTCAACATATGGAGAATAGACAAATATATTTGCTACTTGCAAACCTCGTGGAGAATGACGTAATTACTAAATATATATGGATCGAAAGACTGCATTTTCATTTCCAAATACCACCTGCTTCTGTTTTTCAGATCATTCTTTTATAAATCACCAAGACAAAAAATATTGATATCTCATCTAGAAGTACAACTTCATTTGAAATTATCCAGTTTTTCATTGAAGATAACCGTTAATCTTCAATGAAAAACTGGAAATCATGAACCTGATGATATGCAGACCAGTAGTGTAGAAAGGGTGGGTAATAGACCTTTGCATTATAGATCAGACTACCTCTTGATCTTTGCAAAGAAATGCAATCAAACCACCACAGCTGAAATGAGCGTACTGAAATTAGTAGAAATGCAAAATTTGGTTCCGAAATGTTATAAAATGCGGGAAATATAGACTTGCAAACGGGCCGCGGACAATAGTGGCCCAGGCACATTTACTTTGTTCAGGGCACAAAGTGTTACTATTGAGAAACAAACATACCCTATCACTGACTACAAGCTAATGTTTAGTCTGGCAGTACTTTATTTGCTCCTTGTTTTTCATTCAGTTCTTAGCTTTTCCCCTGGATACGAGATTGGATTTTCCTATGGTTGGGGATTAGTGGCCTGCATATACCATAGTGCCCTGCATTGTCATACAGTCACAGTAGAAATTGCCCGGGGTCCGCTCATCCCCATGACGCCCCTCATGTTCATTCAAATTTCTAATTCCCAGTTTTGGCTTTGCACACTCTGAAAATTATCTGATTTGAATTTATAGTTTAGCTTCCCGAGAAATTGCATTCCACTAATAAAACCTAACCTTGTAGACGGACGATAGTAATGATGCTAATGATTACTAATAATGCGGCACAAGGGCGGAGAAGGATGTTTCAAATTAGAGTAAACTTTAAGAGTTTTTAGCCTGCGCGAAGCCTTACAAAATGCGTTGTTGTAAGGGTTTCCGCGCAGGCTAATTAATAATGACTGAATTGCATGCATAATCCTCTTTTTTATCTTGCGTATCGTAGTGAAACTTCTATATGGTTGTTTTTTTATTATGGTGGAATAAATGAAAATAAATATATTTAACGCCCCAAGACACGACTGTCGCGACGGAGAGATGCCGATATCATAGTAATCATACCGCACTAAAATCTCGCGTGCCTTAAACACCTATACATACTGACACGCTACTAGTTGAATGCGATAGCTTTACTGGACTGCGAGGTTCATTCTATCTAGAAAATCACAATTATATGGCAGAGTATAAAGTTCTTAATTATCTTACTTCGGTTCCCCACTTTGAACGTTTTGATTCTCTTTGACATCATCCTTATTCTCAACTTCATCGTTCAAATCCACATTTTGAAAATGTATCTTACTCAAATCACCAGATCTGTTCGCATTACAAGCTCCATCACCTTCGTTTGGTTTCGCCGTAGCTTCTTTTTTTTCCTTTTCTGACTCGAAACCATCGTTAGCTGGCATAATTCAAATGACCTGTGGCGAAAATTAGTAAGCCGATGCCAAGGTTGAGGGAATGGAAAATGACGTTCACCTGCTACTTAAATTTCAGATATACGATCCTTTTATCATTTTGTATAAAAACGATATTAAAATACTAAGAGAGTTTCAGATTATAAATAGCTTTGTGATTTATGGAAGTGAGCGTTGTGTAGTACATCAGCAAAACGGTTCACAGCGGCATAGCCGAGCTATGTCTATGAGCAAGATGGCTGAAGCGACAGCGATGAAGATAAGCGTTACAGCATACGAGCTTGAATTACATAAAATATTTCCTTATCATAACAAATTCAGCTGTTCAGTTTCGACTTTCGAGAAATGTGGTGTAGAAAGAGACCATTGAATGGGCCACGAAATTCGTAAATTAATATTTGTATAAAAAATGAAAAAATATCTTGCAGAAGGTTGAACGCGTATAAAGTACTTCTTGTGTTTCATGACACTGACAGTATATCAGTTTGAATCAACTGAATGTTTACATTTCGCGGTTTTGAAGCATTACCGGTTTTAACAACATGTACCATACCACAATATGTAGATTTATATAATATAGACTACAGCTCGTCTGCGAAGTGCTTTTAAAAATGCAAAAGTTTTGACGTCATACGAAAACACCGCCATGCATGTCTTCTTATATCACGTGTGGTTTTGTCCCAATCATAGAGCTCACGTTTTCAACGTCTAAACCTGGGCGCTTAAGATAACATGTATATTAGACGCTTTTTAGTGCCCTAACCTGAACACTGTGCGGCCGAGATCATGTTTTTTCCCGAAAGAATGCATAAAATATAGTGGAATTACTCACCTTTCTCTCCTTCATAACAGGCTTGTGGAAATGCATTACGCAACCTTTTTTTTTATAACACTTATTAAATTCTACCGGCACGAGTATAAGCTTTATCTCAGCCACGCTGCGGCGAGGGCCGTGGAGCGCAGGTAGAAAAGCTTGGTTTGCAAGGTTTCCTAGATCTCAGCCCATGCATATCCCTCCTGTGTGGTAGGCCCAGGGCCTGCATAAAACTCCTAACTAGCTACATTCTAATCGGCCATGCAGTTCTGTTTTCAACTATGGCTAAATAAAGGTTAACTAGCTTTTTATACAACTAGGCCATGCATAAAGAGCTTACCAATTACACACTATTTCGCGAATTACAATTCTAGTATCCATATATGGATCCTGCCAATAAACTCATCAAACAGAACTGCATGCATTGAGTTGGTATAACAGCCAACTATATAGTTAGCACTTAGTAGCTCACCACAACCCACTCACCGTCGCTTTTAAAAAGTTAATATTTTTAAATCTGATATGTTTATTCAATTCAAAACTTTATAAATAATATTGTATATATTTTAATAATAGTCTATATATTAATATAAAACAAATAGAATTATTAGGACTGCGATACAATATAGAACATATTACTAGGATTAGATCAGTCTTTCTTGTATACACATGTACAAACTTTATATCTATAAAATATCTAAAATAGACCACCGATTAAATTTCGTAATATCAAATATTTAAAATTTATATCGCGCAAATTTACATTAGTATATCACCTTAAAATGCATATAATTTGAAAAAAAATAAACATAAAACCCTTTCAAAACGGCTGTATATTATATATATATATATATATATATATATATATATATATATATATATAATTATATATATATATATATATATATTAAACCCCAACTAAGTCTGAGCTTGCTGAAGATAATAATAAGCGCCTTTCATCTCCAACAATTTCTGATGGGTTCCTTTTTCAACGACATGACCAGATTTTATTACTGCTATCATATCTGCTTTTTGTACTGTAGATAATCTGTGAGCAATTATTAACGTTGTTCGACCAACACATGCTCTGTCCAGAGCTTCTTGGACAACCTAAAAATATGATGAACATCTTTAAAAAGGATGCATATAAGTTATATGTAATAGTTTAATTGCAAGTAATAGCAAGTAATTATAAAAAATGCAAGAAATTGCCAGATATATTCATTATTATTATTCAAACCTTTTCACTCTCTGTATCAAGCGCTGATGTGGCTTCGTCCAACAGAAGTATTTTAGGATTACGTATCAGTGCTCGAGCAATGGCGATCCTTTGTTTTTGTCCTCCAGATATTAATGTTCCTTTATCTCCAACCATGCTGTCATAGCCCTGTAGAACAAAAACATTTTCGTTTTCTGGTTTTGGTTGCTATGACGTCGTGGTTTCAGATGAAATCCAGGGAACATGCATGCGCAGAGAAAAATGATCTCGGAGTAAATCATTGTGCAAACTAACATGGGATCTATCCAGCAATGACATCAATGGAAGAATGGATGGACATTAAATTCCAAGCATAATTAACTTGAACATCAAGTTTACTTGAACATCAAGTTTTATCAGAAACATAAGATCGACTATAAGTATTCGGCAGTAGTTTACATGAAAAACCTGTTGATCCTCTATGATTGCATAATAATAGATTATAGAAAATGTGTTGTCATTTGTCATGTCATGAAATTTCTACCTCATACCTTCGGTAAAGTGTTAATAAAATCATGAATATTCGCTGCTTTTGCTGCGTTTTCAATTTCCTCTTGGCTCATCTCCCTGCTGATGTCTCCATACGCAATGTTATCACGAATAGAACAATTAAATAGAACAGGTTCTTGAGAAACTATCCCAATCTGGCGACGAAGCCATGAAACATTCAACGACCTGATGTCATTACCATCAATCATCTGTGAAGAGAATAAAATCATACTATATAGTAGCTACGTAATTTCAACTTTCATGCAGTCAAAGATATTCACTTTTTTACGATACTTACAACACTGCCCATTTCAATATCATACAGCCTTTGAATGAGTGAAACAGTAGTGCTTTTCCCACAGCCACTTGATCCAACCAAAGCCACAGTCTTTCCTGGTTCTATTTTTAAATTCAATCCACGAAGAACTTTAACATCTTGACGGAATGGGTATCTGAATGTGACGTCCTTAAACTCGATATAGCCCTCGCTAGTGCTCTGTAATGAATAAACAAAATAAAAAAATGTATATAGTGTCTTTTATATGAAGTAAGAAAAAAGGAGTGAATTAAACTATGCATGTATTAAACTTACTGGCTTCAGTCCTTCTTCGGAGTCACTTTGGATAATAGGAGTTGTATCAAACAGTTTGAACAATCTGGCTGCAGCTATCTTTGCTTTGACATAATCCGGTGTTAATGCACTTATTTGTCCTGCCGTCATAGCTCCCATTTGGACTGCAAGAACAGTTCTAAAATGCATGTTTCAGTAAACCATGCATTAGCAAAGTATGTTATGTTAGGTGGCTATAATTTATACTTGCTAAAATCACCCAGTGAAGAAACCTTCAGTTGTCTTATATATACTGATAAAAATATATCCCTGTTTTAACAAGAATAAGGATGAATTCTGCCCTATATGCAAGGGAAAGTCAATAAACCATACACCACACTCATTCAACAACGCTATACAACATGTAATCAACTTCAACCTACTTCATGACGCCAGTAAAAGACATTTCTCCATTTTGCACCAAATATCCCGCAAAACGGAACGCTGCTGCACTGGATAACAAAACGAAACTTTGGGATACTCCCGCGAACATTCCACCGATTATACCCTTTCTTTTACGTTTTCTAAACAAATTCATATAGTATTTTATATTAACTATTTTTAAATAATTTTTTTGTTAATTGTTTGCCCTCTTGAAACACAAGAAGCAAACAAATACTCACGTGTACATCTCTGAAACAGCTTCCATGTATTTCTCATAAAAACATTCTTCCTTGCCCAACGCAGCGACTGTTTGGATATTTAAAATTGTTTCGACAGCTATCTAGTAAAAAAATATGAAGTTTGAAATGTTGTATTTGGGGAATTGAATAACATAAAAACAACCAAAGAAATATTATATCGATATAAATAAGAAAGATAACTCACTTTGCCTGCCTCTTCGGAATTGATAACATTTCCTGAGCCTCGAAAATATACTCGCATCCGCGTCACAGCTCCAAGGATAATAAAGGGTATAAAAGCAACCACAAGTAAAGCTAGTTTCCAACCAGAAGCAAACGCTAACGCTAAACAACCAACTGTTGTAATGAGAGAAGATACAATGGCTCCTAATCTTGATCCTGTCGCCTTAATTAAATAGAAATACAAAAGTATGCTTTTGTATAGTGTACAAGGAATTCACGCGTGAATTTAGATAAAGGTAAGCTCGCGTGTCGTGCATCTGTTTTTGGGACAGTAAAGCGATTCATATATTACCCATATACTCGAATCTTTGATCACTTAAACTGGTCAAAACTGTGTAAGTAAATAATTACACACATGTCAAAAGTTTAGAATATAACCCAGCGCTCTAAATGACCCAATCAATTTGTTCATGTATTTGATCTCTGCACGAGTGACAACAATAAAATATTTAATGTATATGGACCACTCTCCTATGCCACTTACCCCTTGAACAGTTGATGCATGAGTGGCTAGGTTCGAGGTAAGTGCTCCAGTGGAATGGTAGGGATCGTCAAAGTAACTTGTATCCTGGAGAAGAACAAAAAAAATAAGAAACATACGTACTGACGCTTCCTGATTCACAACTTAGAGAATGGCTGAAACATACTTGGCGAACTAGAGATTTAAATGCTTGCTTCCGCAACCTCAGTGTTAAAATTTCTCCAGCAATAGAATACATCCAAGACTAAAAAGGACAAGATTATATGATAAAGACGTCATAGTACTAGTAGCATAGGAAACAACAACACAGGAAAGAAAATTATGCAATTGATGCTATCACTCATGTTCAACGTTGTGTACGGAATACGCTGGTTTTAGTATACCTGAACTGTATTTCCAAACAGCATAGCAAAGGCTAAAGCCAAAAATAATAACGACCAGAATTCTGAATCTTCTTCCATTTCGTTCCTCTGAGAAGGAATATCAGGATTTTTTGCAAATACCTGTCAAAATTGATAAATTACCTTGATTACACCAATTATAAGATATACTGGTCAAACAATCATGCAACTAACGAATGAAAACAAAATGCTATCTCTAATTAACCAGAAAACAACAACATGGGAAAACTAAAACGTATAAAAAAATATGAAATAATGCAAGACCTATCACAGTAAATATTTTAACCCATTCCTTGCAAACACCCCGCCCTTAAATAAAAATTGACGGCCTTATTCCTAGGAACACTGTATTTCTTTCTCTTCTCTTTGCCAGATGATCTGTTTATAATCTGGACTTAAATGCTGAGAGTAAAACTGAATGGGAAATAGTGTACTTACGCCAAATATTTCACCAAGAAGAAAAGCAAAAACAAAGGGAAATGAGCCATTGATCGCTGCACCAAACGTTCCAAGAAGTAAATAATGCCATTCGGGTTTACTCATTTTAATAATTCTTAACGCTGCTGCTGGTTCAACCTCTTCTTCAATAACACGTTCACTTTCTTGACGCTACGACAGAATTCATGAAAAAATTGTTCCAGACTTGCACGACAAAATTGCACGACAACAATTCGCCTTTCTAAGTGAAGTAAAAATCCGCTATAGTGACGATAGGTTCGTATGCTTAAGCCCCTTCTATCTAAAATTACAAGTTTGCTTTAGCAATTCAGCAAAACAAACAATATGTAGGTTGTAGCTCGTCGGGGGAGAACAGAATATATAGATATGCACTCGCCCCTACCCCCCCCCTCTCCAGTTATGGTGGTAGTTTCGGTCCAGGAAGTCGCTCCATGTAATCAGAAAAGTGAGAAAACATTTTTTGACGCTCACAGTTCAAATAGGACAAAGATTAAAAAAGGGTAAAAAATATCCCCCTTCTCCCCCCGTCCCCTTCCTTTAGATGCCCGTCTTTGCATGGTTCATAATCTTATACCTTATATCCTGACTGTTGTCTTGATACTTGACGATTTACTTTAGGTGAATGAACGGAATGTTTTGCTCCTTCGCTATCAGAAGAAATGCTTCGAACAGGCGCTGCAGGTTGATGGCCATTCTTAATGGAATCTAAGATATAAGAATAGGTATCTGATAGTTTTTCAAGGACCATCTTAATTGCATATATAATAGTTATATAATTACTTAATATGAATTATTATAACGTCAGCTTTTGTTAGCCAATCAGATGGCATCATTGATGGCATAAATAACGATATAATTGTGATGTATTTATGAAAGCAATCTACGTTAAGATTTCTCCCGCTTATTGAAGATTAAAGACTCCATTGTCAATTATTTTCATTCACTGCACGTCGATTTATGTACAGATTAAGCAAGAACATACGCACTAGATAATTACGCAATTAAGAGGGATAATTTTCACAACCTACCATTCCTGTTTTCCACTGTGCTGTCTTCTTCAGCTCCTTCTATTGTCTAAGATGAAGAAATATAAATAATTAGCCTCGGGTAAAATTCTATATGCAGAGTGTGAATGAATTTTCAAAAATTATTGGTTTCGTCACGAGCTCATTGATATAAAAAAACAAGCATTCGAGATGTTCATTGGTGTTGTTTTTCTCGTCATATAGGTCTATAGGTTATCAAACCTGCAAGATAACTAATTGCTTATAGACACCATCTTTGTTCATCAACTCGTCATGTGTACCGATTTCGGCCACAGCACCATCTTTCACAGCAACAATCATATCTGCATCACGAACGGTAGAAAGACGATGGGCAATAATGAAAGTTGTTCGACCTTCTCCTGCCTGAATAATGACAATTACGAATTACGATAAAATCTTACAGTATTCTAGTCTCCAGTCCCCATGTTAATCCGCAAAACATGGCTTTTGTAGGCGACGTTTAATGTGTCGTGGGCGACACTTATGGCTGTTTTCCACTTCAACCGTGTCGTACCACCACGTAGCGTATATCATTCTTTCCTGGGCACTCGGGATAGAACTAATTAATGACTTTAAAACAAAAGAATACGCTACGGTTCGCTATGATACGATTGAAATGGAAAATAGGCCTAGGCTATACTATAGTTACTGAAGGGAGACGAACTGGAATTTTGATAGAGCTCAGTGGGAAGGGACTTGCATATTTCAACAAATTACGATCAATGTGAATTACAATTATTTCATGTAAAAACCGGCCTTTAACCGTTTGTGTTTCTTTGTTTCGACAAATATTGTCTGTTACTTCAATATTACGGACTGGACGACTGGTTGCTTCAATATCTTGAGTAAAAAGGGGTTCACCGTTTCTCACGTGGTGTTTGCACTTCGTGCAATCAATTGTCCCCAATAGTTTCGCCACAAAAGAAACACAGGGCGGGGGTGGGGCGGTAGGTGGTAATATAATTATGACAAGCTCATGCATGCAGTGTAAATTTACCTTATCCAGTGCCTCTTGTACAATGGATTCACTTTCAGTATCAAGAGCCGATGTTGCTTCATCTAGCAATAATATTGTAGGATTTCTGACTAGTGCACGAGCAATGGCAATGCGTTGTTTTTGACCTCCACTCATCTGAGCTCCTCTCTCTCCGCACAACGTTTCATAACCCTTGGAAAGAACATTTTTTTAGACCAGAAACCATCAGCTGTATTCCTTGTCGATTATTAATCAGTCTTTAAACAGTAAATAAGTGCCTGGTTTTAATCATTTTATTAAACGAACCTGCGGCATAGCTGATATAAAATCATGTGCATTGGCCATCTTCGCTGCCTCTTCAATTTCGTCTTGTGTTGCATCATCTCTTCCATAACGAATGTTTTCAGCAATCGTGGTTGCAAATAAAACAGGTTCTTGACTGACTACACCGATATGCTGACGAAGCCACTTAAGATTATACGTTTCGATGCCTCGTCCGTCAATTGACTAAACGAAATATAGATAAGTTTTAAAATTATAGCAAACGAAAATATGATGGTTTGTATCTTTTCTTATTGAATTAATGATTTCTTATAGACTTTAATGTATAATTTGTAAAATAATATAGAATTCTCTTCAAATTTGTAAGCTTTTTTGTTTACCAGATTGCCTTCTGCAATATCATAAAATCTTTGAATGAGTTTAACCACAGTACTTTTGCCACAACCACTTTCACCAACGAGTGCAACTCTTTTTCCTTTAGGCACTGACAGAGTAAACCCATTTAGAATCTAAAACAGATCATTCGTCAGAGATAAGTATATCAACTCAGGATCATACATCAGGTATATAGAAATGAACTATGATTATAAATATGACGTTGAATACTTAACTTTTGTGCAGAGTATTGTTATAGTAAGTACTGTGCATGTCCTGGATTCCATTCTCATGCATATACACTTCTTTGTGAATATTTCCTGACTAGACTTATTGAAAGTTATTATGCATGCCTTTACCTGAATGTCAGGCCGCGAAGGATAAGTGAATGAAATATCCTTGAACTCAACGCTTCCTTCTAACGTTTCAGGCACCACGCCATCTTCAGATGAAATATCAATAACAGGAGTCTAAAGTACATAATACTGGTGTGTACACAAACAACTCCAACTAATTATTTACTCAGTGTTCGGCAGTATATACCATTATTCCAATGATGCAGATACTAACAGTCCTAGCAGACATAGATGAACGTAGGACATAACCGATGTCAGTGTTAAAAAAAATTGATTCGTCGTTCAAACTTTGCATCAACTTGTTATAGATTATTCTGAATGTTTAAAACGAAAACCTATGCAAAAACACTTCACTCAAAAACAACGGGTTAGTAAGTTTTGCATATTTGTAAACTTTTTCCATCGACATCGTATGTTATTCATACTTACGCGATCTATTAGCTCGTATAAGTGATAGGCTGCACCTCTTGCCGAGGCAACTCCTTGCATACTGGGTCCAGCTTGACTAGCCGAAATAGATGCGACCATAACACTGAAGAAAACCTGCATGGTATAAGTTAAAGTATATGTGAACTTTAATGTAAATGCCAACAATCTGGCTTCGTGATAAATTAATATACGTGACCCTGCAGACGACTGTTTTAGATCATGTGAATATAGCCCTTTATAAATGTCAGGCGTACGCTAAGGCATAATCTAAGGTATAAGCTATTTTCAAGGTATGAGCTGTTTTCAAGGTATGTCGTACGTTTGTACGCCAATGTGTGTATCTACCACCTACTTACGATCAACAGATTTCCGCCAGTCATTTCTTTCTCAATGACAAGCGTAGCTCCATACCTGAAAACAACATTGCAACATATAGCACCACCCATATTTTTCATATTATAACTTTACACACGATAATTTTACGCACCAAAAAGCTAAGGCGTAAGAACAGAACATGATGAAATTAAACATCCCCATGCCAAGACCATTTGCCAATCCTTTTTTCTCTCCCATTTTACGAGCTGCGCCAAGACGAGAGGTGTACCTATTAAAAAATGCCATTAAATGTTCAGTTTTAAATACATGACCTGATGATTCTACAGCAAACAAAGGCAAAGTGAGGTGATTAGTATTTATGCATGTATTGTAACGTTGACATTTTTTTCAACTTATACTAGTGGAAAAACAGCAAAACAATCCTTTAGTTCAGGTAAAAACGCATAAACCTTAGAAACCATGCAATGGACACTTCATGTGTTCAATTTAGTACCTTTCAGTTTCTTTTTCTTCTCCGCCAAATGCTGCAACTGTTCTAAACGAAGAGAAAACCTCCTGGGCCACGCTACCTGCTTCAGAATATGCTTTTAACTCTTTTGTCGTAAAACCCGTGATCACCTGAAAGTAAATCACGCCGGTTATGGCTGATCGACTTTAAATGAAACATGTAAAGGACAGAGACATTAAGTCACAATTTTGAAGTAACCTTTGTCGCTACAAATAGGAGGAAAGTTGAACGTTATATAGGCCAGTATATGGCGTATGTATGCTTACAACATCACAAAACATATTTTTACCCATCCTAAGAATCCGCCAGATATAACAATAACCGGAAAAAGGGACAATATAACAAGCGTTAGTTTCCATCCATAGAAAAAACCAAGAAAATAACCACAGATAAAGCTCGCAACGCAATATTGAAACGCAGCCAACTTGCGACCAAGTCCATCGACAATTTTATTCAAATCACTGCAAAAGACACGAAATATTTAGCTAAATACAAAATATTGAGGTGAAAAACACGCATGATAAAAAGAATCGGTTTAGTAATAAAATTATCACTGCATACTCAGATAAGCGATTGTTTAGCTCTCCAGCATCATTCGTATCAAACCAACCCATTTCTTGACGAAGAATTGATTTAAAGAAAGCTTTGCGGATTGAATTTCCCTGACGTTCAGCAGTCAATTCATATGTGACCATCCGTATACCTACAGCTACTGCCATGGCAACGGCGATACCCACGTAGTAATAAGCGAATGGTATCATATCTTCCTCAATGTTAGGAATAGTTGTACAGTTCGAGCGAGGATCTAAACATACTGTATATTCAATGAAAGAATCTGAGAGATCACCAAAAATAATAAACTGAACTGGAATCATTGCTCCTTGGGCTAAACTTCCGATGGTGCCAATGATCATCAAAATCACATCAAATCGATCAGCAAAACGAAACTGAAAAAAAATATTATAACATAATAATCAAGCTGCATTTCTTTACTCATTACACATAAAAATACAGTAATAATAGTCAACGTTTCATATTATTCCGTCATTTCAGATTGATAAAAAATAGGTTGTGCATGGGTCCGTTGACAAAAAGAGCTAGTGGGCCATTTGAGCTTTATTAACTGTGATCTGTCTCGTTGAATTGGTTGTTTGTCAAGTGTTTTACTAAATAATTACCTCCATAGGATACACGAAGTTATATATAAAGCCAAGCGGCTAGCAGATATAAACACTCCTTACCAAGTTCCCATAGGAAACCATCGGTGTTGGTTCAGCCTTCTTTTCACCAGATTCTTTCTTTTCTTCGGATGTCTTCTCATCTTTACCGTCATCTTCAGCACTGCAATTAGTCACAAGCAACATTCAGTTTTTTGTTTGAAATTAAGTGATTTTTTTTCAAACGACGGGCAACCAAACAACGTCTGAGCTAATTCTATGAATATTACTAGTCTAGATTTATGATTATTTGCCCACTGCAACAAGCGCAGATCTCCGTAGCTTTCTGGAAGGCTCAGAAATCGCAGAGGTGGGTTCAGCTTCTGATCGATAAACTGCATCTGGTGCATTGTGAAACCTTTTCGGTTATCGCATGTTTCCGCACACGTCTTATGTTTGGAAGCGTGAGGCATTTGATAGGTAGACACTCCCAAGTACTATTAATAATTAGGACTGTTAAAATTTATCATAATTTAACTTCCGCAATTGCTGCTCAAATCGCACTTCTCTTAGGCAATAAAATTGCAGTATTTGCCATTGATTACAGAAGATATAATTAAGGAAACTTTCATCTCAATGAATCACCACTGAATTGCCATAGTCAGTCCAGTGCATTCAAAATAAACATTAAGACAAATATAAGACAGCAAACCTTTTCCAAGACCAAACAACCTTTTCCGACAACAAACCTTTTTCTGGCATTATTCAAATACAAATTGTCAAACCAATTGAATAATCAAACCTTCTGTGTCTTGCACTACACACATTGATTGACCGCACTTACATTGACCAGAACCGAACACTGACGATATTATAAAGGCTAGTTTATCATACATCATGAAATTACATCAGACGGTAATTATATTCATCATTCAAACATTACGTAATTCAAACTTGGTTGTTCGGTGTTAAATTAGTATTCGTGTGGTCCATTGCATCATTGGCATGGTCACATACCTAATTAATAGTTTAGGGCAAAATTTACAATTTGATTAAAATGGTAATTAGAGTTTCAAATTCGGCTACAAGTACACTAAAAGAGTTAGTGTGTCTTAAAGATCAATATAATCAAAACAATATATGTCATCATATATTTATATTTATAATATAACATTTATAGTACGCGCGTGCTGATTGGTCGAGAAGCGTGTTTCTATAACTGTATAGAAACACGGGAATTTTCCCGCCGAACTTGGCAAGCGAAGCAATGTAATGAGAATTTGTAATTGAATCGAATTATAATATTTGTACAAAATCTTTTTATCGAGTTATATTATAAAAGAAATAGAAAACGTTTTTCCTGTGTTTCTATACAGTTATAGAAACACTTGTGGGAGTTTGGGAGAACTCGAAATAACGTGGAAAAACTCGCCCTACGGGCTCGTTTTCCCACTGATTATTTCTTGTTCTCCCAAACTCCCACGCGTGTTTCTATAACTGTATAGAAACACGGAAAATGTTTTCTATTTCTTAAATATTTATATATTCATATATATATATATATATATATATATATATATATATATATTATTATTATATATATTATATATATATATATATATTAATATATATATATATAATATTTAGTTACAGCCAACATTATAATTCACAAGCTCAATTAAGGAAAAGATTGGTGTTATATGCTTAAATTTTAGCCTCTTCATGCATTTTGTTCTATTCTAATTTAATTTTCATGATAACGAAGTTACACATATCGGCCAGGAAAATCTATCTGAAAAATTGGCTAAACTCCTAGATTTCCTCAGCCTCTTATTTGCCAATGTCTGTAGCCGACTCACTTGACCTTGACCTAGCAAGGTTTTACACGAGACTAACCTAGGCAAGACTCCCTACCGCAGAATACCTATATATATAGAGTCTATATACGTGCTATACAATTACCAGGCAGTATGATTAAGTAAATAATAATCGTCAATCTATTATCGAATTTTTATCCAAGCTTTTTATCGAAATATTGTGCTATATACAGGCTGTGCACAGGCTAATCGTAGGCCCGAACGGACGGAACGGTTCACTGGGCCTGAAGGCTCCAAACAGCCAATGCAGGGTGATAACCTAACTATTACAAAGCATGAAGGATATGCTTGGTTGCCTTTTTAGCACAACATTTTCTTTGACAAAACATTGCGTGCGTGTGCGCCCAACACGTGTTAGTACCAGGTATTGTACACAGTTCAAAGTTGCGCGTAGTATATCTGAGGTTCAAACATTTATTGCCTGACATACATTGATATACAAGCAAATAAATTTGAAGGCGCAGTAGAAATCACTCAAATCAGCATGTATAAACGTCGCTCTGACCGCTGACTTTACCATACATGAAGAAATTATTTCAATAAATATTTATTTTTGCTGTGTGGTAGGCCCTATATCACTGGTTTGCAATCCTACCATAATTCAGGACCATCATTTGGCCTGATAATATGAACTTCAGCCTGTTTCTCGTCATTCTCCTCGGCATTGATGTTGCCAATGGCTAGACATTTTTTACAAAACACAACAGAAATACGTTCTCGACCTGTTGATTTTTGCCACAATTTTGAACTTAGATTACGCCTCTTTCGAATTCGAACGAAAGCGCCAAGCTCGTAGTAAAATTCTAACCCGTTTACCGCCGGTATTTTAACACTTGCAAACCGAGTCAATACTTGCAAACCTTGTGGAAAATGACGTAATTTGTATGAAAGTGAAATGTTTATATCCTAATATATGGTGATTTTTTCTTGTGAATATTTTCTTGTGTAGATTCTACATTTTACAGTAATGTTGTAAAATATTACGATCAAATACAACTCGCAACAGCTGAACAGCATTCAGCAATCACAGCATTTAGCCATTTACTGTCACAAGACCAACCATCGCGACGGAGATGCCGAACTGCGCTGCATAAAACCCCGCGTACCTTAGGAGACCTAGCCCTAGGTATACATACTGACATGCCACTAGTTGAATTCGAATGCGATAGTAATCATCTTACTTCGGTTCCCCACTTTGAGCGCGTTGATTCTCTTTGACATCATCCTTATTCTCAACATCATCGTTCAAATCCACATTTTGAAAATGTATCTCACTCAAATCACCAGAATCGTTCGTATTACAAGATCCATGACCATTTGGTTTCGCGGTAGCATCCTTTTTTTCCTTTTCAGACTCGAAACCATCGTTAGCTGGCATAATTCAAATGATCTGTGCTGAAAATTAGTAAGCCGATAGCAATGCCACACCGAAGGGAATGAGAAAAATGACCTTCACCTGCTACTTGAATTACGATTTCACCCCTACACTCTACTGACTACAGACAGAGATACACGATACTTTTGTATAAAATACTGAAATACTAAGAGAGTTACGGATTATAAACAGCTTTATAAATAATGGAAATGAGTGTTGTGTATTACATCAGCAAAATAGTCCCACAACCATCGGACTTAGCAAGCTGGCTGAGCGGCGGCGACGAGCTCGAGGATCAATACGAGCTTAAATTACATAATATTTGCTAAAACCATAACAATATGGCATGGTGGAAAGTACGGACTGCGGAGTCGGAGTACGGAGTCTTATTACGGACTCCGTGTTTTCCACGGAGCCCCCCGGCACGGTGGAAAATGCGGAGTCTAGTGCAGACTCCGTACTTTCCCCCATGCCCAACAATATCAGTGTTCAGGTTTGACCATTGACTCTCGAGAAATGCAGAGGCGTCGTTGTGAGAATCAGCGGACCCCTCGGCAATTTTTTGGTCCGGGCCGTATCGGCATCAGTTCTACCACAGAGGTTCTACTGTAGCTGTGTGACATGTGCAGACCACTGTGTTATACGATAGAAGCTGAACGCGTACTATCGCAGAAGCTAAGCAGTAAGGAGCAAATACAACGTACTGTTAGCTTGTAGTCTAATAATTGCATGGATTCTCTGTTTGTCGGAGATTAGAGCCCCGTTTATACTACACTCGATTTATTGGTACGGCTAAAATGGGTACCCGAGCCCAATTTTATTAGCATGATACCCATTTTAGCCGTGCCGTGCCAATAAATTTAGTGTAGTGTAAATGGGGCTCTAGCCCTCGCTGTAATTGTACCAAGGTAATTGTACCAGCCTCGGCCCCGGGGTAATTACCCCTCCCCCCAACTCGCCGCTACTGGAAAAATGTTTCGTGGAATGAGACCATTGCACGAGCATCGTGACATTAATTGAATTAAGTGTGAACTGGGCTTTATAGCCTAGGTTCGGCTCATAACAAGCACGCGGTGCCTAAACCAGGCCTATCTTGCCAATTGCATTCATGCATGTAAGCGATACATCACGATAAACCATATGGTCTATTCATATTTCTAATTCTACAAATATCACAACTAACTTCACATTAAAATTACCATCGAAATATGTACACATTAAAAATTAATTGTCACTAGCCATTTTTTCAACTATTAAAAAATGTTTGGCGAGGTTGTTTATGTTCGTCTGAACAGGGCAAAAATTGCAGGTCGGAATCAGCGAAACAGGTCTCGTGGATCGATGAATAGAATTGCTATATACAAACGCTTTGGACGACAATGACCCAGTTATTCTTGTGTTTGAGCTATACAGACGGTAAATTAGGGTCCTCTCCATTTAACGTTCCCTAAAAACATGAAAAGATCTGATTATACTTATACGTAGAAAAATTGCGTTTTGGATAAAGTATTAAAATAATCACAACATTTATACATACAGTAAAAAGGAAGGTGATCTCAAAAGTTGAGAAGAACACCCGCACTCGTTGAAGCATCGTATTCAATTAATTATATGATTTCGTATATTTTGGCCTCCATTTCTATTACGAACCCTAGTCACAATAGCCGTACTATGTCTTTCCTATCACTATATATGAACCTATATAAGCTTTATACTCTAGTCGAGCAAAGTAGTGCATCCGACTAACGTGGTTGGTAAATATCTTGCGAACACAGTGTATTAATTCTTTCCTAATTCTTGTATGATCCATAAAATAAACGAATTTCATGGAAAGCGGCAAGCTATGCATACCTGATTAGGCATTGACGAGCCTTGAAATGGTGTAAGATTTGTTATATGTGGCATAGCAAGAGACATTTTCTTTTGACCTTTTGTCTTCTGGTGTGCTTTGCCTGACAAGGTACAAAAACACAAAAACCACATATTGCTACTGTATATATAAGTATTTTATATGTTTTGCGGGTGACCTAGCTTAGGTATTTGACAGCATATTTGCGTAATAATCTTTTTGGGTAAAAAACCAACCTTCAGTTCCAACAACATCAGGAAGAAAAGAAGGTTCTTGTATTTTGTCTTTCTCTCGTGATCTACTTTGTCTCTTACTCGCCTCACCAAGTGATGGGCGTCTTTCACGACTGCTATCTGACAATCTTGTACTGTTGGTTGTTTCGACTCCTGGCGACATTTGATCATGTTCCGATGAAAGTACTGTCGTGTTTGCTTGATTCGACTGGCTACTGCTCTTTTTCGGGTGCTTTTTATGTCTCGATTCTGTAGGAGAACTAAGACAAAAGAAGGATCAATATGGTGGACTCTAGTAGAGTATGTAGCTAACAACATCAGGGGTTGTTCAAAAGCCGGTTAGCTTAACCCTGGGTTAAAGCAAATCTTTACAAAAATATTTTTAATCGCTTGTTTAAAAAGTTGAATACCTATCGGTTCAGAAGCACTTAAACTAAAACAGTGGGTTAAAATTTAACCCTCCCATGGTTAGCGCTAACCCAGCTTTGAACAACTGGCCCCAGGTTCTTTTCTTTTAAGTCGATTTAATCGTTCCATGCAGTAGCAAATCTAACCGAATTCCATGCATGCATTTGCTGAATGTAAAATCTTCAACTATGACTAACAGTTAACTGGCTTTTTATAAACAATTTTAGTATCTACAGTATATGTACTGTATGCATGGATCCTACCAATATAACTCCTAACACTGAACTGAATTGGAACCTATAGGCTATACTTACCGGTATGACCCATAATTTGCTTGCTCATCCTCGTGCGATTTTTGGCTATTCATGCTAAACGACAAGTTCGTTTTTGCCATATTTAAGGGATTTGATATTGAATGTCTTGAACCGAAATTTGGTATAGTATGGTTCGTTGCATTGCGGTGCTCATTAATTGGTGTTAGTTGACGATTGATTGGCTGATTTGGACTATGGATATCTACGGACGTTGAGGGACTTGACGTAGTTGCAGCGCTTGTCGTTGTCGTTGTTGTTGCTGTTGTTATTGTACCGGCCATGTCTGTTGATACATTATATGTCGACCAAATATTGAACGTAGATGTTTGACCATCGGATTTCATGGCGGGTAACTGAGAACCATGTCCTTGAGACGAAGAAGGTGCATGAGATGGAATTGGCAAAGGATATTTCCGATTAATTTTCTCAACTCTATCCGAAGCTACATTGTCTTTGGACCAACCTTTTCCTTTTTTGTTCTCTTTGTAACTATATGTCGATTCCTTAGAGTCAGTTTTGTACTCGCGAGTACTAGTGTCTTTACTCTCTCTATGTTCTTTACCCTCTCTTACGTCTATATGATCCATTAATATAACTTTATGTTCCTTGTTTTCTCGCGAAATTTTATGTTCCTTTGTATCTTTGTACTCTTTTGTACTCTTATGTTCTCTCGTATCCCGTGTCTCTCTGTGTTCTTTACGTTCTTGGGTCTCGCGTTCCTAAAGCAAATATTTCATCTTAAAGCAGCGATACCCCATAAGAAAAGTTGACTGCAAAGTTGTAATTACCTTACGCATCTTTTTTTCCTTTTTTTTCTCCCGCGAGCGCTCGTCATAATTTTCCAATGGTTTTAACAATGGGTTTTCAGCAATCTCACGGTTTATTCTTGTCTTCAACTCTGTCGCAAATCTCTCAGAAAAATTATCTTTCGTGAAATATTCGTGCTTAAGTAACGACGTACATGTTGGCCTTGAATCCGGATCGAGTCGAAGGCATTGCTAAAAAAAACGATAAAACACACACTTCAGGGGACCAGCGTATTTACGGGGCCACACTCTGTCTCTGATCATCAGTCCAATCTTTGCGGATGAGCTCAAAAAGTTTTGAATAAGGACGAACTGAGAATCTTTTAGGCTTATAGAAAGCGTGCAGTCCTTTTCTATCTCGCTTTCGCTCTTTTTTCTGGCGGATTGACGCTAGGAACGAGGCTGATATTTATACGTGTATATATTTTCGTAAACAAGAAATAGAGCGTTTGGTTTTTCATGACAGACAAACATAAATATGGTCCGAGTTCTGGAAAGATTAAAAAATTTAAGAGATACGTACTGGACTTACATTTAACGTATTTGTGCATACCTTGCTGAAGTCTAAAGCCAATGAAGCGACCTTAATCCTTTTTTCCAATGGTTCAATCTGTTTTGTTTCAGGTAACCTCATGCCCGCAAACAGAGGATTTCGAGAAAATATTTCTTTATGCCTGCTTATTAATGATCCTAAAAAAACATTAACAAACAGAATATTGGCAAAAAATCTACAATTCTTGTATGATATATGTATTTAGCAATATTTTGCAATAAGGAAGTTCATACACAGGCTAACTTATACAAGTGGTATTAAAAAGTACTGCAAAACAAGCACTACAATTGGTTAGTGGAAGAATTTGCATAATCAGTAACCATACCAAAACACTTTATAATATGGTATAGCTGGTCAATATCAGAATCACCAGGAAATAGAGGTTCACCAGTCAACATTTCAATCATGAGACAGCCACAAGCCCAAACGTCGACTGGCCTATACAATGTTTAATAAGCAAACAAAAGAAAGGCAAAAAAGTTAAAGACTTTGACAGAGTAGAACATGAAAGTGTACTTAAATTCAACTTCTTAAAATGTTGATAACAAGGTTGTAACCTTGTTAAACACTGTAACTTACAACTTACCTTCCATATTTAGTATCTCCAACTAAAAGTTCTGGACCACGATACCATCTTGTAGCTACATAGTCTGTAAATACCTCTCCAGGGGCCACACCTTGTAAAAAAACACTTGTAAATCAAACTGGTAATCTTGAAATGTCATAAAGTAATTATTTAGGGAAATAGGAAATGGTAATTAAAATCAAGCTCTTTGAGACAGAATAATTGTAATATTCTATTTGTACAAAGATAGTCTGTTTTTAGATTTGCTCTCATTGCCTTAAACCCTTGCAGTAAGTTCAGGAACCTATGCTCAATGTGCATGCAACAAACCTGTCGTCCGAGCAAATCCAAAATCACAAACTTTAACAACTCCAGACTTTGAAACAAGAATGTTCTCAGGTTTCACGTCCCTATGGATGACCTAAAAATTAGAAATACAAAAGTTTAAATTTATCACATTTATTGATCATTTCATATAAATTTCATTTATATATTATTGAATTTATACTTTAGTATACATAGGTTTACAAATGATTTAGGCTTAACAGTACTTTGAAGTACTGCATATATAGTCATGGAGTTAGGGATTTATTGAGGGTAATGAATTTTGAAAAATTAAATTAAAAATAAATGAGAACGACAAAAGATGATTCATACTTACATTATGATTGTGGCAAAATTCCAAAGCCCTTATAACCTGCCACATAATTTTTCGAACTCTCATTTCATCTAAACCATTTGGATATCGTTCTAAGTCGTCAAGTACCGTATGATCAACAAATTCAAACACAAGAAATAACCGTTTCTTTCTTCTAAAAACCTCTATTAGATTCACCAAGTTTTCATGTCTTAGTTGCTAAAATATAAAAGAAGCCAATCTTAAATGTTTTTTTGAAGAACCATGGTATCTTGCTTATACATATGTTCCTAATATTCCCGAAAAATACACCATAATGCCTCATACTGTTATTATTATAATAAATAATATGGTATTGCAATTGATAATTGATACTTGTCAAGCACTGTGATGATAATATTCAGTATATGATAGTATACCTTCAACATTCGAACTTCTCTCATTGCAATCTTTTTAACCATTTTATCATCCTCTGATTCTAAAAACTTTTTGATTGCAACAATTTGATTTGACTCCTTATGTCGGCATTTCATCACCATTCCATACGACCCTTCTCCAACTAAACCCAAGTTCTCATATTTTTCCATGGTCAGAAAGTCAGTTATAAAATGTAGTACCATGTGGCAACATGATCTTCAAGCATAACCATTTGGCTAATTGTGCAGTATATATCAGAACAGAATTGCACAGAATGACAAAGGAAACCTAGGAACCATAGTTTAACTAGTGTCAAAATTTAGCACTACACAAATGGTATACAAAAAAGTTCATAAGAGAAATCAGCATGGATGACCGACAAAATTATAAACACAAAATCCAATTCTCAACCATTGCTAATGCATTGTAAACAAATTTAACATTTATAGCTTAAAAATAATTTGTCAAATGCTTTTCTAAACTCGAATGCTAAATAAAAAGACGTCCAAGAAATTGACATCCAAACTTAATACATTGACAGGTTGTTTCCATTCTATAAGCTCCTTAGTGAGGGATAAAAGTGAAGGATAAAATGCATTACAAAATACGTTTATATTGTACGCAACGCGTATCAAGTTATTACAAAGATGTTTGGGGTCAAAAGATTCCCAAACACGCGGTTTTTTTGAGATAAAATAACGATCAAATACTTTATTCAGCACAGAGTACCTGAAATCGGGTTTGAAGAAAAAAATTCAGCCCAACTTTTTTAATTTTTGGTCGACAATTTCCAAATTTATACAATAGCAAGACAAACGTTTTGATCATTTCGACATTTGGGGCTTTTTGCTCGAATTTTATTTGCGGGAGCAGCCTAGCAAACGTTTACCTTTTTTGTAATTTCTTCTGCAATAAAACCTTTGCCATCCCTATTTCATACCAAGTTTAGATCGTCATATAAATGAGAATATTTTGACAGCAAGAGACTTAGATATTTGCCAACATGAGTTGTACTTAGGATCAGATAAAGCCCTATGGACAATACAGTGACAATATGATCTGTAACCATGGTGATAGGAAAACTATAAATATTACCCAGTGCCAATCCCTTTTGCGTCCCACCTCGCGATTCGCAAAAAAGGCAAATGTGGCGAGATCTTAGCGGGGATTTTGTTATTTTGAATACTTGACGTAAATATAGACTAAAACCTAAGTTTGACGATTAAAGTTCGATTTTGAAACGTAGCTAGATCGGGTATATAACGGAATAAAAAATATCTACATTTTAATTTATTATATATATTTTGATCATTTATATATTACAATGATTTCAGAAAATGCTAAGGATTAAAAATAAAATTAAAATATCAAAAAGTTACGATCATGACATCGTATCAGCCACGAAAGAGCTTTACCTTGCTTTACCATTGCTTTGGCCATTGTTTTTATTTTACAATAAGAAATTGAATGTATAGAGAACCGTCACAAGACATGTGAAAACTTTTGCTCAAGTATGGAAAAATAAGATATGTATGCGGTAAAGCAGGTTAGCTCGGGTCATGCCACAGCATGTAAAATAAAATAAAGGTCGAAGGCTGATTAAAAAGAAATTCTACTTAAACATTACCATTTGAACGTACATATATATTGCCTTTTGTCATGTCTCTATTTCCCATGGCACAAAGTCGCGCATGTCAATTATTGTAAACCTGACGATCATCACATTACAATACAGAAATCACCCTAAATTTTAATTAATTTGAAAATTTTCTTTTCCGAAAGGCAGCATCGACCGATACCTGCCGGGGCATGGCACTCGACACATCGGACCTGTACGCCTCATGGAGTCATGGTTAAAAATCAGCGCTAGATTACCGCAAATAGGAATTGCACCTGCGTTCAGCAAGTCATTCAGGGTCACCACAAACAGTAGCGTAACCAGAACGATAATTGGCGGGTGAATATACATTTATCAAGTTCTGCCCGACGGATTTCTTTTGTAAGTGCAATAGCGTACAATAAGAATCCGTCGGGCAGAATTGGAAATATATGAATATTCACCCCCCCCCTTCCAATTACCGTTCTAGTTACGCCCATGTCCACAATGCAAGGAAATTTCCTCCCATCCCAATTGACAACCACAACGGAGGGAGGGATCTGTGTTAATAGGATATGTTATGCATTCTTTTCAAGGTATTATTCATTATTATTACTCATTATTATTCATCGTTATTTTTCATTGCTATCCGCCTATGAGGACGCCATATGCAAATACCTTGTGGAAACCCTGATTAGTAATTACAAGATTTTTCAATAAATCATCAATTTTCCTCTTACTTAGAATCACCTAACACTGAAAAAATAAATACATGCATAGTTTGAGATGGAAGTGTATATTACATATCATTGACCATGTTATTGTATACATACGAAAAAAATGGTTAGTCACTAATGAAGTATCAGTCAAATCAACTATAATGACTGGGCGATAACGATATTCGAATTAGCAAGTTGTTTAAAGTCGCAGATGACTAACTAGTCCACATCAATTATGACGAAGACAATATTTTAAAATGATAATGAAATAGACAGCTCTATTAACTGCTGTGCAGTGTAGTATAACCGTGGTATAATTCTTTCATCGAAAGATTTGTGTTTTTAATGCCCGATACTGCCTTTCTTGTTTTAAAATGGTGGCTAACAACCCATTTAAAATTATGTGCCCTACATTACTTGCTCACTCGGCTATTCGTTATCATGATCTCTGTACGCAGACAAACGTTCTTTCAATGTTGTGCTATTACTCATTGACTCAATTAGTTCGTCTATTCCACTCTCCAATAATTTAAGTCTTTCTTCAACAGCGACCCTAGGTTGAATTAAAGGTAATAGAAGACACAACGTTGTTTTTTATCGATTCTTAAACCTATAAATAATATTGCAATTTGAATAAATGCATGTACCTTGCTCTTCTTTCATCCTGCACGCGTAATATTAACATAGATCGAATTTTCTTTTCATCTTCTAGTTTCGAAGTTAATTCAGCAATTTCAGCTTCGAATTGCCGCCGTTGAAGCTCCAGTTCACTTTCTAGTTCCAGTTCTAAATATTGAAAAGTCGTTGACTGCCGTTGACTTGCTGCGTGCAGCACAACATTTTTCATTCAGTCATGCATCATGTGATAAATTTCATGCAAGCAAGAACCAGGGATTGGTAGCCAGCAGTGACAGCTGCCTCTCTCGTTGTTTAGCAGCAGGGACAAGGGAGGGTTAAAATATGCTTTTTCAATCTGAAGGGCTGCATTGCAATTCGTTAATAAATCCGCCTTAGAAAACGCTAGAAATGCAGCCAACGAACTTCACAGAATAGTATAATCATCCGGCGGAAATCTCGGGACACCGAAATGATCGAATAAAAAGGAAAACACGAAGATACAAAGTTCAACTGCTGATGTTTTGCAAACAATCTCTATAGTGTTCGTCAATAAAGAAGTGCCCTGTCACGAAAAACACTGTTTCCTTGCCCTCGCATCGTTCCGGCGTCCCTCGACGTCAACGTCCAGCCTCGTACCCATGCAGGCGCTTTATTGGAAAACATAAAGGCTGCATTCAGCGTAATATAGAGATCTGTGGCTAAGATGTGCGAGCGCGCAGGGGTGCACCCAACGTGGTCAACGTCAGCCATCAACCGAAGTGCAAAACTTACCAGCATCACCTCGTCCTAAAGAAGGATCAAGCGAATTGGAGTTTGCATCTGTTGTTGGGGTTAAGGGTATATTGAAGTCAAATCTTTGGTTAATTGTTGGACTTCCAGCACAATCCATATAAGTGAAGTCAATGAGATTTCCTTGCCTCCTATTAATGAAATTGACTCCGTTCGAATCAAAAGTATCGATGAAATCGCCATGCACGTCATGATAGAATGTTAAAAAAGTACTCACTCTCTTCTTCGACGCAAAAATTCTTCTTCATCTTCAGTCTTCTTAAATAATACTTGTTGTTTACAAATAAATATTTTGGTTAGCTTACTTATCAATGTTGAGCTTTCCATTAGCAATTGAGGATCAGCCTCGGACTATATTGCACAAAAACAAGAAGTTAAATCCGTTAGGAAACTAAATCACTATAATAGTTAATTATGTGGGTATTGAACATACAATACGTAGATAAAGAGAATGTGCTGACAATGCATTAAATCCAGCTGCAATCTGTGGATCAAACGTAGGCCAGAGCAAGACTTGAAAATTCTATACTTGTATACACATACACATTATGCAAACTATCACACTTCTAAATATCACATTTTCTTTCCGGCATATTCTGTAAAACGCTGACTTTCCACAAGACCATATAAAAAAGCATTGAAGCTCGTCTCGTGCATGCATGAGCCATGAGGCTTTATAGTCTCACGCCTTTGGTACACAATATAAGCAAATTGCATCCCGCATGGTAATATTAAAAATTGCATTCCATAGTAATGTTAAAAATAATGAAGATATGCGTCTACCTCAGGGCTAAGAATATTAGGTCCAAATACTAAAGCGAGGTTGTCCGCTGTCATTTTATTTTCAAAAGAATGCTCGTGAACTTCATGAAGGAAACGACTAAAACACAATATATTGACTATTGTTATGACTCCAGCTGCCACCAAAAAGAATGTTGGACTGCATGGTTTGACGGAAGCTCAATATTTCTTACCACAAGTACTTTAACAAGTTAAAACTTGTTTTTGGTATTTCTGCAAGTTGATTACCAATTTTTCGCAATGCGTCCTCTTCATGTAGTTCATACACTAAAATATAACTTTTTATCATTTATACGGGCGAAGTAAGTCGCAATTTATATTCAAATTGTTACGTTCCACACCTCCACTTATATTCCCAATAAAGGCAATATTGAACATATGGGCAGGTATTACATAAGCCGCGAAACAAAGACTTTTACCTTCTATACACGTTAAACCCGCGACTATCTTACTTTCGACTTATTTTGTTTGGTATATGGCACTAATAGGAGTTATTTCTAGTGGCTGGCCACAGAACTTAATTTTTCATTCGATAGAATAATACAAGAGCAAAAATGCGGCGTTCTTACATTCTATAGTAGCTATGAGAGGTCCAAAGTTTTCAAAAGGTATAACAGGCTCGGGCAGTTCTCGTAGGTACATTTTTAATATAGAGGCCACTGTGTGTACATCAGTATCTCCTGGAAGGATAGGATCTTTTCCTAAAGACGAAAAAGTAATGAATTTATGACCTACACATGTTGATAAATAATAAATATTTCTTTTATTCTGAAAAATAAATGTGATATTAGAGGCAAAGAACCCGAACACAGCTACCTTAATTTTTAACCATCTTTAGGGTTAAGTAATGATATATAGTTGTGTAAAGTTCGGTCTATTCAGTCTAGCATTTCTTAGCTTAGCAAGACATTTCAACCTCTGACTTTTACTTAAGTTTTGAAAACGTTTTCTGAATCAGTACCTCCCCCAACCTCCTAAAACTACCCAATCGGTCTTGCAAAGGCAATGCAGGTTATGAAAACTTCAGAAAAAAATAAATTTAACAGGTAAAAAAGAAAGCTTTTTATATTGTATCGTTCTAAATAAAAATGACACAATGTTCAGCCAATAACCTGCAGACACAATAGGGCCTTGAGAAAGTTGAAAAATGCAAATGAAATAAGCAGAACTCTCCCAAACCATACCTTTATTGAACGCATCTCGAAGCAATGTCACTTGTTGGTTATCTCCAGGTAATCTAAACAAACCTTCTTCATTGAGCCCTAAACGATAACCGCCACTTTAGGCATGATTGTAACTTTACAAACTTGAATACACTTTATTCCAACATGAGCAAACCTTTTTCACGAATGAATTCCACACATCGTTCAACAAAGATTGGAATATACCCTCCACTTTTACGAAACTCGTGCATCACAGTGTCTGCCAAATTTCTACCAAACATACCGCCTCCAATTGGCTGTAACAACGTAATTAGAAAAAACTGTCCATTTATCTGTTTGTACAATCGAGATTTACAAGATGTTGGAATTAATTTACATGATGATTTTGTATAATATACGCTCTAAACACGATAAAAATACGTTAATTACCGCATATATAATTCTCTCAATGACTTGCATCCACTTATCTCTTTCTGCTTCTGACGAGGCTGACAAGAGGTATGATTCATGATTACTGTTTACTGGGCCTTCTTTATCAGCTCCAGCTGAAATTTAAGAAAAATAATATATTTGTTTGAATGGTATATTTATTCATCTTAAACCATAACTACATATAATGAGAACGATTGCTCATGACATATTTTTTCATTTCTCTCCATTTACAAAATACTTGATCTGTTTGTTACATCTTTGCTTGCCGTTACGTAGTACTGATTAGTTAGAAAAATTTTCAGCTTGATAGATTTGGTATATTCATTAAGCTCTCAAACAAATCATTACTGTAATGCTTAACCACAAAATTTGAACTGTTTCAATAGCAGTCGGGTATGGTACCAGACTGCTCTCACTGTTCAAAGGTTGTGTACCCTTTGAAGGTGTATTGTTGTTTCGACCACATACAACACTACTTTGCAAATGGTAGATGTAGATGTAGATGATTGAATCATAAAATTGTAAGTTGACTTTACACTCACGAATAATTTCCATTTTGTATCTACCAGGATCATTTTGAGGATCCACTGGATGTTTAATGATTTGGTTACCAGGTAGCATAACTTCTCCCAAAGGCCTTCCATCCTAGAGAACACATAAACTGAGAGTATAATTAAGGATGTTTTTTTGGCTTATTTGAAAAAGTTTTAGAAAACAATAACACTATAAAGATATGAAACCAAACAATTAATTAGGAAAAATGATATCAAAAGTCTTAAATTTCCTGTCTGGATTTTAATTAATTTTTACTTTGTTGAAATTGAGAAAAGGTGACAAGATCCATGTAAGAAGACATTAGTAAGCATGTATTTGGTTGCCCTATTTAGTTTAAATTCTCAACTCACCTAGAACATTAATATTAAGCACACACTAGTCATGCTAACATGGGAAATGAGCAGAAATAAAATTATTCTAGGTACCCAGCCCATCCCTAAAGAGCATCACTATCCAGGCTGTTATGCAAAAATACATTACTTAGCCCAGCCAAAACCATTGTCCTTTACCTTGACCAAACAAACAACATTACAACTCTGAAGATACAGGTGTGTATAATGAATGTCAGTTCTAGTCAATAAACTTGCATAACTTGTCAGATTGGGCATTCAGTCTATTTAGATAATGGAATAAGGAAATATTGCCCAAGACATTAGCTAAAAGTCATCCTTGAGGTGTTTATAGGCAGGACATTGCAAATTGTAAAAGCAGCTAGTCAGCTAGTGAGATTTCATTTACAATTCTACAAAATATAGACAATCAATCAGAAATTCTTACACCTTGTTCTTTATAGTAATACAATATATCTCCTTTAATTTCAAACCATCTTCTTCTCCAAACTTTGAGCAATCCACCTTGCTTGGTAAGCCAACCACCATGGACCTAAAATACCAAGTAATGCATTAAAGCATGCATCAGGATGCAAGAACCAGACAGAAGCACCCTCTAGCCCCCACTGCCTTTTGCTCACGGGGACAAGCGGAGTAGCCCAGCTCTTAGCTAGAATAAAACAATTATGCAAACTCTTCAAAGAACATATGTTGTTGCAAATTATATAAATTATGCATAATTATAAGTTTATAGACTTCTGCATGCTCTGTGTTGTTGCTAAGTGAATGTGCTCATTTAAAGAATTTAGCACCCTGCTTTTTCAAATAACCTGTATTATTATCATGAGATCTATCCAGATCACATGTCCTCTGTATTACTAGTATCTATCAAGTGTGAATTTTACAAACATACTAGGGTAAAAATGTTAGAATACAACATTTTGATGTGTTTATCCACTGTTTCAAGAAATTCAAAGCAGGAATTGGAGTTCTTTAGCGAGATAAGCAAATCAAACAAATCATCTTAGCAATGCCATCACAGACGTACGGTATATGCCAATTATAGCCCCGTTCTAAAGCAAAGCTAGAAAAGTTTAAACCTTATACAAAGAGTATAAGTGCACCTGTTATTCCTTATGTATTTTTTGATTGAAACACGGTTCTGTCAATACAGATATTGTATTAAAATAACAGAAACAGTGTTTCCTTATATACAGGAAGTCGTCCTTTTTATGTCTAAACATGCTACAGCTTCGTCAAAATTGAAGTAGGTGAAATATCTTGTGACAAAGCAATGCGTTAATGCAATAAGTGACCGATATTTACAACACGTTTGGAAAATAATATGAATCGACACAACAAAAACCCGCCTATATTATTTGTAGTGGATAGTCAATAATCTGAATATGAGTATCGAATGCCAATATAAGCAAAACATTTTGATTAGTAAAAGCACAATCGTGTTGATCAGGATTCAGTATATAAGTTCAGTTGCAATATTCATATGAAGTTAATCAGAAAAAATGATAGAAGTACTTACGATGGCTTGGTTCATTTCAAGGCATTTAAATTTCCTAAATATTTCACTTCTTTTCATGAGATGCATAAATTAAAGCTGAATGACATTACTTGCATGACTATATTGTCAGTATGTGTCAAGAGAGTAGATTATCCACATGCTATCATATACTGACATACACAGATTTGGGCATGCTTATTTTAAGTGCCACAGCATTTAGTATTTCACGCGCAACTTACCACTTTTTGCTTTTGGTTTCGTTGCATCCCTGAGACGTCTACTTGAGAGGTCCCCGGTATCAAGTATAATTGTCTTGTTTAAAATCCGCACAAATCATTTTCCTCATTATTTGGCTACCTGAGTTGAGTCAGTCAAGTTCCGGATATGACGTCACATTATCAAACTTTTATTTCACAATTTCAGATTTAAGGGCATTTCACATTTTTCTGACACTTTCTGTCAGCTTTTACAATCAACTTGTATGCGACAATGCGACATTCGGCATATTTTTACCTACAAAATTTAGTGAAATTTCAAATTTGCGAAATGATGTAATGATGCGGTCATGCGGAATATTATCAAATATAGCCTTGTCTTGTTCGCAATTTCCGCACCCAATACAAAAGTATACAAAAAGACCGTATTTTCTATTTCTAATATTTCTTGAGCAAACTTTCTGTTTTCCTGCCGAGTCTAAAGACGAAAATTAGTTCATAACGCCGAATTGTCCAGTAGCGAAAAATTTTTTAAGTTAGGGAGAATTCAATGTGTGATTATGCTATTATTAAAGTAAACATGCAAAAAACTAGTGCCAAAAATTTTGCTAAATTTGGTATTCATTTGCAGTTTTTTCGTATCGTCACGAAATATTACGTCAAACTGAAATAGACCCGTTCGATTATCGATTTAAATTTAGAACCTCCTGAGATTAATTTCAAGTTTTACTCTCTCAAGCCACATGCCTAGATGAAAAACATCCTTCTGACGTAATTATCGAAAGAGTCTATTGGGTCCAATTTGATCCATTGATTGGATCACGGAATTCAATAGGATGCGTAACCTGTCGCAGCCAGCCTCATCCAGGCTTTTTGAAGTACTCGGGTTGCGGGAATGCTTGGACTTCGCAACCTCCCCTGGCACTCCCGCGCGCTTAGTGCTTTTACATGACCGGTCGACATGAACCAAAGCTTTCTTCTTAAAAAGGCTGTGGTATGTTTGATGAACTACGGAATAGAAAAATTAAACTCAGGTGAAAAAAACAAGACCAAACACTGGCAGAATCGACAGGCATACCGCATACGCCCTTGCCCCCAACAAGTTTATAACTTTTGATGCAGAGACGCAGAGTTGAAAATAGGGACCCTAAAGGGCACTAAAATACAATATCTGTACTCCAATAAAAAGTTGAAAAAGCGAGATTTTAGAAATGAAAAGAAAGAAATCCCCCCCAAATTAAAAGAAGTCCCTGAGGCTAAGAGGTGACCGAAAAGAAACTACAAATACTCAACGCCACTGACTAAGGAAACACAAAATGTTTTGGAAATGTTTTAAATTTTCTGTTTTTATTTTTCAGTGATGTTTCACGAAATAAGGTGGTTATCGAAGCTTTTAATGCTTTTATATGCACTCCTCAGAATATACAACAATAAATGCACTGGCGTAATAATAGCTCTTTGAGCAATCAAGAAGATTTGTCTTTTTATAGAGTGTTCTGGCTTTTTTGGTAAATATCAGTCCAGCAAATATCACATCCCTGGCAGACAGACCCTGCAAATGACAAATATCAAGTCCCTGTCAGACAGATCATTTAGACAGCAAACTACAGCTACAAAATCACTATATAATTTCTATTTAAACAATGCAATTTGGTTGCCCTCTTCTTTTTGTCCCTGGAATTTCAACTCCAAGCTTGTTTGAACACCAACAAACGTTACTTTTCTCGTGGCATTGAATTTTGTTATAATATCCTTGAGAATCACACCGAGGAATAAAGACGCCAAATAGATTGTCATAGTTCAGAACTGATGATAGATGTTCGTCACATGGTCTTGGTAAATGGCCTGAAAGATATGCAAAGGGCCGTAAATTATTATCTACTTTTGAAAGCATACCAACTATTCCTAGATGTAAAAATCGCACATGATCTTTGCCATGGTGAGAAAGAAGATGCATGCATGGAGGTAAGGCAGGGCTGGTAAAGAGGTGTAGCAAATAGGACGTAGATAGGCGTATGAGTGGGTGAGAATGAAAAACCGCCTATCTTCACGGTATGTCAACATGATGAGAAAATGTCATATAAGGCCCAGTCGTGTCACGTTATTGTGCCACATTATTCTTTAGGTATTACGAAATCTTTAAATTCTACCGCAATTAGCTATTCCATTTATTCTTGTTCCATTAGTTTCTTTTCCGTATCTATCTGAACACCAACACTCTTGGGTGGAAGGATCACATTGCATACGGGAATAATACCCGTGAAAATCACAAGATGGCGGAACACTAGCTGGCTGATCTTCTGAGAGAAGTTTTCTCCTTTCAATCTCACATTCTCTTCGCTCTCTCCCTGAAATGCAAATAATGAAGCTATTCTTACGAAATAAGAACAGTTAGGTACTTAGGTAAATGCGTTGAACACTTGTACTTTTGAAGATGAGTCGCGGCTTAAATGAGGCTAATTGTTCAAAGTATTTCTAAATAAGTTTGGTCCATACAAAACTCGCTATTTTTCGGCACAATTTAAAGAGTTCAGTTACCATAAGGGTCTTACCACAATATGGTCGCTGATAAATAGTTGTTCCCGCCAATGCACGTCCCATTTCGTCCACGCACCAACAGTAACCGCTATTCTTATTACACTGAAGTGGTGCGAAATGCCCTTCGTTAGTGCAGACTGCATCATAGACAGCATTCACATCTGAGTTGATGGCTTTGTTTCCTTTCTTTTTGAAAGCAACACATGGCTTTAAAATATTTTCGTCTAAATTCAAAATGAATATAGTTTTATCAGAAATTGTAGGTTTTTATATCATGATCGACTTATTAGTATAATATAGAGTTATTTTACTATATAATCAAACTAGTTTTGAAGTCGACTGTCTTATTTCAATACGGTGAAAGCGGTTGAACGAAAAGTGAAATCATCATACGTTCCAAAATAGAAATAAGGAAAAACGGATATAACAACCGCCACTCGGATATTAAGGATGACTGAAGATGGCTAAACGATAAGGAATAAAGACATTTTTCCTATAATTTTATAAATAATCGATGTGTGTTTTAACCCACCACAAATAGGAATTTTCCCTTGCATTCGTGTTCCTTCAATTGTTGATCCATATTTATCTACACACCAACACCAGGTAGTATCATTATTGCACTGATGTGGAGCATAATAGCCTTCGTTATCACACACTGGTAAATACACGTCCTTACGTTCACCAGACCGCATGTTGCTTACATGTGCGTAATGCTCATCGCATGGACCATGAAGCCGCGGAACTGCCGGAAATGGTTTCTCCCCTAGAAAAGATTGCAACGTGTCAGAATTATCAGATTCTCTCCATTCGGACAATTTTTAATATAAGAATTAAAGAATAAGCATGAACTAAGAGCGAGTGTGCGAATTACTTACGACAAACTGGTTTACCAATCCTTATCGATCCTTGTACCTCTGTTCCATCTTGCATTACACACCAACAAAAACCATTAGTTTTGCTACACTGTACGGGCTGGAAGAAACCATTTTTTTCACAATTTGGAACACTGACTTTGTTGTCGGATGGCAGTTTAGAGATATAGGTCTTCAGAATATGACATGGTCCATCTTGAATTGTGTTAAAGGCATTAGCAACTATATGAAACGATGAAATATATCAAGAAATGTACAGTAATGCATGGGTTATAAATAAAGAGTTGTAAAATATGACTTACAGCAATTTGGTGTTCGTTTACTTTTGGTTCTAGGGATCACCTTCCCGTGTTTATTTGCACACCAGCAAAGACCTGTATAAGCATTGCACTGGAGTGGTGTGTAGCTCCCATCCGATTCACACTGAGGAACATACGGTTTCCTACTTAATGATATTCTCAATGCTTTTAGACGGCTTACAAGACATGGTTTGACGAAGGGTTTGGAATCTTTCCCTAATAAGAACGAAAGAAATAAGTACCATATATGCATGATATATCTATTATTAATAATACGTATATTTGAAATAAATTGTTTCCGATCATTTATTTCGCAGGTTATTTATGTACTTACTGCAATTAACTTCTCCTTTTGTTCTTGTTCCTCTCACCATCTTACCATTTGTATCAGTGCACCAACAATATTTTCCATGACATTGTTTAACATCATAAAAACCTTCTTTATTGCATCGTGGGTCAAACAAATTACGTCGCAGAACATGATACAGCTTCTTTCTTTTCTCCTTATGTCGTATGCAAGGACCCTTCATTGCTTTAACGTATGTCATGTTCATTACTCTCTCAGCTAGGCGAAGCAACAAATAACAAACCTCTTTCAAAATTATGAACTTTTAGTTAGTTTTGCATTGTGACTGGGGTAATGTTACTGAGGTATTGTGTTCCCATGCACAAATTCACACAAATACAAAATTCTAATGCAGTCATGCAATCAAACCTGCAGCTGAGCAAGAACCGTGTGAATCCGCATCACAGTGCTCTAGGTAACGTTCAGAAGTTCTCAAAATGAATGGGACTAATATCAAGTGCAACTTACGACACACTGGCTTGCCAAACTTAAGTGTCCCACTAATTTCGGTGCCATCCTGTTCGACACACCAACAATATTTCTTATCTCTGCTGCACTGTAATGGTTTGAAGACGCCACTGCGTTTACACACTGGAATATTTACACTAGCAATGGCTGGTAATTGTCTCATGTACTTCTTCAGGTCATAGCAAGGTTTCTTCTTATGCTCTGTGAAACCATTTGTTACTGCAAAAATGGTAGAATTTTGATGTTTACATTTCCAGCAAAGTCACAACGCTAGAGACATAGTTATTGAGCATTTGGACTTAGTAGTTGTTTACATGATCCTTTGAGGTATAATTAGGGTTTTTATGAAGTCAGACAATTAAGACGATCAACTTGAAATTACTTACGACATTTTGGGGTCCTTCTGGTTCTTGTATTATCTACTTCCTTTCCCCACTTATCTGAACACCAACAGTATCCCTGATAGGTGTCGCATTGTAATGGGGCGTACGAACCATCGGATGAGCACAACGGTACGAACTGTTTCGTGTTCAGAGGTAAAGTTAATGCTTTACGACGTGCGATGTGACAGCGATTACTTGGAGGTCTTGTTGGACCAGAAGACGAATGGGATTCTTCGTAAAAGAAGTAACAATATAGGATTCGTGCTATTTAGTCAGGCCTGATATCATGGTATATACACAATGGTAAAACAGACATGAAGCATTAGACGAGAACGAGTGGTATAATTGTTAAATATATTGCATCATGATTCGAGGGAGAGCAACCAATAATTAAGCTATAATTAAACTAAAGGCAAATATAGTCGATTGCCAAACTTCCAATCCCTTGACGTCTCACAAGATGGTATATATTTCCATATTTGGATAAAATGGATATACCTACCACAATCTGCGTCTCCTTTCTTTTTTGATCCAGCAATACGATTTCCGTTACGATCAGAACACCAACAATAACCAGAGTGGCATTGCTTTTTTGAATAATATCCATCATCAGCACAATTTGGATCAAAAATTTTTCCTTTTGCAAATTTAATTAAACTCCTTCTTCGCTGCTTTTGCCGAGCGCAAGGACCATTTGCCGCACCATTGGCTGAAAATGCGTCTTTACTATTAAACTCCGTTGATTCGTCTTCAAAAAATAAACAAAATTATGCAGTTGTTTTTCAACTATTGAACGCGTATAGTCAACACATTTAAGTTGCATTTACACAAATGCAAACGGGCGTGAGCATGCAGTGTAGCGACTAGCGACATTAACAGTTATTCATTATTTCAAAAGTTTTCTCAAAATTTCAATGCGGGTGGGCAGGTCTAAAACCAAATTCGTGTCGTGTTACCTTGTTCTTTCTTTCTTGAACAGTCCGTAAGACCCTTCGTACGGGTTCCCTTTTTCTTATTTCCATCTTTATGAACACACCAGCAATATCTGTTCTTTGCAGTACACTGCATTGGCGCGTAATGACCATCTGCACCACATTTTGGCATAAACACAAAGGGATGACCGTTTGCTTGGTGTTTAAGAGCCCGTAAGCGATGTGCTTCGCAGGGCTTATTTAATTCTTTCATTCCTATTGTTAGAACGTTTTCAGAGAAAGATTATTCGTTAGTTGGGAATAATCATTGGCCATTTTAGCGCCACAACTTCACAAATGCATTCAATTTAAACTGACTAAAGAGCTAAACATGCATGTTTTTGCAGAACATCTGCGTGGGAGTTATTAATTCAAAAATTCGGGGGGCATATGAATATGTGAATATGTACCCCGAATTTTTGAATTAATAACTCCCACGCAGATGTTCTGCAAAAACATACATGTTTAGCACTTTAGTCAGTTGAAATTGAACTGTGAGAGTAATGTGCTTTGTTATTTAGATCTATATTCACATATTCATATGCCCGTATATCGCGGTGGTTTCGACCCTGCCTAAACTTAGCAAATACTAATGAATTACAGAATTCAATTGCACCATTATCGGTTTGTCGAGCTGAAGTGTTTTGGCATGGTTTGAAACTTACCACAATCAATCCTTCCCCTGGTTCTAGTACCAGGTTTCATATTACCATGCTTGTCCACGCACCAGCAGTAACGGCTGCCCTGGTGGCATTGCAGTGGAATGTAAAATCCATCCGAGTCGCATATTGGGACAAAAGGACGAAATTTGGGAGGAAATATGAAGGATCTTATACGCTTTTGATTTCTCAGACATGGTTTGTCCGTAACTTGACAAAAGAAGAGAGGGATTAGAGTCATTACTCATTAGACTAGCATGCTAAAAAATAACTGAGAGTCAGATGCTTAGCATTTTCTAGTGCGTTTACCTGGGATTTCAGTATTTGATATTTGATTGCCAATTTCAGTGGACATCTAAAGAAAGAAAGTAATGCTTATTATGCAGATACAATGCGTTTTGGGGTCAGGGTCAGACGTCGACGGTCGACGTTTCTCTCTTCTCATGCGCCACAGCACACATCCATACATAGCAACATGAACATCCATAGCAAAAAGAATGAAATTCTCTGATCTATAGTTCTCATATATCGCCAATCGTTGGAAATGACCATGGTCAGTGATTGTCTCAAAATTTTCCACCAACGACTGTCTGCGAATTATCAGAACCGATGTTTTGTTGTTGACGAAAAAAAAATATCCAAATGAAATAACAAAGCACTTTACTCTCCAGCCATAAGAAACAGGCTTAAGAATCTACTCATGCACACTCGCCCACACGTTGGGAGTTTATTAAGAGAAACAAAAAATGAAAAATTCTTTAAATGTTTCGCATGTATTCGCATTTGTTATCATCCTATCTTTATCCGACCATTCCAGTGTAAGTGTAGGTTATTTTGAGGCAACGAAGTGATATGTGATTTATTTTTCACATCTATAGATGGCGAGGTCATGACAGAAGCTATGGTTTATGCGGCATTAACTTTATGAATGACCCTTAAAAGATGAAACTTTCTTTTTAAAAACGAGTTACAAAGATGGCCATTCTAAAAGAGAATATCAATGTGGTTTTTCGAATTGCTCATCTCCTCCCTATAATAACTGATCACTTCTAAGATCGTTCATAGTATTCACGCAGGGAAAATCTTCAAGTGGACAAGGCTTTGAAGACAGGGAAATTGCAGGTTAAAATAACACATTAATGTGCGATAAAAAGTTTTTAGAGATAAAACTGTTTTAATCACTTTTTAAAATCCCTCAAATATTCACATCCAATTTCATAAGCAAAATTCCACAGGTAAGGTGATATAGTTTCAAAACCGGAGCAATTACTTGCGCTAAATTCGCTAGACATCAAGGTAAATTAAACAAACCACCATGAATAAAATGTCTCAGCAAATTATAACATTCCGATAGTTTTGCCACACTTTTGCAGATTGTTGTTTACCGTTTAGCTTAAACCTATTTCTTTTTTTATTTATCAGTCACGATGGCTATTTGATTACTTAGGAATTAAGATTGCAGCTAATTATGGAGATTTTTGTGAACTTAAAACAACAAACCAGTCGACCAAGATTAACGCATTCTAGCGACGGTATTGAAAATATTTGATAACCTGTATTTGATAATCGGAACAATAAACAACAGATTTATGTTAGTGATAAGACAAGGGTGCAATAAATCACCAACTGAACTGTGCTTTGGTTAGAAATTTGTCCGCATGATTTGCATGTGATTTGTCCTAGTTGTCACCTGTTAGGTGCAATTGAAAATGCGAGGACTCTAAACTAGAAGCCACTTTGCAAGGCAAGGGCTGCCAATATCTGACATAAATGTTATAGTGCATAATATGCAAATTTTTTAACGTCACTGAAAGTGGTAGCGTGAAATATTTTAGATATCTTGAGATACTATTTAGATACTTGAAATGATCTACTAGCGCTCCGTATCTCATGAGATGCCACGCGATTGTAGCAATCTACGACAATTATAAGTTGTTATCAGAATATATAATAATCATATTCCAGATCCATTGTGATAACTTGTCAACTAGATGTTCTTGGCGTAGTTTTCAGAGCCAGGCTTGCCGTTATTAATAGCTTCTAATTGAAGACAGCTCGTCACAAAAAACTACGACGTTCGTGCAACGATCGGAGGCCATGAACCTTCCTCCTTATAGAGGACCCCTAAAATTTTGCCATATTTGTTATAGATTGGCATAAACTGACACCATAAAAGCACTACATAACGATTAACGTTATTCCAGATCCTTCTCAGAAATCTGACACGGCAAACAGCTGTGTATAGTAAAGAAGCGACAATTGACGATAAAAACTTTTCGGTGTTCTAATTTCCGACCTTAAAGCGACTGACAACCACAGTCACAGAAGATGTTTAATATATTATAATTAATTATTATTATTGTTAAAAAAAATAATGTATATCAGGGAAAAATTGGCTGGAACATTGCAGTTTTTCTGCCAGGTCACTTAGGAACTAAATAATACACCCAACGTCAGTCATTACGTCCGTATTGCTATACTGAAAAGCACATGCATTCCTATGAAGTGAGACTAAGATGTAAGAAATCACGGTCATGATAAAAAGTAATCAAATCGTCACTCACTCACGTCAAATATTCAAAATTAAAACAAAAAGGTTATTTTTGGTGATCAAGCTCTCAAAGAGTCAGGCATACCTTCATGACATCGTTATGAATGGGTTTTTAATAATGAAAATTTGTGAGCGAGATTATACTCAGGCATGAAAGATTCTTCCCATTATAATCTATATTAAATACAGAAAAAGAATGGGCAACTATATTTTACTTGGCCCGCGCGATGGGAAAATTAAGAACAAGCAAATCAACGTGGCACAAGGGCAAAAGTTTGGGTAATGTTTTATGGCATGCACGAGGGACATATGATTCTAAAAACAGTACCGCACAACTTGACTGGAAAATTCTTAAAGAATCTTTAAACATTTTCCAGCTGTTAGGAAATTTCAATATTAGGCTAGATATCATAAAGACAGGGAAATACGCTGTCTGATCAATTGCCAAAAGTTCAAATGGTTGGTGGCATTCAACAAATAAAATTCACCGAATTGTTTGCCAAAATATCCACAAATCCTCATAAAAAGCTTCCAAAAGTCAAAATTAGTAAGTGGCAAAAAAAACCCAAGAGCAAAACACGCAAAAGTAAAAATCTCTAAAAAAAACTCTCAGAACTACGTTCTTCGAGCTAGCTATAATACACAGAACTACTATTTCGTTGTCGTATACATATATATCACATCCAAATACAAGCCCCGTCAGCTATCAGCTCGTCACTTTCCAATTTTTGCATGACGAAAGCGAATACAAAACAATCACAGGAATAATGATGGAATGGACAGAGATTTCCACAGGATAAATATACTTTACCATACATGGGCATTCTTGGCAGAGCCTCAAGAGAGTACAAATGTAGACATGCATGCAAGACATAAAACTTTTGATATGCGTCAATCGTTTTAATGATATGATTATTTCTTATCATTTCGTGATAGTGACAGGTTGATTTTCTGCTACCAGAATATTAATTCTGGTGAAAATGTAGAAATATAAACTAAGGGTATTAAATAAACCAAGGTCAAGGTGTTATATCCTATTCCTCCCAGGAAATTAACAGGGGATTTGACATTTGACCAAAGATGAGGAGCCGAAACGTAGGCCTAGATGAATGACAGACGCCAATAAGAAGATAGAATAAGGATATGGGCTTGTTGTTTCGACATACAGGATAATATCAAAGAAAAGACCGATGCGGACAAGACGTTTTGGCTCACGACTTGCGCACCTAAGTTACAAATTATATTATCTTCATTTGAACATTGTCGTTTGGTTCCCATACTTGTCTAAACACTACAAGAATAGCGCATATAGATTTTGTCTTGGCATTACAATTTATGTTTTATGTCCTTGCATTATAATTAATTTATTATTCCAATATATAATTATAATGAATTACCGATCAAAATCATGCAGCATGCACGTCTACATGCAGCTGGCAGTAGTGTAGTCTGGTGGTGGTTTAGCCCGCTATGCGCTGCTCCCCGTCTTGTCGACAACAGCCGAGTAGTTTCCCATGGACTCATGCCGATGTGAAATTTAGAGATATATCGATTAAGGGTCTATCGAGTCTTCAGTAACATCGGTCATCTTGTCACGTTAGTGTCATCGACCAAATAAAAACCAGATTGGTTCAGAATGTTAAGCTATAGTGCATGTCTTTTTCGTGTTGAAAAGTCTTCGATAGATTGAAAATCGTATTTTTGTTTTACAGTCGACTTAAAAATGTGTATCAAGTAGGTCTAAGTAGCTCTCAAACATTTCTTACAGACCCTTAGCTTTCTATATAGGATTTCCTATGCACGATGCAAATTCCCCTAATGCGATCACGAATATTAAATTTTAAGAGTAAGAGAGCAAATATGCATGTTGTTTGCTTGCTGTTTTTAAGTCTCTTGTTTAATATTCCATGACAATTTCGAGAATGGCTTGTATAGAATTGTTTTTCGATATTCATATGGATATAGTTTGTCCATACAATCATTTCCATTGAACAAAACTAATCTTATATAGAATTACTTATCTTCTACGGCTTCATTTTCTCTATTTTTTACTAGCCTGCCTGGTATATAGCTACGATCCTAAGTTATGTTCAGCTTAGTCAGCACATGGACTTGTGAATGTGAATGTTGATCATCTACGATCCTTTTTACATTAAAATCCAAGAAACCATGCCTGCGTGACCAAGTAATGTCATCACGCAATTTTCAGGCGACGACGTTTAGCCAACAATTTGCTCGTTCGTAGCCTATACTCGGCTGGCCGTAATTGACTGATTGGAAGTTTCCCCTCCTATGTCGCAGAACGTTAATTTGGCAATGATCTAGCGCCTTCTGGTGCGGTCTCGCTGACATGCAGTGTCGTCTACAGACTACAGGAGGAACTGAACATTGCGTGTTTGTTGACGTGAGGTCAAGAACAGCACGAGGTTAGCAGTCTGTTTTCTATTTTGAAATGCGCTCAGTATCCAGCTGCACTTCTCAGTCGTACAAAATTGCACCATTTAAACATCACTCCGGGCTTTTTATATAGCTAGTACTGTTGATTTTACCATATGGAGCTATCGTTTGGATTTGCATGGTTGCATTGTTTGCACATTAGTGTATATAATTAATATCTTGTCTATTGCACCCATGCACTACTAAGTGTTTATATAACTGAGCATGAAGATACCACACTTTTAATTATAAGCCTTATTACATATCCTTGTGTGCTCAGTAGTGAAATGTTTATATAGGCACTGCGGTACCGCATTCTTTTCAACACATGCAGATGCCTAATACGTTGCCTGCAAGCTGTGGGGTGAATATATACACACCTCCTTTGCAAGCATCAAAACAATAATTTATTTAGTTACATTATATTGTGAATTCTTATAATTCTTTCCTTGTCAATAAGGGTGACCTTTCCAGTCCAATACCTATTCCTGTGGGCGCAAGAAGTAGGTCAAATATATATATGGACCTTATTAGTTTTACGTTAGCAAAGGCCTAGAAATTTCCTCTTGAGCAATTGATAAGGCAATGTACATAAGAAATCCTGAACATTACACATAAACCCAGTAAAAATCCAGGTGCTGCAAGCTTGGCAGGCTGCCAGGCTCCTGCCTTTGATTTGATTTTGAGTCAATGATTTTTGACATTTTGTTTCATGCTGCGGAATTATTATCGGTAACTAAATAAGATTTAAACAATGCGAACGTAAAAAACGAAGTGGGATAAACGTTGGATGTCTGTGAGTTTCATGAAAACCACTAAAATGTTCTGTTTTCTCCAACATTAAGCTCGACAAAAAGGTTATGACCCGAAAATTTTATCATAGAACTCATGAGCTAGTGATGACATACAACCGGAGAAACTGTCAGATATTGTTTTTCTCTACTGATTTTGCATCTTTTGCAGTTAATTCTCAATGACAGATCGTAAAATGAACTGCATATATTTCACGTTTTTTTATTTTATGCACTTATACACCACCTGTCTTGAGTGATTTTCACACTGAAACCTTCAAAGAGAACCGTGACCAAAATTGGTTAAAAAGACTAATTCCACTTTTGGAAACTAGCCTCCTAAATCAGTAAATCGTTGGTGATTTTCACGGAAATGTATAGTACTGCATTTGTCTTGCATGCAAGAGAGCTAACTGGACAGAATTGCTGCGTAACTTAGTGTGTCTCAGTGATTTGCAAAAATCTGCTGCTAATTAATACTCAGTATCCAGAGTCCAGCTCTCGAGATCAAACAGCACACAAATATTACGATCCAGAATGCGTTCAACAAAATGAGCCTCGGGATAGTTTACCCTAGTTGAAATATGCATTAATATTGACTCGCCGTGGTCGAAGTCGCACAAACCTTCAGCATAACAAACATATATCCCAATTAAAACAGGGAACAAACGGACCAAACACAACGGGTTGTAATTACAACTGAATAAGGTCAATGTATTGTTTCTTGATTTCTGATATGATTACCTCTAGTGAATGGAACAATCGAGCAATGTTTGCATGAAAGGCTTGACAAAACCCCACCAACATCGTCATGTTTATACAAACCCAGTCACATTTACATTGTTATATATTAATTCGCTAAACTCTTTACTGTATATTTCTTGCTGTATAAAAATATATTCAATTCTAGTTGTATATGTACATACCGTTGGATACTGGCTGCTGTTGTCTTCTTGAACTCTTCTGCATGACGCAAAGTTTCCCAGGAAGAGAACAGGCAACATGCGTAGAATCAAACCAAGGTTCATCTTTCCCAATTTACAGGTACCTGAGAAATGGAGACGGACCAAATAATCGATATAGTCTCAGTGCTGTTGAGTAAACAAACTTAATTATTTGTGTAAATGCGCGGGGTTATATATATCCCGCAGGAGGCAACCGCAAGACGGTCTCAAGTAATTCCAATTATCTAAGCACACCGGAAGGACGTAAAAAATCATGTAATAAGTGAAATGGCTCATTATTTCCATCAATAATAGATCACTCCTATTGCTATCAGTATATATCTTATCGCAAAAAGTAAATTTCAGGATTCTTGACTTGAACATCATAAATCGTAACCGATAATCCGGGGAAAAGAATCAGAACTGCTTAAAATAATATATACATGCACACATGCAAATATATAAAACCCCTTGCGCTGTTTGGAAACATTAGATGCATATTGTCTGCAAATATCCAAGTGTACTGTGCGCTAAATTGCATTTTAATAAATTTAAATTACAATTTCTAGAGTTCTAACAGTTGAAATTAGACTGATTGATGATTTCGGCAGGAGTAAATTATGAACATCTCGCGCGACACCTTGAGGCCTCACCTCCGCGTCGCATTGATTGTATATAATTATCGGAACTGACGGAACAAAAGAAAGTCTCCGGACTCCGGTGGAGAGTATGTTTGACGGATGGTGTTATCATCATCTTGGAACAGACCCTGGGCCATCTAACATATATCCTCGCTTAATTGCCAAGATTAAACAGAGCGCGAAAGATTTTGAGGTATTGAAATGACTGCACAACATATATAGCAATGGCGTCGTCATCTCTACAACTGAAATTTGGATCATGAAGACTAATTTCAATACCTCAGAATAATTTTACGCTTTGTTTAATAATAATCTCGTCTAACATGGCTATATGTTAACACGGCCTGAGGAAACATTTATGCCGATATTGGGTGATATTCCAACGCCGCCGAGGGGTGTGGGAAGGAGGGATTTGTCTAAGATCTTTTCACCAACACAAAAATGCGTATGTATAGGACTGAAGAACAATTCAGTTTTGTCAATCTATATGGTTGTCCAGGGCCTAGCGCAACATCGCGATTCGCAACGGTCTATTCGAATTTCAAATTTCGGTATCATAAACTTTGTTCATTCTGCGCGTGAGAGTTTCACGAGGAGGTTTACTGAAGATTATATCAAAACTACGCCAGCGTGTTGTCATGGAGGTCATGCATAAACTTAAACTACCGAATACTTTTTGAAAACAATATATCGATTTATATTTGTTTCATCAAAGACAAATCGTCTTATAAAATTTCAGGCTGCAGCCTACAAGTTTAATAGCAATTAAGTTTAATCATTCGACAATATATTTGCCAAAAGTATGAGAACGCACATACATGCAGATAAGATTAGTCTAAAAAAAAAGGGAAGCCTCAGATTTAACTAAATAGTCTTCGGTTATACCAGGTTACCATATCAGCTATATACTAAGAACTTCTTACTGTCCTGTTTTGGCATAACACGTCTTTACAACGCCGTAACTTGTCAAAGCACAAACTTGAACTCGTACTCGCGTCAGTGAATGAAATAAAAAACCGGTATCGTTATGTATCGTCAGCTCATTACTTTACAGTAAACGCTTGCTCTTAACCTACATGATAGAAGCTGGAATTTTAAATAGAAACCACTAAATGAATAGAAGTGAATATTAATTATAAAATCTGCCTATTGAATGAATGATGAGTGATATTTCATAAAATATAAATATTTCTACTAACCAAGTGACAACATATATAGTCCTTTGTCGTAGACCTTTAGACGAAGTCTTTCAAAGAGCAGCGACAGATTTTGATAATTAAGCAATGTATGACTATATCTCGAACTGTACTGGTTACAGACAATACGATGTATATATTAAAATATTGCGTGTGAAAATGGCCGTATTACCTATTCCCAGCCTTCAGGTATAAATATTAAGGCTCGACGAGCAATTATACCTAATTTGTAACCGAAAAGTTGCGAACAGCAACTTGCCAGAACTGATTTAAGCAATATAAGCCTATCAGGCATATGAATTTCTCCCGCCAAGCCCATATAAAAGGGAAATTAACAATAACAGAAACTGAAATTTGGCACAAACGATATTATGAACACTCCCTACACACCTTTAGGGGTCAAATTTTTTTTTACAGTTTGCGCGAACTGATTTTTCGTTATGCAAAGTGGAATGACGACCAGAGCAGCTTCAGCATGCATAGATTTGACGCAGGGGCGCCGGAAGCAGTTCAGGACGGCGGGGGCAGAGTTTTAGAAAAGGGCACCTTGGTAACAACACGAATAGGAAACTTAAATTTACAAGTACATGCGAAACTGCAAATCCACAGGAGAACGCATATTTCAATAGAATAATATTACCGGTTCGTTTTAATGCGAAGAGTATAGGCACCATTATTGTTTGAAATGTATCATGTATAATACTTTATATTACAAGGTAGGAAAGGGAACAGGGCTGCCCCCGGTCGACCTCGTAAGCGAAGGGCAGCTACCCCCGCTGCCCCCGTGGTTCCGGCGCCCCTGATTTGACTTGTAAGTAATACATTATTAAACTTTTAAACGAATTTGGACCCCGGTTAGCTTACAGTGAAAAGAGGTCAAACGCACAAAAATCAAAATTTTATGCTTTTTAATCAGCTCTAAATATTCGTCCCTCAGGGTACACTGATTACGTGCATGTATAACCCAAATTGTCATTGTTATATAATACCCTTGTTTGGAAATCCTTCAAGATGTTCTTCCTTTTTTTTGCTTTTACAGACCATGATTTACTTGATATCTCCTAATATGGATACCTAACTCTTAGTTTAACACAAAGCTCTATGATCTTTAACAGGGTTTTTACTCCACTGTGCGAATTTAAGGGCCCACGCATGCCGCCCCATGTATAAACAAGTTTTACTGTAAGAACCATCTAGATGCTATACGTACAGCACCACCTTAAAAACAAAAATCTATAAAGGAAATATCTTCAGTGCTATTTGGTCTTCATCCAAAAATCTACAAGCGGTTTGGCGCCGAGAAAAGGCAATTTTCAACGGCTAGCATCATATCTGATATCATTCCTCGCTATAATTAGTAAAACCACAGCGATGGTCTGGTCTACAAATTACAATTATATATAATACAATTAAAGACAGTGCAAAACGTTTAACATTCAACCTACTTTTTATCAAAGATCAGTGAGCACGACCACGAAGCAGCAAGCACGGTGTCATCAAGGAAAGTGACAAGCTCAAGATTTTCCGACTGTAGTTTGTCGTAAATCATCTGCTGTATGGCATGTGCATGCATGGATTAGAATTTTGAATACTTGAACTTGAAGCGATTAAGCCGTTAAAACGTATCGTAAAAACACATGTTTTTGGTGAAAAATGTACTGCAGTAGACTGACTTGTTCACCAGTTCATACCAGTGTTTATTATTATATAAAAACAGTCTTCAACTCTTTCTTTCAATTTCTCACTCCAAAGTCAGCCAAGGTCGATATGGGATTAGTATAGATGTAGATGACATGGCATGCATACTACAGGAATGGCAATTAGATTACTGAACTGTGATGGATTGTATATGTACGTCACCTTTTTTCTATAGTATTTTAATACCTCCTAATATAAATGTATTTTTCATTAATAGTACTTTATCTACTGTGATTGCAACATTCATAGGCTTTTTGACGTGCGTTGAAAGCTGGATGGATAATTTGCTCTCATGCATATATTTAGATGAACATTTTATCTGATTTATAGCTACTGAGAAAATCGTATGTAGCGGAAATCTTAAAAATTGGATGTCTTGCGCGAAAATCAGATCATTCCGAATTTGGCAACAAGTAGCTACAACCGATTTCTGTGTCAGTGAAGATTAAGGATAACCTCCTAACCCTATATGTTATTATGTGTATATGCCGTTATTATGAGTATTTGTCGCAACAAAACTTAGCATCAAATGTGGTATAACAACTGTCTAAAATAGACAAAAACACTTTCTCTTCAAAAACCTTTCCTACTCATTTGCCTTTCTGTTCTGTTTTTTCTGCTTTATCTCTTCAGTTCTTCATTCTGACTTCTAATTTTCTACACCTGTTTTAATTTGTTATTTGTAAATAATATCGCGTTTATGTTTTTCCTCGTGTGCCGTATATTCATATCCTAAAACATTTTCGGTGCATGCAAGATCATGAATAAAAGCAACACAGCCGTATCATGTATCGTTGTATGTCAATTGTTATATTCCCCTGCCCTGCTATAATATGATCTGATCATCTTATGGATATGAATGATATCATGTTATATAAACAAATTATAATACCAATATTGGTGCCATGGTGGTTAAAATAACTTTCACAACATTCCTAATTCGGCTCACGATGTATATTCGTGTCTGTCATGGAAGACAAAATGAATAAAAAATTTTTTTCCAAGAATTTTCGACGACACTTAGTGATGCATGGACGGCTTGCACGTCAAATGGATTATTTCAATGACGGTGCTCTATTTTTGCAACTTTTAATTTGCAACATTTTCCCAATGGTGATGATTTCGACTGATGACATAAATTGGTTTAGATTTTGAAATTGTTTTCCAATGCATGCATGGTTCCAACTTTTGACGGGCCCAGATCCGAAAACTTTATCTTCAAAACTGCCTACTATAATTAAAATATATAGAACTCTTTTTTGGATGATCAAAACCGATAAATGTGATTTTATTAGTAACAAATTCCTACCTCAATTTCGAGTCCCAAACTCAAAATTTTAATCTCGAGCACTTCACGACCAAAAACACTCGTAGCTAATTCCCTCCCAAGGCCTCAAGAAATCACGATTTCAACAATTTCAAATATCTAAAGAGCAGCGCCATCAACTGGAATCTTCTTCAAGAGCACTCAACATTAAAGAGAGTCGCGACACTTAAGAGAGTATTATCCAAGGCAACTGATTAACTACTCAATGTGATGAATAGATTCGAGCTTCTGAGGCCCGGCGGTAACAGTTCAACGGACGGTACCGCTTTCATTGGATTGTGAATTAAATCCCCTCTAAAATTACCTGTAATTTTGTACGAAACGTAGCTAGAGCATTTCATTCAACTCCATTAACTTTTTGCTCAATATTTTATAAAGCATTTCTTAGCCTCTTTTTTGCCCTTCAACTTTATCTTACAAAACATATTAGTGAATCTCATAGTTTAAATTTCATTCGTTCTCAGTTTCAGCCTTCAGGAACCCAAATAAATAACACTACAGCTGAAGTGGAAATCAGGCTCAGTTTCAACGTTTGAGAAGCTCCGTATTTTTAGGTGGATATAGGGCCGATTACGCCAGGCTTTATACAACCGCCCCCAAAAAACTTGATGGAATAATATAAAATCAAAAAGTCATATATTGCAAACGTCCTCGTGTGATTTTGTATAACAGCATTAATTAAAGCAATTAATTAACGTTTCAAGTTTTTGTGCATGTGTTAATCAGTGCACGATAGCGACGCATTCCTCAAATAGCTACTTACCAAAAACTGCGACAGGACAAAGACTACCAGATTTTCAGCTTTCCATACATATACAGACTCGTCAGTATGTCTGGAAGACTTGTCTTGCCTGTTCTAGACTATAGTCGTGCTCATCAAGCATTAATAAACCAATTGTTTAGTGGTTGTTTGGTAACCATAGCAAAATATGTTTGTTCGCCCACTATTTTATGTATACAGGTCATGTACAGAAGGCTTTATACATGCTGTAAATGCTGCAGAGAGTTAACAAAGATTATATATTGATTAATAGTAAAATACGGTCAATTATACTGTTATTTTAATTACATATCAGTTAATCAATCGGTGAATTTGTGATTCTTTGACAATAAATACAAATTATTTTTGATTAAATTATTTTTAGCAAAAGAAAAAAACAGGTTTGCCAATTACAGGTAGCATATAATTTATTAACAACCCTATAATAAACTTTTCCACCGAAAATTCCAAATTTATTTATTTATACCTCAGGTCTGTTCGAAATTCACTCCGAAATAAGCAAATTAGATCCATCAACTATACATTTGAAAGTCAACTATATACTTTTTCTTCTCACAGCTCCTTTCCTGTACTACAAAAAAACTGCAAACACGACTTGGATATATAGATTAAACTCCCACAAATAACTTCTCTTCAAAAGCAGGATAAGAATTAAATTTCTAAGATAGACAACTGGAAACTAAACTTAATTCTCATTTCTCAACAACGGATCGGGATGTTTTTTGTTGCCTAATTTATACGGGCAGTTGTTATACCACACTTTCATGAGAAGTAATTCAAACACGTAACCACGTAACCCTGATTTATGTGGGTGAAGTTGTGGATTAGGTAGGTGTATATTAAACAAATGCAGGTGGTCTTTTGGTTCTCAATACTCTCAATAATCACCGACAGTCGGCGATGTATTGTTAGACCTAGTTTATACGTCGTATTTTGGTCGCCTCGAATGCAATTCAAACAATAGATAATGAGATGATAATGAGGCTAAACGAGGTTTACCATTTCATTATCTGATTGTTTAAATTCCATTCGATGCGACCAAAAGGCGACGTATGAATTAGGCTTTAGTGCATGGCCTAGAATTATCCAAAAAACAAAGCATTTCATTCCTCCATGATAACCGACAATAGTGTTCGCTGAGTGTCGGTAACGTATGAGAACCAGGCATTAATTGAAGTCTGTTTTTCATATGTCACCGACCGTCGACGGTGAAACTGCACGCCGGTATGTATGATTGCTCACAATATTTCCCTCAGAAGAATATTAAATAATTGTTGTTTGGATTCTTCAGTGTCAAGACATCTTCGATGTTCCATTTTTTATACTACCCGCATTTAAAATATAATTATTATAGTAACATACTGAAGTTTATGAAACAGTAAAAACACCTGCTTTTGCTGGCTCTATTTGCCATGACTCCTCTTTCAGTACAATTGCATGAATACTGTGCATGCCCGGCTTCTTTTTTATGCGAATACATCTGGTATCATTCACCACTTAATAATAAACGAGCTCGGTGGTGTTTTAAATACATAGAGCACGAATTAATCTAAGATTAAAAGCTCACGACTTCTACTGAAAAGTTTGAATAATTTCTTGATGGGCTTATACACTGGAAGGGGGTATATGAATGACGACCCTTGAGCAAGTGCATGGCAACTAAGTGCTCGTTGTTGTTATATAAAACACGAAAGTAGATTCATTGCATCCACTCAGGGCTCAGGCCACTCTCCTCAATGAGACGACGCTGAGGGTCTTTCTGTCATTATACCAACATGGTGTGCTTTGGCTTAAGCTCTTTTACCCATTTTTTTGTATGAAGATAATTTGCAATGAGTCAGTTGATCGTTGAGCCAGCAAAGAGACTTTATCCCCGTCTTGACCATGCAGGCCAGTTTCAATGTTTAAATAGTTGTGTAGCCGGTTGTTCGAAAGACGTTTAGCTTAAACAGTGGATAAGCCAAAATTTAAAAATACTCTCATACATCTTGCGAATGAATGAACCTGCGTTTTAGGCATTAAATATGTACTTCCATTGACTGAAAATTAAGCTATTTACATCGAAATATCTCAGCTCATTTGTGACACAAGGAGATAATTTTGTTTTCCATTTTAAACTTATCCACCGTTTAACCATGCATGGATAGTTAAATAGCTATTGATTTTATTATCCATAGTTTAAGGTAAACGCGTAGTCGAACGACCGGCCCCTGAATGCGACTGAATATTACCATTCACCAATATGATATTTTATCAAAGTTTTGTCATCTGCTTCACGGATTCTTGTTTTTAATAACGCCTGGTATAACAATAGCTACAATATAAATTTTACAAATTTATTGTTGACGATTTTGTTACTTGAATTTGGATTACAGCCTAGTTAGGATATGCTGATAAGGTTAGCATAGGATGAGTCGAAGATTATCTTTCTATTGTGGCTTGGAGTCAGTGTTTGTATACAATACAAATCAACAAGTAATATTTAAAATAAACATCTTCTTAAACGTGTTTCCAAGTTTCACACGATGAGAGCAGATATAGCCCTCGGTGGTAGGTTCGCAACCATAAATTTTGCCAAATGCCAACCTCTACCATGTTCCCCTAAAAACTCTGGGCTCAACTATAGGCAGCCAAAATTTGCGCAGTAATTGAAACGCGAGAAATTTTTCGGCAATTTTGTCAAAGGGGTGTAACAATAACCATGGTGACATAACTATGTCACCATAGTTAACTATGTCAGATTACACACATAATGAATAAAAAATACATTTACTGATTGGTACTAGGGAAAATTAGAATAATCAATCATGAATTAAACTAAGTATAACAGTTCTGCAGACTATTTACAAAAACAACTTAACTAGACTCGCTAATGTTCGAATTCCATTCAGACAAAGTAACATTACTCATTAGTTGACTGTGATGGACACAGACCTCCAACTTCGACTGCCACGAACACACACCACGCGAGCTCGAAGCAAAGCTAAGGCATCTTTCGTCGTAACCAGCTAACCACCATAGATGAAGACTGATTCTTCTTGTCAGCAAGCTTCGCACCCAGGAAGAAGAGAAAATGTTGGGTCTCTTCCGCATCCGCCAAAGGCGCTGAAGACGACCGGTGTGAAGGAGCCATGCTCGACTTCAACAATCCCTTGGTTGTAATATGTCGCTTCTTTTCCCGTTCGTTGGCTTTAAACGAGCTGCTCAACATCTGGCGTCGACATGTTGAGGCGTATGGGTTAAACACCCTTACATCAAAAAATGCCTTTTCACATCTCTGCCAGAAACCTCGCGCAGCAGCAATGGTGACATATTTGCCGAAAAAATTGTCGCGTTTAAATTATCAGACATATTTGGTCATTCACCAAGAAGCCAGATGACGTTGCGTAATTAGAAGTATTACGTCAGCAATTCTTTCGATCCTTCCCGCCGACCACGTTGTTTGGACATCGAAGTTGCTCATGTGCCTTGAACTGTTTAACATTGGTTTTGTACATCTTTTCTTCAGGAAAAATGCCGCAAAAACTGAAATTCACAGATGGGGAACGGGTTCTATGTTATCATGGTCCTTTGATGTATGAAGCAAAGTGCTTGAAAGGAACAATGAAAGAGAAAATGCCGAGATACTTTATCCATTATAATGGCTGGAATAAAAACTGGGATGAATGGGTGCCAGAAACCAGAGTTCTCAAGTATTGTGAGGCAAATCTATTGAAGCAAAAAGAACTACGGGAGCAAAATTTGTAAGTGACAGGGTTTTGCCTTACTGTGTTTTGGTGATTTTGTTACATGAACTAAACTATTTGTCCCGATGTAACTCTGAGCTGTCAGAAGAACGATATTATTGTCAATAATATTATGTGTTTTCGTGTTGTTAGGTATTTAAATATTACATTAAATGTCAAGGCTATACTCTGTATTTTTGGAGAGGCTAACAACTAATTTTTTTTCTGTTAGATCATAGCCACCACATGTTTCAAGCCTTTTACTGTTGGCTAACATGACTGGACATGGACACATGGTTGAAATTTCAGCCCTCACATTAGCAATGCTGAAAGCTTGGCTTTACCATGTTCATTCCTTTGCATAATCCTAACCCTAAAATTATGCCAGTAGTGGGGGCTAGTTCCACTAATGTCACATTGTGAGCAATGCATGATACTGATATGTGAATTTGAACTTCAATACCAAAATTCATTTTTTCCAAACACGCACAGGCACAGTGGTGTATAATGGAAAGATTGACCCTACTCTCCTGAAATTGCTGCTTAGATGCATAAATCATATTAGTCACCCAGAAAACAGCCCCAACACCATGTTGTCCAACCAGTCATTAATTAAACACGTGTTCGGTTGAAATTAACATATAGCAATAACAAATTCAGCTTATATACAAAGAGTAAAAAGATTGATTTAAAAATATAGAATTAAAATGTTATAACTATTGAAAAAAACTGGGTACATATCAGAAAATTATTTGGGTTTTGTGAATTTTCCAGACGCAGTCTTTTTCATCTAATTATATTGTAGTTGTATTAAATAACTTAGCATCAAATGTGGTATGACAACTGCCTAAATAGACAAAACACTTTTCGACCTGAGGGCCTTCGTCAGGAGAGTTACAGTCGTTATACCACATTTGATGCTAAGTTGTTTGAAGACACTGCCACGCTGCTCCTTGGTTATATTGTATTAAATAAATTGCCAATAATATATCTTAATTAAAGGTGTAGTATTATTTCTTTATTGTTTTGATATTAATCTTATTTTGTAGGAAAAGTAAGAAAGCAAGAAAAAAAATTGAAAAAGGAAGTGATGTGTTGGAGAAGCCTCACAAACGTGATGGGTCCTCTGACAGTCAAACAAGAAGGAAAAGGTCACGTCTAACTAATAGCGAAAATGATGACAGTTTTCTACCACGTTTAGATATTAGGATAGCAATCCCACAAGAACTTCAACACTGGCTTGTTGATGACTGGGATTTGATAACAAGACAAAAACAACTAGTTCCTTTACCAAGGAAAAAGACAGTACATCATATTTTGCAGGATTATGTCCAGTCTGTGGTTGATAATCCTAATGGTGTTCGTCCTGGTGTGGCTGAAGAAATGACTCGGGGTATAAAGGAATATTTCAATGTCATGCTTGGTACCCAACTTCTGTATAAATTTGAACGACCACAGTATGGTGATCTTTTGAATGATTCACCAAACAAATCCATGTGTGAAATATATGGAGTAGAACACCTACTACGCTTATTTATTCGACTCGGTAGTGCCTTGTCATATTCAAACTTTGATGAGAAGAGCATGCAGTTTGTTGTTTCATGCATACAAGATTTCCTAAGCTATCTTTGTAGAGAAGCTGATGCATTATTTAGTCTAGATTATGTGAATGCAACACCGGAGTATCATAGAAGGGCAACAACTTGATACCAATCACAGAAGCAACTTGAAATGATCTGGTAGTTATTGTCAATGTTCATTTCGTTCAATATGCTATTATTTATATTGTAATTTTCTACAAATAAGTGTAATTTTCCAAGAAGTTAATAAAGAAGATTGTTCTTGACTACCATGCTTTATAAACTGCCCTTTTATTCAGTGCAAGGTTTAGCCCTGTGTACTAGTACAAGTGTGTACTGAATTCCAAATGGTGCAAAAATTTTGAAGTTCATTTATACTTTGGGCAGTCTGGAGTTGCCCTACCAACTTAGTGTATGGCAACTTCAATATAGATTTGCTACTCGTTCCATAAGGGTATAATCAATTTTATTTGGATATAGCCTTATCAATTTTAAAAAGTAGGGCTAATAAGATAATATTAAATAAATGTGTGTCAGTGTGGGAAGGTTTTTAACATTGTGTGAGGGCATGTTAGCAAAAAAACACCACAGTGCCAAATGAGAATGTTGAGCATAATTTACCCCATAAATATTTACAGAATTAAAATTGTTTCAATTTACAACTTGGTTGTGGTCCCTTGTTACCATAACCCTAACCAAATTCCTACACCATTTTGCTAGATGAGGCCTAAATATTTTTATATCTGTTGAATCATCCAAATGATCATCTATTTTAGCCATGTTGGGGGGGCTTGTTATAAAGTCGACTTAAATTTAAGCATATTCTGAGTCAGGCAAAAATGCCTGCTGCAGGAGAAAAGGCCTTTTTTGAGCAGCAAATTGAACAACCTCTATACTGACCAGATTACCATGCATAAAATTTTGGGATTGAGTGAGGAATTTTTGTTTTGGAATTTTGGTGAGGTGGAGCTTCTTTAATTAAAAGGGAGAAATCTCAAATATGTCAAGGTCCTTTTGCTTCACGTCCCTGAGGCTCATCTGCTCCCGTTCTGGAGACCAGATCACGTATACCACGTGTATTGTCCCACGTCCCATATCAGTCCGACCCTATGGTCCGACCCAGTGACTGGTCCCGTGGTCCGACACGACCCCACAGCTCGTACTTGGCCGTGACATAATTTAATGGCCTGGAACGAGATGACTTGCATGCGCAGACGTTGCAGGAATTTGATACAGTCAACGCATATGTTCTACCAGGTCGTCCATTCCATGTGGGTAGTGTTGTATATTTCAACAACACTCAAAGCCTAATTTTCTTATTACATGCCAGATATTGATGAACAAAAACCTATTGCATACAAAGAATGATGTATTTATCGTGGACTTAATATAATATTATAAGGTAAGCCTGGATTATAAACATAATTAAGCATGAGTTGCCTAGCCGGTCGAATCAATTTTTATTAAACAATTATTGAATGTTTTATATTGCTTCATATGAAATAACCAGTATTTTTACTCAGTATATATTATCAAAGCTGCATTTCCAAACAGATCGTAAGTGCATAATATGTTAGGGTAAACATAGCATGAAATTGTGAGACACAACATCGATTGACTCCTCAACAGAATGCGCGTCATCTTGTTCAACTTTCGACTGCTGACTACAGCATGTATGAGCAAGCAAACATGTTAGGCTACTTAATTTGCCGAATGGTCACTATTTTTCAACTTTAATTTTGCTTTATTAATGAAAATCACATATTTTATGGTTTATTTAAATTTCAACAGCTTTATACGAGTCTGGCTCTCTAGGCGATGAATTTATAAAAGCAATTTTATAAACACCTGTTTCACAGTTTTACTCATTTGTAACTATCTTTTAATGCATTGTTAATTTTTGAAAGGAAGTGCATGTGAAACATAAATGTCAATGTAGTATACTACATTTACATGGGTGCATATAAAGTTGCCATTCAAAAAAGCAAAATTACATGGAATTACTGGTTGCAATTCCTGTTAATGTAAAGTTAGTTTTGTTTACATTTGAGTACATAGGGTGTGAACCTCTCAGCTTTTGCAATAGACAAGTTATATTGTTTGATACATGCAAAAAAGGGTGCAAACAATGGGGAAATATAAGATTTAGAAATTGAACTAAGAAAATAAAGCACATTTACACAAACTTGCAATACTATTTTTTTGATGAGTAAAATAATTTTGAATTAGATAGAGTTGCAGAATTTGGCTCATTATTGCACTTTACATTTGAAATGTTCTGCAAGATTCATTTTACCATTGGCTTACTGAGCTGAAATGCCATTAGGTGGAAATCTTACCAAATGCAAAGACAACTTATATAGGCATGAATAGCATGGTATAAAAAAACTGTAAACTAGAAGTAATCAAAGATTAGCAAGTGTGTTCGGTAATCGGATTTCTCATTGTTAAAATACTGCAAGATAGATTCCTGATGCTTTGATAAGAATCCTCACTGATATTTCAAACACTTTAAAATCAAAATAATCCATACAATTCCTGCAACTTCTTAATGAAATAGGCAAATACGAAAGCCCAATTGCCCGGTCCTAACTCCTAAACAACAGCAAAATACGGAAAGCATGTTAAATTGAGACTCGACACGAAATTCGGCAGGCAAGGCAAATGCAAAAACATGAAAGCGAGGCAAATGCTACCCAAAAATCTCAAACAACATAGCATCCATCTGTGACAGCACAATTAGGAAGTGTTCTCCTTCGTCAAACGCAACTACACTTTATTAACAAAACCATCCTTAAATTTATATTTTCTAAACATCTTGGAAAATCTGGAGAAATTGAGAGGCAGGGAAGATTGCACAAATTTTTAGGGGACCCCAAGGATGAGAGTAAATTAATTAAGATTTTGTGGCACTAACTCAATGTCGAATAATTTCTAAAGGATTCTTAAATTTTGTGTGGAAATTATACACATCTCAAATTCATGCCAGAAATAGTTGAGAAAAATTGTCAACTATCAGTCCTCAGGCAGGAATTAAACATACACCTTTGAAATGGTGGTGCAATGCTCTTTGTATCTGTCCATGTCTATCTTTTCTTTAATGACCTTTTATTTTACGTATAAATGTGTAATAGGTCTTTTGCATAGACATTGAATGTGAAATGTAAAATGATATATAAAGTTTAAATGCACTTGGGCACACTAGTTAATATTTTTTGGATTGCACTGATAGTTTGCTTGATTGTTTTTGAATAAAGATTTTTGTTTGTTGATCAACTAAAATATTTTGCTAAACAAATTTTTTTAGATCGACATGCCAGTGATGGCAAAGCCGAAACCTTCTGCAGATAATGTGGGATGTGAATTTGTTCGCCAGTACTATACCATGTTAAATAAAGATCCAAGACAGGTCCATAGGTATATGAATTAATATCTTTAAAACACTGAAACCTTGGCACAAAAATTGAATTAAAGTTTGTTAATTACTAAAAATTAATTGATTCTTACTGTATCATCAAATTTTAGATTTTATTCTAAGGATTCTGTGTTTTTTCATGGAGGTCCAGGCAACTCACGTGGCAAAGAACATGTAGTTGGACAAGAAGTATGAACTAGCTAGTGTATATATGCTCACTGTATTTATTGTTGTATAATTTACCATGTACAATACCTACTTAAACTGTGTTTCTTAAGATAGTTTTCATTAAATAGTGTACCAGTCTCATGCATACACTGTTTAGTTTCATAGTTCTACTAAAATTTTGGATGTGCAAGGTAAATCACATTGTTATATTGATTTAATAGGAAATCTATGAAGCAATAGAACTTCTGAAATTCAAGGATTGCCATGCAAAAATATTGCAAGTTGACAGTCAATTCACTGTTGGTGATAGCGTTGTTGTGCAGGTATGAATACTGCAATTATTTAATTAGGTATATATAAATTTTAGTAAGCTAATACTGTATAGCCAACATAAACCAAACTAGAAGCCAGTATGTAGTGGAAAGAAAATTTCTATATATTTTACTGTCCTATTGTTTCCCAGGGTTTCTTTTTTACTGTATTGATCCTAAAACTGTTTTGATAAAATTTCTCTTTGGTAACATTAACTATCAGCAAATTTTTAAACAATAAAACATTGGTTATTAATTTTGTTTTCAATTATATTATCAATATATGTAGGTTTGTGGAGAGTTTTCTAACAATGGAGAACCAACCAAGAAGTTTGTTCAAACATTTGTCCTTGTTCCTGAGGTGTGTTATTATTAATTAACTTTAATAATATATGTATATGTATTTTATACATTACTTTTTACAAAATTCTATAACATATATAAAAAATTATACAAATATTTTAAGATTAAGCTTACAGCATACTTTTATTGTGAGTGAGACACAACTACAATGTAATAATATTGGTGTTCTGAGTTATTTTATAATGTAACTTTATTTTGATGAGCAGCCAGACATTTTAATTTTTCACCTTTTGAATGTTTGACTTACATACTGTCCATCTATTTTATCTCTGTATTGCATATACCTTAATTTTGTAGGGATTAAAAAAGTATCATGTACGGAATGATATTTTTCGATACCAAGAAGAACGATTTCCTGATGAAGTCAGTGATGAAACTGGAGAGGTTACAAATGGTAAGATCTCTAATAGAAAATAGACTTTTAGTTTAAATAATGTTTACAGTTTAAAGCATTTATCAGAATAGGTCTTACTTACTTTTTTCTCATGAACTACAGTATGCAAGAGATGCACATTCTGTCTAGAAGCCTTTACAGAAGTTGGTCCAGCTACCTTTTTCCATCATTGTACCTTTAGCAAGATAAATTGTCTTATTATATAACGTTCTTTCAGAATCTGAAGTTGATGATGAAGTGATTGATGAACGTCCTCTGGAGAGCAAATCAGACAACTTTAATAACCTGATAAATCACGTCCCCGAACAAACTGCAGGTGTTAGTTTTTCTGATGAGGAAGAACAAAAAGTCAGGTTGGTGGTTGCCAGAGTTGATAATTTATTGTGTTCTATCAAATGACTACTATTCTTATAAGCAATACTCACTGAGATCAATATGCAGTAATTTTAGAATGTTGACTAGTGATAGTCTGGTACCTCTACACCTCTAGGTGGTCACACCCCTAAACATTTTGTATTCATGATGTTTGCAAACAACCAATTTGCAAACTATTTGATAATTAGAATTAAGAATTACAATACTGAAATCGCAATTTCGCTGATAAAATTATTTTTATTGTCTTAGACACTAATTTCAATGCTACACAATTTCACGGTTCATGTGCACATATTGACTTTTCATGTAATTGATGTATTTAGCCCAATGACAAATGGCTCAAGTGATACGGATAATGAGATAGAAAGTGAAGAAAAGGTTGAACCTGTTGAGGCTGAACTTGAAGAAATTGTTGTTGAAAAACTTGTAAGTATAAAAAATTATCTATAAGTGTTTGCCCTTCACAGAAAGTAAGTGTAAAGTTAGGTAGAACCTAAAGCTCATTAATTAAACTTGTAATAAAAGTTGACAATATTAGTTCAATTTAAGATATTTGTGTTTGAAAGTGAGGTTTGACAAGTATGTGGTATTATTGTATCTTAAGATTCACAGGTTGTTCATTTGTACATTGTACATTTTTGTTTCATGTTTGACAATGTGAATATTCACAGGCACCACATGAACCAGTTACTACCATAAACCCAGAGCAAACTGATTCAACCGTTTTTGAAAACATTGAAAGTCCCGATGATGAAATTGCACCACCAGCTGATGAGAATAACCATGAACATAAACCAGAACCTGAACCAGGTATGTAATCTTAACCACAACTGCTATCACCTATATATTGTTTAGTTTGGTCTCAGAAATGATAATCCAGCTTTTTATAATTCCATCTATGAACAACTGAACACCCAACTAGCATGTAATGAATTTATTGCACACTGCTAGAACCCAGCAGATAAACAATGAACTCTGGGCGTACATGTTGTGCTAAATTAATTCCAAGATTTCGCTAACACCATCAGATGTTTATGCATCAATGAATGGGGTTTGATAGTAGAACTTGGAACATTTTACTTGGCTATTTTAACTGGTGTTTGATAAAGACAGTTTACTTTAGTACATCTTCTATTATTTCCTTTCGATGTACTTACACCCACCTGAGTATTTACTTCATACAGAACTGTAAATTCTCTATTTTCAACACTAGATATGACAATTCAGGGTATTTTGATTTTGTTATTTTTAGAGCCATCCGGTCCTATGTCGTGGGCTGCAATGGCCAGCAAAACACCTAAGCCAAATCCTCAGGTTTCCCGCCAATATGAACAAAAGAAACAATTTGTGGTATGTTTACACGACTATGTAGCTAACGTCGGTTACGTAGCCTGTAGACGTATTTTAGGTTTCGATCACAGTATGTTTGTCACCGGGAGAGCTTCGTTGCTTTTTTTGCTCTAAAATTGGTTGCGTATAACTTGGTTACTGCGAGAAATTTCTTATCTCAGGAAAATATGAACAATTTCATGATGAACACATAAGATTCACGATCTCAGTTTAATCATTAGCGAAAGAAATGATGAATAACATTATATGCCCCTGCAAAAAGCGTATTGTGATGAAAACACTTGCAACGAAAGAAGAAAATTAAACGTTGCGTTGTACACGTACATTCAGGATTAAGTATCAGTGTATTCTTGAAACACTTTCCTTTCAGGCATCTTCTCCACAATTAAACACTGAACCTGTCATGAAAACCCAACCGCAACATGTTGGTGCAGGAGGTAGAGGAAATATTGGAGGAAACAACGCCGGTTCTAAAGATCGTTTCAGCGGTAGGAATGCACCCGATAATTGTCAGGTCTTCATTGGTAATCTCCCGGCTAATTTGGATGAAAAACAAGTACAAGATGTATTCTCGAGTAAGTCAGTGGTTCTAAGAATTTTTTACAGCTATTTCTATATATATCGCATTTGAGTCATAGTAAACTCAAAAGATGATTTTCAGTTCATAACATTTAATAATTGTGTTATATTTATATTTTTTTATTTATTGATTACAACTGAATGCACAATAGTAGGACCCAGTAGATCTTCCATGCAACATCTGCAGGCCGTACAAGTTGTGCTAAAATAATTCCAAGATTTCGCTAACACCATCAGATGGTTATGCATCAATGAATGGGGTTTGATAGTAGAACTTGGAACATTTACCTTCTCCGAAATAGAATTCGAGAGGACTATTCACCACCCCTGTTTTGGTTGGTAGCAAAAGGGATGGACAGTCACTTGATTCATATACACGTCACTAAAATCTTCTACTGGGAGTAGTGCGTATAAACATTAGTTATCTCCTAGGTCATAATGTATGTCTTTGAGTTTAGTTTACACGGTACTAACATTGATATTTGCCGCCATTTAGAGTTCGGTAAGATTATCGAAGTCCGATTAAATCCGAAGGTAGGTTGCATTTCAACATTTACCGCCGCATTTAAGTTGATAAATATTTGTTCAAATAAAAAAATCTTATTTGTAGAATTTTGGCTTTGTTATTTTTGACTCCCCTGAACCTGCTGAACAAGTTTTGAAAAACTTGGTAAGTAGAAATTATCGAGAAGACTTATTATGAACACAATTCCGAAATATATTTAGATAATGGAATCATTTAGTAAACTGTGAACTATTATTTGACGACTTCTGGATTTATTTAGCCAATAACTATTAACGGACAAGAAATCAATATTGAAGAAAAGAAACCAAGTGGATCGCTTGGACGTGGTGGCCGAGGTGGACCATCTGGAAATCGTGGCAAGCCCGGTGGATCTGGCCGTGGAATGAATACGCGAGGTGGACCTGTAGGTAAGGGGAGTGGGGGAAACACACCTAGTGGCGGACGCGGAGGGACTGGTGGGAACCAGCGTGGAGGGGGGCAGAATAACAGTCCAGGAAGCCGTGGACGCCGTGACAGACGATAAATTGAACGGCTTACAGTACATAATATGCATTGAAACAGTATACTGTACACCAATATTGGAGAGTAGATATGTGCCAAAAACTTGGGAACTAAACAATGAAATATTTCGTAGCTCAACAAGAAACACAGAGAAAGATCCTGTAGTAACAAACGTTCACTTATTTACAGATTCTCTGTAAAATTTTAACTCAATTAAATTCAAAAATAATTTCTTTGTGTAGCTAGTTAGTCGTACGTTAGTATTCATTGTGTGTACAATACTTTTTATTGTAAAACAAAATGCAATAGCAATGCCAATGCAATTTGTTGCCCAATTATACAGTATAGTCTTGAGCCAGACCTGTGCATTGTCAAAGATAAAAAGTCAATGGGTGTATTCGTTGCGGGGCTTTTCAAATAAATAGTATTCGTATACGAAAGATCTTACATACGCGTTTGCAGTGAGTACCAGTACCAGATTTTGGCCATTGTCAACGTGCAAAATTTGCAGTCATTTTGTTGATAATTTTCGTACTCAAAGCTGAACGATTACGACTTTTGCGAGGTTAATCAAAGTAGAATATTCTCCAGTCCCGTATCATATTATTCCCGCGGGATTGTTCTCTTTTAACAAAAGGGTTAACGCGGTTTAGAACAATTTAATGAACCAATGTTTTGACAAATACTCTTATCTAACTACACTATATTACAAAAAATATTTACGAAAATATTTTGGACCTCTGTATTGCTTTGCTAATTCCCCTGCCATCCTGCAACATGCAGAAGTTTGTTATGAGGATTTTTTACGAAAATAAATTTACAATAAATAATAATAAATTTTATAATTCTATGTGGTCAATCTTCTAGTTTTTAATAATAAGCCATTAAATGATTTATCACGAACAGACTATCAGGGTAACTAGGTCAGAGTTGCAAAAATAGTTCAACCTTCCTCCGGTAGGATTTCAAGTTTTGAAAACCTTCCTCAAAATGACGTTACCTCACTGAGTCAAGTGGCAACCAGCATAAAGAAATATTTGGTTTTTTGGTACATGCATGTGAGTCTTCAACTTTGAAGCTTCCTCACAAACCTCATTCAAAGCAAACCTTTCTCCGGGTGATGCCTGCGTACCCGCAACTCTGAACAAGGTGTTTTTTTGCGATCGACCTTTCTTTGTGCGAAGGGAAAACACTTCAGAGCAAACAGCGGCGCGGCTTCTTGCTAATTTGATTCTGTTTTAGATTTCTATCATCAGGATGCTCACTCAAATCACGCGTACACATTTGGAATCTTCGTGTGTGAAACTTTTTGGTCCACTGCGTTGTTCTGATTCATCGCCATCAAGATCTGATTTCGTAAATAACCGGGATGGACTAGAGGAACATCTTCGTATACTACCGACACTAGTCTTAGGCTGGTTTGGAATCAAAACATCCGAGAAAAGCCTTTCAAGTAAAGTTGGATTTGATCCAATTTCTTTTTGCAGAAATTTGAAATTTTCTTTAGCATCGACATTTCCATTTTCAGCTGCTGTTTTATACCACCACAATGCTTTATGTTTGTCTACACACAGATCACCCCGGCCGTATTCATGAAACAGGGCATAATTATACTGTGCTCTTGCGTGGCCATTTTCTGAAGCACGACGGTACATCTCCCCCGCCTGGAGTCAACAAATAAAGTAAGTGTGAGGGTTCGAGTATACCCCATGAAATTGTATAGCAACAAATTTCACTTTACACTTCAAAATACGTCACGTATCTAGAACTCAACATCAGGAACTAAAATGAGACATGCATACACTTTCTTACTTTGCTCATGTTCCTTGTCAGACCCATTCCTTTTTCATAGCATATCCCAAGATGATATTGAGCTGTTGCGTCCTAAAATAAACCACCTCATTGTAAACTGACTACGTACTTCATTGATATCGCAGCATTCAAATTTTAAAATAAATTCTTAGGCCAAAATTTACATTCTGTTTTGAAGCCATCTTCAACCAATGTACACTTTTCGTCATATCATGAAGCCCATTTTCGTCTGCATAGTATAAACCAAGAAAACGCTGAGCCTTAAGAAAAGATAATTTGGTTATTTTACCATTGCCAATATAACTACCATAATTATGATATATATCAATATCTTTTATTATATGGCTTTTCAAAATCTGCTATTAAATGAAACGCTGAAAGTACCTTTACTAAATTTCCTTCGGCAGCTTTTTCCATCATCTCCAGTCCTGCATTTTCCTTTCCTTTAAAATTAAATGCAGAAATTTCAACCAAAAATGTTAGAAGCGGCTTTTAAATTGTTATGCCTGGTAAAGCTATAGTGTAGTCTTTGTATGGCTCCTGGTAGGATATATATAGACCAGTGTCCGTACTGTGAAGGCTTGGACGGGGAAATTAGTTAAGTTCATTACTATTTGGTAACTATCTCTCCCTTTTTGAATTCGAGACATTTTGACAAGAAGTCGTTTTATAGTTTAATAGGTACAATATAACTAGGAGTTCAAAATCATGCTGCGGCAACGATACACCAAAAATCACAATATTTTTTATGATAAAATACTTTACCTCGTACTTGCAGCAACATTACACCAGCATTGAATGCAGCCTTTAAATGACCATATGATGCCGCTAACGTATAGAAAATGACAGCCTAAACAGTACAAAACGGATTCAGTTGTAAATACGTAGCAAATAAATATTAGAAAGCTACGCATGCAACTGCAATGCCAATGCTGAATGTAAAGCGACTTCACGGTTACAGGCGTATACCTTAGAAAAATCTTGAGTTGTTCCTAATCCTTTTTCATAGCACAACCCTGTATTAAAATGGGCTGCTACGTTCCCTTTTGCGCTTGCACTTAAGAATAACTCAAATGCCTGGAAATGAAATTAAGTACAATTAGCCTGGAATATAGTAAATGTTACGACGTCGATGGAGCATCTGAACACTTACCTTTTGATGTAATTTTAGTTCTGAAAATATCATCGCTACAGCGTTTTCTGTAACAGCTGTACAATGATCCACAGTACTTTTAAAAGATAAACATGCTGCATCCAGGGGATCAATGGGCTATAAAAAATAAATTGTTCTCGTTCTGCTTACCCTGGTGTATTAATAATTTCAATTGTGTCCAATCTACCTGTGCATACTACTCACCATAGCAGGGCCATTCAACGGCAAGACACGCTGAGGTTTGTTAACATCGAGAAGATCATAGTCGGCATAGTCAGAGACATTCAAAATATCCAAGGCTTGGTTTCTTTCATCTTTAAATAACAGTCTATGCCACGAGATCAAACTGGACCCAACAACAACTCCATAACACCACTGAAATGGAAGCAACGACATAGCATCGACAAGCATACTGACAAAATTTAAAGAATGTCCTTAACTGAGCTTAAACCCATTTACAGTACATGCAATGGTTTTAATTAAGGTTTGTTACAAATGAAATTGGTACGGATGAAATTTGGACCATTTATTTCGATTTAGGTAGTTCAAATTTTTCTGCTTAAGGCTGCTTTTAGTCATGTACGCATGTATATGCACTAGATATGTTAAATGTGTTCAAATTCGTAATATTTAACATAGAATTCCTACCTAAATTTCCTATCTACTCTAATCATTTACCTTTTCAAAATCCAAGAAAATATTTCTAAATCCAAAACCAGATTTTTTTCCATTTTCTCCAGTCCTACTGGGAATGCATATTGTCAAATCAGTATTCTTGCTCTCCTTCACCAGACTGATATGTTTGTTAACATGTTTCAAAAAATGCTTGATCGATTTCGAATTCACACCATGGTGATGTTTTAGAAACAGACCAACAAGAGTATTGTGCGCCTTTGCAATATTTTTGTGGCTTGTTATAGCATATGGACTATCTTGCGTGTTTGGTCTCAGTGCGCCATCACCCGATTCATGCCCCGCAACCGGTAAACTGAGGAGTTGAGAAGTACTGTATCCACTTCTTACCAATCCAACTATAATGTGAAATATATCATAAATTGCGTAAAATTACCACACAATGCTAAAAAATCTGAAGAAACATAATTTGCTATATCATATTCTATCATACAATTACTGACATAATCATGTAATTAATTTATCATACCAAATTGTGTACCAAGATAGAGATGAGTCTAGAAGCTTAATTGGGGCGGGGTTAATATTCATATATTTATCTTATGCCCGATTAATTTCTTTTGATAGCAATTGTTTTTACACTCTTTTAAACTTGAGTATATGAATATGCACCCCCCCCCCCCCAATTAAGCTTCCAGGTCTGTGCCTGTGCCAAGATCAATATTTGTAGTATACATTTGGGCTTTTGCATCTAGTTCATGACATATATCCTAGGTTTCAATAAAGGTTTGGACTATGTTTCCAATAATTTTTTCTTTTTTGAACTGATTTCTACTCTGAGTTAAAAATTCCAGTAACACTATTTCAGAGCTATGAGTGGGGCTGTCTTAAATTCTGCAGAAAAATTTCTTTACTGTGATTTATAAAGACATCATTGGGCACTTTGGTCTAGCTCCAACAAGATGGAATGATGCAATCTGATGAATGATTACAAATACTAACAAAACTTGGAATATCTCCAGACTAGAGTTCATTGAATATTTAAACTCTGAGACAAGTGCTGGCAGCAAGACAGTGTAACTGATTTCATCCCGATTGCGGTAAATTATGCGAAACTCTGCGAAGTTCTACTTCTACTTCTACATCCACTCCACTATCAGTCTATCACAAAATTTCAGATGGCTTTTCCGATTAATCAAAAGAACAATAAACAATTTACTTTTTACATGCAAATGTAGTGGTGGTAGACCGTTAATGTACCACCAGTTGAAGGTCGTCTAAAGGGTTCCGTTATTATATATACAACATATTTCCATTTCTATATTATATGTAAATTTCACCTTGTTTTTGGAGTATAAATGGCGCAAACGTCCTCCACATTTTGAAACTTTATTGTTTGTAACGTGGACAGCTCTTTCGTTCGAATGTATCTGCAACGTGCTTGGCTACTTCTGTCGATTACGCAATTACATCACAGTGAGTGATTACATCATCCTCCATAAAATTTTAATAATTAATAATATATAAATAATATATTGTTAATATATTAATAATGTATTATTTCTGACTCGATTTCGATTGACCAATAACCAAGTGTGAATTTTTGGCGGGGAAGACCACTGTAAGGATAATACCACTGAGCTATATTATATTATAGCTCAGTGGATAATACCTATACCTCTGCCAACTGTAGTTATAGTTATAGTTATAGTTAGAGATTTTAATTTAACATTCCCGGAGGCCCAGAAGTTAAAAAAAAAAACTACGACTGTGGCTTTCAACGTGTAATTGCCCCCTACACGCAGGGACAGTAAAATAACTATTTTCCAATTAGGTATTTTTTCTTAATACTCCCACTAATGGTTTCTTAAGGAAAGCCCTGATTTATCGCCTTAAAATAAATGTGATATAGATTATACACAAATTGCATAATAATTTTACCACATAAGTATTATTTAATTTTCTTAACCATGCCCTGGGCAATTCCAGTACACTCGACCACGGTCGAATACGCCGTTTTCCGGTACACTTGACCATGGTCGAATACGCCGTTTTCCGGTACACTCGACGGCTCGACCATGGTCGAATACGCCGTTTTCCGATACACTCGACCATGGTCGAATATGTCCTTTTCAGGTAGATCGACCATGATCGAATACGCCGTTTTCCAATACACTCGACCATGGTCGAATACGTCTTTTTCAGGTAGATCGACCATGATCGAATACGCCGTTTTCCGATACACTCGACCATGGTCGAATATGTCCTTTTCAGGTAGATCGACCATGATCGAATACGCCGTTTTCCGGCGGCCTCGACCATGGTCGAATACGCCATTTTGCCCTGGGACTCCAACCTGAAGGAGCCCCCGACTTAAGCCGAAAGAACCAAAAATTAAAGCACCTAAAAAATGTTGGGCTCGGTGTATTATTCGCACACTAGTCGAAAGTACGAGTGACAGTCATTGTTATTTTAATTTCTAAGATATGTTAATATTGTTTGTAAAAAAGTTTGTTTGTAAAACTTTTGCACAACGCTTTGAAGTACTTTATGCATCGCAGATATTCAAAACCATGACGTCATAGGCCCCCAGAAAAAATGTTGCCCCGGGCCCCACAATTTCTCTCGGCGGCCCTGCGTGCTCATACGGCTACATACCCATACGACTAAAAATTGCACAAATGCTACAACACGAACTACATAACGCCCACTAGAAGGCTTTATTACATGAAAACAACTTAAGTTGTAAATTTAATACCCCCAAAGTTGCTATTCTCCAAACCACAAACTAGTTGTTGAGTTAGGACCCATGGTACAACCAAAGTTTTTAGTTTTATTGCTACTTCTTTCGTAGTATCCGAATTTACCATCCTCATCCAAATCACCAATTTCATTAAATGTACAGCCAAAATTGTCAATCCTGCCCCTTCTGGCATGAAATATTTTATCATTGCTTTGAATCCAAAAAGATGTGCAATTGCTGCATGTTTCACCCTGTATGTTAATGTATGATACTCTTATACATTTCCCTTCGGAACCATTAATGGGAGTTGTTGTGTATCTCAAAGGATCAAACTCAGAAAAACTTCCTCTTGCAGTGTCTCTACGGTCATCGATAGCGCCAGTGAAATTACAAACTGTGCTCCAGGATGTTGTGTGATTACGAATGTATTTCATTCTTGTCTGTGACATTCTATAATGGTTGAAGTTGGGAAAACTTTCTGCAATTGGATGGTTTTTAGTCAGTGGAACTTCATTGATGGCTTCATTAAGGTAATTTGGTCGCGAGAATGACATGACTAAAGTCCAAGCCCGTTTCAGGTTGTGATTTAGGTAACATAGGACGTCAATTACATTCCCGTTATCATCCAAAATTTTATGTATCTTGTGTTCATGAGATTTAATATCCAGGTCGGTAGAGAGGAGATCAGAGCATTTTCTTTCTTTTCTGCTGTTTTCATTCTCTTCTCTAGTTGTAATATGAGCATTTGATGTCTTTGGAACTATTGTTGGTTTGTCTTTATTGCCTATGTGTACATCAGTCTATAGAAAAGAGATGATGAGACTAACTTTGCAGATCTTTTACGGGCAAATTCAGGAAATAATTATAACAGGGTAACGTTTAGGCTTTATTAGCGATGACTGTTCTAAACAGCACTGGATTGAAGGAGAAATTATTGCCGGCAGAGAGTAGGAATTACACTGAGGGCAATCATAAGGTATGAAAGATAATAAATAATAATATAAGGCAAATTTAATTCCTTAAGGCTAGTTTCCACTCTAGTTTGGATCGGACAGGACAGGACAGGACAGTTTCCTTTGTATATAAACGCTGCCTGAGAACTCACCGACAAAAGAAGTTTTCCTGTCCGTTCCGATCCAAAGGAGATTTTTCCTGAGTGGAGCAAAAGTAACCAAAAGGCTAAATCTATTTATAAAATGGGTCAAAATCTCTGGCCATCAACTTAACCAAATTAATATGCGCTGACTTCAAGTAATCTGTTTGATTCGTTAATTTTAATCAGTGAATCGCAGCTATAGTGAATAGTGGAACTGCGATTGTCTAATCGGCCAATGAGCAGTGTCCTAAGCAATTCTTCTATGTAAAATTATTCTGTCCTATGCAAGATCTAAGTCGTTCGTCAGTCAAAAGTTCAGTTATGGATGAGAGAATTAAAAATACCTGTCTCAACAATTCATAGTAGGTATAGTGTGCTTCGAGCTTGAGATCTCCATGATGCGCTCTTTTAGTGCAACTATTCAACTCACAAAGATCAGCGTTCTGCAATCCGGTGTGTGATCCGAGATTAAAGGATTGACATAATGGATCGTGAAGACAATATTGAGCACATTCACCAGGAAATAAAACATATTGGGAGCGCAGAAGACATTCTTCTAAACGATAACCTAAAAAATTGATAAATTCAATTTATTGTCAGTAATGCCTAACTGGCAAAATTTAAAACTGTGTTAGAATATACATCGCTTGCAATTATCTAATCCCATTTCCCATTCCAACTTCAACTATGTTTTATATTTACTACTACTAACTTTACTACTAGTAACTGACTCTTAAGTCTTTTACAGTGCCGTAGAAATTTTCACGTTACCTTTGTATGCTGGAGTAATAGCTGTTTTTTGATGAATATTTCGAACACAGTATCCTGGTATGATGAGAAGAAAATGAAAGAAACATATCAATTTTGGTTTCATATTTGCTGCAGTAACTTGCAGCAGAAACAAGTCAACAGTAAGGAGATTTGCATGTAGCTAGTCTGTACAAAGACTGATTAATTTATAACAACGTTTTTCTATATAAGTTCATATCAGTTTATATGACATATATTAAATTGAACATCAATACGTCACTCATCAGTCAACGTGATAAAACATTGAAATAAAATAACAACTGTACGCTGTTTATACACAGATGTCTTATTAGCAGCTTAACAACCAATATAATTACATAAACTACACAATTTGTAAAAACTATCTGTTTTTGTTCGACTGCGCGTTAGATGTTTGATAAAAATATAATGTGAACAAAAATGCTTCACAAAAAGTATTTTTAAATGTGAAGGAAGGTGGATCGGTTGGGTTGTTTAGTTGCTGTATGTTTTCTTGCTTAGGAAGGGTTTTTACGATTCGTTTTGCATTCCAATATGTCAATCTTATCTCTCATCATCACAACTATGATAATGCACGTATTGTACATTTTCTGATATTTTTAAGTTATACAGTGCGTTAGTCGTTAGACACAAGTTTCCTTAACAAATAGTGCATTGTTCAAGTGAAAGCTTGACACAAAACAACGTCAAGCAGATTTAAGCCGGACCGACATCTTTCATCTCAAACAGGTTTCCGGGTCGGCTTTCTTCGTTCCATATGGAAAATAATTTCGCAAAACCAGGGGCAGGGGACATGTCACACACACCCACTCTCAAACTTTACAAAGGGGTGCTTTTCCGTTTACCTTATCAACCGCACAGAGACTTGGGCTACAGGTAGGCAAAGGCTTGAAAATCCATAGGCGGACGTATTTTCAAATTATATGGTTATGTCTTATGACTTATTGAGAAGCGTCGTCCTGTGCATAATAATGTATACTTAGATTACATGACGTTTTCTAAACTAGTTAATGAAAGCAAAAAAGTGCGGGCTCATAGAATTAGAAATTATTAGATATTTCCAAAGTCCAAACCTCAGTTTCATTGTTTCAAAAAGAGAATAGAAAGATACTGTGTCAAATAGTCATATAGTTTATGTATGTATTCTCTACAATTTTAAAGCCGAAAGAATTACTCAACTTCTCTCTATCGTTGTTCCGTAGATCATCCAACGTCTTCACCAGTCAACTAATTGCGGTATGTACAACATGTGACCCGTAGGCTGTTTGAGCCTGTTTCATAACTTTCATTTTATTCATTTTATATGTCCACGAGATTAATTAAGCTTATGAAAAGAATGCAGTTGTTTTAATAGCCTGTTTAAAAGCAATTAAGTACAATGTCATAAAACTTTATGTAATTTGTAACAAGTCTAATATCCCATGATTATGTTCATTGACTTCATTCATATTTCATAAAGATGAATCATCATGACTATAAAATATCCATTTTACTTTGCAAAGCATTCTGGCAATTTTTCGAACTGTTACTTTGAATAAGGGGATGGGGCTATTACCCCCTGTAGACTTGCTTCAAGTCTCACTCGTTAATTTTTGCTTCCTGTGTTGCATGTACAGGACTCCAGCAGTGCCCGATAGATATTCTCTAGGCGTATTATTTAGACACCATGACTATTGACTTATTCCAGCTCATTATATTATTAGCTAATGTTAGCTGGGTACACACATACAGCTAAGACTTCTTTTCTTTAGGGTCTTAACTAAAGCTACTTGTGTGTACATATTTGCAGATGGAAGGCAAGTCAGAACGCAAGAGTAATGCTAAAGTCAGTGCACTGAGAGAAATTGAAGTTGATGTACAGAAACTCTGGGAAAATGAGAAAGTATTTGAGGAAGATGCACCAGAGGTATGCATTTTTAAATACTGGGCTCTTCTGCTTATATGAAATATATGACTATAACACATTTTTCACTGTATAATTTCTTACAGAGTTTAACATTTAATGCATGCTAATTAAATGCCTAAATCCAGTCCCAATCACCATGCTGACAACAATCCTAGCAATTAGTGCTTTGTTTTTCATCAGAAATGTGCAATAACAGACACATTCTTCTTGTTTCATCTAGTTGAATTCTGAGGAAGCTAAAAGGTAAAGAATGTATAAATATTTCTCAGGTTACCAATCTATATCAGTAAAATCTATATACCTACTATATTACCAACTTGTGTTTTTTTATTTCTTACATTATTTTGTTTTAATAGGAAACACAAATATTTTGTTACCTTTCCTTATCCATACATGAATGGTTGCCTTCATTTGGGACACACATACTCTTTATCAAAGGTAGATATGTCTTTAACATGGGTCAGCCTTATACATAATCCACATAGCAAAATTCTGATCTATTTTTTCCTTTTTTTTATATGATGCTTTGGCTTTCTTAATGATGTAGTGTGAGGTTGGTATTAGTGAATTGGAATTGAAAATGTAGAAGTTTTTTCATTGTCCTTAATGAAAGATCTTGTTAAACTTTCAATTAATTCTTGCAATTTCCTTTAACTATAGGAAGGTAACTTCATCAATTGCAATAGGGCTTTTTATGACACACATCATGTTACCTTCTTATTATTCACTTCTTATTATTAAATATGTCATATTTTCAACTTGTCATGTGTGTTTCAGTTTGCAGTGGGCTATGAACGCATGCAAGGCAAAGCATGTCTATTTCCCTTTGGGTTTCATTGTACTGGTATGCCAATAAAGGTAAGATAGATTTATTACTATTTAGCAGGTCTTGTTTATTGCACCAGGCTTAAAGCAACTTTATTAAATATATTTTACAAAAATGATTTACAGCTATGATTGTAAGTTATTATCATTAAACTATTTCATAAATATGATAAATAACAGATATGATGTTTCTCTCCCAGGAAATTCTTACTCTTGTACTTTTTTCTAAGGCATTTGCTAAAATTGTTCTTATATTTCCCATTCAATATTTCAGGCGTGTGCTGATAAACTCAAACGTGAGATTTCTGACTTTGGATGTCCTCCCCAGTTCCCTGAGGAAACACAGGCAGCAGAAGAAAAACAGGTGATAGTTTTACACACATCTCCAAGGAAATATTCAGCCTTGTACAGGAAATTTCTAATTCAGATTTAATTAAGATTTTAATAGTTATGACAATTATGTGCATTTAAAAATTACATGCCTTAGCTTAATATAAAATTAATAGATGAAAAATTAATAGATGAATTATCCTGTGATTATTTTTTTCCAGGTAAAAAGCAAGGTGGCTGCGAAAAGTGGAACAGCCAGCTACCAATGGCAAATCATGCAAAATATGGGTTTAGCTGACGAAAATATCAAAGCGTATGTATCTGTATCGCAAAAAGTGCATAAATCAGATTTATTGCCCCAACTTTATACTATACAGTATTTTACAAAGAAATAATAAGACCACGACCATCTATTTGTGTATTACTAACCCTTAGATTCTCAGAATCTGAACATTGGCTAAGATATTTTCCTCCAGTGGCTATGAGAGATTTACGGAGCATGGGAGTAAAGGTTTGTACCTCTAATGCTTAAAATTCTAATTGCAATCCTAAAAATTGAGATTTCTGTGAGATGAATCAGATGATATAACTGAAGAAGTTTGCACCGAAAAAGTTCGCAAATACGCGTTCGCCACGAAATTGCCGATTTTTCTCTACTGCCAATTGACAGAGTAGCGAGGCCAAACACAGTATTTGTAGTGCACAGTATTTGTAGTTACTGTTTTTACTAAACTGTATCAGTCCCATGTAAGCTTGTTTCTGAGTCTTATCATGTTGATTGGTAATGTCAATTATTGCCGTTACAAGCGCAACAAAGAATTGATCGCTAAAACGTGATTTTACAGGTTGATTGGAGGCGCTCTTTTATCACAACTGATGCGAATCCATATTATGACTCATTTGTAAGATGGCATTTTTTAACCCTAAAGGACAGAGGAAAAGTCAAATTTGGTAAAAGGTATTGTACTCACAGTACTGTACATTGATCTCTGGTATCATTTGTAAAACCCTGATGTCCTGGAACCATCGAAACAACCGCTTGTTTGAATAGGACAAATATCAAACATCTGAGATTCGTAGAAACCCATTCAGAGTACACCGCATAGAAATTTAGCGCCAATATTTTCCAATAAACACGAAAAACCACAAACGTATATAGTGAGTGGTAATTAATCTGACAGTGACGGTAGATAATCAGCGTATTCCATTTTTGTCGAGAAAAGTGTCCCTCTTTTTTGATCACAAGAAATGGATAAAAAAATATCGCCGATGTATAATAAACGTTGATACAATGTAACTGAGCGATGAAGACGATGAAATGCGACAAATTATTGACTACAAGACTCGACTCACTTGGGTCACTTCTACGGTGCTCTATTAAGCATCATACTAAAATGGTGTCAATATATATCTTGTTATATTTAGGTATACAATATTTTCTCCCAAAGATAATCAACCGTGTATGGATCATGATCGACTAAGTGGAGAAGTAATTTTATATTATCTTTATTAGTTGCCTTTATTTTAAATGCATGGATGACAAATCAAGAAATTTCGTCTGCCATTTTATTAAATTCGACTATTTATTTACAGGTTTGTCGGCACAATCATTTAGGGACAGTGAACCTTTAGAGAGATTATGAGAAAAGAGTGATATTAATTTCAGTTTTCGTTTACAATTTGTTTAGGGTGTTGGTCCTCAAGAGTATACAATTATTAAAATGAAAGTTTTAGAACCTTACAAAGGAAAGCTTAGGTAAGTCCTTAAATTTTAACACGTTTTTCTGTATACATCGCTATTTCTCATGAACGGATATTCACTTAGAATTGTCGAATGTGATCAATATGATGAAAATGACTGTGATGAAATTGATTGTGTTAACTGACGTAGTGTTTCCAATACTTTAGCACTCTGCCTGGGAGAGAGATATATTTGGTTGCGGCTACATTACGTCCAGAAACAATGTATGGTCAAACCAACTGCTTTGTTAGACCTGACATGCAGGTGAGGCCTTACTCACGACTATGGCATTATTTTAAAAAATATACGGCCTGTTTACTGTGGTGCGTGTTTTTATGCAACTTAATCGTTGAGATATTTTTATTGCATTCTCAGTATATAGCCTTTGAAACGGTTAATAAAGAGATATTCGTTTGTACGAGAAGAGCGGCGCAAAATATGTCGTATCAGGGATTCACTGCTGAAGATGGCAAATATGATGTTTTGTTGGAACTGACTGGACAGGTTTCTACACATCTGTTTACTATAACGTAGTTTAAACCTGTTTTTGTTGTATATCAAGTCATTTTAACAATATATGCATGCAGAGATTGTTACACGTGGATGGTACTTATGTATATTCAGCTACGTCTCCTGGTGCACTTTTAATATCTCTAGCTTCAATGTTAAATTCCTGTTCTTTCCAGGATATCATGGGAATCCCATTAAAAGCTCCATTAACATCTTACCCCGTCATCTATACCTTGCCTATGCTTAATATCAAAGAAGATAAAGGTTGGTTGACTATTTTTTGTTGTTTGGAAATTTTGCACGGGTATATTCAAGTATAATAAACACTTTGTTCATGACATTTGTTGAATATTTAAAGGTACTGGGGTTGTAACGTCCGTTCCATCAGATTCCCCTGATGATTTTGCTGCTTTAAGAGATCTCAAATCTAAAGAGGTATTTCTGCTTAATTACAAGATGTAAATATCAAGATAAATACCGATGAGCGCTCTCGCCTTTGCCCGACTCTCACCTACATTGAAATGCCATCCTGTATGTTTTTTCTGTATTTGAGCAGCCATTCCGCAAGAAGTATAACTTGACAGATGAAATGGTCCTACCCTTCGATCCAGTGCCTATCATTGAGGTCCCAGATTATGGAAACCTTGCTGCAGTGAAGGTTTGTGAAATCATGAAAATAAAGAGTCAAAATGAAAGAGATCGACTTGAAGAAGCGAAACAACTCACATATAAGAAAGGATTTTACGAAGGAATCATGTTAGTTGGAGATTTTAAAGGTCGTCTCGTTCAAGATGCGAAAAAACTTGTCCAAAGCCAAATAATTGAACAGGTATGCATGGCACCTAAGCTCAGATCTATGAAAGTATTCACTGAATCCTAACTATATCAGAGCACGTCATATTTTATCTAAATTTTTCTGCGAGTGTTGTGGCATTTTGCCTGATCTTTGTTCTTCCATATATTTCTAGGGCGAGGCGGTTACTTACATGGAACCAGAGAAAACAATCATATCTCGATCTGGTGATCGCTGTGTTGTTGCATTATGTGACCAGTGGTAGGTATTGCACGGTGTATTCTCAACCAGTCAGCCAGAAATGACCTTTCCAAGCAACAGATTTTGCTCAGTGACCACACCCTTGGCTGTAATTTTGAGTAGAAAAAGGCTGGAAGAAGTTGTGCCAATAGGAGGAACTGGGAAAACATATTGTTTGTTTAGGTACTTGGATTATGGCGATCCAGAATGGAAAGAACAAGCCGGGGGAGCTTTGAAACGATTGAATACGTAAGTATAGTTTTCCCTAGCTTATATATATGTAGTCATGGACACCGCCAAAAGCATTGTACAACAAGAATATATATATACAAAAGGTTGATAAAGTATATAATAATGAATGACTGAGACCTAGCCAACGTAGTAAAATTTGGTCATTCTTTTAAAAGAAGCTTAGCTGGCATGGGCTGTGAAAGTTTTGAAATGAATTGAGCTAGAGGACAATGAAATGATGGTAGAATATGCGACGAAAGGGTCTTTTAAATAAGGTAGAATAGAAGAGCATTAGCACCCTTACTTACTCCAAGATAGAGAGGATAGTGATATCTTACAGTATTTATTATGCATTGTCGTCGAGTAGGTTCACTCCATTGGGTTTATTGTCATCTTTTTAGATATGCCGAGGAGAGTCGGAGAAATTTTGAAGCGACTCTTGATTGGTTACATGAACATGCATGTTCACGATCGTATGGTTTAGGTAATTATGCAGCTGGATATTTTCTATTGCTGAAAATCCGATCACGATTGCTCTAAACAGTTTTTATTTCAATAGGACAAACCAAATTCATGTATTTGGTTTGAAACTTTGAGGTTTATATGAAGTATGACGAAGTTCTCGTGTTTCTCTACTAGGTACCAAACTACCATGGGATGAACAATATCTGATAGAGTCATTATCAGATTCAACAATATACATGGCTTTTTACACCGTTGCCTATCTTCTTCAAGGAGGTGTATTAGATGGTTCAGTTCCCGGTCCGCTAAATATCAAGTATGTTAGTTGCCCATGACTGTTAATAATAGCCTTCCAATTTGCATGTTTGCACAAGGATGGTTAACGATTATTATTCCTTCTCAGGCCGGAACAAATGACGAGAGAAGTGTGGGATTATATTTTCTTTAACAATGCACCGAAACCGACCACAGATATTCCGGCAGAGGCTTTGACGTAAGTCGTTTGATCTTCAAAACAAAGTCTATAAATTCACTTTTTAGTTTCTATTTGGACGTCCTTCAGTGACTACTGTGCATGGAAATATATGAAGCTATTCAGGTCATTATGTATTGCATCATTCTACAATTCTATGTGTACTACTCTTGTTAATAGATTTGCGTTTCTTTTCCAGAAAGCTTCGTCAAGAATTTCATTACTGGTATCCAGTGGATGTCCGTGTATCTGGAAAGGATTTGATTCCTAATCATTTAACATACTTCTTATACAATCATTGCGCTGTGTGGCAAGATGAACCAGAAAGGTATTGTTCCGCTGCTATCAAACTCTAATGCCAAGTTATATGTCGGTTACACGTTGTCGTATATGATCTCTGGTTAACGCGAAGAAACTGGACTGTGTTGCTCAGTAACAGTTTGTGAACACGATCAGTGAACAGTTTGTGAATACGACAGTTTCTTGAACACGATCCTTCAAATGCTTTGTTATAAGCGAATATTTTCGTTATTATACTAGATGGCCAGTTAGTGTGAGGGCAAATGGACATATATTGCTCAACTCGGAAAAGGTATGTCATTGTTAATTCTCCAAGTAATTCAATTTATATTATATAACACTCTATTAATTTCATGCCTTTTAATTGGTTGTTTGTTTGTACTAAATTCAACCACAGTTTTAACTTTTAATGGTTTCGTGCTCACCTTATGAACATTCATTATTAGTATACTGTATTCACTGATGAAGGATAAAAGAAGGATTCGTGTTGACGCAAAAAAATGTAATGTTGTTTATTCGCTTGAATTTAGATGTCCAAATCCACTGGTAACTTCTTGACTTTGGAACAAGCTGTTGAAAAATTCTCAGCAGATGGTAACTCTAGTTAAATGTTATTTCTTTTGTACTGTGTGCATGTGAACGTGAAACAAAAATAAACTGACAGTGTTTTGTACAAAGATTTTTTACCAGAAAATTATATGTTTGCCATGTAGGTTTGCGTTTGGCTTTAGCTGATGCTGGGGATACGATTGAAGATGCGAACTTTGTTGAGAAAATGGCAGATGGTGGTATTTTAAAACTCTACACACTCTTAGAATGGGTCAAGGTTAGAACAATCTTTCTTTTTGCAAAATGTTTGTAATCCCTGGAAAAGCCTGTTTTTAATAAAATTACATTTGAGTAATGACGTTTTTAAATGCTTTTCTCTAAACTAGGAAATGATTGAAACCAAAGATACACTAAGACGTGGCCCAAAAGAGTCTTTCCAGGATCTCGTTTTCGTCAAGTAAGTATTTTTTGTTCTATTTTTCTGAATAGTAGGAATTGTGAGTCAAGAACATAAAAATCCAAATACTTGGGAAGTTCGTTTAACTTATACCCGACGTAATCAAACTAGTAATTCCAACAGTCGTATAGAATCTGTTTTGATCAAAGCTATTCATGCACCTTTCGCTTTGATTTGCCCTGCTGGAATAAACCCAGAGATCTGGAGTAAAAGGTATAGATTTCTGTATTTACAGAATGTTGGTGCTTGTTAATATTTCGTTTCTTCTTTAGTGAAATCAACTATGCCATAACTAAATCAAAAGAGAACTACGAGAACATGCTGTACAGAGAAGTTGTTAAATCAGCTTTCTTTGAGTTTCAAGCAGCTCGAGATCGATATCGAGAAATGGCCACGGAGGGAATGCACCATGATCTTGTGTTTAGGTTTATTGAAGTACAAGTTTTGTTGTTAGCACCAATATGCCCGCATATTTGTGAACATATCTGGAAATTGATAGGAAATGTAAGTGATGCTATTTATTACTACAAGTCTACAATCAGCTCATTATAATATAAAAGAAATGAGGAAAAGACGAGACATTTTGAGAGTCATTATATGATTCAAAATAGGCACAGGTTGAGGCTGTAAATTATCACCTTTATTTCATCTTATTCTGTCTGAAGACTTCTGAATCAGCAGTTGCCCTGCCTCCTTTATCAAAGGCCTGGCTCCCTAACCAAAACTAGACGTGCATAAGTTATATATCGAAAAAAGTGCGTGGCCCTGTTCGGACTTGAAATACATCAAAAAACTAGCTGTGGCAGATCCATGGTTAGGCAAATTAAATTATTATGGATTTCCAAAGAATTTTTGAATAAAATATAATGGCTAATGCAATGGCAAAATAGAGTTATGATAATTTATTCTGACTTTGGGTCCACCACTGCAAACTAGCATTTCTATTGGATTCGTTGTCATAATGTGTAATTGCTTTCTTACCAGGAAAAAAGTATAATGTATGCTTCCTGGCCTCAACATGATGGTATAGATGAGTCATATTTAAAAGCATCCTCATATATTGCCGATTCAGCACATGAATTCCGTTTAAGAATCAAATCTATGATATCAGCGAAAGGAAAAAAGGTGCGTCGTTTTTATTGAGCTAGGCTTTCAAGTGAGAATGACTACACTTGTATAATTATATTACCTATAAAGCTTCGTTTACTATCGGTAAAGTTGGGTCAACGATGACGAACATATGCAAAACCGGCTAAAAAATCCAGCCGTGAACATGAAATAGTTTGTTTTTTATACAAATTACAGGATAAGTTTTTCTGGCTTGCATGATTTATCGTAGATGTCATGGCATATATATTTTTAATATTTGATAATTCCTACATGATTTCCTTCCAATGATTTTTTAATTTCATTTCATTTGCAATTAATTATATAGAATACAACACCAGTTGTTCAACCTACAAAGGGAGTAATTTATGTCGCTGATTCGTTTCCACCTTGGCAGGAACTGGTTTTAAAGAAACTTAAAGAAATGTACGAGTCAAATAATAATTCATTTCCAGATAACAGAGATATCGTCAAGGCAATGAAAGATATTCCTGAGGTGCAAAAATATATGAAGAAGCTGATGCCATTTGTTCAAAATTACAAGGTATAAAAACTTCATATATTAGGTACGAGCTGCACAGACTAAGTTGGACCTCCTTCTAAAAACGTATAAATAAGAAATAAAACGACCATATGCAGGTGATGTCAGGCGACAAAAAATACAGAAATATTGCTCAATAAAGAGTCTTTGTTTCGTAAAATTTCCATCTGGCGCCGCTGTTACAGATCTTGGCAAACCTTTTTTTTTCATTACAGAGCAAAGTTGAGAAGCAAGGAATCGAAGCTCTAGATACAACATTAAGTTTTGATGAAATACAAGTGATAAATGCAAATATTGAATATCTCACTAAATCTCTTGGGGTAAGTAATGATTTTTTTATAATAGTTAACTAATAATTAAAGTTAATGCACTTTGAGTACCGCAGTCAAATTGTGCTCTTATGGAGTAAATACTGTACATATAGGAACGCCTTTCTTTTCTGGGACACTATCATATAGCTTACAGTTTGTCTCGTTTTCAGCTTTGTTCCATAGAAGTTAAATTGGCTGTGGAAGGCGATGTCAAAATCAGAGAAGAATGTCTTCCAGGAAAACCTTACTCTGTATTTAAATGCTAAAAATAGGTAACGTTAATTTTCAACTGGGGTACTTAAGGGGTACTTCAATACGGATACTTTTTTTATACATACACCCTTTTTTTAGGTCATGAAATAACCTTGGTTCAAACAAACAATAAACTTTGATGTTGTTAACTATATATGTTGAACATCATTTTAAATAAACTGCAATAAATTTCCAACAATTTAAAACCATTTGTGATTTGTGGTAGATTATTTTATTTACTAAGCAACAACTCGTTGTTCTGAAAGAATCGCACACTGAGACGAGACCTCGCAGTAAAAAAGTGCTCAACTTCGACCCAGTTTTCTGTATCTGGGATTCAGAATTCTGACAAGTATAGGGAACGATGGCCAACCAGTGTGGCCAACTTTAAAAGCTCGTCACTTGTTTCCAACAACCAAAATCACACGATATCCTGATTACCTCTTAATGAGGATTCGTTTCCATAATTAAGGTGTTTTCAGATTTTTTTAAGGGCGGTGGACTTTGAAGTAAAGGACTAGATTACGGGGGGTGAATTAAGGTGAAGGGTAATTTTCCAATCCTTTGTAGAACAAAAAGAAATATTGTCTTGTGGTGATAGTAATGTGTTATTAAGTATTAAGTATTATTGATGTATTGTGCATGGTCAAAAAGCTTCATTAGCTATTATCTTCAATGTTTCTGTCGAATATAATACATCCGAAGAAGGAAGCCAAACTCGTCACAGAAAACAACCAAGGTTTGCTGATACAAGTCATACAACCAAATTGAACGAAGGAGCTCAGTGGTCGCTAATTACGATAGAACATCGATAGAATACGAAAAGTTCCGAAGGTGTTAAAATTTCAAAATGGCGGAGTTGTTGCTCGATTCTGCCATTCGAGTTTGGGTAATTTTGCCTATTGTAATGATAACATTTTTTGTTGGAATAATCCGACATTATCTTTCTATTCTTCTGCAATCTAATAAGAAGGTAGAACTAGAGCAAGTTAGTGATGGGTATGTATAAATATATAAAACTGACAGTTTTGGATGGACTCCAACGTATTTTGGAATGGCTTGGACTCCAAATAATTTCAGTAATAAAAACCGATATAGAAAAACTGAAAAACATGATCTCTGCAGAACAGAAAATAGAAATTGATAAGAATTTGAAACTCGTAATTATTTTGAATTTTCCCTGGAAAGCGAAGCATCAAAGCTAAATAAATTACTGTAAAGAATGTATTTACTAATGTGGGGTACAAGAACCAACTGTAAGGGATTAAAGATTGTATTTCTGTAAAAATTATTGAGGAGGGGTACAAAGGGGTACTGAAGGCCGTGAAGGGGTTCAAATTAATAATGAAATCTCAATTCTTGTGACAATTAAAATTTTGTATTAATTTTTACCCCTTGTCCCCTACTCTTTTCGGCTAGGGATGTTCTGCCTATGTTTGTATCATGGTTCTTCATGTACATAAAGTTTTTAAATAATAATAATAATAATAGTTAGTTTGCCAATTCTCCTAAATCTTTATCACTTGCATCACAATTGTAAATGTAAGGTAAGAAAGCAGCTGGAGGATGACTCTTAAGAATTATAATGTCAGTGCTATAGGTTCAGAATACATGTAGGTCTATTGTGAAGTTGGCCATTACTCTTGTTTCTAATATTTCTATTACAGTCAAGTGTTATTAAGAAGCAAGTTGTTGAGAGAACATGGCTCCTATATACCTCAACAGGTAAGGCCTAGAGTTTATGCCTTTGTTCTCCCAACTTTTAACACCATCAACTTTTAATTTTTGGTATAAGTTATTGCAATTTTTCATGCATGGCTTTTCCGAAGGGGTTTTTAAAAACCGGTTTAACAATGAAACTGAAAAGGAATCGGTAGATTGCCCCAGTTTGCATACATGCTTGCATCTTTTTTGGTGTTTTTGGCAATGCTATTTTTCCTATCAGTTTATCACTGTGTTGATTACGTTGTATTGATCATTTCTTTAAAAATTTTCCAACAGTCTTTCCAAATGAGGAGGCATTTTTTCAATGATGAAGAAGAGGGTTTTTTCAAAATTCAGAAGAGAAAGGGAGCTGCAAAGAATCCAATGTCAGGTACTAGTGTTCATTACATTGTCACTACCCAAAATCACTGCCATTTTGAATTATATTTTATTTCAGTTGAGCATTAAAACTTGGATTGTACAATTCTTTCAGACCCAACTATGATGGTAGATATGGCAAAAGGAAACTTAACAAATGTTTTACCAATGATCTTAATAGGAGGGTGGATTAATTGGCATTTTTCAGGATTTATCACAAGTAATGTTCAATGGTTGAATGCATGTGTATGGCATAGAAAAGCTGTAATACTTTACATAGTGGTTTCATTATAAGATCTTTGATCTTAGGTATAGTTTTGTTTAAGTTAAATACAATCTAGCTTGGGTAGGGAAGCAACACTGCAAATTCTACAAGTCATCACCTTCTTCATCACTGCCATGAGATACAATTGACATACCTGCACAAGATTAAACCTAATTTACGTCCTAGAATTCTTGCCTGTACAGTGATATGCAGAATTCAAAATACCTGGCATTCCAGTAAACTATTCATATCAGATTAAGGTTCCCACAAGGATTCTTGATTGGATATCAGTTATGGGATGAATGTACTGTATTTACATGTGTCCATTTTCGATTTAGCCAAAGTTCCATTTCCTTTGACTATACGTTTCAAAGCAATGCTTCAAAGAGGAATTGATCTGGCATCACTTAATGCTTCATGGTACGAATCTAGACCATCACATGCAGTACAATACTGATACAACATTGTTTGCACAGGGTTGATCAGGGCGTAGTTTAGTATTCATATATAGAGAACAATACTGTATTTTTTTAGGGTCAGTTCAGTTTCATGGTATTTTATCAATGTTTTTGGTCTACGCAGTATGTATTCGCTAGTCCTGGGTGAAAATAATGGTAAGTTCAAAGGATATAGATTTATTGTTAGTTTGCTCATAGACATTTAAGGCTAGACTAGCAATTATTTTTATTTGATAATTTTTGACAGCCAAACCTTGATCTTAACCTTGATCCAGTAATTTGCAGTGTACATGTTTTATCATAATGATAAAATCATTAGTCACATAATGATATTAGTAATAAAACTGAAAAGTTGTTAATCATTTAGCGGCTGATTCAACACGTGCTATGCAAGAACAAATGCAGATGTCTGGTGCAGGTATGCCTCCTGATCCAGCTAAAGCCTTCAAGGTAAATACATGCAGTTTCTAATTTTCCCAGCTAGTACTTACGTAGGCGTTTTATGACGTGAAAGAAAGAATTGCACTATATTCCTTATTGCAACTTAACTTGTGATTCTTTCTTTCACTTTTATGGCTGAGATGATCGTTATATGGTTGATAAGTGTTATGTGAGGTAGAGTAAGGGGAGATAATAGCCAAATAGGGTCGGGGAATATTCACGTGCTCTGATCATCACGCACGAACTCTCGATAGCTACATCTAGTCATTTAAGGTTTTTAATGTCAGCCTTTCTTTGTTGATGATAGCCTTTCGATCTCGATCCTGACTTCGTGCTGATTGTTAATAATGATATAGCTACTGCGTAATTGCATGAAGCAATATCTCTATCTTGTGTCATTTTCATTTTCCTCTGATTGCACCGTTCCGAAGTTGCATTAAAAGATCGGTAAGAGTGACATTGACAATGCATCATGCGGTTTGGGGGCGAGTTGTTTTTCACCTTCTAGAAGCAGTGCCTTGATCGATTGTCAGACTCTTCACCATCACCAGTCCTCAGCTGCAACTGTGGAATTGCTTTTAAAGACCAGCTAGTTTCGGTTCAAATACCTGAATATGTTCCACGTTTTTGTAGAATTTAAATGCAAATCAAATGTTTTTTAAGCCCTACTGTGCACATTACGTAATATGTTGTTACATATTATTTTTTTATTATTTTATAATTTTTAATATTTGCGTGAATTTTCCCTCATTCCCTCAACATCATTATACATCCATTCACAGTTAACTGTGATATATTATACATTGTTTGGCCTTACCACAATATCAGTCTGTACGAAAGTTAACTTGCATAACATTTGAACTTGTGATGACGTTTTATCTTGCGAACTACTAGCGACAAAATACAGCAATACACACAGTTCTATGTATTAGTTCTACAACGCAGAACTATACGTTATAAAAAGACCTAGCTTGGTAGATAAGAATTTCATAATGTATAGAACGATATATAAATCACATGCAGTGGTTGTGTTGGGTTATACAATCACAGCTTTTCTTATATGCAGGCAGGTTTAACATAGAGCACAACATGCAGTCGTTGTCTAATGTGTAGTTAAAGTTGCACAACCCCACAAATATGAATTTGAATTAATCAAATCAATACACATATAAATAAAAAGGTGTCACTGATATGAGTCGTGTGACTTATTTATTCCAGAAGGGCTTTGCAATAACATTGATTCTTAGAGGGAGGGCGATATGCATGATTGTAATTCATAAACAAGAACAGACGCATGTATGGGCGAAGACAAAACATTTTTCTCACACAGAACATTCTGTCACCATAGTGAGATTTTTATCGTTAAATAAGAAAACTATGAAACATAACCTCGTGTATAACAACATTATAATTGTGGATTTTGTCCAAAGTGAAAAAAGTCCTTTTGAGAAAATATTACAAATCAATATTTAAACTCATTACCCTGGACTGTTTAATGTAAGAAAAAATATAGAAATGTAAACCTGATTAAAGACATCAAAGCTTAGTATAGTATAGCTACGGTACATGCAATTTTTATTTCTTAAAATTATATTGAATGAGGTAGAAAGGAGCTGATCTTTCTTATCATCGCAGTACAGCTTTTCAAGCCTTCAAGATTATAGGATTTCTCCTTGTCAATATATATATATATGAATTAAAAATTTAAAACAGTATTGTTCATATATATCAAATTAATATCAGACCACTTGTATATAAGAACATTCCATGCATGATCCCATTTTTCAATTATTATTAATATGGTGTTAAACTGCTTGCAGGCGGAGTGGGAAGCTCTTGAAATAATCACGCATGAATGGCGTTTAGACAATGTTGAAGAGAAGTTAATGAAGGAATATTCCAATAAGACTGTTGCGCAAGAGAAAGACAAGCATCTTTAATAGTATCTTCTGAAAAATACTGTTGTATTTTTTTTCCTTAATGGACTTTCTAAGTGCTATTATAGGTCGCTATTGTGTTAGTCAATCCTTTTAATTCTCTTTTTGAAGGAATCTCCTTAAAACACTTCTGTTCTGTTCTTCTCACAAACCTGTTTCAAATAACAAAATATTTTTTGTTCAACATATAGAATAACAGGAAACGCGAACTAAAAATCTTTATATTTATCTCTTAAATTTCAACTTGAATATTAGGCTAGATTCAGACAAGTCCTACGTACCTTTTTTATGCATTTTTCACTGTTTAACAATTTGATTTAGACCACATTAGAATGATTAGATGCTTTTGTGCGCAAATTAGCAAAGCCACTTAAAGCCAGATAAAGAACTAAAGCCAGATAAAAAATTAATTATTCTCGAAATTGCTGACTTAATTCTATAATTATTACCGGTATGCTCTGAGTGTTCATATCTCGAGGGCTGGTTCCCATGGCCATGCACTGCTGCGTTTCTAATCGACACGCACGTGAAAACTTAAAATCCTCTATACGTTTAAAACAAATATTATACGTTAACAAAGGAATCATATTTCACAAAACAAACCTAGCTCTATTTTCCAACTACTCGGTTGGTTTAAAAGTATAGATTAAACGGAGTTAGAATCTTACGTGCGTGCGTGTAAAGACTATACTTAAAAAAATTACGAGACAGCGACAACCTGTCCTTTGACTGTTACTATTTTTTCCACAATTAAAAAAGTTGTTGTATAATTAATTTTATGCCAGAAAAAACATACCGAACCCAACAACACCACCAACAGAAACCAACCCAACTGACATAAGTATCATTGAGTATCTTATAATATAAATGATTTCAAACTTTTACGTGCGTGTGCGTACGTGCAAAAAAAACGCGACTGTGGAAAGCAGCCCTTTACACAAGCTAGACAACTGCCGGAAATCCCGATAAGGCATCAGTATTTGATTTGTTATTGAAATTAGTGAAATTGTACAGCCAATTATACACTCAAATTAATACACTCGTATAATTTCAAAAGGCCAAATTATGCCTGAAGAAAAATTCTTTACGAACTTGCATTATCCATGCAGCTTCTCCGCTTTTGTTGGAGACTATTAGAACTGGTATTTTCAGTATTTTTCGGGTTCATTTCGTTTAATCAGTACAGTAGGCCTATATGTTTGTATTCCTATTCCGTCGTTGAGCAACAAATATCAACCACCTCGTTAAAATGTCAGGACTTTCTTAAACATCTAGTTTACGGGAGAAAGATTAGGCGTAATTTACTACGTATTTACTATATATGCATATGTGTTTCGATTCTAAATTTCGTTTTTTCTTCATTTGTTTTCGTCTGCAATATGCCAGGTTAAAAAACTATTACAAACCGTTTTTACGAACACAGCTCGTCGACGCCACAGTCAGCGTCGTCTCTGATCTTATCTAAATATAGAAAAGGGGAGGGTTTAAACGCAAAACAGGATATTGGAACGGTTGCAGGTATAAACCTCAGAAAGCGGGTATTTTTATACCCCAGTTAAATATCCGAATATATAAGCCCCGAAGTATATTCATAATAATTTTTTTCCATATATAGGCAAAACAAGTTTTAATTTCCTTCTGGTATAATGGAATATGTTTTTCAATTATTAATATATTGTGCGTCTGAACATTTTAAAAAAATTGAATTTAATTCCGCAATGGATGGGGGTTAACCTCCACAACCTCGCTAAACAGCCGTAGCAAAAACCCGACACGCGATCTTTTCGCATTTTTACCCCGCTTTATCGCGTTCTTACTCCCCTTGTCCATACATGTTTAAACAATTTTACTCTTCACTCCGTTGCCCCTTTTTGGTGTCCGCCATTCCGTCTCCGCCATAGGAAAAAACCAGCCAAACTTAAGTTGCTATTTAATTACTATATTATCATGCAGTCTTCGTGTTAAAATTGATCATATAGTTAATATATCTATGGATGAATTAATCGTGCGCTAAGTTGTAGATTTGAAGAATGTTCAGTTTGCCATTTGCAGTTGTAGCCGTTATAGCCATGCATATAGGTCAAGAAGCTATATGAGCACACCACCACTTAAAGTACGCATGCTCGTGCAAAGGAAGTTTTTCAATGCAATGCACTTTAATTTCGAGGTTATATCCAACTGATTCACAGGTTTTAAGCTAATAGGATTATTGTTGGTAACTACATGTTAACTGCTCAATAGTTTACCTGAGTAAAATCTAACAACTGGCTTACTGCTTACTGCCCACTAACACCGCACAAGGGGATATAACTATAGTAAGGTTATACTCAGGTTATTTTGTTGTACGTGTTCCAGACGTCTTGTCCGGCTAAAATCATTTTTCGATCTGTAATACATTTGTGGCTAACAGCCTGACGCCGCATTGTCTTGTTGTTATACGGGGTTGGATCGTGTCCAACAATATTTATACTTTGGTTTACATCTTTGCTTTTGTAAAGGACACCAAGCTGACATCACCACATGTAAACCACAATATTGTTTTGCGTTTAGAAACAACTGAATTATTTAATGCTTTAATTCGAATTAATTTTTAAATGATAATCTACATTATGTTTCACCATAACGCCAAAAGCGATGATTCTCTCTCTTCTTTACGCTTTAAGTAGACATTTAAGTGGGTCATATGGTACTTGACGCGAAACGTGATGACATGCATTAAATTGTTTCCAAGAATAGCAGCTATAGTTTTGTTACAAGCTAGTTTTTAATGATTGGATCAAAGTTGTTTTACATTCGCCTTTTATTAATATATTGTACTGTGGAAATGCAACAAAGCAACTATAAAAATTGCAAAGCTAATACTTGAAAGCATGTGATAATTTTGCTTGTATAAGACTTAATGTTCCGGAACGATGTCCAAATAAACCGAATTGCGTATTCTAGCCATAAAACTGAATACTTTTATATACGTTATGTATTTACCAGATTTGTTATGATTGTTCTACAACAGCTTAAATCGTGATATACATAAAGCAAGTTTCCTTATAGCCTACTAGAAGTTTCCATATAATAATTATTGTATGTATTATTCATGTATCTCATTACCGGTAAGAGTGGCCATAAAGAATAAACTTTTAATAAATTATTATAATTTGCTAAAAGTGCTTTACTGGGAAGCATGATGTCGCCGGGTACCGTAAGTTTTATTGCAGTTATTTACTGTAGTATAATAGCATATTGTAGAGGTGATATAACTGCATATGTAAAAGAACATTTAACGAAAGAAGCTTGTCTAAGCGTTCCACAATTACCTGATGTTTGTAACATTCACTGGCAAATAAGACAAAGTGATGCGCGAATCTACGATGTAATGATTGCGTCTATAAATACAACGATATCGTCGAAATTTTTGTATGAAGGCCTAAGTGTAAGTGATGCTATGCACTGCAAAAAGATGTACGAGAATATGATGTGTAGGAACACCTTCCCTGTTTGTGATGTTAAGAGGATGGTCATAGACCACGGTGATGCTAGTGTTCGATGCAAACTGGCGAAAGAAGCTTGTACAACGATATCAATTGAAGGCTGTGGGTATGATTCAAATGGTCAAGAAGAGCTTGTAACGGAGCAGAATAAATGTGAAAACATTACAGTTAATACAGAAAAACTTTGTCCCAATACCAATGTCAAGGTAAGATCGATCGTATCGTTCTTGTTTAATAAGTGCAAAAATAGTGACCTATATGACTATGCATGATATGTGTGCAGTGTTATTTTAAAAAATAAACATTGCTTTTTGCCGAATGAAATGTTCTACTTGTATTAAGAGGATGATAAAGGAGAAGAGGATGACTAATAAACTATTAATATAAATATCTCCTGCAAATATGGTTTTGTCTTTTCCTTTATTCTTAGTCCAAGAGGCTAGTTTAGGTCGATTTTAATTACCGGCACAATGTCACTATGTTAGTGACATCGTGTGTTGTATTGTGCGTCAGTTAAATAATAGATTTCTTCAAGGAATGCATTATGACGCCTTCCGACAGAGGATCAATGACGTCTTGACTAAACGTTTAATGCATCGGTCCTATACTTCTTAAAGTCGGTCCAATTACACCCTTTTTTTTTAGCCGTGCATGCACTTGTGGTTAATATAAATTTACCCATGCATGCTTCTTTCATAGGTTTTACTACTAATTTAACGAAGGTTGAACAGAAACTTTCCGACGTGATGTGTGAATGTTTTCAAATTTACGCCACAATCATATATAAAGAGAAAACCGGGTTGCTATGAAACGCACGTTTCAGTTTTTATGCATGCCGCGTATGGCGTCGCCTCAAACACTGCCAGCTGCAAGTCCATGCAACAATTTTGTTTTCATTATCCTTGATATTGAAGTTATTATAATGGTTTGTCATTCAATTTCGTTCGACTGAAAAAGGCAGTGATCGACACGTCAGTTTATCAATTGATTTATATTGACTGTGGCCCACATTGCTGTTGTACAAAGTCCTAATGATTTGAGTAAAATATCCGCGTGCATGTATAATACTGTAAAGTTGGTTTTGCCTTTTGAATTTAAACGTATTGTCATTTAAATTTCTGGCATGCTAGTGTCGTCTATGATAGTGTTTGATTTCATGCTTGAGAAACCAAACAGTGGAGAGAAGATATAATATAATTATATTTGACCATTTCTGGAAAAATCTTTCGTTGATTTAGTAAACGTGAATTCTGTATGAACCTATACGTTTTATTATCGATACAATTGCCCGTAATTTTTTCAAGAACAACTGTTAATTTCCCTCGAGTTGTGCTTGTGTATCTATAGATATAAAAGTTATATATCCACGTGTTTATAACAGGTACCCAAACGATACAATGGATTCATTGCTAAAACAAATGTTGAACGTTTGGCAAAGATTGCGGATAAGTTTGCAAAAGAGCTGCGGAACCACTCAATAATGGCCAGATGCGAAATGAAGTACAGAGAAGTTTTATGTCGGCTGATCGATGCTTGTTCCCCTGATAGTTTATATTATCTCCAATATATCAATGACAAAGATTGTGAAGAAATGGTCGCATGGTGAGTCCTACTGTTTTTACAATGTTATTTTTTTCTGGATCGTGGGAAACTCACTCCATTACCATCATTGGGGGTACTTTATATTTGGAACATATAAGATTCATGAGAAGCTATTAAATATATCAGAATTGAGATCATGGGAATCTCATTCGGGAGAATTAACAGAAGATTAAGTTTTTGATCAAACAAAGTCTTTTCTACAATTTTTCCTCCCAACTATAACCAAGAAGAGTTGGAAGAACTTGGTAACATGCTGGCAGGATTTCGTATATTGTTTTCACTTCAAAGTTAGGCTTATATATGGTTCATGGTTACGATAAAGGCTAGGGAAGGGTATGAGGAAGGGCAGTTTAATTCGGGCAGATTAATTCGTTGTCTAAAGGTTTACTGCATGCGCGATAAAACTTGATACAACTTGATTCTGGCACTGCCCACCTTCAATTCAGATGCAGCACTATACTGACCAACTATGTAGGGATACTCCTAACGACCTTGATTTTTAACCACATGTTTTTCTGATAAATTGTCACATAAAGCTAAATCGAAAGGCTGTTTTACATATAGCCAACTCAGAATTTTCCATTCCTGCAGGTTGTATTTTTTTAGTGCTCTATAGTAAAGGAAAGCTGAAATTTCAGCATGCAATTAATTCATTTACAGGGTTGCTCCATATAAGCGAAAAGACATAATTATTTCGTTTACTTTTTAAACAAGTAATTAGACATCTTGACTTTTAAATCTTGATAAGTTGGTTTTAACATATCAGTTAATTTGCATTTAACCTTGAAGGCGTTATTTGATGAAACGTGTTTTTTGTTGCTTTGTTTTACTATTGCCATCGATGTTAATTAATTGACCTAATAACCCGATAATTAGAAAAGCAAAATGTAGCATAATAGTATTGGGAAAATGCTGGAAAATGCAAAAGCCTAAAATAAAAAATATTTCCGATTGCTTGCACAATTTGCTTATATTTCTGTAGCTTTAATTGCCTGCTGAGTTACTGATTATTTCATTTTTATTCCCTGTGGATTGCCTCGAAACTCCAGACAATGTCCAATTATATCAAGAAAAATACTCAAAAATGACAAAACATATTTGGCTGATCTTAAATCGTAAAAATGATCTTCAATACAGGTCACGGCATGCCCAGAAATTTGGATACTTGTTGCAGTATTTTGTTAAAAAACCATGCTTTAAACCTCTGAGCATATTCGGAAACTGCGGAGTGTAGATAACCTTTGTTCCCCATCCATAGGCGACTCGCAACACCGCCACTTTTAAAACAATTAGACAATTTAAATTTATATATGTATAGTGTTTTAGATGTTGTTTTAGATGTTTATAATGATTTTACATCAGTTTTTTTGCGTTTCTGTATATCTTAGTGTAAAATCTGCTGGTTTTTCTGAGGAAATTACATCAGTTTGTTCGACAGTTCTAAGCACTGAAGACAAAGAAGAGATATCTGTACGTAATCCTTACGTTCAGGAAGGAAAAACCCGTTCATCTACAACAGCGACTCCTAAGACTGCGTCTGACTCACCATCAGGCTCACAGGCCAAGGAAAAGACAGAAGCATCATCCGAAGAAATAGCCCGTTCATCTGCAACAGCAACTCCTAAGACTGTGTCTGATTCACCATCAGGCCGACAGGCCACGGAAAAGACAGAAGAAACTTTGATAGAACCTACACAAAAGGACGAATCGATTTTAAATAACACTATATCGAAAGTTAAAAATCATAACCGTAATAGTGGAACAGCATTCAAGATTTATAAAACTCAGTATTTGTTCACAGTGCTTTTTACACTTCTGATCAGTTTAGCTTAGAAAACAGCTTGGAAATTTTAAGTGTATGCAGTCGTAGCAAACCATGTAGGGGTAATAGTGGTGGTTATAGGTAGAAAACAAGAAAGCTAAACGTTTTCTTTTCGATTATATATCTTTTAAACGTACAATCTAGGTGATAAAAATTCATCCTCTCTTACGAGACGAGGAATAGCTTAGTGCTTTGAAAAGCGCTGTGCTGAGCCATTAATAACGCACTGAAGGGGAAACATATATAGATGTTAGTCCCTGCAAAAGTATGGGAAAATACGCATTTACATCTCTGTACCACAAGTAATGCAAACAAGAAGGTTTCTATTATCAGGTATAAATTTTATATAAGTGAAGAATGGAAGCTCCCTTAGTTGATCATGAAGATTTAAGATTTTTCTTCTATAAGATTTGTTCTTTGAATCTTTCCATGCAGTGCGTCAGGTTTAAATACAATTAGTGATTTTGTGGTATAAAATGTAATTTAGAATATCATATGGGGTTATATAGAATGTGTAGGTATCGGTTCAGGTTTCTTCAAACACGTAATTATATGATTTATGTAATCAACGCACTATAAAATTTTGATAGACTCCAGGAGATCTGAAATGGCGGGAAGGGGCTGGGACTAGTTGCTAAACAGAAATCCAACAACTTAATAACCCTTCAAATAAATATTGTTTTGGTTTGTGTCAGAGCTATATAGCTAGTTCAAAATATAAACTTAATCGTTTATTTTTTAAGACATAGCCTTATAAACAATAACAAAAGATATATAATCGATTATTTACTGCAGAATGGATTTCTATTTCGACAACTCTTCTGGGCCCTGATTGGCTAAAATATGACCGCGAGATCACCTGGTTTTAAATACCCTGTAAAGTAGCCGTAGACAATTAAAAATTTCCAGGCACATGCATATGTGTATTGCTCTTTTGTTTATATCTCTCTGTTGTTTTCTATACCGATCCTGATTTTTCAATGTTTTGTGTTTCTATCGTTCCTGCTTTTATAACTTTATTTCACTTTTGTATTTCGTAAACAGAGACCTTTCTCTAATAACTCTTTTCAACACAGTCTTAACTATTTTCCGAAAATCCAGCAAACGTGTGTAGTGAACAAGGACAAGATCTAATGTTGTTATGAATTCTTTTGTATAAGATGGATTATATTCCTCCAATATATCAATGATAAAGATTGTGAACAAATGATCGCGTGTGCCAATGTTTTTAATTGTGATATTTTTAATTGTGATGTTGTACGGATGTAATGTTTTTGTGATGCATTATATACCATTATTAGGGGCAGGGGTATTGCGGAGAAACAGTTTAGGGGACCGTGTGCTTTTGCGGTTTTTTACTTAAAGGTACAGTTTTATCCTCTTTCATAACGACTTTTTTCCATGCCAATGCATGATATTTTCGTTGTTTGTTTTTTAAATAATATTTTTTATAACATTTAATTCAATATAAAATCTTCGGGTATTTCTAAGGAAATTACATCAGTTTGTTCGACCGAACCAAGCAATAAAGATAAAGAAGAGTTATCTGTCTTACCACCTCCTGTTTCACCATCTTCTGACTCAGCATCTTTTAATACACCATCTTATGATTCACCATTTTCTGTTTCACTATATTCTGTTTCGCCATATCCTGTTTCACCACCTCCTGTTTCACCATCTTCTATTTCACCATCTTCTGTTTCACCATCTTCTGTTTCACCATCTTCCGATGCACCATCTTCTGTCCAACCATCTTCTGTTTAACTATATATTCTCTGTTAAACAGGAGGTGGTGAAACATGGTTAACAAAGCAGTTTATACATAGTTAAAATATCTCTTTTAGTATGTAAAAAATGTGCGGGTACGTGTCGTCTGGGAGAGTGTGAGAGAAAAATCCTCTTGGAGAATTTGAGCTACACCAGTTTATCATAAACGCATTTGTTGTGTTATTTGTATTATTTGACAGGCAAAACGTAACGCAGATGTTTTTTCCAGAAGTTACTTGTTTTTGCAAATTAGAATTTTTCTTTTTGCATGCACGTCTCTCCACAGATCCAGATTTCACAACACTAGTATTTCACGTTTGTTTTTCTGTATCGATTCTAATCAGTTATAATTGTTGTATCTCATCCATACCGAATCTGATATTTCAACAAAGTGTTTCACTATTTTGTATTAACATTAGGCTTTGTGGTTATTTCACTTCTCTGTTTTTTTTTAACAATTCAGAACTCGTAATATATAGTATGTATTGATTGTATTCTTGGTTTTTATTTCTCAAACAGCAGACACACACAGTCAATAGACAGATATGATCTGGAAATTAGGCAAATATCTATAATAAACTAGGGTAATGTTGAAATGACTTCGCTGCGTCGTTTAGATGCGGTGCCTAGCTGATAACGATATAACTGACATTGTGTGCATGCCACTAAGCATACGACATGAGCCACATTTACACTCAAAGACATTCGTTTTACGATATTTATAGCCAATTGGTTAAAGCACCACACTTACCACTAATTGTACTAATAGATAGTATATTGGTAATATTGAGTGAAATTGATGATATTGGTTTGCAAATTCTCTTAGTTACGTTAACCATTCAGAATAGTACTTTTATATAACCGCATGTTATCGAACATATATGAATTTTATACTTTATGAAAACGATTTTAAAAGTAAACTAAAGCTCCATTGTATAGAATTCTCAAGACTATATATGAATAGTAAATAATAAACATTTAAATAACGTTCTGAACGAGTAAAAATTACGTGATAAATCCCTTTCCCTATAGTTGACAGTCAGAACCGAACTTTTATTAAGGCACTTATACACTATGCAATTTTCCTTGCAACTTGCAATGCATTTATAATTTTGAAGGATTTTAATTAAAAAAGAGTGTTCGAATCGCTAAGAAAATGCTAGCAGACCGTAAGAAATGTTCGTACTTGACAACTTTAGATACCTCAGGAGTAGAATTTCATTGCAAGTTGCACGGAAAGTTGCATCGTGTAACACCGCCTTTACCTAAACTCCTAAATCACTGCCCTCATAGTCACGGCATTACATTATATAAAGTAATAGAAAGTACGGTATTAAGCTTTTTAAGCTAAAAATTAAATTTCAGTGACAACAGATAGTCTCGGCTCCCATCTCTGTTCTTTACGTTTGTCCTTCTGTCTCAATGCTATCTCTGGATTATCACCAGAGGTTTCGCTCAAGAACGGATACTTTTCAGACTCGATGTCATCAATATCCGTTTCTACGGGACCGTCATAGTCCGAGGTTAAATTTTGCAAGCGATCCATGAGTTCAGTTTCAAAATAATCATCCTCTGATGCCTTTTTTATTGAATCCAAAGTGCTGTTTGGCGATTCACGAAAGTTTGTCACACATTCTTCGTAATCATCTTCGCTGAAGAATGTTGACCAGCGGGGAGAAGGCGAGCGTCGCCATAGCGAAATAGTTTTTGTGGGCTCAATAACAGAATCTGCACAATTTGCGTCTATAAATGACGTCATCTGTGCGCTACTACAGGGGTTATTATTACTAGCGTCATCAACACTGTTTAAGCCCTTGGGTGTGCTGGTTTTGTTGGGTATCTCAGGTTTATTATTCTCCTGACAGTTTTCTCTAGTTGATGATAATCTCAAAGGGGTTAATTCTAAAATGTTTTCAAAGTTATCATCTGAAGTATTCTCTCGATTATTGATTGACGTCAGTTTTACTCCGCTACTATTTTCTTTGGTGGTACTTTCCCTCACTGTAACCACATGTGGCTTCCATTCACGAATCTTTTTATTGACCCTCGACATAATACAACAATACACGAAGCCCAAGGCCGATACAACAAAAAGAAAACTTCCAACAAACGCCACGACGTAGAACCAAATTCTTGGCTCACAATACCAAGAAACCCAGACATCATGTGTTTGCACGCCTGTAACGTTGCTTGGCACTCTTATTACTGCAGTATCTGCTGAATTGAAACGTAAGGTCACCTGACAAGATTTATTAACACTTGCATTACATGATGTCACACACGAATTCACATCGTACATCACTCGGTCTATACTCGTGTTTACGAAAATCTCCGAGTATTTAGCGTTACCAGCTATGGAGGTAATTCCCAAGTAATAGTTGTTGTCCTCTTTTAGGGTGAATGTCTCAGCCATTCGTGTGCCCGTGAACTTGCCAGATATTTGCTTTGATGTTTCTTTTAAATCTTTTCTCATTTCATCGTTCCATTTGTCTAAAATCTTACGACCTTTCAGCCAATAAACATTAACGGAATGACTGCTCACAACACGCACACTTACTGTAGAGTCTTTGAGAAGATAAAACGATCTATACCACGTACGATCCCTGCGTAACACCACATTGTTTTTTGATGTCCATTTGATATGTGATGTGCGCCGTGCTAACGGAGTCGACATAACTAATAGCTGTCGTTTAAACTTCGCTGGTTTTACTACAACACCTTCACAAAATAGATTTGATAATTTGACTACACGCATTTCTCCAGTGTTCAATTCATAGGCCTTTGGATAGAAATGAAATGAATTCCTGAATAGAAACGTGGCGCATACCACTGATAACGCAACGAATATCATAAGTATCATCATACACAAATACAGTCGACAACGGGAGGAACGATAATGTCTGTATTCTTTTCCCCACTTTATTGTTGTTCCCGCAATTCCACTTTCGTGTGACATTGTTCTTCTTCAACTCGAATACAATTTACACGCAGGGAATATTGGAATAACGAAGACACGATATCTTGTTTTATAGCTACAAAACAAATATAGTATTAAACTTGTGTCTGGTGTCCGGTTTCACACTGCCCAGCGTGTGGGGGCATTATATTGACGGCTCAATTAATGGCCATTATAACACTTTATTTCAAATAGACTTCTGGTTTCTCTGATGCCTTATCGTATTGGTGAAGTCGCTGAAATTAACTGAATTCCATAGAAATCAACCGGAGGGAACCTAAGCGACAATGTCATGGATGAGAAGAATTCAATAACTGCATCATCCAAGATGAATGACCTCACATGAAAAGCCTGTTATATTATATACTTGTATGTAAGGCAAGATTACATTGGCTGATATGATCCACGGTGATACACTGAATTTGAAATACCAACAGAATTATTTGAAATAAGTGCTTCCTATATGTCTGTGTGCACTGCTGATGCTTGACGTATGAATTAGCTTTGCGTGAATATTCAGTTACTGTCTGTTGAAAACAAAGACTTGTGTTGGTTTAAGATCAATATTGAACCCATGATGGAAACATCTTGTTAAGGGCTCTTGACATCACTCCTTTCCTGGTGAAGTTCTGAAACACCGGAATTACCCGTCACGCTCTATTTTTGTGCTCAAATTCTAGCACTCTGCTCTTCAATACCTTGAAATAAGGTGTTTAAAATATCGTTAAATCAACCAGTTGTCTTCCTTGCATAAATCAAAGTAATAAATTGGTAAATATGAGGATGATAACTGATTATGAAGTGACTATATATTGCACTGACTATCATTGACATATCATATATGAATACCCCGCTGCTGTCCTTTTCATTGGCGGAATTTTCTGCTAACAGATGCCGGCGAAGGTGTTTAAAATCAGAAAAACATCACTGATCTGTATCTGTGAATAAAACAAAGGGGTCACAGGCAGAGACAATTTAGCTTCTCGACTTAGGGTTCTTGTTTCTCTCTTGTTTAATAAAGGTATCGTATATTAGACAATGCAACTATATACAGACAAAAAAAAACACACGGCTGGAATCGAACTATGCGTGGCACTATTCCTTTTTTACAAATTGCGAAATTACAAAGATATACTATTACTTTTACTATAATGCAACCAAAATAAACATTTGCCGATAGCCCGAAGCATAGACACACATTATTCATTACTGTTCAACGAAAAGGAACGATGAGGCTTTCAAAATTTAAATTCTGCTCCGTAATATTTTAGTAGCTTTGGGTTTGTTTACTAAAACTTATTTTAGGGCGCGTATAAAATGCAGAAATGGTGCAAGGGACAAAATAAGAAGAATTCTTATAGGATCATATACAGTGTCATATAGGACGATTATCCAATTGGGAGCTAAATTCAGCTTAGACACGCGCGCGGCATTTCTGTTGAATGGAATAAAATGAGCTCTTTTGCATCTATTGATTTTAATTTTATAGTACGTTGAAACCTTTAATTTCATCTCTAAATATACGGCATGGTACAGTAACAGTGCTAGAAATTATTTTCACAGCATTTCAGTCAACGGAGTACCTCATGCACTTAACATGTGTTTATAACTATTTACAACTGTGCTATCCTGTAAATATTTCCATGCAATCGCTATGAAGTATGAACGTCTTTAACAAGTGTATTCAATTTCAATTTAACGGCCAACTAACAAAACTGATTATTCTTTATATATATGCAAGTCATTGATACATTGTACAATATTAATTCATCTGATCTGCCAACAGTATTGCCATTGGAGTACCGATAATGTCCCTGGAACGTCATGTGATGGTCGTTTCTCTATGACCAAAATGATTTCTAAATTCTCTTTCCAAATTTCTTTAAAAATTAACTATGGACTTTTTTCACATTTTCTTTTGTACATTGTCATTGATTCAGTATTTAATTATTCAGCAGTCCAAAATGATTTGAATGGTGAAAATAGTCAAAGTTTTTTTACAAACTATCGATTTCTTCCACATTTTCTCGGAGAGAAACTGAGGCACATCGAGGGACAAATCGTTAGATGATGCCGTTTACACTAGCAATTTCGGCTTTCTCTTTTTGGTAGATGGGAAAGAGTAAAGTGGATAATGGTATTAATAGGACAAAGGCGTCTATCAGTAACAAAGTAACCATAACAAACCGTTCGTTCGCATCTTTCAGTGACAGTTGTTGACTACTCTGGTGTCAATAGTTTCGAAAATTCACTTTCAGAAATAAATTTATCTGCTTTAAAAACAAAAAAATTTGCGTTGCGTTGCGGCATCCGGTGTCGAACCTTATGCATAATCTGGCCATTGGCATTGCCAGTGCAGTTTGGCTTAACTCCAGAGAGTTTTTTATAAGAGTTAATAATCACATACAATTATGCATGCATGTACATATAAGTTTGTATATATACAACAGTCAATATACTGAATAATTATTGAAAGGTGATTTGCTCAATATTGGTAAGTACTAACGACTGAGTGTCTTCAAGCGGTTGTAAACAATGTTCATCTTTCTCTTTATTGTGGTCTCGATCCAATTCCTCAGAATCTTGGTTCTCAGATTGCGGTGTTTTAGTTTTCTTCCATTTCATCCTCCTGTTTTGAAACCAGGTTTTGACTTGCAAGGCTGATAAACCAAGGTTCCTTGCGAGATCATACCGTTCCTGCGTATTGAGATATTTTTGTTTTTCAAATCTCTTTTCAAAAGCTCTGAGTTGTGTTTGTGTGAAGACAGTCCTCTCTCGACGATATCGTGTTGGCCCGTCTCCTAAATTACACCTGAAGTATTTCGGCAATCTCACGACTTCCGGCTCTTGTGCACCTGAAGCTTGATAAAATTCTAAGAAGAAAGTACGCATATCGTAAACCTGTGCATGGACGGTAGTGAGAAATACTATAATATGCACAAGGCGTCTGAGAAGGGATGATCCTGATCTACTAAACTCCTGTGCGACAAAAGCCCTACAAATATTTTTACAGTTCGTGCAAATTTATTAAGCATTCCATATCGACTTTGTTGATCATATCGCCATCACCAGACTTTACGGAGTTAGCAACTCCGACTCAGGAACTGTGAGAGGGTAGTTCCATGCAAAGTGACTTGCAAATTATATGCGCGTAAGGAATGAAAAACGAGTTATTTCTAATTTATAGCAATGCCAAATTTATGATCATTATACAGGTAACTTTTGATCTTATCATCTTTCACCTCGGTATCCTCGATTTTATTGCTTTCGATCTTTGAAGAAATATTTGATAGATGTGGTGATTTCATTTTATATACATATATATATATATATATATATATATATATATATATATAATTATATATATATATATATATATATATATATTGCAAATATTGCAAAAGTAATATTGCAAAAGGTCAGTAAAAAATGCATAGGTGTAGTCATTGGTGAATTCCTAACATAGTAAAGCCTGAAGTAGATATGATATACTTTAAATATACCTGCTCGACCGATACCTTTGTTACTGGATGACACACAAAACAAGAATTCAAAGATTATTTTAAACAGGAACGTATGTGACGTTGATGTAATCCTATCTAAGCACACAGAGCACTTGACGTATCAATGATTGTCGGAAGAAACTTGCCATCATATTTTTACTATATGAAATTTGTGATTTATTATAATCACAACTTCATCAGTATTTACGAATTTCAGAGAAATTATGTTTGCACAGACGGATGCTGCGGGCAATTTTTGTTAAATTCGGTGATCAGGCAATTTGCACTCGCGACTCGGGCAATTTTTGCTGAAATCAATCTCCTCTCCCTCCAAATTTTGCGCCTACGTATAAATTATATATGTTCCTGGAAAACACGATTGCATATTCTCGCCGGTTTGTTTGGCTTTTTGTTCTCGCTAAATCCTGTATCAGTACTATGCATGCAGCAAACATATAGCTATATACATATGAATAACTTTGTGGGTAAACTGAATGATTATATAATGATAATTTATTATTAAATAAAAATGCATATACGTAATGCCTTGAATTATTTAACTATTCGATACTCAATTTAGCCACTTCTACTAAAGAAAGAAGTGGGTGTGCATGACGGTGTCAATGAAATATAGCCTACAGCCCGTCGGATGTGGCACGTATATATAGCTTTTATTCCGGCACTATACATGCAGCGCCAGGCTATCCTGATTCCTGGTTCTTGCATGTTTTCATAGTAAGTCGAAGTGTAACGCATGTTTTGAAATTCAAAGCCACTCATGCATATGCGATTAAGTGCATTTTGGGGATGAAGTGAATGATGTCATAATTTTTTTACACAGTATATAGGTTTGATAAAAATCAGTCGGTGCAACTTAGTGAACCTATTTTTCGTTGTCAGGGAACGCTGCGATTCCAAAATAATTTCTTTCATCCTGACCGCCAACCACACCTCATCTCTCAGGCTGACCCCATAGTGCTCGTAACATGACCCAAAAGCCTTTGGGGCAGTTCCGAGAATGAGAACAAGTAGGCCTATACGGCAGTTGAAATAAAAACGACAGTTGCCATATTGCACAAATGAATCATCATCAGAACCACATTCAGCCAGCCGCACGCGCTCTGTAAACTCTATAAAAGTATTAAACAATAAACATCTCAACCTCGCAAGCCAGGTTGCTCCTCGGTAAACATCTTGTTTGTGAAATTAGGGCCTCCCAGGCCATTACTCACTCTAGGAAATCATTATATAAATGCGGTCATTAGACCTTAATTTCATAAATCTACTAATTAATTTCGAAAGTGCTTCACTGACATTTGATGATTTCTTGTTGATGTGAAGATTAATAATATGGGTTCGGTAAATGAATAGCTGGCTGCCGGATGAATTCATGATTCTCTGTAAAAAACTTTGGAATGCCTGTGAAATCAACTATAGAATGATACCAGATGATATCTACATGAAAACATGTTATTGTTTACAAGTGTACGTAAGCGGATAAATTAAAGTGCCGCAGCTTTCATCGAGCTTATGTGATTCAAATTTCATCTGATAACAAAATTCTCTTAATCCTTCAAAATTTATCACCTGTCAACTGATAAAACTTCGCATAGTGTGGTCGTTGTCAAGGTTGAACAATAAACATTCGGTATTAAATACTTTAAATTAATACGCGGTATTTTTTAGATGGAAAAACTGGGTAGAAAATTAAATATTTAGATTTATTTTATTTTGAAAGACTGATCTATATGAAGTAGTTTAGTCTAGACTTAACCTATGGATAATAACGAGTACACCGTTTACTTGAAAATATACTCAAGGCCAGGGGCTCGCTCCAGCACTTTTTGGAATGCCTTTCCTGTGTATTTTAAAACTTTCTCATTACCGTTTCGATTATCCCTAATGGACAAATCTTGAAAAAATCTCCTGACTTTGCCACTCGAACCTTCCTGTTTTGTTTTAGCCATCTTTGATATCATCCGCGGTAAATATCATCCTCTGTCCGGCAGAAGAATGATCAGTGAAAAACAAGGTCATTATTCGAAACCATAGAAATAATAGACATAGAATGCGTACTTATCACGAATACGTGTCTCACATTTTTGTCAAGCTGTGTCAATATGGTGTCACTGAGCTGTACCCTTATAATTTATAAATGCGCCATTTTGAATCTCGCGAGGAGTGAGAAATCTTTCAAAAAAACTTTTAATTCAAAACTTAAATTTTGGGTAAAAGCATATTTTACAGTCAATTATTAGCACACAGAGGCAAAAATGCCAAACCCAGTTCGGCATTAAGTTGCAGAGCAGGAAAAAAAAACCAGAAAAACAGAAAAAGCGGCAAGCGATCATCGACAATCGAGAAAGAGTCGATTTTCACCGTTGAACAAACAAAAATAAACCACCGGCCAATAACCAAATATATTCATTGTTATGTAGGAAATATAGTTAGCAGAGACTGAATAATGTTTATTGTAACAGGTTGTCAATTACTATTGTCTAGCGAATTTTTCAACTGTGCTTTGTTTTTTCAGGATTTTCGCGTTTTTTACATGCAACCGTTTGTTTACATAAATTGTTATTTGCCGCTTGAACTTGATTATTTGTCCCATAACCTTGCTTTGATGCAACGATAAATGGTTAAGCTAGCTACGAAAAACATATCACTCTGTATAGATTTTTAACAGGTTTCCGGCACGTAAAAACGAGCGATTTCTGCATAAATAGTTGAAGCCGTGGCCGGAAGAGAAATGACTATGACTATATTTTATTTCGCTTTTCGTGCATTTTGTGAATAAATAAGAACACATAAAACGAGTTTAATACAATCAAAAACATCATTTAGCGTACCTCAGTACCATGAGGAGATCCGTGTACCCCATACTCTAAAAGTTATGCCTTGTCTTTGCGCAGGTAATTTTCATTTTTCACACAATAAATACTGCGTTATATAAATGTCGACAGCGAAGCAGGATTCCATTTTTTCCGTATTATGACTTATGTACGCTTGAAACAAGATTGATCGAAAGCTAGGAACAGCTATCAGACTCCATCAGTCAATTCATGAAACAATATAGTCAAAACCAAAACCAGTTAATGCTCCAGTGCGTGACAAAAACAAAAACAAAAACTCACGTTATTCTCTCAAACTCACTCATATTCATTATTTTCTCGCTCGTCGCGACCGCGCACAAAAAACTCCTCGCAGGAGTCTGAAACGAGGAAAAATGCCCTTATAAATCCGCCATCTTTGGAGACTAATTTTTTATAAGGGAATTAAGAGGTATCAGTACGCATTCTATGTCTATTATTTCTATGTTCGAAACGTAACTGTGCATGCCATTCTCAAGTGTCAAAACTGCTGTATAAAGTATATGCAATTGCTGAAATAATTTTTAAATGACTATTCATTATATAATTATCTATATAACACTAATATAACACTAATATAAATTAAGAGCGATTAGCACATATTTCTTTATGGCACTAAAAACAAAAACGTCAAGTCCAAAGGCATATACTATATAGGTGAAACTGATTTCCTCTATATTTCAAATATATATGGACCTCAAGGGCAGTGGTTGCATACGTAATTAACGAGATCACTTATTTACTCAAGTACCAAACAGCCAGATCAGTTGACATAGCTTTTCGTCAAACAAAGTAGCCCATGCAGTAGGTATGCGGCAGGAATGGTTGTCCAAAGGCCAATATCCACAGTTTTACACGTGAAAAACTAAACTTAATTCTTTTAAAATAGAATAAATGCAGTTGTTTACGCAGTAGTTTTTCACACAAGATAGACGTTCAGTACTCAACTCTGCCGGAACATTATAGCTAATAGCTTCAACACACGGGAAATGTGTCAGATCCGCGTCGTCATATTGAGAGGTACATTAGTGCGCTGACAGGACGATAGCTTTGCTAGTTCCGGAAAAATAAACACTTTCAATCATTTGGCACCAACGCCATACTGGCTATATACATTACACTGGGCCTGAAGTATATTACAAAAAAAGTAAAGATCAGAGATTTTTTCAGTAAGAAAACTAAGAACGTCTAAAGAAAGCTGCATGGATCGATTCAATCAGCAAAAACGCTGCGGCCGGAAGAAAATTAAATAGTTTGAGTAATGAACCAAGTATATAGTATCAGGCCCTAAAATCTATCACATGCATGCACTGATAAAACGTATACTATAGTGCATGTAAAGGTTTATTATCTCTAATGAAAGAATCAGAGTGATTTTTTATATCATTGCCAATCATCCCCTATAAAATGATTAAGCAATGATATTATATACTTATGTACTTTGCAAATTATGGACGCTAACACTAATAATCGGCTTATAAAGTAGAGATTGGTTTACTGTATATATAGCCATAACTAACTTTAATCAATGGCATATACAAAGACTGTAACGTTTTAGGCGGTCTCATGTATTCGGTATGTTTGGGACATATTTTATATAATTGTCTTTAATATATTGACTATCAAAAAACGTTTTAATTGTTTTATTGAGGTCCCAAAAATATATCAAACAAATTATCATTTATAGCTGCATGCATACATCCATATTGAGAGCGTAATTGTTATTATACTGCATGAGTTGGTTGAACGTCCTAACAAGTCCTGTACAAGGGTAAGCAACAACCGATCCCTCTATTATATGGGTCTACAGACTCTACATGCACATGAAATATATCGACAGTACATGCAAATCGTTCAAATGGAAATTTTTGATATGATATATATTTTTGATCGTGTCATCACTTTTCCATATGGTCAGCCCAAATAAGCTATTCCTGCTCTCATAAAAGATTATAATTATTTCACTATTTGTATATATACGCTACCTGTTGAAGAAACTCTAGTTCTTTATATTTCTAAGTTTCTACTGTATTTTTTCGCAAGGCGGGAAATACCAACTGCATGAACAAATATATTTAGCTATATAGTATTACATGCATGTATGCATTAACACCCAAACAGTATTGTATACTACCAGTTTCCACAATCTGTGTTATCTTCGTCTCCTCGAGACTATATATAATCAACTCTAATATATATATATACTTATATACACTCTTATAGTTGTTCGTACAATAAACAATTTGTTTTGGGAAAAGCGAATTAAAGATCCAAGATAAATTCAAATAAAAGTTATGATTGCTACGACATGCAGTCTATATAGCTACTACCGGAACAATGGACAAACATTATGTAAATTTAAAATTTATATTGGAATCCTGTCACTGCTTGCTCAAACTGAGCATCACCTCACCTGGGAATCTTGTTTGGGTAGCAGGTAATGAATGAATGGGAGGTGCGCCCGTGAGCATCTCATCATGATATGAAACTGGCGTTGTTTTCTGTGTCGGTGGAGGAGGTGTAGCAACATTCATCGGATGATTTGGTTGAATATAGAACGGATATGGATACGCTGTACGAGCTGAATAAGATTGACCTGGGTAAAATTGCGACAAACTCACATTTTGACTTGGATACATCTTGACTGGAAGATTTAAGTAATGTTGCTCGTGTGCCAATATCACTGTAGTTTGTATAACAAATATCGTCGCATGTCAATTTATATGCATTGCCAGTCAATTTAGGGCGTAACTAAATTTAGTTAATGGATGTTTGAAAACACAAGTGATTTAAACTTTCACCCCTGGGGGCGCAAACCATTAACTTGTTATCGAATTGTGAAAATACAACTGACCCAGGTTGCGGAAAGAAAACAGTTTTATGCAAAAAACAACGGTTTTATGCAAAAACAAATATATAGAAAATGGTTGAACTGAAAGTATCTACCGCGGTTGCAAAATACTTATACAATAGAGTAAAATTAAGATTTAAGCAGTGGGATGCATACAAATTTTCTAAACGGGTTGCAAGTTTGGTATTTCTCTCATCAGTCACTATATTTACACAGTGAGATTGTGTAGCAAAAATGAGTGTCCGGCTAGATACAATCTACGACTCTACGACGATGTTTGAAGACAATGTTTTGTCTTAATCAAATTCAAGTTCAGACGCGGTGTCTAAATTTGCTTGATAACGTCAGTGATTAGCGAGCTTTTTGTGGGATCTGGGTCAATAAATGTACTCTATATATTGTGTACCTTCAGATTGCAAATATCGACAAAACTTACAACACCCATCATCATACAATTCATTTTTTTTTCAATGGGTGCATCTCTTAAATTAATTTTGACATGTTAACTGCCCTCTTTAGATTCTCATACGTATACAGAAGTTATTTTGCAAAGTATTAGTCTCAGAAAAAATCTTTATAGTATAGACCTTTGGGAGTTGTCCTGGCACTCAGAGATTCATTAAGTTAAAAACTTTCAAGGTTTTTCTTTGGGCATATATTCCGCGTTTGGGTATATATAAATACTCGATTTCTGTAATCCGTACAGTCTAATGGGTTAGTAACCATGCCCGAGCTGCATGCCTGCGAGATTTAGTAAGGGCTTAAAATGTATAATTTGTTGATAAACAGGTATAATTGACTTAAATTTGCTTTATTAAAAAATTTTGCAAGCGAGCAGCATTGCTATTAGGTAAATAAATTTCCCTTTTTTTTTCGCCACAATTAATGCTATATGATTTGACGCCAATTCAGACAATCCTATACAATGCAGAAATGATCAGTTATTCCTATAAGCTAAATAGTCTAACTTTGGAAAAATAGTTGATCCGACCCTTGCGAGCTGAATGTCTGAAGCTCAAGATTTTTTCAGGATGACATTTTTTGTCAATATAGTCATGATAGTATAAAAATAGACCGGCTAATGAATAGTTCCGGGATTACTTCAGCTTTAATCGTAACAGTAAAACATACTAAAAACTAGTGATATCTGAATAAAACTAGTGCATATCTGAATTGTTCGGGTGTTATTTTTAATTGACACTTCTCTGTTATAGATAGAGAGGGTATCGAAATAAGAGATGAAATGTTAAAGCCCTTGAAATAAGAGATGATTTGTTAAAGATATCGCCTGATGGTTTCCATGTGCTTGAAGGCAGTTGATGACACTGAAGGAAGATTATTAGGAGGAAACCCGTGAACACACAGCTGGGGTTAGATACAGAAGCCGTAAAATAAGCAGGGTAGATTTCTATGATTAGACTGTACGTCATTAAAAGAGCCATTTTACACTGATAAGCATGTGAAATTAAAGACTGTATTCAGTAATGATGCGCTGAAAAAGCGGCGTTTTTGCGCTTCATGATTTATATATTTCCGTTTTCTTCAATCTTCATTGAAAATAGCAATGCATGCTAGTTCATTAAAATAAGGCAAGTCAAAACTTTCACTATCTGTTAAGAGAATGTTTTGAAACCTATCTCACGTCATCATTTCATTCTCGACGCCAACCGGAAACCATTGTAAAGGAAAGAAGTCTGGATATCTTTCTGATTTGCAAACGAGATAAACTGATTGAGGGATTACCTGGGTCCATAATCGCATATTGCTTTTACTGAAGTCTCAAGGAAACATTGATCTTCCTGATTGTCCAACATTCATCTACTTATTTTATAATATTTTTCACATCAGAACTGATTACAATTGCCACTAACTCCCATTTGCGACACTCGTTGGTTTACCCGTTGGCAAATTCTGCTTTTTAGGCAGTCTAGGGTACATCGCAATTGCATGGCTGGGTTTTAGGATTTGCTCTAGTTCAACCCAAAGGTTAGCAAAAATATTTATAGAAAATTTACGTAACCTCGTTATGTAACCTACTTTTGCCGTTCACGATAACTTGTCATGCAAACATTGTGTAGCTAAGCGCTTAAAGAAAAAGGTAACGTATTCTTTACTCTCTGTATTCTAATCGGTCTTTTCTGACTAGTCCCATACACGTAAAAATATTCTGTTAGAATAGAAGACAATAGGATGTCCTGCTTTTCAATTTTTCATTCTGATCATGATTGTGCCACTTTAAGTAAAAAACTTACATCACCAATGACCAATCACCATAGTAACAACAGTATTTTGAGAACGAATGAACATTCAAAATGGCCTCCAGTCGAAAAAGAGAAGGCAAAGAACGTATTTCTCAGAATAGCGATGAAAATGGTGGTGAATTACATGGTACAAGCAAGGAAATAAAAGAAACAGGTGATCGACTTCAGCGGGAACATTTTCTAAAACCTGATTCTGATCAAATTGACCTAAATCTATTACTTGATGCGGTACTTGACATAAATGATAAATTGAGAACTCAAGAACAAGATCCAAGTTCTTATGCTGGAATGCCTAGAAAATATACTGGGGATTGTGACAGTGTTTGTAAATCACACTCGTCGAAGAAACAATTCCATTTAACGCAAGAAATTCCAAAAAGAAGTGAAAATAGACGAAATTTTTCCTTCCGCAATGAGCAGGTTTTAGCTATTGACATGGAGAATCAACGATTGTTAAGAGAAATAAGTCGACCAAGACCATGTTCTGCAGTTTCAACCAGAAAGGAGAAGTTTAAGAACATTGTTCATGAGCCAGTTCGTATTAAAACGTCGTCTGAAGTAAACAGGAAAAGATTTCAAAGGCGAATAGACGAGGAAAATCAGGTAACACAACAAACATTTTTCACTCATTAATAATTAACAATTTATATTCCCTTTAAATTTATAATACGACTTATTCATATTTCATACACCATTTTAATATAACACTTGATCTATAGTAAAAGTAAAATGTATCATATTATATACATTTGTGTACATAACTGAAAAACAAGTGCATTTAGACTATTTAATAACTTGGGCAAGCAATTTCAAGAGCCCTTTCAACCTTCAATAACATTTCCAATTGCTATTATTTTGGCACTCCTTACTCAACAGTAATTTAATTTCAGGCTTTACTTCGCCGACTTGAAGCCGTTAAGCCAACAAAGGGCTTAAATCGGGAACATTTATTACGAAGTGAAACCAGTAAGAAAAACAGAAGTCGACCAAGTAGTGCCTGCAGCTCACCAGGAAGATTGAGTACTAGAACTGGACTTGTAACTGGACATAATTTTGATCAGAGGGACGATGGTTCAGTTCATTCAGATAAATCATTTAGGAAGACATATGCAAAACCAGAATGGGAGGCCGGTTGGTGATTCTGTTAATGCAACACATTGTACTCATCTAGTAAGCTAGTAACAAAGATATAGTGCAGTAATGTACCATATGGAAACCTGATTGTTTAAAGCTTATTTGACACCAAAGTGCAAAAAATATGTTTATTCCTAATCTGCAAGTAGTATTATACTTGCAGTGTGAAATATAAGTGATACAAACAAAAATTGACTGTCAGGTCAATTAGGTGTTTAAATGATCTAAAATAATTTACTCTCCAACTTTGTGACTTGTGCTTAATAATGTTAATATGTATAATATTAAGTAAAAGAAAGTAGGATGGTCCTTTCTGTGTCTTTAAAGATCTGGTAGAATTTTGTCATCTTCATTCAGTTGCCTAGCTTGCCTTTAAACTAGGTAATTACTAACAAGAGCGTATTGGACAGAAATTGGGCGAAAAATTCAATGTCAATGGCTCGTGTTTTCTGGTGCTTAATTCGTTCTCCTGTTAGCTTTTTTTTACCAAATTAAGCAACGAAAATACGAAATGAGATATTTGGCTCATAATCCAGAAAGATTACCATTAAAGCTGCGTTCAGACACGCCAAGTTTATATGTTACATTTTCGTCAAATGGAATTCAAACAATAGATAATAAGATAATAGTGAGGTTTGTTATTGTTACCGGCACCGTCAAAACTGGTTGCTCTTGTTGAGTACCACTTCGGGAAGCTAGTGTACGTTCTCTAGTGGGAAGTGTGCGAGTACGCAACGAGTACGCTCGTTCTGAGTCTTGCATGGTCAGGACCGTAACTAGAGGCTTAATTGGGGGGGGGATGATACTGTGTATTTTCATATTTTCGGCTTATGCGCGACTAATTTCCTTTCTACGCTATTGTTTCCTAGGTATGTAAACATGAATATATGAATACGCACCCCCCGGGGAATTAAGAGGTACATCTACGGCTGTTTGCATTCACCGCCCTTCTTTTAAATGTGAAGGCAAAATATTAAGGTTCTACTTAAAATAAATTGCATAAAAACCTGCGAAGCAGAAAGGAATATGATTATTTGCCGGTTGAAAATTTGAAAAGTTTTGCCATTACTTTCATTATCCAAACTCCAAAATGAAATATTAATTACAAACCGGATCTGGAATATATTTTACTTCCGTCTTGACATGCGTGCGCATGAAATAGAAGAAGTATCCTTTGGACAAATCCGCGAAATATACTCTTGGCCGTTTGCACCGTTGTTGCCGTTTTTATATCCTTCGTTTGGTGAAAAAGTTGAAAGTTTCTTCACAAGATTTGTTTGTTCCTTGCTCGTCTGGTTTACTCGATGGTCAGTTGAGATAAACATACGAGTATGAGCTATCAGCCGGACGACAGGCATGAACGAGACGTTCTCCCTCCCCGTATCACGACAAGCAATGTTACATTGGACAAGGAAAAATACGACAAAAACTCAATAAGAAGTCCTCAACCAACAGGTGAGATTTCGTCACATTGCAGTAAATGTTGCTCACAAGAAATTGTTGGCTTTCGAGTGAAAATTTTGAATCTTTGTCACACGTCTACTTCGTGTATTGCCAACGTCGATTTCGGCGCCTGCGAGCCCTCGTGTTTTTGCCGCGAACTTGCCTGGCCGAAGCTTGGCAAATCATTTGATTTACAACAGGTTTAATATCTAGGATTTTACTTTACCATTGGCTAAATATCTTTTCAAACTAAGCTGTATCGTCATGACATCACTTGGGATCACAATTAAGTGTGATTTTGAATGTAAAATATGTAAATACCATCGTTTGCAGTTCGTTGATACTGGTTGTAGAAAGCAGACAAATTTCTATTATTGAAACAAGCAATTCGCTTTTTATGAGAGTGGAAAATTATGCTTGTTCGTTTGATATTTTTGATATATTCAACTCGTGTATAATAGTAGTGAATAATAAAGGTTGCAAAATGGAATTTTTGCAGGTGAGATAAGTAGGATTTGTTTCCACTCGATTGGCTTTGTATCGTATTTATTGTTATTATTTTGATAAATCATGTGACTATTTGAGGTTGGTCGCCATGTTCCTGAAAATAGTGATTTATCTGTAGTCTAGAGTTTTGTATTTCACGTGTGGCCACTTGTGTGGTCTGTTGTTATTTATTGTATATTTACTAAGACCATTGGGTAGGAAGTTTATGAATAGCAAAGTCTACTGCCAATCACAGAAGCCATAGCATAGCAATAGTAAATTCAGGCTTTAAATAAAATTTTGCATTTAAATTTGTATCTCTTTTGGATGTAAAGGAATGATGGATTGGTGAGGTGAAAGTTATTAATTAGGGTGTTCCTTCTGCCATTATATATATTTTCAGAAAATTAAGCTTCAAGTTTCCCTAAGAAAAATATATAAATCACATAAAGATATCATAAAATCTGCATGTACTCACCAACCTCAGCTCTTTCTAATTAATGAAGAAGCATCGATTGTAATTGCTGGGTTATTAATGCAGTATAATGTACTTTTTACATTGCAGAGGTATTAACTATGTATGAGGTGCAGAATTTAAAGGTAGGTAATATAATTTATCTACACAATTGTCTTTATTTATAATTTATCTACACAATTGTCTTACATTCATGTCAATCATAATATGTTTTATTTAGAAGTCATCTCAAAGTAGGCATATAGCACCAGCAAGTATTCATTCAATCAACCAAACAAGTCATTTTCTTCCCCAAACCTTTGGCATGTATCCTCAAATGTCACCAGTTATGATGCAAACTCATGGTACAGTTCCTGCATTCCTTCCATTTCCACGACATATGCCTGCATTAGCTGTGTCTGCCACAGCAGCTGGTGTCCCAGCAAGACCTTCACATGCAACCCCTGGTAGACCTGTTGTTGCACATCACCTACCGCCAGCTGGTCTACCTGCTCAACTTCATGCCATAACTGGAATGCCTCTACCAGTTCATCCTGCAACCACCACTCTTCAGCAGACCCGATCACCATCACCAAAACTCTTACAGGAAACGGCTTCTGAAGTTCCAAAAGGTATGTTAATTTCTAACCACATCACTCATCAAAAGAGATAGGACATATGGACATGCAATTTAATTAAAATCAAACAAGACGCCTGCTCAAGGCGTTCACTCCGCCTGCATGCCAACTGATGTACCTAATTCATCCGTGGACCGTGTAACCCAGGGCTTCTTGGTCAAAATGTTTTGGGTTACCTGTAGAAATGCCAACTTCTGTCGCCCAAAACGACGAAAAGGAAAAAAGACCATGGCATTTTAAGACTCCGCTGCGCATACGCAGGCGGAGTAATTACATTTACCAGCAACTGCAATTATTTTGTTAATTTGTGACCTTTACCTGTTAATGCCACTGTATGGTGCAATCTGTCTATGTATTATTTCAGGCCATTTTTCAGACTTTCCTATGCATAATTTGTCATTGTTTGCCAATATTGTTTGAAAATTTGACCATTGTTTGACCATTGTTGCCTGTACTTTCAAGTCTTCCTTTATACTTTATATATTGATGTTGCAGGTGACATAAAATCACAGGCAACACCAACTGAAGCTCATTCTGTGATGGAAAGTCGTCCAACAGTTAGTGAACCAGCAACACACAGTCTACACCATACAACTTCAACAACAACAACTTCCAAAATGTCATTAACAACTGGACTTGGAAAGAACTCGCTTGGTTTGAGTTCTCAACCATATATCAAACATACAACATCTTCGCCGTTGCATTTATCGTCTGCCCCAAGGTTTGTACCATTTTTTTACTGCTGTGGTACACAAGTGTGTAATTCTCTTTCCAATGCTCAGTGCTGATTGTTATGAAGCTAATGACCTACCACCTTCTTATCCTTGGGCTATGGAGTGTAATTTGGATCAGTTAATCCGTTAACCTTATTTTCAAACAACTTTGAAGCACAGGCCTTATACATGTACAATGTTATTAACCTAAGAAACATTGTAATGAACTTTTTCTAGAACAATTCCTGGACCATCTCCTGTTGGACCTGTCTCATCAGTTACGTCAAATTTCAATATGCCAAATGTCATTTCTCATGTTGGTAGGTGCATAGATACATTGTAAGATACTAGTTAGTACAAATGCCCCCTTGAAATGAAGTTTAGAGTTTTTAAACCTTGTCTCTTTATGTAGTGACCAACAGCATCCTTTTTCTAATAAAAAGTAAATATATTTTTAGGTTCGCTTTATTCTCAGCCATCGCCAGTGTCATTTCCTACAAGGCCTCAACAGGTACACTAAACTACAGTTCTTCCTTATCAATTACCAGTTATTGTACATCCAGGCTGTTGGATTGATAGTGAATGGAATATATTATTCACTGGTTTAAAAATAAAATCACATATACTACCAGTAATACTCCACTTTTCACCTTCAGTTACAGGACCCTACCAGGCTTTTAAAACCAAATAGTACGGCTTCGTCAATATCGTTCGGAGGGACACTGCCAACCACGGTCATTTCTGCTCCAGCAGGTATGTGATTCTTTAAATAAAACTGTGCGAATTTATATGCAGGGGCTCTTTTCACCGCAACATCTGGTTCCACAACAAACACTCTCAACACCAAATCACCAATCCCCGGTCCACCTAGCCAACAACAACCCAACATTTGGTACTTCAAACTTCCATACATAGGACATTACTCTCAAATTACCGAGCAGAAACTCCTCAACATTGCCAAACAATTTTGCAGTGATATCAACATAAAGCTGGTGTTTACTTCCTACAAAATCGAAAACTTTTTTAGTTTTAAGGACACAATCCCGAATGATCTTAAATCCCTTGTAGTGTATAAATTTTACTTGAGCCACAAGGATCAAAGAACACACCTCCACTGACAAAAACTAACCTTCTTATAATATACTCAATTGAAATAGCCATTTTAAAATTAGTTTTGTGATTTTTTACTTAGTCATAGCATTAAACAATAACCATGCATAATCATTTCAACATTTCTTCCAAACATTCAACACAATCCCAATCTCATTGTTTCTATTTTTATTCCATGTGTAGTGGCAAGTATACCAAATTCAAGATTAGATGGTAACAGGTAAATTATACCGTAAATGATGCCGTAAATGATTAAGTCTTTTAAGTTTTACTATTCAGGAATGATCTAGACGTGGTAGCTACGTTCATGTATTCTTTCTACTTAGGCCATTTCCACATTCTGTGTCCTTTCCCCGAATGCCAACATATTTCGACGGCCATACAGGTAAATACTATCACGGCCATACAGGTAAATACTATCACAGAATACGTATTCTCCATCTTTTATCTATGGTGCTATGAAACACAAGACCATTCAATTTCGTACACGAGACCAATAGCAATAATTTTTTACCCGTTGTGTTATGCATAACAATATGTGTATCTCTGTTGTAGTCTCGTCTTTACAACCACCGCTCAAATCGTATGCTCCAATTGAATCTGTTGTCCGTAAACCTACCACTATTTCCCAAGTTCCATCTGCTAGCCATGTCACAACTGGTATTAATTCTGTACAACTAATGACATCCCATAATCCAACACCGTCAGTTGCAGTTGTTAACATGGGTAAGAATTACTTCTTGCCATCCTCCCCAACATATTATATAATTTAAATTTCTAGCGTTATCCTTACAATTGCTTTCAGGTGTTCCGTTCACGAATGCTGAAGCAAGTAATGAGAATACAGCAATTCATAACAATTCATCGCATCCGAACTCTAGTGTTCATTCGAACTTTAGTGTCCAGAACATGTTGTCATCTACTCCTTCGGCACCAAGCGTTCCTTTATCTAGTTCTGTTACTTCATTATCACCAAGACCAAGTATCCTGAGAAAGAGACAAGAAGTGTAAGTATCTATACTTAAGGTAATGGAGGAGACATTGAGACCTTCAACTTCTCACAGTTTATATCAAATTTAATGCATCGAAAAGGCTTCCCGAGTAGGGTCAAGATCTCACCCCCCCCCCCCCCCTCTAAATACTATTTTAACAAAAATATTGCTGTACCTTGCAGATCGAGAAAAACTGTAAGTCAACCATCGCTGGGAGATCCCATGGTTCCAGCTAATGATATTTCCGGTAGTCCACGACCAGATGGAACTTTATCTGCCTCGCATTCCAGACAAAATTCTCCGAAAAGGTTGGTTACCACGTTTCATAGCAATATTGTAATATTCTATTTTAACCGGTCTTACCTGATTGTAATATAGTGAAACGTTTGCTCAAAGTTTGGAACAATCTCAGAAGACGTTGGAAAACGGACCAAGTCATCCATCAATATTGTCTCCATCCAAAGTTAAACGGGAATTCGTATCACCCTCCTCGACACCTCCAATGCAAACGCCTGCTGTCAACACTGTTTCATTATCAGCGGTTCCTTCGCATGACGCAGGCGCGTCGCCAAGGAAGAAACCACGGAAACAAAATGTGTAAGTTGAAGTAATTACGTAAATCTCTTTTATATGTAAAAGTAAGTCTAAGTAATCGGCAGTTAAGTTTGGAACTAAAAAGTATTGATTCACGCGTTCTCTTCTTGTGATTCACAGGATCGCAACTGAGGATAAATTCAGCAGTACTCCTGTGCAGGTGCAGGAAGGAAATGAAAAGAAAACTGCTGTCAACGATAAACCAGACCCGGAAGATGGTTAGTAAATAAACTCTTATATACTGTACCTATTATTCTCAATCCTCTGTGGATCGGAGGTGAACACGCTTTAGATACTTAAAATAGGGGATAGACATCTGATAGACGAGTCAACCTTTTTTAAAGAATTCTTTAGCATGCAGCAGAGTATTAATTGCCATTTCAATTGTTGATACATGCACCTTATCATGAAATATTCACTTTGTTAACGATTAATTTCTAGATGAAGAGCTGAAGTTTTTAATGCTAAAAAGACGTTGCGTGTCCATCTATGGTGGTTATAAAGTTAATCATAAGGCAGCACATAATCATTTTCAAAGATATTCTGATGTTAAAGCAAAAGGTAAACTTCCAAATCCATCCTTTATCTTCATGTAAATCACAAGGTTAATTGATGGAACGTGTCAAATAAGTATAAACTTTGGGGTATAACACTCGTTGTTTGCTTTATTATTTTGCTTTATCATTTTAAGATGAAAAGAAACCTTCGTTACAAGAGATTGCGAGTGAACGAGGTATAAATCAGAGAGCTACAGGATGGAAAATACATCACGTAGCGGCTCAATTAGATGAGCTGGTAAGTTTCTTCGTTGATGATTGAAGTTGTGTTACTGTGTGTCATCAAACGCTTGTTCGAGCAAATTGTGAAGTATTAGAATACAACTACAGTATAAATAAGTAAAAAGAGTAAAGAGTTGATTTCTCATGTCGGGAGACTATGGATGGGTTGAAACCTTATCCATGTACGAAATATGATATGCTGTTTAGATGTTACTAAACTTGAGATGAATTGATGTTACAATGGTTAAGTAACGAATGCTTCTTTTACTGTACAATGCGTTTAGAAATTTGAGCTTGAGAGCAAGTAGTCTAGTTGTTATACTAAAGAAAACAAAATTTGTTTAACAATCTTCAATGTATTACCAAAAAGATAACTTGCATGTATCATAGAAAATCAGAAACAGCATTTGTTGTATTGTAAATTACTTTTCCTAAATTTATTTTCTTAGAAAACCTGTGAGGAGGAAGTTTTGCGGAAAATGCATGATTTTCGAGAACGCTTGCCAAAATATAAATCAGATCATAAGAGATACACTGACATGGTTTCGCTTCATGAATTGCTTCAGGTGCGTATATGAAGTGAAATTACTGATATAAAATAATATAGATAAACTGGATGGACGGGTAACGTGCAAATCCAATTATTTTCCAATTTTATGACAGATCGTTCATGCATATGTGTTAAGGATATAGTTCATAGGCCCGTATTAAAGTTGCAAATGTTGTAATTTTTGTATCACAGGGAAATATACAGAGAAGTCAACTTGTAATTGAACAACTTGGGGAGACGAAAAAAACTACGGTAAAGGTAGGATTCCTTGTTTTGGAAAGTATTGAGTACATGCCATGCACCATTCGACGCTGTAGAGAAAACTTTGTGGTAGTAAAACACACGAATGCATCCACCAAAATCGTTACGTGGGAAGGGGGGAGTCATTTCAAATGAACTATCAAACATTGTGTATTCTGATATATTGTTCATGCGTTCACTGTAGATCCTCGAACATAAACAAGGTATAATGGATATCTTAAAGAAAAACATTAAACGACATGTGAAGAAAAAGAGCTAGAAATGTTTTTACCGCTCTATTATTGTACATATAGCAAGCTGACGCTACCATGCATAAAATTTTATCGCCCGTCGATCTTCATACTACGTGGATATCTCATTTACATCATTGCCGGAAAATGTCTGTAAACATCTGTCTCGACATCACCTCCCTAGCCAGAAGTCGCCATTGTTGTCAATAATATATATTCCATAATATGTGTATTACTTGAGCATTCTTGTAGTAGAATCAATAGTTGACGTGACGAGAAAAGTGATCGTTGCTTTAGCCGTAATAAGGGTTTGGATCAAACTCAACGAAACGATCCAGGTATTATGAAAATCTGTGGATATTTTTATCTAATGTAATCCGTGTTGTACTTTATAATATAAAATTATTCTCTGTACATAATTCAGTTTTGACCCACCAACAATATGTGTGTCCCAACTACCATGTATTTTAATGATGAAATTTAATTATTACCTGTCTTTAATTGAAGATTTGGCCCCACCTCATTCTAAGATCTTGTTAGGAAGAAAGCTCTGATCTAGGGCCAGTTGAATGAAACATGGTTGCTTTGATATTTCAAGCTTATGCCGTCATGGTAATTTTGGAATTGAATATGGATTGCTTCTTGAAATTGTGTCCAATGCACTGTTAATTTCTCAAATCTCACACAGAGGTTGTTATTTTCTAATGTGATTGCCATCCCTTCACTATCAGACCACAGCTTTTTATATCAGGTGGTTTTTTATCATCTTGTATTTTAAAACTTTCATATGCATGTACATCATTTACAGTTTAAGGTCTCACTTTTTCTTACTACTTTGGTATAAAACTGAGGTAGTAAAATTTTTACTGCAATAGATTAGCCATAGTATGTTAATATATGTTTTCGTTATCAATACCACCTAAGCAAATAAAACAATTTCACTAACTACTAACAAGCATCTCTGCTAATAATTTAATATACCAGAGAGACTTAATTTTAGTAGAATATATATATAGGAATAATAGGGAAAGTAATACAATTATTATTGTAGGCGCCACCTTGTTTTGTTTTGGTACACAGACAGTTGACCTTTGCAAATAATTTAATTCTTCATGCCCATGGCATACAATGCCCTGCGTATGTTAAAAAGCACCATTTGGATAAATTATTCTACTTGCCAATTTCAGTCCTACTGAAATTATTCTACTTGCCAATTTCAGTCCTACTGCGTTTTGAAGTTGAGGGAGATGATTCGTTCCTGCGTTTTGACATTTCCCTCTCCTGAAAAGGTAAATGAGTTCATCTAATGTCAATTTCATATCAGTGCAAAAGTACAAATGCATATTTGTCAAAAAAAAGGTAGATGTAAAAAATTATGTCAGTCTCTCACAGATAGTCAATTTGTTTACAAAAAAACATCTCTGACTGCATGCATTCTGGTAAAATATACAAATTGATCTTTTCGTAATCGGGAATTGGGAATGAGTTGAGAGTTAAGTAACTAATTGAAATCACCATGAATACACAGGTTCTTAATTGGATTATCTAATCAACAATCCCACAAAAAAGCACCAGAAAGAAACAGAATTCATACCCTGTTTGTTTCTGCACCATTCATTGCAGATATAGGCATGTTAGTTGTTTTAGGCCATGTACTTGCTGTTGCAGTAGGCTGTATGGCAGATGGTCTGTTAATTGTTGTAGTCACAGGGGCTGCTGTTTCCTGCGAAAGAATTATTTTTGATATTGCTTCATTACGACAACAGTTAGCATTTTGTACTGGACTGACACCAGAATAGTTGGGTTTATTGATGTTTGCTCCTTTAGCTACCAATAACTGCAGAATTTCGCAACATTCATGATCAATAGCATGATGTAGTGGTGTGTGGCCACTTTTACCATCCTAGGAAATAGAACAGCACTGTAATCAATGAATGCACTGGATTAATCATGTTACTTTGTTAAGATAAAATGTTCAATTGACTCCAACTCTCTAGAATAGGGTTCAAGGAACTATACAGGATAATGAAGAAGGGAAAATCTCTTCAGCTTTAAGTAGTTGCTCCAAATTAACTCTTTTGTTAAAGTAATGAATAAATGGTTCATTGCTTGTTACCTTGACATCTATGTTTGCACCATATTGTATTAAAGCCTCCACTACATTTTGATGCTTTTTTTGCACTGCTAAATGCAATGCTGTAAGACCATCAAAATTTTTTATTTCCAAATTTATTCTCTTTGATTTTGCACTTTTTATTTCATGTAAACATCTGATATCCCCGTTAGCTGCACACAAATGTATGGCAGTTTGGCCATTTCGATCTTGAGCATTGGCATCAGCACCAGCATTCATAAGTTGTTGAACAACCAGAGGTTGTTTGGTGAGAACTGCAAGATGTAACGCCGTCTAGCAATTTAAGAAAATTACATGCTGATATTAGCTGGCAATAATTTGTTAACTAAGTTGCAACAATTGAGGTATCTAGCTTACCTGTGATAAATTATTAGGAGTATTTACGGTCATTTTAGAAAGTGATATCAGTCCAATTAACTTTTCTATTAGTCTTTGGTTTTCATGAACAATGGCAATATGTAATGGTCTGAAAAAAATACAATCATAATCTTCACTTTATCTGAGTAAAACAATCTGTTTATTTGAAGGTGGATCTGATCCTTGCTCTTAGCTTTGGCCTTTATTTATAACAAATTATTGGTACATTTTTTGCTAGTGATATAGCAGTTATAATCACTCTTTTATTAGCAGAACATTTGTTCATTTCCTTGTCACAGAAGATGTGAGTGAGGGGTGTTTGGAGGAACAACACATCTTTAAAAACATAGGTTATAAGGGGCCCTGAAGTCCATTTTCAGGCAAATTTGTTTATGTGGAAATTGGTTCAACTTACGTATCTCCATCATCATCTCGTAAAACTGCCAAATGACATTCACTGGCTGCCAGAAGACTCTCTGTTGCACTGTTTGAATTAATTGATGTGTCTGCTGGCAGATATAACATATCGTGTAATGATTGTATGGTTTCCCAGCCAATAGCATATAACTTTACAATTTTTTGTACGTATACATGGATGTGATAAGATAGAAACTTTCACAAAATAAAACTTATAATGGTAATCAGAAACAATGCGATGGAGTCAATAAAAAATTACAGGGAGATGTACTATAGCTGGGATGTTTTATAATTTAATACGCGATTTAGTTTTAACACCAATAGGTTTTCTAACCTTCAGTTGACGGATGCTTTACAGTATTCTGGGTTCTTGATGTATTGTTAAGATTACTGTCACTTGAATTAGACTGATTTTGTGGTCTTGGTAGAGCTTGTGTGAAGACAGGATTGGCATGATGGATTAAAGGCCAATTGACAAGGCCAGCGTGAGCCTGAGCCTGAGCTTGCCACAATGAGTATAAATGAAGGTTTGCGAGAGCTAAAGGCGAGCCAAATGATGGATACCCTAGACTAGGGTGAAACGGTGGGTTTTGATGTCCTTTTGGAAACGCGTTTTCCGGACGAGGATTACTTGATTCCATAAGATCATTCTCCTTTACTTCAAAAGGTTGCACCTTGGCGGTTAATTTCGAGGCGGTTGTCGTTTGCGATGTAGTCGGTAAGCTAGGATAACCTAATAGACTCTCAACATCATATCCTGAAGATTTACTTTTCCTTGATGTTATTTCATCATGTTTTGGTAGTCTGATCATCCCGTATTACATCAAATAATGAAGAAAAACGAAGTTTTACAGGCCATAGTAAACGCTCGGAACAGTGACGCAGCAAATCCTCGCGATACCTTCTTCCCCAAATTTCACTCATTACGTCACTTGACCAATCAAAAAGCAGCGATATTTTCTTGGCATTCTGGGGGATTTCCCGCAATTCTTAGTTTCATTTACAAAAATTCTTAGTTTCATTACGAAAACAACGTCCATCGCATCAAGGTAGAGCATATTTGTATAGCGAAAAGTATTGTTGGGAATCATTATATAAATAATTTAAAGTTAAATGTTCTTCAAATTTGGTCACCTTATGATAATATCACAGACTTCGGAGGACATAACCTCTTCCGCAGGGGTTTAAGGAAATTCCCACCCGCAAAATGACACCTCCTGCAAATGTTCCCGGAAAAGTGCCTGCAGTACAGTTAGGAATTCGTAACTATGACTTTATACTCTGGGAATGTCCCCACTGTCATGTGATTTTGACCAACTTTTATAATGAAATCATTGAAATCGATTGAAATGCCTTTTTCCCGCCGGGTATGATGGTATGCATCGTCATCGACACCTTTTTTATTTTGCAGATTCGTTTCAAAGTAATCAAAGTAAAATTGTCATCGGAGATAAATCTAGCTCATTATATGTAAAGGATTTAGTTACACAGACTTGCATATATAAAACATATACCTGCTAACGTAAACCTGGAAAGGCATCTGCGGTCTAATTGAAAATTGAAATTCGTACTAGTCTTCATTTCTTGTTCATTGCTGCATTTTTGCTGCAATTTTGAGCCCAGTAAAGTGAATGCATGGTGAAATATTCAAGTGCACGAGCTAGAACCTGCCCAAATTATGACATAAAAACATGGATAATTGTTAGCTCAGTAATTTCGGCTACCCGGCAATTCATTTCAACCTTGGGACATAAAAGTGTCTTCGAACTGGATAAACAATTACAGAGGGACAGCCTGTTTGTGGGTATTGTAGGAGGGAAACAGTCTATAAAATGTGTAAAAGTTTTATTCAAAAATTAACTTAAAAAAAAAACGTTTCATGGCTTATTTCATACACCAAGTACAATAAAAAAAATTAGGATAATTAGTTGGTTTGGAAAACACCATCTTTAATCTACAGGGTGTCTCAAAAAAAAACGCAACCACTTAAATATGCAAGACACTAATACAGCTCTAAAGCACAATAGATAACCACTTCTGGGAATTGAAAATGGCTCTTAATCCTTTATTTAAAATGCTAAAAGTCATTTTAGCTGAACTGTGGTGCAAACCCGAACAATATTAATACTCTTGCATATTTAAGTGGTTGCGTGTTTTTTTTAGACACCCTGTACACAGGCAATGCACTTACAAAAGATTTGACTGATTTTATTGTAATTGGCTTTCAAACAACAAAAACTCTCATTTTGCGGCAATCATTCAGAAGAAGAATAAATTATGAAATATCCAGCTCAGATTCAAATTTGAGGCCAGATTACTCGTAAACTTACTGTGTATAAATAGGCCAAATTAACATAATCTTTGTTTTCTCTGTTTAAAACAAACAAAAGCCTGTTTATAACAATGTTGGACAAGCCATTGATTTAGTCATCTCCTACCCTGTTTGAGGAATCATTTGGACACTGGTCTTAGAGCATAAAGACAAGTCACTTCTTTTGCTCAAAACTTCGTCTGAAATTGTTATCAATGCTAACGTCTTAGTGCAGAAGAGAAGTTTGGTATCTCTGTTGCCCTGTCGTTGGTGTAAGAACAGGTAATATGCCTTTTTCTTCACGATTATCTGCTTGCTTTAGTGACAGATTTGGGCAAATATTTCTGCCACGTGGGCCCAACTTCAATGATCGACCTCGTGTAATGCCCAAAGATTGGGGTGTTTCGCTTTGTGTTCGATTTGAAATTGTTCTTATATTCATATTTATAACGTTGCTTTGTTATTCATTTCAGACAGGATTCTGACGACTTAAAGCCAAGTTTGACGATGCAATTCGTGAACAAGAGGTTGATGATCGATAAATTGTGGCTGAAATGGCTCGAGATAACTCGCCTTTTTGTAGAGAGGGCACGACTAGCTTTTTCTCAGAGCTTATTGGTGAAATGGAAAAGGTAATATACACGCGATAAAACCTATGACTATGTGAATTTGTGGACGTTAAGATGTCGCGCATGCAGTCTATATAGGTACATCCAATAACCACTAACCTTATACCTTTCAATTAAGTTCTAAATGCTGTGCAGAAAACTAACACTACCTTCTACTCTTTTCAGGTAGAGTTATAGAGCTGAAGTCAAAATAAAAAAAATGCCGTGCGCAAGAAATTTGCTATCGACAACGGCTGAAATTGCCAAGATTACTCGCGTTGAAGAGACAGCAAGTCCAAAGCTGCTCGTCTAAAATAGTTCCTGAAATGAACAGGTATACATATCTATTTTGTTTCTATTTGATTCGCATACACGAGTATGGGAGAAGTAGCTATCAACGCGAGTTTTCTCCTACTATGTTTAAGCTTGTTTTATCGAATAACATGCGGATATCACCGTCTATATCAAGTATTGCCTTTGTTTTATTTCAGGTATAGAGATTCACTGAGATTGAGCGAGTCAACGCCATTTCAAACGACGAGTAACCTGTTCAAATTAAATGTAAGTATATTAAGCAATCATGGAGCATTTTAGAATTTAGATGCAGAGCGAACAATAGGGAGCTTAAGATTTAGGACGGAACGACGACGGCTGATAATGCGATGATATAAATTATTGATAATAGGCAAAAGAAAAAGCAATTCAAAAGAACCAGCATGAAATCCTGCAGCCTCGGGTGTTTTAAACCCGTCGTTTCTGGTGCACAGCGATAAAGAGCGTGCACAATCGTTTTGGTTTGAAATGTATATGTACTTTTCCTTTGTTTTCTGTTGTTTAACCTTACCGAGTGCATGGTACAAACTACTAAGGCCTAGGCCCTAGCTTGTATATAGGTGTCTTAGCAGTGTTATTTTTAGTGCTGTTTCTATAAGGGCAGTTTGCTTTGGCTAAAAGCCTTGGCTTTTAAAACTGCTCAATGATTTTTTCAGTTAAGTGGTTTTTCAGAGAGAAAGATCTGTATTTGTTGGCCAGCTTGCTTTGTTGCCTTGGCTCTAGAGAACAGAAAAAGCTTTGTCTATATGCGCCAATTTGTTTTCCAAATGCTGTTTCTATAAGGGCAGTTAGCTCTCGTTAGCTCAGAAATGTACAATTTTTTACAAATGTACAAGGAAAATATTTTTATTCATGCTATTTTTATTAGTCCGGAAGCAGCTTGCTCGGTTATATGCCTAAAAGTTTCGAAAATGTCATAAATGTCAAAATTTTTTAAGAAAACTGCATGGTTATAAATTTGTCAGCACAATGAATTTAGGACTTATTGGCAATCTTGAAATGTTATTCGGCGTCGTCTCAGTTCGTCACGCTTCCCTCCTCGATCTTACGGCTACACCTAAAAGTAATGTTCGAGCATAGTTCAGCTTCCTACAATACATTATATTCAGTTTTTTTTTCAATCTTCCCAATGTTTTAAAATATAGTTTCTTATTTTCATCTTGTATTCTATTTCAGGTTGATGAAATATAAATCACACGCCTCCGTGGAGCTATAATAATTACCGACGAGCCAAAACGGTTCCAAGACAACGCCAAACGACGTCGAACAGCAGCGTAAATCGGCGATGTCCCCCGACATCGTTAAAGGTTAGAGTAGCCTGGTGGTCAAAAAATGTGCATGCTAGGTTCGGGATGTGTTTCGTACAAAAAATATACGAACAATTATTCTGCAAAGCAGAAGTTCATTGTTCGTCGTTAGGGTCGCGATGTTTTTTTAAACCATAACGCTATTCAGTTACCTAGGTTCTGGCCACCAGGAGCATAGCTAATGCATGATGCATGTTTAAATAAATTTGCATGTGTGGTAAAATAACAATTCGGTTATAGGACCCGGCTTTGCGCTTAAGGGCTGCTCGCGCCGCTTAGGGCTACGCGCTAAGGTTTAGGTTGATAAGTGATATTTAATTTTCATATACAAAAATAAGAAAAGGCTAAAAAAGCCATGCATGTACACAAACATAAATCACAGCCTCAAATGGCATACATAATCCCATAGGTTCTTACCTTGTTCCATATCTCGGAACGCTATTCTTAACTCGTATGGCAAACATAATCCTACAGCATCTTACTGTTCCTTCTCTCGGAACGCTATATTCTTGGGTAATTTAAGTCTCGGAATGTACATTGTAAAATAGGAGAAACACTATTTTGTACATACAAATGCACAAACACTGAAATTATAGCCTCGTATGGCAAACATAATCCCATAAAGGCCATATTGTTTCCATCTCTCTTTCTCTCTCTTGTCCTGTTAAAATAGTCCGGCCACACGCGGCTTTCGGAATATAGATTGTAAAATTATGAATTGTAAATAATAGTATACCATTATTTTGCTATAGTCTTACAATATTTTGTAACTGATATATATAACACTCTGTAGTAGCTACGTATGTATATAGCAGGTAAACCATATTACCACACCTAGTTTACTGTATATTTTAATAATTTGACATACATGAGCAAAACAATTAATGCAAACCACGGCCTTCAATGGCAGACATGATCCAATAGGTTTCTAAGTTCTATCTCTTGTCTTTTGTTTGTCAGTAAGACCAGTTGATGTTTAGTAAGAAATATTCATGCATTTAAATCACATATACTGTCCTAATATAAATCCGAAGTACATCAACCTATACAATCTCATTCTAGTTAATGCACACTTCATAACAATCTATATACATGAAACTGAATAACACATGCATATACATGCTCTCAATGAATGTGAATTTACTTGAAATAAGAAGGGAGAGATATGGGTGTCGTGTGACCCGTTGGCGATATATACGTCATTCTTATTACAGTTAAAAACGGATTAAGAGACAACATGGGCAGTGGCATTGCAACTTTATTATTTTTCCAAGGTCTCTGTGAGACTTCCAATCATTTAGCATCGTTGAGCAGTGCTTATGAAAAGAAAGGCGCCACTTTTTGTCTGTACTGTT